TAATAATAATATATATAATTATAATTTTAAATATATTTATTCACCCCTTTAGGAAAATAAACACATATAATTAATCAACATTTAGTGATGATGTAAATTAGTTGCATTATTATCACAAATTAGTCAATATTAAGTGCGTGTGATCTGGCTGATTTTACTATGTTCATGTTATTGACTGGTAATTAATTTTGTGAGCATGCTATATTTTAAATATTATTCTTTATTCTCTTAAAAAGAACAATAATAGTTTTATTTTATTTTTTTATTTCTAAAAAACAATTCTTTAAACCTTAAAACTTTTATCTTCCAAATTAACTTATTATGCTTGCTCTTGCAAATTTATAAAAAAGTAATCTAAAAGGTTAAAAAAGAAAACTAAAGTAATTCACGAGACATACTTTCAGATGATTAGAAAACCATTAAATTTAACATTTAAAATATGATATCGATATCATATATTTATTGCAAATATACATTCTAGTTTTCATATAAGTGAATTTATCTAATGGTATGGAGGCATGACCTATCATATTAGGTATAGGAGAAGAAGACTTAAAGTAAGCTAAAAAAGAATTACTTGGAAGAATTAATTGATATAACAAAGATTAATCTAAAAAGAAATGTAAGGATTATGAATTTTTATTTTTGTGTTAAATTGAGATATAAATGATATTTCCAAAATTTATATAAATATAGATTTTATTAGAAGTATATCTTTTTTTCTATTGACTTTATCAATTAATTCTCTTAAATTCCATCAATTACTTCAATATATAAGTTATTATTCATCTTTTTAATTTGATAAATCAAAACTCTAAAATGTGTTTGATTATTTAAAGATTTTTTAATTTATGCTTGATTTTCTATATCAGCTCCATAATGACCGTTAAAATACTTTTAATTTAAATCATTATTTTCTTAAATTTTTGAAATCACTTATCTATGTTATTGTATTATTCTCTACATTTATTCCCATTCTATAAATTATATATATATTATGCTACATCTGAAGAAATACAATATCTGAAGGTGATAATTACATATCAGAATAATACTAAATATATTCTCTTGAAAATCAAATTAAAAAAATTTATTGTAAGTAAAATTATTGAGTTTTTTCTATCTCAAATACATTTGAAAAATATAATTATCAGATGTATAATCTCTGCTGATTAATCCTTTATTTTTAGATTATAAAATTTAGGTACCAAACATTCAGATTTCCTTTCTAGATCTAAAAAAATAATAAAATGTAAAAATAAAGGAATGATTAAAATTTCTGGCTTTAATTAGTTTCAGATTTGAAACATAGGATTTTTAAAGCTAATTTCTCACTTATTAGATTATGCTATATGATTTATACATTTAAAATGACTATTGATTTTATTGTAATTCTTTTATAAAATGGAGATTTATATTATGTAATATGATGATTTAAATATATTATTATTAAAAAATAAAATTGTAATGTCATTTTATGAACTTATAGAAAAATTCTATGATACTCAAATTTGTAAACAAATTTAGGATCCTAGATTATTATTACTCAATATAGCTTCTTCTTAAATCTTAAATGATAAGAAGTATTTTGCTGATCAAGATAGAACAAGAGATGAATTATTTTAATCACTTCTTTAAATAGCAGATAAAGATCCTGAATTTGTTTTGTAAGTAGCCTATTATACAAGAAATAAATTATAAGTTAGAGCTACATCTAATTTTATAATAGCATTTGCTACAAGTTATGATTCTTGTAAGCCTTATTGTAGAAAATATTTTAATTATATTGTGAAATTACCAACTGATTTATTAGAAGTGGCTGAATATTCATAATTGTTGCGTTATTATTTGAAACTTGAATGGATAGGATTTTAGAATGGATATTTAAGATCTATACCATATAATATAAATTGTAGAAAAGAATTAAATTTCTCAAAAATGCTTTAAAAGTGTGGAGCCAATAAATTTCAATAATTTACAACTCATTAATTGGCAAAATATTGTTCTGACAGAAGGAGAAAAAGAATCATCTATAGATTTTCAGAATTAGTTGATCCAACCCTTTTTATGAAGAGATATTATAAAAGAGCAGAAAAACTTAAATTTAAGTAAAAAGCAGAGAAAAAATTAAAGCAAAAGGTAATAAAAAAATAAGACAGATAAAAAGCTAAATAAATATAAAAGCAGATATAAAAGAAGTTAAAACATACTAAAAAATAAAGAGCAATTAGATCTTTAGAAAGAAAATTTATTACTATGAAAGATATTATTTAAATGTTTCACATCAGTTAACCTTAATATAATGTTATGTGTATATTGAGATGTAGATACCCTCCAAATCAAGATGAATTTAAACAATTATTCCCATAAGATGATATTGTATTTGAATAACAAAAATGTGGGAAACGTATGAAATTACCTAATATTATCACTTGGGAAAGAGAATTGAGTTAATAAAAAAATGATAAAGTATGGGATAAATTAATCAAAGAGAATAGAATTACGTTATTAGCTAGTATAAAAAATCTTAAGAATATACTTTCTGGTTATCTATCACCAAAAGCATTTTCTTAATTACAATAATTTTTAAGTAATCCATAAATAATTTAATAAAATAAGGTTACAATGTTATAATATTATAAAGCATTAGAAGCACTTATTTAAATGAAAAATGATAGAGCAAAAATAATTTATAAAATAATTTCTAATGCTATTAATATAACAACTAACAATATCCCAACAATTCCAGGAAAAACTCATATTTTTGTTGATGTAACTGGATCAATGAGTTATGAATTAGGAAACAAAAGCTTATAAACTGTTGCCTTTGTAATTTCATAGATATTAAGAATTAAATGTGAATATATGGAATTCTATATTTTTGGAGGTGAAAAAAATAATGAACCTTATTTAAGGGTTAATTTCACACATGAAGATCTATATGAATCTGTTTAAAAATGTGACATGGTAAGAAGATAAATTGGGAATTATTATGCAATGATAGGTCAAACAATTGAGGATTTGTTATATAAACCAAAAATCTTTTGTGATAATATTGTTATAATATCTGATATGGCTGTCTAGAAATGTTTTAGAAAAGATAACATTAGCTTTGAATATCTTTTGAATGGATATATAAATGAAGTAAATCCAAAAGTAAAGATTTTCTTTATGGATATAAATGGGTCTGGAATATCAATTGGGGCTAAATAAAATTGTCATATTTTATCAGGTGCCAGTGAAAGAATTTTAGAATATATAACAAATCAATATTTAGATTAAATTTAAGAAGTTATATCATTCTCAAATACATTAGGAAATTAATAAATATTAAAAATAGAATGAAAAATTACATATAAAAATTAAAAATATTATAATAATTTATTATTATTTAAATTAATAATATTCAAATTTAAATTAATAAAATATGATTTATTTTGTGCATATATATCTCATAAAAACAGGTTTATCAATACCATTGATGCAATTACCAAATTTCCATAGCTTGATGAACATTCTTCGCATAAGGAACTTTCAGAGTTCCAAGAGTAAGTTCCACCAGTGTATGATATACATTAGGACTAAGTCAATCCAGTTGTAGCATCTGCACATGCAGATTTAGTAGCATCCCAAGTACATAGAGTTCTATCTGTATAAACTTCTCCTCTAATTTGTAGACATGTGAGTTAAACTTAATCTGCACAAGTAGCTGGGACACATTTATCATTCCAATAGCAACCAGAAAGTACACATTCTGTATCAATTATGTAAGTTGCACAATCTTTTGTAAGATTTAAAATAGGAAGCACCAGATCTTTGCAAGGATATAAATTATCTGTTCCTTTTACATCTGCGTCACAACCAATGCTCAAACAACTAAGTATAGAATCGTATTTATAAGAAGCACAAGCTGCCTTCTTTTCACATTTGCTTGCTGTTGTGAGAGCACATCCATTTTTATTACAATCTCCAATTGTAGTTTTAGTTGTACAATCAATATCTTAACAAGCATTTGATACCCATTCACACCTATTTGAGACATAAGCACATTCAATATTTGTTGAAAATTTATTACAGGAACATAATTCAGTACCAATCTTATAAGTAATAGCTCCATTGATAGATACTACTAATCCAATCAATAACACTGTAGAGTAGTTCATTTTTATTTTAATTAATATTTCTAAATATAAATCATATCGGATTTGAATCACGACAGGTAAATCAAAATGGCATAAAAATTAAATTTAAAAAAAAAATTTCTAAAATTCTAATTTCTAGTATTTATCTTCAAAATTTAATATCATTTTAGATTTTTTTTTTTCAAATAATTTTTCTTAAAAGCGATTGTGAAATGATAAAAGCTTTCAAACAAGATCTTTATTTAAAGCATATAGTTTGATTTTGTGTTCCCATGAGATTATTTGAAATGGTTGCCAAAAAAAAAAGAATAGATAAACTAATTTCTTTTTTACTTGTTAGGAATTAGACATCTATATACAACTTTCTTATTCTTTCTAATTAAATCTATAGTCTAATTAGATTCATCTATGAATTACCCTAATTTGAATCTCTATATTTAGTTTTGTTTAGTACAAATATTCTATTCTGTTTAAATGTTTCATTCGTACAAAAATAACAAGAAATCTATATGAATGGTGAGCTATATGTTCTTTTAATACAAGTATTTATATTTTTTAAGTATTAACTAAGATTTATTATAAGAACTCTAGAAAAGCACTCTATTTTCAAGAATTCAAATTTCTAATAAAATGTTTTGAGTAAAATCAATTAAAAAATAAAATGAAGGTCTTTAACCTTCCTAAAGAACGTAATAAAGATCCAGTATCTTTTGTTAACTTTTAAAAAAAAATAACATTATCACTAAGAGTTACAAAATTTTTTTTTTTAAATTACACTAATTTTGAATGAAAAATAAATTTATGTTCTTCTAAAGCAAAACTTGAGTATTATTTTTTACTTTTTTTTTTATTACTTGTTNAGATAACATTAGCTTTGAATATCTTTTGAATGGATATATAAATGAAGTAAATCCAAAAGTAAAGATTTTCTTTATGGATATAAATGGGTCTGGAATATCAATTGGGGCTAAATAAAATTGTCATATTTTATCAGGTGCCAGTGAAAGAATTTTAGAATATATAACAAATCAATATTTAGATTAAATTTAAGAAGTTATATCATTCTCAAATACATTAGGAAATTAATAAATATTAAAAATAGAATGAAAAATTACATATAAAAATTAAAAATATTATAATAATTTATTATTATTTAAATTAATAATATTCAAATTTAAATTAATAAAATATGATTTATTTTGTGCATATATATCTCATAAAAACAGGTTTATCAATACCATTGATGCAATTACCAAATTTCCATAGCTTGATGAACATTCTTCGCATAAGGAACTTTCAGAGTTCCAAGAGTAAGTTCCACCAGTGTATGATATACATTAGGACTAAGTCAATCCAGTTGTAGCATCTGCACATGCAGATTTAGTAGCATCCCAAGTACATAGAGTTCTATCTGTATAAACTTCTCCTCTAATTTGTAGACATGTGAGTTAAACTTAATCTGCACAAGTAGCTGGGACACATTTATCATTCCAATAGCAACCAGAAAGTACACATTCTGTATCAATTATGTAAGTTGCACAATCTTTTGTAAGATTTAAAATAGGAAGCACCAGATCTTTGCAAGGATATAAATTATCTGTTCCTTTTACATCTGCGTCACAACCAATGCTCAAACAACTAAGTATAGAATCGTATTTATAAGAAGCACAAGCTGCCTTCTTTTCACATTTGCTTGCTGTTGTGAGAGCACATCCATTTTTATTACAATCTCCAATTGTAGTTTTAGTTGTACAATCAATATCTTAACAAGCATTTGATACCCATTCACACCTATTTGAGACATAAGCACATTCAATATTTGTTGAAAATTTATTACAGGAACATAATTCAGTACCAATCTTATAAGTAATAGCTCCATTGATAGATACTACTAATCCAATCAATAACACTGTAGAGTAGTTCATTTTTATTTTAATTAATATTTCTAAATATAAATCATATCGGATTTGAATCACGACAGGTAAATCAAAATGGCATAAAAATTAAATTTAAAAAAAAAATTTCTAAAATTCTAATTTCTAGTATTTATCTTCAAAATTTAATATCATTTTAGATNAGATAACATTAGCTTTGAATATCTTTTGAATGGATATATAAATGAAGTAAATCCAAAAGTAAAGATTTTCTTTATGGATATAAATGGGTCTGGAATATCAATTGGGGCTAAATAAAATTGTCATATTTTATCAGGTGCCAGTGAAAGAATTTTAGAATATATAACAAATCAATATTTAGATTAAATTTAAGAAGTTATATCATTCTCAAATACATTAGGAAATTAATAAATATTAAAAATAGAATGAAAAATTACATATAAAAATTAAAAATATTATAATAATTTATTATTATTTAAATTAATAATATTCAAATTTAAATTAATAAAATATGATTTATTTTGTGCATATATATCTCATAAAAACAGGTTTATCAATACCATTGATGCAATTACCAAATTTCCATAGCTTGATGAACATTCTTCGCATAAGGAACTTTCAGAGTTCCAAGAGTAAGTTCCACCAGTGTATGATATACATTAGGACTAAGTCAATCCAGTTGTAGCATCTGCACATGCAGATTTAGTAGCATCCCAAGTACATAGAGTTCTATCTGTATAAACTTCTCCTCTAATATTTGTGCATGTAGCTTAATTTTAATCAGCACAAGTTTTTGGAACACATTTTGTATTCCACTTGCAAGCAGCAAGTGCACATTCTGCTTCAGCTGTGTATGTTGCACAATCTTTTGTATAAGATGTAGCAGAAGTTGCCCAATCTTTGCAAGGATATAAATTATCTGTTCCTTTGGCACCTGCATCACATCCGATGTTATTACAACTAGTTGTAGCATCGTATTTATAAGAAGCACAAGTTGCCTTCTTTTCACATTTGCTTGCTGTTGTGAAAGCACATCCATTTTTATTACAATCACCAATTGTAGTTTTAGTTGTACAATCAATATCTTAACAAGCATTTGATACCCATTCACACCTATTTGAAAGTTAACCACAATCAGAACTAGTTGAAAATGTATCACAGGTACATAATTCAGTACCAATCTTATAAGTAATAGCTCCATTGATAGATACTACTAATCCAATCAATAACACTGTAGAGTAGTTCATTTTTATTTTAATTAATATTTCTAAATATAAATCATATCGGATTTGAATCACGACAGGTAAATCAAAATGGCATAAAAATTAAATTTAAAAAAAAAAATTCTAAAATTCTCATTTCTAGTATTTATCTTCAAAATTTAATATCATTTTAGATTTTTTTTTTTTTCAATAATTTTTCTTAAAAGCGATTGTGAAATGATAAAAGCTTTCAAACAAGACCTTTATTTAAAGCATATAGTTTCATTTTGAGTGCCAGAGTAGTCTATTTATGTGGTAGTCAATAAAAGTATAGTTAAGCTCTTTAATTTACTTGTTAGGAATTAGACATCTATATACAATATTCTTATTCTTTCTAATTAAATCTATAGTCTAATTAGACTCCTCTCTGATTTACTCTAATCTGATTCTCTATCTTCAGTTGTTTTAAATAGAAATATTCTTTCTTCTTTAAATTTTTCATTTCATATAGATACAATAAAGAAAAGAAACATTAAAAAAATAACAAGAAATCTATATAAATGGTGAGATATATGTTCTTTTAATATTAGCTTTTGAGTTTTATTGAGTATTTACAAAGATTTATAATAAGAATTTTAGAAAAGCACTTGTATTTCAAGATAGTCAATATTTCTATTATGATGTTTTGATTAAAATCAATCAATAACATGAAGCTCTTAAACTTCGTAAAAGAATGAATTCGAAATCCAATGTTTTTCGTTAATTTTATTTCGAATATAACAAGAATTCACTAATTATAGTAATTACTAAATAAAGTGATTTAACTTTTTTCTAATAAAGTCTGACGAATATTAAATTAAAAATAAATTTATGTTCTACTGCTCAATTTAAAGCATAGCCTGAATCAAAATACAAATACTAATTCCATACAAACCATTATTACTTAAAAAAAAGAATCATTATAATAAAATAAGATTTCACATTAAAATTAAAGATCCACACTGAATTTGTAGGAGAAAAAGATTTAGAAATGCGTAACATAGCTTTTATATTTTTTTATATCATAGTAATTATTATAGCGATATTTATATTATTAATTTATTTTCCTAAGTTATTCATCAGCTCTTATTTATAAGAACATCTTTTATAATTTGTTTTTTTAATGGTTGAATAGATTTTGTAGCTAGCATCATAATTTATCTAGATTTTAGATAAGTTGTAATTTTGGATAAGACAAATAATTAATAATAATTTTTTTAATGAGAATTATTGATAAATTGCTTCTATGTTAAGAAATTTGAGTATTATAATTAATTGCTTGATACGTCTATATATTATTTTTATAATTATGATATTGACGATTTATTTTGTTTTAGGTTAATATCAATTAGAGAATATAAAAATTCTATATGAAAATTTACTTAATAAAACAAACAAATGAATTTTTTTGATGCTCTACCTTCCTATTTAGAGAAGATTAATTAGAAATAATACAGATAAGAAATGGTACCTGAATGGTTGAGATTATATTTGGATTATGAAACCCTTGAACATTTGATGATTGTAGGAGCAGAATTACGTCACAAAAAAAATAGTCTAAGGGATGTGAATCCTATTAAGTATTAAGAGTTAGTTTAAAATTAAGAAATAAAAAATAAAATAGAGAAAGACAAATCTTCATTTTTATTAGTCTTGGAATAAGAATTATAAAAAATAGAATCATTTATTCTCTATAAGTATTAAGATTTATTATGCAAATTACAATAATTACAAGAGCAAATAAAATTAATGTAGTTATAAGATAAACTTCATAAAAGTAAAATAGAATGTTTAAAGCAATAATTTTATGAACTTTATAAGTAAGAATTATAATTTTAATCATTTATTTTATTGCATATAAAAATTATGTAATAACTCTAATATGAAATTTAATATTGTTTTAAGATTGATATTTTAATAAAAGACAGAGCAATACTTGAACAATTAAATTATAAATTGGATGATGATAAGTCTAAAATTCATTAATTGTTAAGTTTTAATTTTTATTTGTATGATCCAGATACATGCAGAAAGAATTTATAAAAATATTCAATTAAGAAAAAGACAGGATCTAAAAACATATATTTATTTGGATTATTTTTTGGCATAAGTATTGTGATAGTAACTATATTATTATTGATGAGATTGGAAGGTATGTTAGACCCTGAAAATGAAGCATTGTTTTCTCCAATATTTCCTTCAATTAGAGGAGGTGGATTATTATTAATTTATTATTGGTTATTGACTTTGGATTAATATATATGGATTAAATATTAAATTAATTACAAACTTTATTTAGGATTTAACCATCACTTTTCAACATTAACTGAAGTCATAAAAAGAGTAAGTTTCTTAAGTACTATATTTTTACTTTTGTTTTTAATTACTTGTATCTAAGTAGAAGAAATAGCTTTTAAAGATTATAGGCATGTAATAAAGATACTTCCACTTCTTTTTTGGATAATATTTTTTGGTTATTTATTAATTCCGACAATAAAAAAATTCAATGGATAAGGTAGGAGATGGATGTATAGAATGTTAAAAGGAGCATTATTCACTCATTTTATAAGCTATGATGCAAGGTATACTTTTGTTTTAGATTAATTTGTATCTCTATTTTCACCAATAAGAGATCTGGAATACACAGTATGTTATTATTCGATTGATGTAATTGTGTTTAATTAATTAAGTTATTCAATGATAATAAAGAGATAATACATTATAAGGAATGTGAATAAGGATAGAGAATAGTAGCAGATATATGTTTAGCAGTTGTATTTTCTCTAAAATGTTTACATTGCTTAACTTTAGCTAAAAAAAATGGTAAATTTATCAACACTTTGGAAATGTGGAATTTTCTTAAAAATTTACTTGCTGTATCTGTTGGTATTGTTGGATGTTTGAATAAATTTGATAAAAGTGATGCTATTTTATGGATAATTCTGGCTTGTACTTTCACAATTTTATAATAATATTGGGAAATAAAAAATGATTGGTTATTTTTATAGCCAGATTCTAAATATAAATTTTTAAGAAGTGATTTAGCTTTTATTAATCCACATTTTTATTATTTTCTCATTATATTAAATATGATTGTAATTTCAGCTTGGGCCTTTACAATTAGTCCTTAAATGTATTTATATTTAAAGGTTCCTAATTAATAATTATTCATTCTGATTGTTGGAATTATGGAATTAACAAGAAGTAATATAGTATTATAATATTATTTAGGATTTATTCATAATTTGATTAAAGTTGAAAAAGAACATGTACTTAATCTCAGACGATTTAGATCATCAAAAGATTTAGTATACCCTTTTGAATAGAAAGGAGAAATAACTGCAAAAATTCGATAATCTAATGCTTACAATGTCTCAGTGCTTGAATTTTAAAGATTATCTTAAGAATTTACGAGAAATACTTAAATGAATTTAAATAAATAAGAGATTGAGATGCTGTTATAATAACCATATGATTAATAAATAATGAAGATGAATAGTTCAATAGATAGAAAAAATATCAGATAGCAATTATAAACAGAATATTATATAAAATTGATTAATTAGCATTCGTGAGTAAAAAATTAATATCTGTATAACATTTAATTAATCTGATTTCTCAGATTAATTATAGTATATATCTTATATTAAAATAATTCATATTAAACCCATCTTGTTTAGCCTCATATTTTATGAGATCAAATGTAATCTTATCTAAAATTTTTAAAATTTAATGAGATTATGCCTTCGTTTCTATAAACTACAAAAATCTACAATTGATTCAATAAGGTTTTTTAATTTAAAAAATTACAATATTTAAAAGTGAGAATCAAAAATATCAAGAGTTAAAAATTCCTTGAATACAAAGAATCTTTCTAAATTAATTATAATAATTAATTTTATTTGTGTTTTTTAATCTAAATTTTCTATTTTCAACATTCTTTGCAGAATATTGAATTAATATGAATTATATCATATTCTTATAGAGATATATTGCATTTTTAATATCTAAGTTAAATAACTTAAAATAAATCTATCTGATAATTATATATATATAATTTGAATCAATAGCATTTGGATTTGATTTCAAAGATTCTTTTTGTTGCTTATAAATTCGCTAACTAAAAGCTTTTTCTGTAAACGTCACTCCAATTTGAATAACCAATTTATGGTATATACCAACAAATTTTCCACCATCTCCTACCTATGCACTTTCTAGCCCATCTTAATGTTATATGTTAATATGATGCATAAACATCAAATTTCAAAGCTTCTATCTAAAAATCTAAAAATATAATATATTTATCAGGTATGATTGAATTGTCTACTTTATCAATCTTAAATTATGCAACTCCATTAGCAGATCCTTTGAAAATATATCCTTGAACTCCTGCTCTAATTTTAATTACATATACTAAATTAAATTCTCCATAGGCTGTGACACTCAAAGATGCATAAATGTATTCAGAAATTCCAAATTCATCTTCAGTTTTGATTGCAGATTCAATATAACCCCAAGAATATTAATAATCTGCTCCAACAGTTAAAGGATATCCCATAATTAAAATAATAGTACTAAATATATTCTGAGCTTTTTCCCCTTTTATTTAAAAGGTTTCTAATGGTTTTCCTTGATATGAAAAATCTCTCTTGTATAAATCAACTACGCAACCACCATTAAGTGAAACACAAGCTTTTAAATATCCTGAAGCACTTCCTTCTTTTACTTCTCCTTTAAATTCTGCTTATAATCCAACTTTTTATTTCAATACTGTAGCTTCTTTTAGAGTTCTTTTTTAGTTGAAAATACTAGAAGTACATTCACCTTCTTAACCTTCATATTCAGTTTCAGAATTTGAATGAACATCTCCATTTTCATTTTCTAATAATCTATTACCTTCTTATTATAAATCTTACACTTAATCTTATTAATCTTATTAATTTTATATTTTATCTTATAAATCCTATATAGTATAATATTGAATAGTTTATTTATTTTAAATATCTGTTAGGATATTTGTTAATTCTTCATCTGATTTGGTTTCAACAGTTATTAAATTTGAATCATTAGTAATTTCAGTCTCTGATTTATCAGCTAAATCATCAGAGCTTTAATTAACATTATCTGTTGATATAGAATTACTATATTTAGAATTAGTTGTTATATGTGAAGATACTAAGTAATTGTTATTGTCTAAGATTGTTTCTTATGATTATTCAAACATATCAAATATATTGATTCCTTAAGAATTACCATCTATTTGATCTGATTAAGATATAGTCTTTTTTGTTACAGTATTTCCAAACCATGATTTTGTTTTACTTGACTTAGGAATAAATCTTTCCTTACCAATATAGTAAATATTTGAATAATCTTCATTTAATAATCTATTCCCATCAGTTCCAGTATTATTAGTTGATTCAGCTAAATTAGGAGCAATATGTATAATGTTAGAAACTAATGGTTAAATGAGTAGATCTGGAATTTCAGCAGGTATTCCAATTTACTAAACTGCTCCAGTCTATTAGTCAGTAACTACTGTAACTAATGGTACTTCATTTACATTTCCGCATTCATCTGCAGGAATTCCTTCACATAAATTGCCATTTCGTGTTGATTGACTTTATAAAATTCTTAATAATTTTTTAATTTATTATTCTATTTCTGTATTCTCATTAACCATTTCATTATATTATCTTGTTCCATCAGAATTCTATTAGAAGGTTTTGACTTTTAAGTCTTTTAATAATAATAAGCTTGTGGCATTTTTTTCATTTACATCATTAACCAGTCTCCTGGTTTTCATTTGAATTTGAGTGCAATTTTGGATTTTATCTGATGTATGGTACATACAAATTTCATCCACTTAATCGAATTCATCACTTTAGAATTGTTTAAGTGTTGGAGCAGAACTAGTATTTTGACTTAGATATATTCCTAAAAATATTCCGATACCAGCTAATACAAAGAAAGTAACACTGAAAGAAATCCATTTACATTTTGTTGAGAAGTATTACTTAATTGGCTCTTTCTTATCATTTTAGCTGTCTTATAAACTTGGACTGCTATCTGGATTTATTTCCTATTTTTCTTCTTACATATGTGTTTATTGCATTTTAATATTAATATTATTTACAAAAATGACTTGCTTATATAGCCAGAAAGATACATAATATTAATAATTTCTAGAACAAAGTTCTAATTACAAATATATATTAAATAGAATAAAATATACTTAATTAATAAATGCTCAATTATTATATAATAGTTCAGTTGCATTTTATTATATTTTATAATATTGTTAATTATTATGCTTATTTTGATTGAATCGAAGGTCCTTCAAACTAAAGTATTCTAATTATTTATTCTTCAAATGTATAATAGAGTCCCACATAAAATTCTAAGTTAATATAAAGAATAACAAAAAGATAATATAATTAGTTTTTGAAAAAGAATATTTTTATTATGATCTTGACTTATTGAAATTTATGATTCTCAATAGTTCTCAATGTTTAAATCCATTAGCTTAATTAGCCTAATTATTCTTTTTAATTATTCCAGAAAGGATGCAATCCCATCTTAAAAAAATAATTTTTAGCTATTGCAATAAATAACATGGTTAGAATGTGATATACAATATATATTTTGACTAATCTAACATAATAATGAAGAATTATCGAATTTAACAAGACCTTCATAATTTCATATAATCCACTCAAATCCTAATTATTATTAACCCTAATATTAACTTCCTAAATTACAGAGCCTTAAGAGAAGTTGATTATATAAATAATTAACTTAAAATTTATCAAAAAAGATTGATGACTGTGCTGTCTTTGCAATTAAAGTGGAATTAGGAAAAGAATTTTATTGCTTTAAATTTGAAGAAAAATATTGTTTATAAAAAAAATTATATTCTATTCCATTAGATTAAAAGCATTCTTCTCGTTAGCATTAAAATATATAATATAAGTAATTGAACTCACTAATTATTCTTATTTAAGCTTATATTCTTTTATATTTACTATTAAAATGGTTATAATAAAAAATGAAATTAATTAAAATAATTATATCAAGAATTAATTATTTCTTCTAATTGATGCTATAATAAGATAATTTAATACATTAATTTTGTTTAGAAATTGTTTATCTTATGAACTTGTTGTATCTATAAGTAATTAAATTTCTGAGAATGGATGATCTACATTACTCAATATTAAACAGTACTTCATTAACTAATCAATTAAACCAGAGTTAATAGCTATGTAATAATATTATAAAGAGAACCCTTAAGAATTGCACTCATCAATTATAAACACCTCAACTTTTCTCTTGGATAACTCATATATTCAATTTTATCTAATTCATTTAAAGCTTCATTAATTCTTATGGTTTATTATGAATTAAATTCTGGAATTTAAAGATCTTTATGTAATTCATTTTTGATCTAATTATTATTTCTGTCTATTTTTTTAGATCTAAATAATTCATTTTATTATTTAAACATATTTTAGTATTATGGCAAAATGCAATGAGATAATTTTAAATAGAAATATTTTTCTATTGAAATTTTACAATAAGGCATTATTTAAGTTGTTTCTTATTTACCAAAATTGAAAGATTGAAATAATGTTTCAACTATTTAATTAATAAATGAATTTAATTATTAAACATTTTACTTAATATTTGATTAGTCATTAGAAAGACTATTTTATACTTTTTGAATATATTCTGCTACTTTTTTACCAAGACCATAATTTGAAGCGCATAATAATTTATGAAACATATAATAAGCACTGGTTTCTAAATAGTATGGATTTTAATTAGCAGCATTTTCTATTTCTTCAGAAACATTTACAATTCCAACAAATTCAGATGCCTCATTCATCATATTTTAATCTTAACTTTTCTTATTACGTAATTTATCTATTTTAGACAAAAAATAGTTAATCAATTCAGAATTCTCATCATAATGTCCAGTGATCCCTCTTATTGAAACTATTCTTACACATTTCACTTAATTTGTATCAATTTATATTTTAACCAAACAAATTTACTCAAAAGTATTTTCTGACATACAAACTAACCTTTTAACAGTGTTTTTTATTACTGCTACATTTTCCTTAATGGCTATGATCTAATTTGAATCCTTCTCCAATATTTAATATTATCTATTATTATAATTTGAAAATTTTACTTCTTTTTAGTGCAGCTAATAAATAAGTCGAGTATATGGCTTGTTGAAACTTAGAATGGTAATTCAATAATTGAGTTTGGTTAATTTATCATTAGTAATTTAATTTTAATATATATTAATTTTTATGTAATATTAAATTTAAAGTATTGCTATAATTAATTCTAATTTGATTTAAAGAGCACAAATTATAAGTCATATAATATTTATAAGCATATTGATATAATCTTTCAAGTGGATAAGAAAATTTACAAGAGTGATTTTTAATTAAATTATGACTAAAATAAAATAAATTAGAATAATACTAAACATACCTTGTAATATTATCAATTTTATAATGTGTTTTAAATATAAAATTCTAACAAGTAATCAACTTAATCCAATATTATTTATGAATCTGTTGAGTTATGAAAAATATTTATACTTTTTATTAATAAATTTTTGTCAGTTAAAATGTCTAGCACTAAATTAAGAAGATTAAGTCTATAAGAGGGGGATGGGTCCAAATTAAGAAGATTTAATGCCCTATATCCAAAAACTATAATTTAATAGCATGTTTTAAATGTTGAAAGAGAAAAAGAACGAAAAAAATAAAAGAGATTAGAACTATAAGAATAATAGTAAATATTTTTGAGTTTATTAGGAAGAATACCATTTTATCAACATGCAAAAAGAGCGCAGGTTCAACCAGTAAATCAAAATAAAGTTAAAGAAGATTAATAAGTTCAATGAATAATAATTTACTGACTTTTAAGACACCAACCTCAAGACTGTCGGATTATAATACTCGTATATCATCAAGACTTTCATCAAACTCTCATTATGAAGGCGTTAAGCAAATATTCTTAAAGACTAATTTCAAGCGACCTAAATATTAAGAACAATAATTGATAATTGTAGATCCTTATATAGATAATAAAGAAAATTTTTCAAATGTATATAATCTTAGGCCAAATAGAACCATAGATAAATTAGTTGCAAATAGAAAATAGAGTTATAGTTTGAATAAAAATTTCCTACTGAAATCTCCTAAATCACATACTACCTTATTGAGTGTAAGATCACTAAATTTTTTATGAAGTGCTAGTTCTATAATTGTAAATTATATATTTAAAAATTATTAAATTTATATTATTTTTCAATAATAAATATCATTTTTAACATAGTTAAGATTCTAATACAAAAAAAAGAATTTATTTTTTTATTTTTTAATTCAGCATAAAGTAAACATTTATTTGAGGGAATCTCTAAAATAATTAGATCCAAAAAACACATTAAGCACATTTTTGCTATGTCTAAATACAAGCATAAATAATATGCACAATTTGAATTGGCTTTGCCTATGTGTATTTTGAAATTTAGTTTTATCATTAATTAAGATTTTGAGATCTTGTTTATTTCAAATAGTTAATATAAATTGTGATAATATAATTGAATTAAAAAATTAAATACCAAAAAGTAGATAGAAATATAATTGAGAAACAAAATGAAATTACATAGTTTTAGAAATTTTTAAAGTTCAATTTATAATTTAAAAAGATCACCTTAAAGTAAGCTTATATAAATAAATTTAACATAACGTCTGATCTATTTTTACAATCAATCTTAAGTTATTTTTTAATAGAAGATCTTTCTTGTTCTTTAGAAATTCTTGACTTATTGAAAATGATGATTTTTTCCTTAAAATTCAGAACAATAATTTAATAATTGGAATGATACATATAATTTATTAAAAAAATCCATTTTTCACAAAAGTATAATAAAAGTTCATTAAGTTTTTGATTTACACTCTCATTCTAGTCTCTAAAAGTAAATGAAATTCTAAGATATTATAAATCCTTCTGATTTTGTTAATTTATATATCTCTTTTATAAGTTTTTATTAAAAATATTTGGTAATTGTTTCCTTTAAAATTTAAATTGAAAGTAAACAGAATCCGTTATTAAATAGAATGAAATTTTTGCATTTAAACAATATCAATTAATCTTCAAATATAATTAAGGATACATTAATTCTAATATAATATTTTTATGTCTTTTTTATTTTAATTAAATATCTATTCTTAGAATAATTGTATATATATTTTTATAAATTCAATAACAAATTTAAGGGATTTCTTATTGACTTATTTTTAATTTAAATTACACTTATCCTTAGTAATTGACTTCAATTATTAAAAGATCTTAATCGTAAAATAAGTAATTTTTAACAAATACTTAAAATAAAAGTGGTTGGAATAATAAACAAATTTATTTCCTAATAGGAATTAAATCTCTATGTTTATTAATTTTTTATTATTAATGTTATTTACAATTGATTGCATAAATATAAAACAAAGTAAAAAGCTAATGTTGACAAACGAAGCAAAATTTCCAATTTTGGTTAGAATCCTAGAAAACAATTCTTATAATGTTATTCCTTCCTTTTCATTATTGAAATCAAAAGAAAGAAAGAATTTTTAGATACTCCATAGATTAAATACTAAACCTGACAGCCTTATGAGGATTGAAGCAATAGAATTTGATGAAACCAAACTTGACACGTTCGTAATTTGATTATACTCTAATTGTAAGTCTGTTCTGCCATTCTGGAACGAAAGAATTAAAGGTTCCTTGAAGACATAATCTCAATCTCTGACATTGCCTACAAATATATCCGAGTCATGCTCTTTTGCTTCCTACGACAGGTCTCCAACAATGAATCAAACATTTCAGGATCAAAATCAAGTCTAAAATAATTCTAATGAAAGCCCAATTAAACTTAATACCCAGTAGCTTAAACAAAACAGCAACTTTCATGATAATCAAAGTGATAAATTCAATTCAAAGTAACAAATAAACTCTTAATAATCAATACAAGTAATAGGTTCAACCAAAATAGCAGAAGAAAATAAATTTCATCAATCATATTAATAAGAAAGGAAACATTCTATTAGCAGTTTCGAATCATATGGTTATATATCAACAACTCAAACCTAATAATAAATTCTAAAAATGCCAAAAGATTTGAATAATTTTTTAGATCAAATTGACTCTTCGAATAGTCCGTTTCAAATTTAAACTCCCTCTTAATTTTAGTCTTAAACTCATTCGTAGATTAACTTTCCTGATAATGCTTAATAAGAAGTGAGTATCAGTGAAACGACTTCCATTTAGAGGTTTGAGAATAGAAAATTATCATTCCTTTAACAAAGCAGATTACAATTCAATGAGAAACCTAAGTTAAGAGTTTCGTAAACTTTTATCAATCATCCAAGATCTACAATATAAAATTAATAAATTTTAAGTAAATTCAAGGAACTTGAGATTTAGTTATAAAAATAAATCGTAAATATTTGATAAAATAATATAGAATTAATTACAATTAAACAAAGAAGTATTACAATCAGAACTCAAAAAATTAGAATTTCAAGTCATGTTCAATAATAATAATGCCAATTCTTCTAATCAATAACATTTCTTTATATGGCATATACTTTTAATAAGTGTTCTATGTCTTATAATTGGAAGCTTTCTAAAAAAATTTACCCCTTAATTTTGATCTATCTATCATTAAAAATAGTAAATTCTTATGATTTATTCTTTTCTAATTTAGTTTGGATAATATTTATATACTTATAATAATAATAATTTTCTAGATCAAATTAAACATATAATTATTTTAGAATAAATAATAATATCTCAGATCATGCCTTTTTACTTTTTTTTGGCTCAAACAAATTTTTGAGATTCTTATATGCTGTAATTATTTATTATAATGGAACAATGATCCAAACTGGATTAGCAGCAACAAAAAATATCCAAAAATAAAAAATATTTGCAAAGGTATAAGTGAAACAACCATATTAACAAACATCTTTGAAATTTCTAGACCATTCATTAGCAACAAAGAATATTGTTCCCATTATTTAAATAGCTGATGTTAAACCAATCAAAAAATTTGTTAAAATCTCATTTTTTTAAAATTTAATTCTTAAAGCAATCCAAACACATAAGGGACCCATAATAAAGAATTCAATTGCTGAAATAGTCATTAATGTAGGCTCTTATAATGGATATCTCAAATCTAATTCACTATACTTTTGGAAAAGCCTCAAATAATAACAATAATAGATTACCATTAATGTTTTTGCCAATATCCAACTGTTCCATCCAAATATAAATGAATCCAGATTCCATTGAAAACAAACCAATAATATTAAAAATTAGGCCCTTTTATTAAGAATAAAGAAGCAATTATGAATCCTGCTAATATAAGATTATCTGAACCCAATATCATTTTAAAAATATTATTAAAAAATAAAATTATTGATTTTTAATAATAAAATGACATATTATATAAAAAAATATTTGTATTACTAGATGGAATTATTATATTTACTTCTAAGAAATATGTCATTTTTTATGGTTTTTAACTTTAATTTCTTCTCTTAATTGTTCTATAAGCTTTTCTTCTTCTAATTCATCTTCTTCATCTTCTTTTATTGGTAATTCATCAAACATATCTTCATCATCTTTAATTGAAGATTAATCCATAGAATGATTAGTATGAGATTAAGTTAGTTATTTTTTTGGTTTGACTCTTACATTTCTTTTTAAGAATTCTTAATCTTTAATATCAGAAACTGCATTAAGAATTGATTAATTTAATAAATCTTCTTATTACTAAAATTAAATTAATTTAAAATACTTTCACAGATAAATTTAATAATTTTTCCCTAATTGCATCTATAATGGCTTAAAATCCTAAATTTTTTTATAATCCTAACTTTTTCAATCCTCGAGACATCCAATTTCTAAGTTTATTCTCTAATAATCCAGCCACAGTAGCTTTTTCTTCTACTTCCTAAACCAATTTATCTTATTCAAATTAATCTTCCTTCTATCTATATGTTTCAACTTAAAATTCTTTATCCATATCAGTATATTATTATTTTAAACTTGAAAATTATGTTAATAGTTCTTAATTTTCATTCTTTAATGCATTAATTTTCTTTTCATAATCTGATATTGAAATTAAAAGATGTGCATAAGTTTATTCTCTACCTAAGAATTTTTAAACAATATCATTTGCATCTGTAATACCTGTTGATGCTTTAATTTTTTAAAATGTCATTTCTAAATCCTGATATTAAGCTATTCCTCTTTACATTTTATTTTTTAAAAATGAATTTAGAAATTTATGTACCAAAAGTAATTTTCTCCATTTTTTAAGTGCACTATCTTTAATATCTTTTGCAGCCACTTCAGCTATTTCTTATTATCTCTTTATTCTATCATCTCTCTTTTATTCTATATCTTATCTTTATTTTAAATCATCCTTAAATCTTTGTAGATTCTTCTCTCTATTCTTATTTTATTATTAGATGCCTTCAGTAACTTCTTTTAGTGCCATCAATGTTTTACTATATATTTCTTGAATTTATTGTGTTCTACACAATACATTCAATATTTTACTTGTATGTGCTACTATGATGTTATTAAAGAGCCAATTGTAAATGTCTTTCATATTAATTTGCTCTAAGTTAATAAACTAATTGATCTTTTTTCATTCTATTTAACATATGTTCGAAGATTTTCCTATCATATTAACTTTCACTTAAAAGTTTATGTTAGTTTTCTAATTTTTACTGTAATTCTTTCTCCTTTACTTATAAATTATTTTAAGTTTAATTATATTGATCAACTTAGATTGTCATTGAATCAATTTCCTTTCTCATATTCTCTATATCCTTTTCCTTCTTTATCCCATTTATCTTCATTGAATCACAACTTTTTTTTAACTCTGTAAGATTGATATGAACTTCATGTGCTTCATTTACTTTCTACAATAACTAAGCATAAAACCTTTTAATCTTCAATTTATTTAGGATAGTAATCATCATCAAAACCCAAAACTGATTAAAGATCATTTTTTTTAATTAATTTATCAACAGACTTAATCACAGCCAACTTTCGGTATTTTTCATAATCACTCTTCTTACTTTATCTTGTATTTGATTTATTTGAATATAGACGTATCTATTTTGATCATATACTAATATTTACATCTGGAAGTTCCACTGCAGACATTCTAATATATCAAATAATATAAAAATTATTTATTATTAGTAAAAATGATTCATATATAATTTTCATGTTATCATTGAATTTATTTATAAAATATCTTATAACCTTATAAATAATTCAAGCTTAATAATAATTTATATTTAATTTTTACAGAATTTTTTATTTATTAATAAGATGGATGTAATTGAATAATAAAAGGATTCTCCAAGATTGAAAGAAGCATTAAGATAACGAAATTGGAAATTAATAGATATATAATAAATAACAATTGATTAATTGAGAAAAGAACCCAGATATTCATTATTTGATGACAACATCTTAAAATATTTATGTGATTAATTATAAGAATATAGAAATATTAAATGCTAAATTGTATTGACAATAAGAGATAAGATTATTGATGATGATGAAAATAATAATTTTAGAAAAAAATAAAACCCATAATAAAAAATGTTAACTGAAGAAATGGAAGATGTTTTAAGTTTGAAAAAATTACATCATATCGAAATGTAATTAGAGTATGATGTTAAATTAACTTAATAAAATAAATTATTAAGTTAAAAAGAGTCTTTTTTATAATAATTAGAATTTAGATTATAAAATGAAGCAATAGAGAAATAAAAAGATAATTAACTTTTAATAGAGTAAAGATAATTTCATATTGAATTTTAAGAGTTTTTAAGATAATAAAAAGCAAAAGAAGAAGATTATGAAAAAAAAGTGAAAAATGAATAATTTATGACAGAAGAATAATATAAACAAAAAGTTAAAGAATTTGATAGATAAAAATAATTGAAGGAATAGTAAAAATAAAAAATAAAAGAGGAAAGAGAAAAATAATTACAAGAGAGAATGTAAATGATGGAAAAAATTTATGAAGAAAAAATAAAGAAAATGGTTGCAAAAGAGATAATTCGTTAAAAATTAATTGATAAAGAAAAGAATCTTCGTAATTAATAAATTTAAGATAAATAAGAGAAAATTTAATAAAGAATTAATGAAAATAAAAAGAGATTAAATCAACATATAATGGAAGAATAAAAAATAAATGAACGCAAATAAATAGAAGCTAAATCAAGATTAGAGGCTATGAAATAAGAAATAGAATTTATGAATAAGCAAAAGAAAAAGAAACTTGAAAAAAAATTAAAATAAAAAGAAATATATAAAAAAGTAAATGAAAAAATTGAAGAAGAAAAAAGATAATAACTTATTGAGAAATTTAAAGCTATTGAAGAAAAATTAGAAATTAATGAATTATATAAATAAATGAATCTTTAAGATTAATAAGAATTAAGAGAATAAACAGAAATTGCAAGAATGAAAGTTTTAAGACAGACTGATGAAAAACTTATTGAAAAAACTATAAAAATATAAGTAAGAATGAAAGCATAAGAAGAAAAAGCTAAATAAATATTACATTAATTTGAAATTGAAGAAAAAGAGAAAAAATTTGAAAATATTATAAGAAAAATAGATTAGGAAGAAAATTATATTATATAATAAAGAAAGAGAGATGTAGAAAAAGAATTTATTATGAAAAAAATTCAATAAAAAAAGAAGAAAAATGATGAACTAATTAAATAAAAATAATAATTAGAATAAAATGGTATTAAAAATAGGAAAATTAATTTAATGAAAAAAGAAGAAATGAAGATTAAATTTTAAGATGAAATGAAGAAGGAATTAAAAAAAAATATAGAAAATTAATACAATTTAAATTAAGTACCTAAATTAAATATTTAAAACAAAGAAGAATAAATTAATGAAGAAAAAATGATCTTAAATAATGAAATGTGTTAGGTAATTAATATATTATATATTGAAGTTATTGGATTAAGAATTTGAGAGAGAATAATAAAGATAGTAAATTTTAAAAGATTCCATTGGAACAGAATAGTTCAATAAATTATAAGAAGAGTTTAGAATTGAGAAAGAAAAATTTGATATAATGTTAGAAAATAAAAGAAGATAATATTATGAATTGTAACAGTAATAACTTTAATTGAATTCATTTTGATTTACTTTAATGAAAGAAAATATATTTAGATTAAATGGAATAAGTTTTATTTCTAAATATCTTCAATTTATTTCTAATTCATTCAAGATACTAAAAATTAAATAAGTGGATTTTCTATAAAAGTATGAAAAATTAAGTGAATGAATTTTTGTTAATTAAGAAATTGATTATTATAACATGCTTATCTGAATTTCCAAAAATTAAATTCACTCTTTATTATAAGAAATCTTTATGCTTTCACCTTGTTTTTCTTAAATATTGTTTTATAAATATTAACATATTTTGTTTTATAAATTTAACACTAAATAAATTAAATAAAATGTAAGAACGATTTAAAGAGGAATTGCTCTCACCTTAATTTAAAGATTAAGAACATGAGCTTTCAACATAAGAATGCCGGAAATTTTCAAGTGTATGTGCTGCTGAATTCAATACACCTGAAACAAAATACAGATCTACAATAGGACCCAATAGAATGGATATTTCTAAGGATGCAAATTCTTTGCATTTTAGAAATAGAACAGCAAAATTTGAAGATGAATAAAATCAATTATATATGGAAATAAAGAATTTATATGAAAAGAGATAGTTTGACATTCCAACTCTTGTGGAACCAAAAATCTTATTTAAGACAGAAACTGTTCCAACTAAATTTATGTAAATTTTTATTATCATAGATATTTATTTATAGCATCAAGAGAAGATAAAATGAACAACAATAATAATCACAATTTAATGATTAAGTATTAATAGACAAAATGCATTAAGCTAATTAATAAAGTCTAAAGAATTTATTTTCTCATAAATTTTGAATATTAATTTAGATATATATTATAATCTTTATAGATCATAATAGAAATAATAATTTTCTATATTATACTTTTACAATAGGTATTATAATATATAAATACTTAAATTTATTATATGAATTATTTTCCAATTCAAAGAGAAGAAGATTGCTTAAAAAAAATTTTGAGTTTAAACGTATTAAAAGGATTTTTGGAAGGCAATAAAGTAAACTTCTTATTAAGAGGAATTTTGTTATTGTTTTTAAAAATAGCTTCTGTCAGCTTTGAATATATTCCACCATTTATATTAACTTAATATTAGGAATCAGTAGAAAAATACTTATTAGTTATTTTGGCATTGTATGTTGATTGTAAGATATAATAATAATAGTTTTTACTTAGAAATATTATGGAGTATATTTGTCTGAATTGTAATTTCTTGTGAATGCAAATTTATCACAGAAGTTATTTTCTTAATGTTTAAGAGTGCATAATCAAACAACTTTTTAAGGAATGTTAAAAGAATTGAGATAAGTTGAGAAAGCAATTCGATCATTTTATGATTTAATAGCAATTTCTTTTGAATTACCATTTGTATATCATTTGTTGAAGAATGAAAATTTATTTGATTCAATTAAATATGGTGTTATATTGAGTTTATTTGCTTTATTAGCAGCATCAGTAGCTTAGATATATGCATGGAGAATTTAATATTTTTCAGATAAAAGATTGAGACTAACATAAGATATGTTGTGTGGTATAAAAAGTATTAAATATTTACAATGGGAGAATGTTATGCTTAAATTAATAAATATTGTTAGAGAATAAGAATTTTTAGGTAACAAAGGAATTTAATATGTTGATACATTTGTAACTTTTTTTAGAAGAATGACTTAAATTGTATTATTATTTGTTGCCTTTTATAAACTTTAAGAATTGGAAAAAGAATAATTCTACACTATCTTAATATTTTTTGATAAATTAGTAAGTCCAATAAATGCATTCCCTTGGTGTTTTGGTGAATTTTTAGGGAGTATTTTTTCAGTAATAAAACTTTATGATTATTTTAATACAACTGAAATTGAAGCTAAACTTGTTAAAGAAAATATTATTGAAGTAAGTTCAATAAAAAAAATTAGAATTTTTGATAGAGTAATCAATTTTATAAAGGGAGATTCATTTAATTAGGCAAATTAAACAAGATTTTAAATATCTTTAACATTTAATGAAATAAAAAGAAACAAATTAACTTGTATTATAGGTTAAATAGGATCAGGAAAAAGTATGTTGTTAGAATATTTTTGTGATGGATCATATGTAAGTCAAAATGCATGGTTATTTAGTGGAACAGTGAAATCAAATATTTTATTTGGATAATAATATAATGAATAAAGATATTAATAATGTCTGAAATTAGCTGCTATAGATTTTGATGATAATAAATAAGTAGGATTTAATGGAACAAATTTAAGTGGTGGATAAAAATAAAGGGTAACATTTTGTAGAGCTTTATATTATGACACTTAATCATATTATTTTGATGATATTTTTTCAGCTGTTGACGAAAATGTAGCAGATCATATGTTTAAATCTATTACTACTTTTTTAAAAGGAAAAACTGTTGTTTTAGTATTAAACTAACTCTAATATTTATAATATGTAGACTTTGTTATTAAAATTGAAAATAATATAGCTATTTTAGAAGAAAAGTAAAATTTTCAAGTTGGTAATGTTAATTTTTCACCTAAACCTATTATTGATGCAATAGAACCTTCTTAACCTGAAAAAGAAATCGATTAAGAAACTGAATAAAATTTAAAGGAAAATTATCAATTTTATATAAATGCATTAGGTTTTAAAATTCTTATATTTTTTATTGTCTGTTCTTTACTTCATTAAATAATGAAAGGTGGATTTGAATTATGGATTCATAATAACATTTCTAATTTAAAAAATTTTGATAAATCAGAGTTTTTAAATGTATTTCTTATTTTATCAGGATTGACTTTGTTAAGAGGATTTAGTTATTCATATGCAACTATAATATCAGCAAAAAATATATTTGATTTATTAATGTAGAAATTCATACATTTACCAACTAAATATTATGATATTTTTTCTAGTTCTTTTTATATCAGGAGATTATTTGATGATATGAATGAAATTGATGATCTCCCTTTAAATTATTTTTTTACAGTTTCCCTAGAATTTCTAGGTTTATTCTTACTTATTAGTTCCATGTAATTTGAAATAATTCTTTATGTTATTATAAGTGGCTATTTATTAATTAAAAATTAATTATTACACAGAAAATTTAAAGTCTCAAGATAAGTAGAAATTAATAGGTATTTTGAAACATAAGACTTTGATTCCTTTATTATTGAAACAGAAAAAGGACATAAATTTATTAAATATTTTAAATAACAAAATAAAATCTAAACTTAATTTTAAAAGATTCTACTTTATAAATATGCTAATTCTTTATCTTAAAGTTAATTAGAATATACTCTTAAATTACGTAATTTTATTGTAGAATCAACTGTTTTAGTATTATTGATTATCACAGGAAATAAATTAAGTTATACTTATGCTTATTTATTATTTGGTAATCAATTTTTATCTAAATCTGTTTCAAGTTGGAGAAGAATCACTATAGTCAGTCAATCATTATAAAGAATTAAATAGATTGTGAATTTCCCTTAAGAATAAAATGCACCAATTTAAGAATACAAAGACAATTTAATTGTTTATGATAATGTTTGGCTTAGTTATGGAATGGCAAAAGGTTTAGCATCTGCAGATTATGCTCTAAAAGGAGTCTCATTTCAAATTTCAAAGGGATAAAAAGTAGCCTTTTGTGGTAGGACAGGATCAGGAAAATCAAGTCTTTTTAATTTACTTGTATCTTTATATGAATTCTAAAAAGGGTAAATTTACTTTTTTGGGAATCCAATCTCTTACTATGGAACAACATAATTAAGATCAACTATGAGTGTAATTCCTTAATAAGGAGTTATATTACCAGGATCAATAAGAGAAAATATTGATCCAAATTAATAATTTAGTAATTAACAAATTGAAGATTTATTTAAAGAATTAGACTTCTAAATTGATTTAAATAAAAATACTTAAAATTTATCAAATGGGGAAAAATAAATAGTAAATTTTGTACAATCAATATTATTGAATAGAGACATTATTTTAATGGATGAAGCTACATCCAATATGGACATAGAAACTAGTAATAAAATTTAATTATTATTTTAGATAATAAAATTATGAAGAAGTTATTTAATTTTGTATAAAATAAAACCTTACTTCTAATATCCCATAGATTAGAAAATCTTTAATATTTTGATAACGTATATGTAATGGGAGAAGGATAAATTTAAGCTTGTGGAACTTATGAAGAACTATTAAAAAATGAGAAATTCCTAGAACTTAAGAGCATTTTATGAAATATAATATTATTCATCAGTATTTATCTTTAAAAAACCTTGAAGGAATTCCTTTTTCTGGGTTAATCTAATTTATAAATTATTATTACTTTATAATATAATTTTTTACAAAATTCTTCAAATTAAGAGAATGGTATAGAAATTGCACCAAATCCAATGTAATTTGCAACATTATTTATAGCACTTGCTGGCAATGCTGTTAATTATAATAATGATGATGTTACACCACATGTAAAATCATAACTTCCTTCAATTAAACCATACAACTAATATAACCTATAATATCATACAAATCCATTATTAGAAATAAAAGGTTTACTAAACATATTAGCTATGCCATCTGTAAATGAACTAGCAGCTTTAGTTATATCAAGAGTATTATATGCTTAAAACAAGATCCTAAAAGTTGATAATTATTAGCTAATTAAAAATTAAATGAAATCTTATTTTGAAGTTTAATTGTTTTAATAAAACTATAAAACCTAATTAGTTGCTAAGATTAAATTATTAAATGATCCAAATTTTAATACTTATGTTTTTAATCCTTCAACATCCAAACCCTCTGAATCAAATGAAACTATAAATTATATTGGAAATAATTCAACTTGTAAATTAAAAGGATCCTTTTATTTTATAATTTCAAAAGATTCATCATCATCATCATTTATAAATTTAATAGCTACTTCCTTAACTTTTTTTTAAAAGGATTTCAGTAATATTTAAAATTAATATCCAGATAAACATATTCTTATAGGTTTTAATTATAACTTTAATACAAAGTTATTTTAATCAAATTACATTATCAAATCTAAAAATGGACTTTCTTTTATTATTTAATTTTGAATATCTTCAAATTCATTTAGATCTACTTCATCAAGTATATATTTAAATTTACTCTATTCATGATTATCTAATATAAAAGCTCTACCCAATTTTAAATGACAACACTTATCTCCAAATTAAAATTATATATAATGTATATTTATTTCAAAAATTTGAGATTCTGATGTTAAAATTAATTGATCACATAATATTTCGAAACTTATTGTTTTCATTTCAATTTTATCTAATTTTTAGTAATTTTTTTTCTCATTAATTTAATCTTATTTAAAATCTTTAGATAAATGTTCAAAATGATCTATAAGATCTACAATTATCTATTTAGAAATATGGAATAATTGAATAGAATTGATTTTCATAAATTTATTATTCAATAATTCAATTTTTTAAATCTATCCTATTTTTTAGAATTAATTTAAATTGATTAATTCATCATTTCTATCTTTTGTATTATTATTTGTAAAATAATGTTATATTTCTTCAATTTGAATTAAATCATTCTTAAAAAGTGTATTATTTATTATTAAAATTGATCTTGTCCAAGATGGATAATATTCTTTTGAGTATCTCAATTTAGCTTAACCTTTTTTCTACAGAATAATTTCCTCATTGTAGAAAGGTAATACATCAATCATTATTGATTTAAAAAAAGTATTAATTTCTGATTTCTCATTTTATGGTTTATTAGATTATTAAGGAGGATTTAATAATTAAATTGAGTTTATAAGTCTTTTAATACAAGAGTTTAATATATCAAAATTAAAATTAATTAAATTTAATTTTAAAGCTGAAAATTCAAGATTGATAATATTTTATTTCATAATTAGATTGAATATCCATTTATCTTAAAGTTAATTTTGAAGTAATTTTTAAGGATTATTTTTATTGAAAACATTTAAATCTTCTAATAGTATAAAATGATAATCAATTGTGAAATAGTATTTGAATTGCTTCAAACATAAAATTAAAGTTTAATATAATGTAGCTTCAATTGTTTTTATTTTCGTAGAAAAGTAAATATTCTATTGTTTTTTCTAATTATTTTATGTTTATTTCTAATTACCATTAAATACTTAGTTTAATTAAGCAATCATCCTATAAAAATTATCAAATGAATCATGTTTTAAATATACACTATCTATTTACAATTCAAAATGTAACTCTTACCTTAATTTACATTCTTTTAAGTATTAAATTATTTATGTTTTATTTTATTCATCTAATTTCTTTATATTTTATGTTGAAGTTTTGAGTAATGATCCAAAATAACCAGTCAAATTATTTATTTATATTTAATTATTAAATCCACAAATATTTTGACATCCAAATTTGAATTAAGTTTTATATTAATATACTGATTAGGATTGTTAATTATCTTCATCTGGAGTAGTAAGGAAGAAATCAATAAAATTTAATTATATATAATCTTGTTCCCCATTTTGCATAATACAACTATTAGTGTATTAAGATTCATTAATATGATAATATAATGAAAATTTAGTTTAAGATATATAGAATTTAGTCTTAGAAATATTTTGATTATTTGATTTAGATGAGTTCTGATTTATAATATCAACAATTTTCATAATAAATTAAAGTTAATTTTATTCTAATATTAAGTTAAAAGGTGTTATGTCCATATTAATATGTTAATCTATAATTTCTAGTTTAATTGGACTAACAAATTGAGTTTACGAAATAAATATTGTTGGTTCTTCAATTAGAATTTCATGACCATCCTTATATAAATCCTCATTAGAGTATTAATCTTTTCCTGTTTTCATGATTATCTTGCATAAATACTTTGAATCATCAATTATAACAAAATCTTATTCTAATTTCTAAATTGAATCTCTTATACTTTTAAATTTAGGTTCTAATTTCTAAAATTCATAAATTAATGCAGAATTAATAAATATATTAAATTTATTATTTTTTATTATTCTAATATCACATAATGATATTGAGTAGTAGTTTTCTAAATCAAATTTAAAATTCTTTTATTAATAATTAAATTATTAATCAACATCATTAGAAGTAATATAAAGAGTTAAACCTTAAAAACAAGAATTCAAAAATTCTTTTTATTCATTCATTTATTTAACTGAGGAATGGAAATCTTTAATTTTAGATTCTGGAATATTTTAAATTATAATTGTACTCTCAGCAATATCTTCTTACATAATTTTCGTTTAATTATATGATTTCTTAAAATATTCTACTAATTTATATTTATTTAAATTTATTGTTTTTCTTAGTTCTTCTTTTTATTAATTATTTATATTTTGAATTTATTAATTCTTATTACTTAAACTTAATACTTCATTTATGATATTTTTTCTTTACTCTAAAACTTATTAACTTTAAGCTAATAATGAAGAAATTTAATCTATTTAATTTAATGATATAACTATTTGAAGTTATTCACCTTAAATTTTTATTTTTGGTTCTGCATTCTAAGTTAAATAGACATCTAATTTAACAGCATTATTTATTTAACCTATTTATTTATTTTCATTTAAATATAGTTATATTTAATCAATAAGTGCTAATAAAAGAATTTAATTGGTATTTTAAGGTTTTTACATATTGCAATCAATTTTATTGATTTGAAAAGATAAACTAGTTTCTGTATCTGGATTTATTTTGCCTACAAATTTAACCCTTAAATTTTTAATATCTATCTTAATATTTCCAAAAATGTTATCGATGATTCTTAAAATCATAACAATTTTTGATGAAGGTTCTTTTTATACATTTTATTGAATTGGAGATTTGATTTCATCTTAAAAATAAGAATCATCTCCTTAATTCTAAAATATAAAAATATTAATTATTACTAAAAATTCATTTTTTAATTTCTCAATCTATGTATGAAGACTTTTGTTCATTATATCTTCAACTTCTAATGATTCTAAAGCTTCTTCTTATTAAATTTAAGTATTTAAATCCAAAATCAAATCTACATCACTCATTTATAATTGTAATTTTTCAAGTTTTAGAAATTCTATCATTAAATAAAGATTATTTACTAATTGAGAATTCTTTTAAAGTATTAGTTTTCATAATTCCATTTAAATATTTTGTATTTAATTTAATATTAGTAATTCCTTTATTTAAATCTTTAATAGCAATTTTCTATTCAAATATGTTTTCAAAATTATAGTCAATAATAGGTTATAATGTTTTTTCAATAATTTTTGATTTGGCTTTGGATGCAAGTCCTCCAAAGAAAGAAAAGATAGGTTCAAACATTTTAATTGATATCAATAATATTTATAATTATAATTTATTTTATATAAATTTGATAATATAGATTTGAAATCCTAATTTTAATGTTAAAAATTAATATATAAATATTAGAATAAAATATTAAAATAATATGATAATAAGATCATATTAAATGATGTTAAATTTATGTAAATGATACTTATCATATAATAAATTTAAATGTAGTGATGAAATTTAGAATGTAATTTATATTATTATAAATATTAAATTATTAAATAACTTTTGATAATTATAGATAATTTTAAGAGTTTAGAAATTCCAAAAAGACATTTAAAAATTAGAAAATATATGTTTTTATAAATATTTTTGATGTTTATTCATATACCAGCAAAAGACTTGTATGTTAGTGAACCTGATCCTCGATATTTTGGTAATCCCTAAAACGATGATGCAAAGGTTAATTGGTTAAAGAGTAGATTCCATTTTAGTTTTGCAGGTATTAATTACTAAAAATTCAAGAATACCGTGATCCATAAAATTAATCATTTGGAGTATTGAGAGTAATGAATGATGACTTAGTTTAACCTAATAGAGGATTTGGAGAGCATCCTCATTCAAATATGGAGATTGTAAGTTACATTGTTTAAGGAGAATTAACACATGGAGATTCAAAAGGAAATAAAGAATCACTTGGAAGAGGATCAGCATAATATATGAGTGCAGGATCAGGAGTATACCATTCGGAATTTAATTTATCAAAAAAAGAAGCTTGTAGATTCATATAAATTTGGATTTTGCCAAGACAAACTAATACAAAAGTTTAATACAAAAGTTATAGAGGCTAAAATGGTTAAGCTGATAATAAATGGTTTCATTTAGTTGGAGATTTATAAGAAAATTCATTAGCTCCTGCTAAAATTAATCAAGATGCTAATATTTGGATTAACGAATTTACAACAGAATAAAGATTTGAAGTATTACTATATTAATAAATTATAGATCAAAGAGGGTAGATAAGCTTATCTTTTATGTGTTGAAGGTTCGTTTGAATTGAATATTGATTCATGTTTACCTTTACAAGATGTCAAAAGCTAATTAGTAAATTAGCATGATGGAGTAAAAGTATTCAAAAGCATAGTTCTCAAACCAAAAGGCAAAGCTCATGTCTTATTGATTGAGATGAAAAAGTGATTGACAATCACTAATATGATATATATATATATATATATAAGTATCAAATTATAAAAATATTTCATATTATATCATTTTACTTTTCTTCTTCTATAAAATAAAACATATGCTGCATCTGTGACTGGACTTGATCTTAATTCTTTCACTTAAGAATCATTATAATCAAACCAGGCATTATACATTGGATTTTTGGCATAGGCTGTGTAATGTCCACCTCCCATTCCACCATAATGATTGGAAACTGCAAATAAGTCATAAATATATGGTTATTGAGATTCCTTAATCTTAAATATAACAAAAATACTTTCTCTAAAATAAATGGTTATATGTTGAAATTTTCAACAGGGAAATCAACATATTAGACTATTTTAGAAACTCCTCCTACAGAATAGGTACCATAAAATTAAGTGACTCTTGTGGATCTAAATCTTTTTAGATGCATGATCATAATTTAAGGTGCCTAAATTAGATGGATATATATTATACTTTATATATTTACATTTATTTCTTTGCTTTTTAATGTTTTTTACATTTAGAACAATACCACTCATTTCCAGCTCCTAAGACTTCTTCTTAACAAAATTGATTTAAACAATCATTTAAAGTTATTGTTTGCATAGAACTTTGATTAGAAACTTAAAGTGTAAAATCTGCATCAACACATCTATTTAATTTTAAAAGTTCAGCACGTAATTTAAATTATGCATTTAGTATTATGGGTTTTCCATTTGCTTCTATTTATTTATCTGTAAATGGTAAAAGCTTATTGTTTTCATCTTAGAGTTAAAATATATTTTCTTTTAATTTTAATAACTCTTAATATTCTTCAAATTAATCTTTGTATATAACTTTTTTAATATTCTTTAAGAACTATTCAAATTCCTTATTCAAATTTAAATTATAAGTAATATCACTAATCTGTAATATATGAGTTCTAAAGATTTAATAAATAATAAGATGAAGCTCTTAATATGTTGTTTGACTATCTACATAACAAATTCTTGTAAAAGATATTCTATAATTCTATTGATTTAATCTATTTTCTTCAAATTTCCTAACATTACAGAGTACTTATTAATATGGTGATTTTATTTTAGAATCATATTTAGATATTGGTTTATCTATTTTTTCATCAAATTCTTCATATAAAAATGTTGTAGCTTAAGTCTCTTTAATTTATTTAATTGTTTATTCTGGTGAAATTCCATTGTCAATAATAGCTGAATCTTATAAAGAATAAAATTTTAGATATTCAGCTTTGATATTTTTAATCTTTGAAATTATATCTATAACTTCTCCAGCTGTTTAAGTTGATTGTAAAGTTTATTAAATTTTTAAAGGTGTTTAATTAGAATCTCTAAAAATTAAATAAAATTGAAATTAAACATATTCTTTACTAGGAATTGGTAATGATATTGTAACAAAAGGATCAAAAGTTATAGATACAAAGTTACACTCAGGACATTCTACTCTAGATTTAAATTATCCTGTAAAAAGATCTATAATTTTTGAATCATTTCTCTTTTTATGATTTTCCCAATATACATCTGCAAATTCTTAATCACTTTAACCCTTATATTCTACATCTGGAATATATGGTTTCTTTTTAATTCTATTCAAATCTTCATGTAAACCATCTAATAAGTATGAGAGTAATTCTTATGAGTCTTATTAACTATAACCATTAAATTAAGGAGCTTATTATCCTATCACTTTTTTAACATTCCAAGGTGCTACACTAGTTGATGTAGATTCATAGAGATCTTTTAATAAATCAGCATAATTGCAAGCTAATCTACCTCCTGTACCTAATGGATTTTTTTCATTTAAATCTTATAGAAAAGTATTGTATATCATATATTCAGTTAGTTCAGTTACATTACTCAAACATTATAAACTAGAATTCATAAAACAAGTATTTCCTAAATTACTTAATCCACATATTCCTTTGGCTGAATTTTTAATTATTTTAGCTGGAGGTCTCACTTTATATTTCTTAGCTAATTAATTAATTAAAGAATCCTTTTCCATGATTTCTAAATTAAAAAATAATAGAATTACTTTTACAAACATCTTAATGATTCTTTAAATCATTAGCTTAACATGATTCATTACAATATTTAACACTTCTACATTCACATAAATAGAGTTAAGATTCTTAATTACCACAACTTGCACATTTATTAGGAATAGTTATTGTTTATAAATTCTCTTTTTTTTATAATCTATATTAATCTTATTCTAATTCTAAAAGTAAAACTTCTTCAGGTCCTATCTCTGCTTACTTATGTAATAAATAAGAATACTTCTAATATATTATCTCTACTTAATTTTGTACCAACTACTGATTAACTTTTCATTAATTCTTCTTAATTGATTTCTTTAGGAATCTTCCAAATATTTCTTACTTTTTAATTAGTAATCCTATTTACTTTATTAATAAGATCTTCCATTCTTTCATTTCCATTAAATTATAAATTTATTATCCTTTAAGATGATTATGGGAATAACTAGCATCTAACTTAAAATAAATGTGTTTCAACTGCATGTTAACTTCTACATATAATAATTCTTTTTATTTCAACACCACCAAATAATCCATATAATAATCTCCATATCTAACTACTTACAAATATGAAATTTTAATTTTCTCTAATAGATTTGTTTAAGGCATAATTTGAATAGCTTTTTGCTTTCAATGGGTCTTTCTCAAATTATGTTTATATATCAATTAAATCATCATTATAAATCGGACATATATGTATATCACTATTATTTTAGGTTGAATTTGATATTTTTTCCAATTCTTCATATGTTTATTGATTACAATATTATTTAAATATTTCTACAAATGTTTCATCTTCCATTGAGTTCTTTATATAATATGATTACATCATACATTCTTTTTTGCAATAAATTATTTTAATTAATCTGGATTTTCCCTTCTCAATTCATAATATTTTGTGAATAAACTAAAACGAGCTATCCATTAAGAACTAATTAAATAAGCAGGATAACCTTCTTATTAAAAATATAGATCTTAATCCTATTTAAGAAATAATTATTGTAATTTTTTGGCTAAAACTGCTTTCTCATCATCACTAAACATTTAAAATATTCTCTATTTATTATCAACATAATCTTGCAAATATGATTTCTTCTACTCTAATATAATCTCTAATTAAGTCCACATCTTTCTATTCTTACTCTTTTATAATTATTTTTAAACAGTTTCTATTTTAATTATACATTCTTATAACTGATTCATTTTTTATAAGGATTATATTGATATCCATTCTAATTCTAATTTAAGCCATTCTACTTAATCAAATTCTTGGGAATCTAATTATGGAGTCTCTTAAGAACATCCAAAGTAAGCAATTAAATGACTTAAATTAAAATCATTTAATTTATAGCTACAAAGTGCTAATAGTAATAATGCTAATGAACTGATATCTGTTAAAATATTTAAAAGATATTTACTATCTGTCTTTTTATCTTAAACGTTTTGTAAACTTAATTATGTCCTTAGAGATTATTTCAATTATTAACACACCTCTACTAGATTCTTAATTTAATTTAGTTTGTACTTGTTTACCCTCCAATTTTTCATATGCTCTCTTTATTACTCTATCATTACAATTATTGATGGAATCCAATAAATATTATGGACATATCATTTTGATAATCAATTAAAGAATATATATATATATTTATCATGTAAAATATTTTAATCTTTCTTTCTCTTCTTCACTTATTTCAGTTACAATTTATTCTTCTTTTTCTTCTTTTGGTGGCCATGATCTTATCATGATTGGTCTTCCAAATCTCTTTTAAATAATAATTTCTTTTTATTATTCTTATTATTTTTTTTACATTTCTATCTAATCTTATTCTTATTTTTCTTATTTCATTTTATCTTTTTTCACTCTTATACAACCTTTCTCTTTGTCTAATACAATATCTGGTGCTATCTATCTATATCTTTTTATCTCTAAAATATATTATTCTAATTTTCTTTCAGTTTCTCTTAACATTTCCAATCCTGTCATATCTTTTCTAGGTTCTGGATTTATATCTGTTTTATATATACGAGAAATCATAATCTCCAAATTATGAAGTGATTCAAACCCTTCATTATCATTCTTTATACTCTTTAAGACTTTAATCTAATCATTAACTGTTATAATCTATTTTTCTAAATCTAATTTATTCTATATAGCATTTTATTTTTTATCCTCTAATTATTTTCTCTTCAAATCTACCTTTGCCCTTAATTCTTCAACCATTTATTCTCTCTCTTTTGTATTAGCTATCAAAAAAAGATTTCTTTCTTCCAATTATGAGAATATATCAACTAATTATTAAGGGTCTTAAAAATAAGTATCAAATTCATCTTCAGAATCCTCCAATATTTTTTATAAATCAGAACTTATATAATTTTCTTTAGGATTGCCTTTATTTTTATCTTTATTCTTTTCCTTTCTATTCTTTTTTTAAAATTCTTTTGGAATTATTCTATCTAAAAATCTTTTATATTTTATTAAATCTTCTAAATTGTCTACTTTCTATTAATTTTTGGTCAGTAATTCAGTTCTATGTTCTAATAATAATTTAATTTCATTAGTTTTTTCTTATTTTAATCTTGTTTCATTCTCTGCTTCTTTAATTGCCTCTCTAGAACTATTATTATTAACTTCTAAAAATTTATTAAACATCTCAATATCCTCATCAATTAATTATTCACTTTATTCTAATCCTTTTCTATGGGATCTAGTTAACTTTTCATATTCATCAATCATTTCTCTTTTTTAATCAATTAGCATTTAAAACAATAACATATCTCTTTTCTTTTCTAAAAATTAATGCATGGGTTCTCTCTATCTAACTCTATTTTTCAATGCACTATTTGCAGCTTCTACAATATTACTTTAATCATATTTAATTTATACATTTTTTCTTATTCTTCCTTATCTATTGATGTTTCTTCACTACCTAATCGATCTAGTGTTCTCATTGTAAAAAATCCTTTCTATTTTTTACTTTTATCTTGAATCTTCAATTTTGAAAACTTAATTCTTTCTTCAGATCTGGCTTATTTGGATTTCTCTTTTAATTTATATATCTCATATTCATCAGGAACATAAAATGGATTATCACCATATTGTAATGATCTATCATGAATATTTGGTAATTAAGACTGCATAATAATTAATTTTGTTATTTCATTTTTTAGAAAACTGATTAATAATACTTGTTTAGGCAAATATAATCCCTAATATTTTACTAATAAGTTACATTAATAGAGTTTGATTACTAAAGTAAAAAGAGTATTTTTTAATTTCAATAAATATCAAAGATCAATAGTTTGATATGAAATCTATGTAATACTCAATAAATGAGAACAACAAATCTTAAAGATTTAACATTACTAAATAATGATGATTGTATTAATTATTTTTAATGTTTATATTTCAGTAGAAATTATAATTTTAGATATTAGATATATGTGAATGTCAATTTTTAAATAAGATTAAAAGTATATATATTTTGGTTCAAATGTTCTACATATTCATTTGATTGATTAGATCAGTTGACTATTAATAATAGATATAATATTAAATGTTAGATAGATATCCACCTTTTTTTATGGATAATATGAATTATATGGTCTTGAGTAGAATAATTAATCAAATGAAATAATATAGTTGATAATCAAAATAGATTAAAAATGAAAAAAATGTAAATCGATAAATATAAAAAGGAGAATTATATAATTTATATGCTAATCCATCGTTTAGGTTAGATTAATTATTTAAATAATTTAAATATATTTTGGATGGATAAGCAAATAAAAATATTATACTCTCTCACTTTTTCCAATATAATTTTAAGTAGATTTTTTTGTTAAATTGATATAGAATTTAATATATAAATAAAAACACATCTTATTTGTACTTAAGATTATAATTATTAACAATTTGTTAATTTATTTTGATCTCAATATAATTGTAAATAAATTTTTGTTAATATTAAATATATACAGAATTGATAATATGTAGAGGACACAATCAAATGTTTCTATTCTTAATGCCTGGTTTAATTTAGAGAAGGCTTTGATTGATGCTTAAGTACCTGAAAATGAATAGGTTGCAATAATTTCAAGGCCACCTACATCAAAGATGATGAGAGATTATTCAAATTATCACTCAGTATGAGAATGGTTTGAACTTTAGCAACAAAGAGCTTAATCATTAAGACCTTTGACTGGATTGACAAGACCTTCAACTGCAATAACAATGAAGAAGCCTATTGAATATTAAGATAAAACAGCAACAATTTAATAATCTTAAAGAAAGATGTTCAGAAAAAAAGTGAACCAAAGACCCTTTAAAAAGTATGGTTTTGATAACATTCATATTCAAAAGTAATATATAGTTTAATTATAGGGAAGAATAGGAAGGTGATATATCAGAAGAAGAACTGAATTTATCAGCAGTTATACATACTTTAGATGTGGATTAAATAATAGATTTATATAATAGTAAATGTAAAGATAGAGAACTTGAATATTAACCAGAACATGCTGTTTTATTTATAGAAAAGTTTAAGAAATTATGCATAGATGAATAATTCATTTGTGAAGACAATTAATTAGGTTTAGAGAGTGCCAAAACAATTAGAGATATGTTACTCTATAACAATCATTTCTCTACATTGAGATTAGCAAGAAATTCTATAGGAGATGAAGGTCTAATGGAATTATTAGAGATGTTGAAAGTCAATAACAATATAGTTCATATAGACTTATCAAGTAACAATATAACAGCAGATGGGGCTTTTTATTTATTTAATGAATTAGTTCCATTACATTCAATTATATCTATAGAATTATCAAGTAAGGATGGTTTGAATAGGAATAAAGTATCTGTTAAAGGATGTGAACCAATTGAAACTATTTTAAAATACAATCATCCTTTGTAATTTCTAGGTTTGAGAGGAACTTCAATATAAAATGCTGGTTTTGAATGTATTCTATCTGGATTGTAAACAAATAGTACATTGTCATATTTGAATGTTTCTAATAATGATTTAAATGAAGAAGCTTGCAATTATATGGTTTAATATATTTAAGTTTGTCATTTAGTTGAATTAGATTTAAGTTATAATCCTTTAGGTAATAATGGAATGGATTATTTATCAAGGATATGTGATAAAGGTAGTTTTATGTTAAAAAAATTAAATTTGGCAGGATGTGAAATTAAATCATTAGGAATATTGAAATTATTTTAGAGTTTAACAGTAAATCGATTTTTAGAAAAGTTGATTTTAGATGAAAATCATTTTTCTGGAAATGGATTCAATTAAATTGAACATGTTTTAACATCTAAAATACCATTAACTTATTTATCAATGGCTAAATGTAGTATTAATGCTTCAGGAGCAGATTATATAGGTAATGGTATTGAAAGAAATAGAACACTTAAAACACTTATATTAAGAGATAATAGATTGACTGATATAGGAGCAGAGTGTATATTTAAAGGATTATTTTTTGAAAAATTAGATTTGAAAAGATGCAATCTTACAGATAAATGTGTATTAGGATTATGTAATATGATTAAATAAAGTACTTAATTAACAACATTATTATTACCTGATAATGGTTTTCATGATTCTTCAGGAATTGTCATATGTGAAGCTATACGAATTAATTCATCAATGTAATTATTATGGAATACTTAGATTAAATTTAGATATTTGTGAAAATCCATTGAGTTATAAATATATTGATTAAATAAATAAAGTTATTGAAACCAATAGATTGAAATATGAACTTGATAGAGTACCTATGTATAAAAGAGAAATTGTTAAACTTAATAATATTATTTAAATGAAACCATCATTAGAAAAAGATTAAAATGAAAATTAATAAAAAAAAGCAAGATCACTTTAAACATTAGAAAAAACAATTGAAGAAAAAAATAAAGTTAAAATAGAATAAATATAAAAAACTACTGATATGGATACTAGATTATAATAAATTTAATAATAATCAAGATAAATGGATATTGATAAAATTAAATTTGATAATGAATCAAATATGTATTTAATTAAAATGGATGATGAAATAAATGATTATTAAAAGAAAATGTCTGAATGTCATTAAGTAATTACTCGTTTAGAAAAAGAAATTAGAGGTTTAAAAGATTAAAGACATGTTCGGAAAGGTCAAAGTGATTCTAGATTAGAAATGTTAAGACAATTAAATAGAGCAGAAGAAAGAGCACTTTAAAGAGCAGAAATGGAAAAAAAACAATTGGAAGAAAGGATAAAGGCCATGTAAGGAAAAGAATCCATTACTAGTAGAAGGAAAACTAAGTAATTGTCTTAAAATATTTAATAAAAATAATGAATAAAAAATATACATCTTCCAATTTAAATCCTAAAATCTTAGACGATAGAGATGAAATTAACTTTGGAACTTCTCTTATTGATGTTATCTTGGATTAGAAACATTTTAAATATTTAACATGCTTTCTTGATACTTTGAGTCTTATTAATCTATAACTTTCTTCAAAAGTCTTTAAGATCAGACATTGGAGAATTTATTTTAAGAAGATTATATTTGAAAGATTATGTAAGCCATTGGATCATAGATTAATCTCTTAATTTAGCATTGATCAAAAATGTGTATAATTTATATTTTGGGATTCTGTGATTGATTTTAAAAGGTTAAACTTATAATATTCACATCAATATAAATATTACTCATGTTAACAATCAATAGAAGCATCTAATATATAAAAAGATATTGATCGTACATTCTCATAACATTAATACTTTAAATAAATTCATAATCGATAAAGATTATAAAGAATTCTAATTGCATTATCTGAAATACAAGAATAAATTGGTTACATTTAAGGATTTAATTAAATTGCAGGTTGTTTCTTAATTAATGGTCTTAATGAACAATAAACTTTTTGGATTATGTATTATATTTTGAAGAAAATGAAATACTCAACAATATTCTAAGATTAATTTAATGAACTTAAATTTTTGAATTTTACTGTTGCAGTATTTTTAAGAAATTATGTTCCATCTCTATCTAATGAATTTGTAATTCTCTTTATTTATTTAGTTATAAAACAAAATAGATGTTGGTATTATAACAACTAGATGGTTTTTAGTGATTTTTGGCTATGATCTACCTTAATAATTAGTAATATAATATTTATATTTATAAGTTGATTTAAGTTTGGAATATGTTCTTAATGAAAGGTATTAAAATATTAATAAGAATCTCTATTGCAATTTTTAAATTAGTTTCTGATTTTGAAGGAATCAATGATTTATATGAATTACTCAAAGAAAATCTTTTTGATCTCTTAGAAACTAATGTTTAATTATAAGTTAAGCTTATTGAATATTTCTTGACCATTAAAATAACCAATCGTTTAATATAAGAATTAAAATATAAATTTGAAACTGGAGATGAATCTTTAAGTCTTTCATTTGATTAAATCTAAAAAAAACATTATTGGAGAAAAGGTGGTGATAGTGCAAGAAGTTTAATTAGTTCATTTAATGAAATAATTAGTGAATTTTAAGAAGAAAAAGATGCATTTTTTTAGAGATCTTAATTGTTCATGAATGCCTTTTTTCCTAAGATGATAAATAAAAATTATTTAGAAATTTCAGAAGGTAAAAAAAACTTATCTATTAATAACATTGAAAAAAGGCCAAAATTGATAAAACGATAGATTATATCTTAATAATTTAAAATGTCCATTCCATAATCAGCCAATGGAGATTAAGTATTAATTAAAATAATTAGGAATCTAACATATATGCAGATGAACTTTAAAGTAGAATGAGTCCAAAAGATGATGAATCTATAGAACTTGAATGTACTCCAGACAAAATATTCAAATTTTCTAATAAAAAAAGATGAATAAATATCATATTTTCATAATTTACTTTCAATCTAATATTAACATTATAATTTATAAAAATATAAATTTCCATTTTTTATCATAAATTAGAATTCAAATTGTTTAATGTTTAATTTATATGTATTCTTAAAAAAAAAAAATATATATATTTGATGTAAAAGAAGAAATAAAAGAGAAGGTAGTTAGTTGAATATTAGATATTTGCATATTAATTAATAATTTTATAATTAAACATAAATTTTTGAATAAAATAGATAGAATTCTAAATATTTAGGAAATTCAAAATGTCTTCTTACTTAAAAACATAATTATTATAATGAAATTATTTTTATCAATAGGAAGAAAATAAAAATAAATTTAGTAGCAACTCTTATAGATTATGCTTAAAATATATTAATATAATTACAATATAAATTAATTGATATAATTAGAATAAATTCAAAAACAAATTTCAAACTTGTAATAGTATTTTTGATAATCAAGAAGAGATAAATGAGTAAGATTGAATAATTATTACAATGAATTAAAAAGTATTTTTAGAACATAAAATATAATAAATTTATTTAATCTATTAATAATATCAAAGAAATATAGAAATGCCAGAAGTATTAAATATGATAATGATCTAATAATATTTTAGTTTGAAAAATAAAGAAAATTTCCAATAATTCAATAATAAAAAAACATAAAATAGCTAAGGGTGGTTGTTTTAATTTTAAAAATAAATATGTATAAAACCTCTCATTATTATGAAAATTGTTATTAAAATTATTATTATTGTTATGACAATGGGATTTTATATTAACAATCTTATTTTTTCCCCTATTCAAAGATAGTATGTTCAGTTTCACAAATACCACATAAGATTTTTCTTGTTGGACTTAATCTTAAAGTTTTCTTACAGACATTTGATTTATGTCCAACTTCCTAACAAGATTTACATATAACTGGTTTAACATTTATTTCACTTTATTTGAATGTAGCTTATTCTTATTTTAATTTTGAATAAAATTTTTCTGTAAATTTGAGTTCTTATGTTCTATCATTCAAGTCGAATAATTTGACATGTTGCATTTTACATTCAGGTCCATCCTTACAAAATCCATATACATAATCCATGCATAATTTCCTTACTATGTGTTTTCTAAAAGTTTTGATACAATTTTAACTTATCACATTAAGAACCCAAATAACAAAATCCTTTGTCATAATCAGGACATGGCCAATATTTATGTTCTAAAGGGCATTGAAGTTTCATGCAAATATCTTTCTAAAATTCCATACATAAGGGCTTGTCTTTAGAATTTGTAGGATTGAACATAGAAATCTAAATAATTTAATTAGTATAATTAATCATTTTTTTTTTTTTACTTTTCTATCATTTAAAGAGCCTAATAACATCCACATATTCTCATCATTAGGATATCCAATAACTGGAAAGTCAGAATGTGTTTCTTCTTTGATTTAAGGAAGTTAATCTTAAATTAGAATTGATAATTACAAATTGATGGTAATGATTATTTATGTGGCTACTATTATGGAGGGAATAAAATATCAAGTGTTAATTTGAATGCATCATCTAACATTCTTGGAATATACATTTTTAATAATGGACTTGATTCTTCTATACATGGATTTGTATTAACTTCTATTAACCACACTTCTTAATCTGCATCTAAAATAAAATCAAATCCAAAAATCTCAAAACAATATTTTCTGTCTTCAAAATTTATCTTGCTACGAACAGAATTAAAGACCATCCATATTCTTTCTTTCATTTTATTTATAAGCTTAAAATTTAATTTATTATTTTTACATCTTCAACATTACATACTATATTTTATGATTTCAAATATTCTTAATAGTTTTTAAATGATAATTAATTACCATCTTCAAATTCTCCATAATTTTTTGAATATTTTTAAATTGCATTATTTGTTAAATGAACAAAAGTATTCTCAATATTATAGGTGAAATCTTCAGAGGATGTTCGAATGTATCCTTCTTAAAAGAAATATGCATCCAACTCTTAAGTCACTAATCCCCAAACTCTTATATCAAATTTTCTTTTATTAATCAAAGCTGGTCTTTCGATATATTTTTGAATAACAAATGATTGAGATTTTATAATACAAGGTCCTGATGGTTATTATCTTATATATTAATTAGGATCTTTTTTAGTCCCTTATGCACTTTAAACTTACTTTGGTGGATCTTCTTCCCCAGAAGATTCATCCTTTTAATTCAAAGTCTTTTCTTTTAACCCTTCTTAAAAATCTGATACCAATTTTACTAAAGTTTCTAAATTATCAAATATTTAAATTCCTCTTCCTCTATTTAAAAATGTAGGCTTTAATAACCACATATAGGTTGAATCTTCTGATAGAAATGTATTATTCATTTGAATTTTTTGAAACTAAGAACTTGAATCCCTTTAATAAGAATTACTGAAATTCCCTCTCAATCTTCTTTTAACATCAAGCATCTATTTGGCTAATGGTTTTTTAGGGGCAAATTACTCATAAGTCTTAAGGAATTGTGTAATATTATAATCACAATTCTCATCACTAAAATCAATTACAAATGTTAATGGAGTATAATCAAATACATTCAATTTATGCTTCTAAAAATATACTTATTTTTACTTCGCAATATTAAGACAGATTCTTAATTAGATATGATTTATTTGAAATTTCTCTATGATGTTCAAAGTGATTAACAAGTTATTTGTAATTTTAACTTACTATCAATCTTTCATATCTGTAACCTCTTTCACTTTATTGCCACTTAAAATTAACAAACATCGAACTAGAGTCAGTGGTTTCTTTCCATTATGTCCTTTTAGACATAACTCGTTTTACTAAAGCCTCATTATTACCCCATCCAACATAATACTATTTGAATTAAACTTATTTATTTACTTTTAAACAAAACTCTTAAGGAGTTGGTTTGAATTGATTTCTTTTTTTAGAAAAACTAGTTGATTTAGGATTTAATTTTCTAGTCACATTAGGTAGTAGCTCTTGTTTTTATTATACTCTTTCTTTTGTTTTGCTCTTTTTATGTTGTAATTATGATTAAGTGAATTATGGTTTTATTTATGGGCTTTAAGACTTGAATTTTGTTTCAGTTTTATTGCGTGGTCTTCTATTTTCCACTGTTATAGTTGATTCTTCTGACAAATTCATAATTATAATTCTTGAAAATAATTATTTTATATATTGATTAATTGAAAGAAGAGATGCAGATACTAAAAGATTTTAGTTCTTTATGAATAAATGAATAGAAAATATTTATATAATATTTAACATAATAAATATATGTATAAGAATATTTATTCAGTTTAATCAAGATACTCATTCACCAATTTTTAGTGTTTTGAGACCCTATAATTTCTATACATTTTTTTAAATAATTTCACTAAAAAAGATTAATATTTTTATTTTACGTCTTTAGAGTTTCATTCTTCTAAATTGATCTTATAGTTCTACTAAATCCTTCAGGTTATTTTTCCAATAATTTATTTTGTAATGTTATGCTTTAATTATATAATGAATCAACATTAAATTCATACATTGAGTTTAAAGAATCATCCATAGATCTTGAAGATTTTTATGATATTTCATCTTTTAGATTCAAATAAGATTGTTTATGAAATTTCTAAGGTATTTTAGAAATTTAATTGTGTGGTACAATCCCTGCAGAAATAAGCAAAGACTTTTTCACTTTCGATTAAATTTCTTTATCATGAAAAGGATCTTCAACATGAAAATCAGTTATATATTTAATCAATTCTAAATCATTATTTATGTATTAATTTTTTAAGTAATTTTATTTAATAAATGGAACTATTTATTTAACATTCCTAAGACTATGTAAGGATTATGATTGTTAATGTACAATATTTTTATATTAAGAATTTAAGAATATTTTCTTTTTAGCTTTTTCATTTTAAATGAAATCTCTTGTTTACAATTCATCTATATATTCTTTGGCTTTTTAATTAATTTAAAATTTGATAGCTGAAGTTTAAGTAGGAGGATCATACTTATTTTTACTTTCATTTTCATAAGTAGCTGTTTTTAAAGTTTAATATGGATTTTAGTGTTAGATCAATTTAAGTTGATTTCCATTAATAATATTCTTCTATATTATTGGAATTGATTTTTTTTCCATATATCTTCTTGATATTAATTTTATATATTCATCACTAATATCATACATTTATTTAATAACACCAACATTTTTTAATTCTCTACTTCTTTTTATGATATCTTCCTCTTCCTTTAATTTAATCTTATGTTCAATTAAATTTCTTAAAACAGCAAATCTAGATTCAATCCTTGATTTTTTAGAGATTTCATCTGATTTGTCTTTCAGTAATTTAAGAAATCCTTTTTATTTTGGATGTTCATTTCTAGAATTGTTATCTTATTCAACTCTAAATAATTTAAATTTTTTTGGAGAATTAGGTCTTTGTCTATCAAGCAATTCTGATTAATTTTTACGTGTTAAAAACTCACAAGCTGATATTTCACCTTTGATAAATTTTTCAAAATTGTCCCTTACTGAAGGACTGTAGTAAACATTGTTTCCACAAAACATTGGAGCTTCTCTCAAAAAAGCAGGATCTATATGTTTATTTCTTTTCTTTTATCTAACAAGTCCTTCACCTAAGAAATTGCCAAACATAATATTCCAATTTTTAAGTCTCTCATCTTTTTATTTTGGTTCATCTTATTCAGTTTTAAGATCACTAAACTAAAATTTGTCCAATTAATACACAACTAGTAGTTTAAGTTGGCTCTCTTCTTCTAAGTGTTAATCTTTTCATTAAATTATTTATGATTTTTAATCGAAGAATCTGGAAAGTTGTATTTCATCCAACACCTCGTTTTTGTTTCTTTTAACCTCCATAATTTGATGTTAATAAGGATTACTACAAAATATTAAATTGTTCACCTACAGATCAGGAACAAAAAATAAAATAAGAATATTATAAATTAGCAAAATAATATCATCCTGACATTAATAAAGGAAATGAAGAGAAGTTTAAATAAATCAATGAAGCCTGGGATGTACTTAATTTAATATATAATTAGGTTCTATCTGATAAACATAAAAAATAATAATATGATTCAGCAAGATCCTATACTAATATTAATAATGAAACTAATTTTCGAGCAAACTAGGAACATGGACAACAATAAAATTATGAAGAATTTATAAGAAAGTAAGGTCCAAATGGGTTTTATCAATAATATACATATAGAAGTAATTATTAATATTTATAGAAGGCAACAGTAATTCCTAATAATTTTCCAAATAATAAATGGAAGAAATGTAAAGATAAGCTTAATAATTTATGAATATGTTTTAAAATGGACAATTCACATAGTTCTCTTAGGCATTTCGATAAGCCACAAAAGATGATCCTAAATTTAATAGAGTTCATACATTTATGAATCTGGCTGAAATGGCAGGTAAATTCTATGAAGAAAGACAGAGATCATAAATGGAAAATGAAATAAAAAGATAACAAAATGTTTAATCATTTGCAAATAAAGAAGAGAAACTTAAAGATAGTTTAAACAATATAAAAAGTGGTATTAAGGGAATATGGGATTAATTTACTAAAAAATGAATTTCTTTATTCATATTATTAATGTTTATATAATCTGTTGATTATTGAATAAATATACAAAAGTATTAAATCAAAACAATTAAATTAATTAATTAAACAATAGATTACCATAAATAAAATTTAAGATTTTTATATAAATTGATTTAATTACAATCATTAATTACTTCTGTTTGTATCCATTTTAGAACTAAACGAGATTGACAAACTTTCTGAGTTCCTTTTATTTCTTCTTTAACTCGAACTTCTTTTAAATTGAGCACTTTCAATATTAACTAAACTTAAAATTGTATTGACTCCTTAAGAAGTCTTTTCTCCTATAGAAAAATAGTTAGACTTTGTGATTGAATTTGTTTCCCTTTATCTCCAACTTAAATTACTTCCATATATATGTTCTTTTAAAACTCTAGAAGATTTTAATCTACTTGCACTACCTTAACTCTATATTTATATTAAATATAAATTACATTGCTTAGATCTGTAAACTAATTTACTTCTTTAAATTTACAAAAGTTTGGAGCAATCATATCATTTTTTTTACACCTTAAACAAATTCTATGATCAAAAGGAGGGAAGATATCTTCGTTTTATTAATCTGTTTGAACAGCATGATCAGTTATTTATAATCTTCCAGAACTGCTATAGTTTTAAACAGAAGAAGCTTATTCCTAACTTGTATTATTATCATCTTCAATAAAAATATGTTTGTTTTTTTTAATAATTCCTGTTGGTCTTTTTTAAGTATTTGACTCTTAAGAATCATCTAAATCTTTAGAGAATTTAGCCACTTCTCTATAAAAACTTTATTAAATGGAAGAAGCTGGAGAGTTTGTATAACAATTAGGACTCTTATGCTAAGCTCTTGGAGGTTTTTAACTATTACGAGTTTATTAATAATCTAATCTATTTTAAAGATTTAATTAATCTTGTAGATAATTTATCTATTTATCATATTATTAAACTAAGTCTTAAATAATTTATTCATATTTTTATTATGTTTGAACAATAGATTTATTAGATGATTCCTAAACTTATTGCATTTTTTTCTAAAAAGATTTTTCACTTTCTTTTATTTACTAAAAATTCACAGAAGAATTTAAAACATCTTTAACCTATTCTAATTCTTTAGCAAATTAAAGAGATTTTTTATCATTTTCAATTTTGTATTATAATAAATCTTATTATTTCTAAAATTCTAATTAATCAATAGATCTTTGTAAAAGCATAATTTCATGTTTTTAATTTGAAATTGTTGATTAAAGTTATTAAATTTATGATTATTTTTCCTATATTTATATAAAATAATATACTTCAATAATAGAATTATATTCTAATTAAACTTCATTTACTTATTATTCATATTAAGCAGAATTGCTGTCTAATTCTTATTAAAGTTCTTAAATCAAGGCTTCTTTTTATAAAACAGCCTAAAATTTATTAATAAATTACTTATTCTAATTATGATGCTTAAAGTTTTAATTTATCAAATAATTAAGATTGTTATTGATATTATACTTATGTTTAATCTAATGCTAATTTAGTAACTTTAATTTCATTTAAATTATTTATTTCTTATTATTTAAGTTATTCTTATAACATATTAATTTTTTAATTTAAAATTTGATTCTCACTCTTTAAAGTTGTTTCTTTTTCTATCATTTTATGACTCTCTAACAATTTTTCCTACTCTTACACTTAAACCTTTTATTATAATTCTTAAGATTATGATATTACTTTTTTTAATCTATTTTCTGTTTATACTTTATATTCTTTATATTCTTTTTATATCTCATTATATTTAATTTAATATTTAATATCTTCATCTATTTCTTTTAAATCTGAATTTTAAGTATTACTAAGTTCATAACTTTCTTTTAATTATTTTTATAATGCATCATTTAATTTTTATTATTTCTTAATATCACTCTCTTAAAAACTAATTTATTTTTATAGGTCTTAAACCTAATTTCTTAATTAATTCAATAATTCATCTTATTCTTTTTATTTATCTGATAATTTTGAATTTAATAATTAAGTAGTATTTAATTCAATTTCTAATTGTTAAATCCTATTTGATTGAGATTTTGATAATTAAATATATTATTTGATTTCTTCATTTACATCATTTTTTGACTAATATAAAATGGATTCTAATTCATTATTTTATTTATTTAGTCTTTCAATAATAGATAAATGTTTTTCACATTAATCTTCTAATTTAATTCTAATATCATTTAATTCATCAACATCATTTTTGTATTTTTATAATTCTTTATATAAATTTGTATTACTCTTTTAAAGTTATTTAATTTAATGAGTATAAATTTGTAATTGATTATTATATACTTAATTCTCTTTTTCAATTTCAATACTATTATTTAAAATATTCTTCATTTCATCTTGTAATTGAAGTTTTTCTTGATGTTTTTCATCAATTCTTGATTTTACTTAATTTTATATCTGTTTATTTTCTTTCACTATAATTTCATTTTCCTATTTTACTTCATCAATTTCTTTCTAATATTTGAAAATTTAATTTTGTAAATCTTTAATTTCGCATTCTTGATTATACACCATTTAATCTAATTGATCAAATACATAATTAAATAGATTTCCATTTGATTTTGGTTATGGAATTCTAAACCTTTCTAATTAATTAAATATTAACTATTCAAGATCTCTCCATTATTCCCATGAAGAATTGTTTTGTAACTATTATATAATTTAATTTTTTTCTTCTAATTATTGACTCAACATCATATTAATCTTCTATTCATTTTTAAATAGATTATTCTATTAATCTTATGAATTAATTTTCTATTCTTGCAATTATAAAATCATTCTATTATATTCATTCATGGACAATAGCTTAAAGTCCATAGATCCAAGATCTAATCTTTTTTCTTTCAAAGAGAGTACTTATTACTCTACTTCTTAGAACACTTGAGCAGCAGCCTCTACTTCTTAAGCAGATACAGTTTATTGACTTAGATGATATTTGAGCATAAATACTTTTCAAAAACATTTTCAATTTCAAGTGTTATCTTTTGATTAAATTCAATTAACTTTCTTACAAAAGTCAACATCTCTTTGATTTAATCTTCATCTTGTTTTTATAATTTATTAATCTCTCTTGTTATTATTGTGGCCATAGATATTTTAGATTCTTTGAATCTTGCATATTCCAAATCAATCTAATTTTATACATTAACCATTTCTTATTTGTAATGTGTTAATTTTTTGCTGTATTCTTTTAACTTTAATCTATTCTTATTATTAGTAAGTATTATTTATGGACCACCAGTGCTTTCTTCCTTTAAAAAAGACTCATTCACAGATGACTTATTTTGTACAGCGCTAACTTCTTTGAAATCCCTTAATAATTGATCCATGAATTGAACCTTGCTCATTTTGAATTTGTATAAATATTAATTTGTTCGTTAATATATATGTAATTTGTGAATTCCACTCCATCTCCAAAAAAATCACCTATTTCTATATAAGGTCAATAGGGAAAAATGTACAAGAAAAAATAGTTAGTGAAATCAACATCAAAATAATTAGAGATTCCTCCTATTTCTACTTAGAGAACAATGAAAACAACAGATCAAATTTTATCTTAACGAAGTCCCATAACTGGTACAACCAAAACAACAAAACATACCATTGAAACAAAAAGAAGCATGTCTCCCGAAGAATTAAAATCTTTCAGAAAAAGTAATAAGACATAAAAAAATTAGGAAGACACAAATAATCCAAAACAAAGATCTCCTCTATCCACTGAAAAAAAATAACATTCCAATAAAATGTCTATATAATAATATATGAAGGAAAAAAAAAAGTCAGAGCAGTTAAAAGAAAAGCTTTTATAATAGAAAGTTTTGAATGATTAATAAAAAAAGTATTATTCATTAAATTCATATTTATTAGATTATACAATCTCTAAAAATTATAACTAGAAACTAAAAAAATATTTGAAAATGCTAAAAAAACAAAGAAAAAATTCTCTAAAAAACTAAAATAGAAAAAATAAAAAATAGATGAAATTATAAAAAGGTTTGAAGAAATATCTAAAAGGTATGAAAAAGTCTAACTTGATTAAATTGATAAATTCTAATAAGAAGTAGCTAAACATTAATAATCTTATAAAACTTAAACTGAAAATGAATCATAAATTAATTACAATTAAGAAGATTAAGAAGCATTTAATGAATATTATTTACATTAAGCAGCCTTATTAATTTAAATTCATTGGAAAGAATATAAAAAGAAAAAGGAAAAATAAAAAAAGAAAGTATCATAGTCTAAATTATAATAAATAAGTATAGATTGGGAACCATAATAATTAATTTCATAATAAACATCTCCTAGCAATTTTGAAGATGGCTTTCTTTTTTGTTAAGGAGGAGAAAAATAAGTTCATATATCAAATATTAGAAGTTCAATCATTTCTGAAGAATCCTCACCTATTGTTAGTCAATTAAATTAAGAATTTGAAAATTGGAATCTTTTTACTTAAAGAATAGTTAAAGATAAAGATATTTCAGGCATTAATAAATAAATGCAATAATAGATTATATCTATTGTATAAACACATTTAAAATAATCTGAAAATGTTTCAGAAAAAAGAAGTGAAAATGAAATCTTATAAGAGAAAAGCATAAATAAACATCAAAAATAATTAAGTGAAGATCTCTCTAAAACTAATGCACTTTAATTATAAAAACAATCATAATAAGAAGAAAACTTAGTATTAAATTATAGAGAAGAAGTTCTATATCTTAGATATGATGTTGAATAAAAAAATGCTACTGGAAAAGATTAATAATTGCTTGAAGAGTGGTTGAATAGAGAATTAGAAGATTTGTAAAATACAAGAAAGGCTTTTGAATTAGGTCATAGAAGAGAAATTTCTACTTTAAAAAAAATTCAAAGAGATATCCTTATTGCTTCTGCAGAGCTATAATCTGATCCATAAGATAATTTATAGATTTAGCAAATATAATAATAAATAGATGAATAATTTAACGGTCTTAAAGTTACAAAATAGAATAATAATAAATTATAAGAGGAAATTTAATAAACTGTTGATTTAATAACTACTGAAATTGTTAATGATATGATGGTGGAATTTTCAGAAGAAGTGTTGAATAATAGAGATGATCTATATTTAATAATTTCAAATCTTGTCGTAAATTAAGATGAACCACCTTGTGTTCCTACATCTATGGCTGATATCTAATAATATATTGATAACCTATTTAAATATATTTTGGAATATCATAAATAATCATTGTTATCAAATTTGAATACTCCTTTTGGATTTACACCTAAGTAAAGATTGAGGTTAATTCATGGAAATGAAGATGATGATATTGATAATAATAAGGAATTCTAAGATCAAATAGCATTTCCAATAGATGAGACTATTTTTGTTGAATATGAAAATTAGAGAATGCCTGCAACTGATGATGATGATGAAATTGGATGTGCTATTTTAGAACTTCAACATATTCATTATAAAGCAATTTTTGATGCATGTAATGAAGTTTTAAATCGATATAGACCATTTTATTATAGTAATTATTTTATATTAAATTAAGATTCTGGCATAAAATACCCATGGGAATAAAAGAAAATTAGTTTATAAAAAATATCAAATGAAAGTATAGATAAAATATTGGAAGAAGTTAAATCCATAGTATTAAAATAAAGTAAAGTCTTGTGTGGGTTTTATCCACCTGAAGATTTTGAAACTATTAAATAAGAGAAATAAGAAATAATAGATGAGAAAAATATAATTATGCTTATATAACAATTAAATTTAGTTGAAAATCCATTATTAGTTGATACAAATGTTCAATTTGATAATTTAGCCTTAATTAGAGATGAGTAACTATACAAATTACTTATAGAGGATGTAAAATATTTATAGAAATTATTATAGATTAAGGAATAAGAATACAAGTGGGCTTTGATTGAAGATGATCGAGCTGAATACTTAATGGAATTAAGTGATCAAATTTTAGAGACTCTTATAGAAGAACTCTCCAAAGAAATGTGATTCTTCTTATATTTGATATTTTATGTATAATAAATTATTATAATTGATTAAATATGATTTATATATCTAATTGTAAAATTGTTAAAATTTTGTTTATTACATTTATCAAAATAATTAAATTTGATAAATAAAATTTTTAATACATGAGTAAAGTAATTATAAATAGATTAATATAAAAATAATATGATAATTATGAATTTAATTTTGATAATAAATAAAAATAAATAGAATCTGTGTGATGTTGACAGAAAGCCTTTAAATAAATTCTGGACATTCAAGTATGATCCATGATATTAAATATGATTATTATGGTGACAAATTAGCCAGTTGTGGAAGTGATGGATATATTAATGTCTATGACGTGTCAAAAAAATAATAAGTTGCTTAAATTAAGATGTACGTAAAATTAATATTATATTTTAGTCGAGATTCTCCTTTATTTTCATTATCTTGGTCACATCCTAGATTTGGTAATGTAATAGCTACTTCATCATATGATGGAGAAATATCTATTTTTAAGGAATAAAAAGATTGGATGAAAGTGGCTAGTTTTTAGAATGAGGGCAGTGTGAATTGTGTTTAATTTATGCCTAGAGAATTATTTTTAGCATGTGGCACATCAGATGGATTTGTAATTTTATTAGATAATAACAAAAATTGGGATGTAGATTATAAATGGCAAGCACATGAATCAATAATACATGGATTATGTTGGAATTAAGATGGTTCATTATTAGCAACTTGCAGTGCTGATAAATTGATTAAAGTCTGGGAATTTACAAATAATAATAAACCTTAATTGAAATATACAATTTAATCTAATTTAGATGTTGTGAAGGATGTTTAATTCCATCCTTTAGAAAATAATATCCTTGTTTCAGGAGGAGATGTAAAAATCATATAAATTTATAGGATGGAAAACTTAGAGTACATAAATTAGATGATGATGTAGTCGATAATCAAGTAATTGATTTTCATATGACTATTTGGAGAATATCATTCAATATGTTGGGAAATTTATTAACAGTAAATGGAGAAAGTAATGGTTAGAATAAAATTAAAACACTAAAATAAGAGAATAATTTTTAATATTGCCCTATTGATTGCAATTGAATAATGTATAGATGAAAATGAAATTATATCAACTTGTTAAATTTACATTTATATTTGCTTCTTTAGCTAATCTTAAAATTGCTGCCATTCTAACGGCTTTCTTAGCTGCCTCATCTAAATCTTCAGTAAACATCATATTGAATCCTGACTCATCAATTAATTTCTTAGCCTCTTCTATTTTTGTTCCCTTCATTCTTAACACCATAGGCTTCTTCATTCCCAAAATTGTCAAACCTTTCAATAGTCCTAAAACAATTTAATCACATCTTAAAAATAATGATTATATATCATTACCTAGCTATACCAGCAAATATATTGACAAGAATGGCTTCAACATTAGGATCTTTATCCATAATTTTGAGTGCAGAAACAATTTCTTAATCAGTAGCTTTCCCACCAACATCCAAGAAGTTTGCAGGTGATCCATCATATTATTTGATTAAATCCATTGTAGCCATAGCTAATCCTGCCCCATTTACCATACAACCTATATTTCCATCCAAAGCAATATAATTTAATCCATGTTTCTATGCTTCAACTTCTTTCCAATCTTTTTACCTTACATCTTCCATATGAAAGATAGCATGTTGTCTAAATTGAGAATTATCATCAATGTTAAGTTTTTGATCACAAATAATCAAATTACCTTACAAGTCAATTCCAAGTGGATTAATTTCTAACAATGTTGCATCAGTTTATAAAAAGATATCAAACATCTTTTTCAAAATCTAAATATGATTAAACATGTAATTACATCTTTCATCTAATTATGCTATATTGGATTCAATTTATATACTTTTGAAACCTTTTCATAAATCGTATAATCAATATCATCCACATTGCTAGGCATCTCAATTGAGAATTTCTTAATATAATTAGGATCACTCTCTTCAATGTGTATACCTCCCTTTTCAGAAGCTACAATTCCTAGTCCTCCTGTATTTCTGTCCAAAAGAATTGATAAATACAATTCCTTCCTTAAAAAGTTTCTTTCTACCACATAAACCATTTCACACTTCTTTCCTAAACTTCCAGTTTGTTTGGTTATTAATGTGTTTCCCAACATTTTACTAGCGTATTCTCTTACATCTTCTGGAGTAGAGGCGATGTGTATTCCCTAAATAGATATTCACTGGTACACTATTAAATCCATTTTCTTTAAAATATCCTTTTCCTCTTCCACCAGTATGACATTAAGCCTTTACAACAACATCTGTGAATGAATTTCGATCTGATCCCTCTTAAATGATTTTTTAAGCTGACTTATAGGCTTCGTCTGGGGTCTTACAAATTCTTCCAGGTGGAATTGGGAGTGAAAAAGACTTGAAAAACTCTGCTGTTTAATACTCGTGAAGAGAAAGGAAATATTTGGGTATACGATGGAATCTAAACATTAAAGATATTGTTTTATATTATATAATTTCATTACCATATTCTGTTGCGCATATTTTCCAATTACTCTATATCTTAATTATTATTATCTAATTTTTACAAAATGTTATCAAATTAAGAAATAGATCCTCCAAATCCTGATTAATTCATATTATTTTCAAAGTTTCTTATCTCTAGAAATTATCTTAGATGACCATTTTCACCTATTGTTGGTACTTTTATTAGATCAAGTAAATATTATTATAGATTTACAGATCTAATAATTGGGTTAATCTATTATAATGCTGCAGTAGTCTTATAAGGTAATTATGGAAGTAAGGGATATCTTTAAATAAAATTAATAAATTCTTATACCTTTATTTTAATAGACTATGTAGTTCATCAAATTAACTGAATCTTTTCCAAATTATGTGTTTTGAATCACCACTTCCAATCGTAAATGAGTATCTTATGAATTTTTCATTATCTTTTCCTACAACCTCTTCAAATCCTGTATTTTTAATTTGTAATTTTTTTATTAATTCACTCTCTTTAATGACTTTAACTTATAAATTTTTAATTTGATCTATTAAATATTGAGACATTCCAATGAATTTAAATAGAGCAGAGACATGATATTATCTGTCATTAAGTAATATTTTCATAAAAATCTCTAAGTCTTATTTTCTCTCTTCTATTTCTTCATTTGACATCTTTATTAATGATTTTTGAGGAAATGGAGGAAAACTTTTGACTTCAATGATATTTTTCAAAATCTCACTAAATTCATAGAATTCCTTGAATCTTCTTTAAACCATAAGAGTTTCATCTTCAAATTATGTCATCATTGTATATTGTACATATGTTTCAGTAAGATTTTTAATAGTTTGAAATTCAGTAATTTTGATATCTAAATAAGGCAAGTATTATGATTGTATATCCCATTTGTATTTCTTATTTGTTTGAATTTTTCTAACTAATATAGATGATTTATGTAGATTTTGAGTAGAATTTGCTAATTTCATTTCTTCAATAAGTTATCTCTCAGAAAGTTATAATTGTATGAAGTCAACAAAGCAAGGTGTGATCAATTCTAATTTACTTATAATAAAGTCAAAGTATCTTTATATATAATTAATTAATAGTAAATCCTAACTCTCTTGTATCTATTTTATTATGAAATTCATTTATAATAAATCATTAGAATGAAGTTCAAAATAATCATTATTCTCAAATACATATTGCTAATGATGATGGAAGATTTCAGAAATCTTTTTTTTTAATTTGTATTACTTATCTGCTCCAACAATAATACTTTAAAGTTATAAGAAATATAATTACATTTCTAATTTAACTTCAATATCATCATCAAGAATGCTCCATTATTTTTTCACTACTATTTTTAAGAAAAACGAGCTCTATATATCTAAATTAAATTTTTAGAATACTATTGACAGTAGAAACTCTTGGTCTTTAAGATTCTGATAAATCTATCATTGGTAATTGGTTTCTCCAAAAACCTAGGGCTTCAAATTCTGCAAGATCCTATCTTCTAATGAAAATAGTAAAGATAATAAGGAAGGTATAATCAGCAACTCGAAAAAGAAGCAAAGAATATTCAACTTTATATCCATTCTGTTGTAAAGTAAAATAATACATTTATAATGATTAATGTGAAAGTGATACTTAAAAATAGCCAATTTAATACCCAATAAATTTTATGAGCAAAAAACAGAGGTACTTATTTCTTGTATTCATAACTCTAAAATTAAATTAAACCATACCATTAAAATGATTTGCATAATAATAGCTGAAATGTTAACAAAGAGTACTCCAGAGATGAAATAATTCTAATGGCCATCTTAAATAATCATTAGAATAAATTCAATGAATTCAGCAGCTCTGAGTAGTTAATAAATTTACTAATATCTAAAGTTAATAGTGTAATCCGCAAAATAATTGAATAATTAAAAGGGATTGGCTCAGCTTGAATATTAGAGTGTAAATCATAGAACCTTGCTGCCATTCCTAAAATATATAGAACACTTATTGAAGCAGGAAGCAAATAACTAAATATTATTAAAGCATTCTAAATTGGCATTTAATATTAAATATTTCTTTTGCAATTATTTAAAAATTAAATTATCTAATTTATGCTATCCACAGCTGCAGGTTTCCAATCAATGCTCAAAGAAGTATGATAAAAAGTATTAAATTTCTCAGGGGGCTCGCCATTATCAAGGATTAGAGGAAGCTATCTTAAAAAATATTTAAGCATGCAAAGAAATCTCTAACATGACTAAAACTTCTTTAGGCCCAAATGGAATGAAAAAAATGGTTGTGAATCATATAGATAAAATATTTGTTACAAGTGATGCAGCAACAATCCTTAAAGAAATGGAAATCTAACATCCTGCCGCCAAGATGATCCTTATGGCTGCTAAAATGTAAGAAACTGAATAAGGTGATGCTACAAATTTTGTTATTACTCTAGCTGGAGAGTTATTATAATAAGCTGAAAGTTTAATAAAACTAGGATTACATCCAAGGTATTACTTATAATACATTCATTTAGCTAAATTGTTGTTGGGTATGAAACAGCATTAAAAAAGGCATTGGATTTACTTGAAGAATAAAAAATATGGGAAATAAATGATGTTGCTGATGAATAATAAGTCTTTTAAGCAATTAGAACTTCTCTAAGTAGTAAATTGTCAGAGTAATTTTCTAAATAAAGATTTATAGCTATTCTAATCTCATTGCTGGTCTTGTAGCCAAAGCATGTATTAGATGTTTACCAAGGGAAAAGTCTAACTTTGATTCTGAATATGTTAGAGTTACTAAAATATTGGGTGGATCTGTTTTGGATAGTCATGTTTTATCTGGATTAATTGTAACTAGAAATGTTGAAGGACAAATTAATAGATTGGAAAATCCTAAAATTTGTGTATTTAATGCACCATTAGATCCATAATCATAAGAAACTAAAGGAACTGTTTTAATTAAAAATGCTACAGAATTAATGAACTATACAAAGAGTGAAGAAGAATTAGCTGAAAAGATAGTCAAAAGTATTGCAGATGCAGGAGTTAATTTAATAGTTGCTGGAGGAAGTATTTCAGAATTAGTATTACATTTTGTTGAAAAATATAAAATGATGATTGTGAAAGTTTAATCAAAATTTGAATTAAAACGATTATGTAAAGCAGTTGGAGCTAGTGCTTTATCTAGATTATCTGCACCTATGCCAGATGAATTAGGAACATGTGATCGTGTTCATGTACAAGAAATCGGTAGTCAAAAAGTTACTATTTTCGAAAAGTAAAGTGATACTTGCAAATTGGCAACTATTGTTTTAAGGGGTGCTACATAAAATCTTTTAGATGATATTGAAAGAGCAATTGATGATGGAGTTAGTTGTTATAGATCATTAATTAAAGATCCAAGATTTGTTTATGGTGGAGGGGCTACTGAAATTGTAATATTCATTTCTCTATACATTTTAGAAATTAGCTTAGTAATTAGAATCGGAAGCAAACAAAATTAAATCTATAGATTAATATGCTTATAGATAATATGCTTAAGCATTTGAAATTATACCTAGAATCTTAATTGATAATGCTGGTTTAGCTCAAAATGAAATGATGGCTTAATTACACAAATTGAATTCTGAGAAACCTCATTCATTAAATATTTCTGTATATATATATTTCTGAAATTTAGAATGGAACATTAACTCCATCAAATGAATTGAAGGTATTTGATCATCTTAAAACTAAATGGTGGGCAATTAAATTAGCTACAGATGCTGCTATCACAATCTTGAGAGTTGATTAAGTATCATTATTATATATATTTTTAGATTATTATTGCCAAACCAGCTGGAGGACCAAAGATGCCAGATAGAGGACATTGGGATGATTAAGAATGAGTGTGATTAAATAATAAATCATAGCATAAATATTATTAATTATTTTCTATAATTTTACTTAATATACAAGTTTAGACTTGATAGATTACCATTCTTAAAATTAGTAATTATTTATGAAATAACTTAAAATTATAATTGATTAAAATAATATATTTTTTATACTAATTTATTGGTATTTTATAATATTATAAAATCATTATTTAATTAAATTAATTTCCTCAACTAATATTGCAAAATCTTATTAACTTTGTTAGACACTTTAATTTATGAATTTGATTTATTGATTTAAAGAATTCACCTCTGTAAGGATAGTATCATCTTTTTNGTTGCTGGAGGAAGTATTTCAGAATTAGTATTACATTTTGTTGAAAAATATAAAATGATGATTGTGAAAGTTTAATCAAAATTTGAATTAAAACGATTATGTAAAGCAGTTGGAGCTAGTGCTTTATCTAGATTATCTGCACCTATGCCAGATGAATTAGGAACATGTGATCGTGTTCATGTACAAGAAATCGGTAGTCAAAAAGTTACTATTTTCGAAAAGTAAAGTGATACTTGCAAATTGGCAACTATTGTTTTAAGGGGTGCTACATAAAATCTTTTAGATGATATTGAAAGAGCAATTGATGATGGAGTTAGTTGTTATAGATCATTAATTAAAGATCCAAGATTTGTTTATGGTGGAGGGGCTACTGAAATTGTAATATTCATTTCTCTATACATTTTAGAAATTAGCTTAGTAATTAGAATCGGAAGCAAACAAAATTAAATCTATAGATTAATATGCTTATAGATAATATGCTTAAGCATTTGAAATTATACCTAGAATCTTAATTGATAATGCTGGTTTAGCTCAAAATGAAATGATGGCTTAATTACACAAATTGAATTCTGAGAAACCTCATTCATTAAATATTTCTGTATATATATATTTCTGAAATTTAGAATGGAACATTAACTCCATCAAATGAATTGAAGGTATTTGATCATCTTAAAACTAAATGGTGGGCAATTAAATTAGCTACAGATGCTGCTATCACAATCTTGAGAGTTGATTAAGTATCATTATTATATATATTTTTAGATTATTATTGCCAAACCAGCTGGAGGACCAAAGATGCCAGATAGAGGACATTGGGATGATTAAGAATGAGTGTGATTAAATAATAAATCATAGCATAAATATTATTAATTATTTTCTATAATTTTACTTAATATACAAGTTTAGACTTGATAGATTACCATTCTTAAAATTAGTAATTATTTATGAAATAACTTAAAATTATAATTGATTAAAATAATATATTTTTTATACTAATTTATTGGTATTTTATAATATTATAAAATCATTATTTAATTAAATTAATTTCCTCAACTAATATTGCAAAATCTTATTAACTTTGTTAGACACTTTAATTTATGAATTTGATTTATTGATTTAAAGAATTCACCTCTGTAAGGATAGTATCATCTTTTTTTAATTCTTTAATTTTAAGATTCAATTCGACAATTTTATTTAAATCTTCTTTTAATGTCTTTTTTAATTGTACATTTTCCTCAAACAAAGTCTTATAATTTTTCAATTTCTATTTTATTTGCATTTTAAAATCTTCTTAATTAGTTTCAATTTAATTTTTTAGATGATATAGTGTTTAATACTCAGTTTTTAAGATTTAGTGATCACATTAAATTTTGATTAATTGTTCACTTTATTATCTGAAATTCTATAATACCTTTTAAACAGCATATACTATAGCATCACAGTCTTATGGAACATTTAATAATAATGATAGTTCTTTAATCATTTATTTAAATTTGATATTGCTATCTGCATTTTCTGTTTATTGATATTAAGAACACTTATTAGTTACTGAATAGCCTGCATAAGTAAAATTGCTATTATAACTTTCTCTTCCTTTTTATAAACTCATTCTACTTTCTGATAAATTTGGCATACTTTAAGTTGGTAATTATATATTTTTAACATGTTATAAATCCTACAAATTAACCTTCTTAATTTCTTATCGAACTCTTGTTGAGCAGGGTTAAGGACTTCCATATCTTTTTTATACAATTGGCTCTGTTCTTAAAGATTTCGTCCATGAAATTTATGATTACATTTAAACTGAATTTCTACTAATCTCATTAGGGTTTGTGCATTTAATAAATATACTTACCTAATTTCCTTATTCTAAATCTATTTTATATATAGATTCTTTTCCCATGATCTCATTTAATTCTAATTTTGCAAAACCTATAACCTTGATGAATCCACTTTCTTCATCTTGTATTTCTATATATATTTAAAGCTAAGGATCTATTAATTTATTACAAATCTGCCAAGATCAAATGAAGAAGTCCATGATGGAGAATATTTAATTATTTTTTAAGTGGTTACAATCCTTAGAGGCTCTCTTTTATCAGCTAAAATTATTTATGTAAAATATACCACATTAGAAAGAGATTTACATTAATTAAGTCTATACAAGAGACTTAAAATGAATTTAAGAGACACTTAATTAATACATTTAATTAAATAAAGAATGAAAACAAAAGCCTATTATGCTCTTATTAATATTAATTCCTTTTTGATGTTCATATATTCTCATTAATTGAAATACATAAATAACTATCTTAGAATATAAGTCTAAAATAGTTTTAATAGTTTAATACAATGATAATTTTAAATTGAATTCAAATTTTATATTATAGTAAGACATTATAGAATAATATAATAATTAATTGAATTTGAATTTAAAATGAAAATAGACAATTTTTTAGAAAAACAGAAAGTATTTGAATAGTAATTTTGAATCGATATATTAATTTTTTATTGATTAATTTAATTAATTAATATCTCTTTTATAAATTTTCTAATGAGCACAAAAACCCATTAAAGAATTCTCACCTTCATAAAAAAATATAAAGACGAGTAAATGCATCATATTTAAGTTTAGATTGAGCCCATCTACTGGAATTGATGAATTTGCAGATTTATTGAATGAATGCTTTTAGTCATTCAAATCAGATTCATTAAGAAGAGAAAAGGTGAATTTAATGCTTGAAAATCTTTTTTTAGATGATGATAGTAAACTTGTAGAAGGAGGTAAGAAAAATCAATTATAAAATAAGATTTATAAAAATATGTGGAGAGATTAATTGATTTCGTTGAAGGACCAAGTGATGATCCTTTAGAAAAAAACAATCTTAAACAACGAAGTTCATCTGGTAGTTCTGATGAGGAAGATAATAGAGGTCATAATAAATAATAAAATAAACATAAAAGAGATAGAAGCAGAGATAGAGAAAAGAATAAAAAATCAAAAAAAAATTAAAAAAATACAAACATTATTTCAGAATTATAAAAAGCATTAGGAAAAGATATGAATCTTAAAGACTTACTTTCATCCATAACAAATAATAATAACCGTAAATAATAACATAATAATAATAATAAAAATATTGTCTTTCTATAAAATGTTCCAAGAGAAATGAGATCATATACAGAAATAGAAACATTACTCTAAGGAAGAGGAGAATTAACTAAAATTCAACTATCAGGAAGGTAATTAATATAATTATTTTTAGAGTTCCTTCTGTATAATTTAAAAATCACAGCGATGCCTAAGCTTTGATTGATAAATTTATTGTCCATAAAGGAGTTAAAATTGAATTTACATAGAGTTTAAATAAAGTATTAATAGAATATAATTAAAGTAATAGTAACACTAAGATGATAATAAAAATAATAAGATTATTATATTAGATAAAGAGGGAAAAAAAGTATCTAATTAAGTTAGTTAACCAGCAGCACCTCTATTATAAACATAATAATAATAATAATAATAATAATCATAATCATAATAATCAGTTTTATAGAAGTAAGACTCTAAAATGGAAGAGGAAACTGATTTTAAAAAAACAAAGGAAGAACAAGAATTAAATAATCAAATTGAATAAATTAGAGGACAAGCTAAAACATTAATTGTAGATAAAATAAGATTAGCTTTATTATTAGTTAAAAGGAAGGACAATTATCCTCCTTAATTAAGTGTTGAAATTGATGAATTAAAAAAGTAAACAATATAAAATAAGCTTAGATTATTAACCTAAAAGAAAGAGGAGATATCTAAAATGAGTTCTTTGGAATAACTAAAAGCAGAATTACAATGGTTAAATGAGAATTATGATTATACTTTGTTAATTACACAGATCCCAGAGTAATTATTTAAAGATAAGACAGTTACTAAAGTACTCAATGAGGAATTTTAAGTAATTATTTAAATTATAAAATAGAAATATGGTAAAATTGACAATTTATAAATTAAAATAAAAGATAAAGCTGCCCATCTTAAATTTTTCAGTTTTGATTCAGCAGAAAAAGTATTGAATATTTATTATGTAGGCTTATTATCAAGCAAATGAAAATTCTAATTTTAAAGTTGAGTTCTTGAATTAGGGCATTAAAAAGGTGTTAATTGCTTAAAGTTGAAATATTTTATAAATAATAATATTTAATGTAAATAAATAATATCTTCAAATATTCTTACAAAATATTTCAAACAAAAAAATTTCTCCATTTTTAATAATATATAAATTAATAAATTTTATAAAATTACCATTTTTTATATTGATTTCTTTCAAAAATTATAATCCATTTCCTAGTTTATTTCACAAATATCATTTTTAAAACTAAATAATAGTTTTATTGAGATATGTTGTAAAAGTTTGGAAAAGAAGCTTATGATTTAAAATTTGAGAAATACTTTGATTTGATTGATGATACTTTTTCTTTAAATCCACAGACTATTGCAATTTCATAAAATGGTAAATATGTATTTTATCGGCATGGAACTTATACAGTTAATAGTTAACATACTATTATAAATTCTGAAAGCAAAGTTATTTTAAGAATATCGGGTATTATTTAAGCCTGCTTCTCTTCAGACTCAAAATTTTTACTCTTTTCTTAAAGATCAAATGAAAATTAAACTCATCTTTGTCTTCTAAATTGTGAAAAAGAAGAATTGGTTTGGAAGTAAGAACTTAATTGTAGTGAATTTGTAAAAGATTCAATATTTTAAATACAATTTAGTTAAAATAATTAATTTGCAATCATAAGCACTTGTTTTTAAAGGTACTTTTAAATTTCTCTTGATGGCACATATTAAGAAATAGTTTTAAAATAATATTTACCAATGAAATACTTTGATTAATTAAAATTTTTAGATAAAGACTTATTTGTAATTGGAAAAATTGATTAAACTTAGAGAGAAAAAAAATATTCATTTTATTTAATCTACAAATAAAATCGTTTGATTTATAATTGGAAAACAGTTGCATCAAAAAATTAAAGATTTGAAATTCAAAATAAATTTTTGATTACTTTAAGAGATGTTTCTAAATTTTCATTAAGACTAATAACTACAGGAAAACTTTTAAGAAACGTATCCATTCTTTAAGAAGAATCAAATCATTTTATTTATTTTAACAATGTATTTTATCAATTAGGTATATCAAATTTAATAAAATATGATTTAATTTAAGGTAAAAAAATTCGAACTAATTGTTAAATACCAAAAAAACACCAAAATGAATTAGATCATTTAAGAAAAGATTAAAATATTATCAGAGTAGATACTTTAGATGAAGGCTTTATTAGAAGATTAGAATTTTTCAAATTAAAATAACAATAATGATATTTTATAATAAATTTAAACTTCTTAAGAAATATATGTATACTTTTCAGTTTATTTTAATTTTTTTATTATCTGAACCTTCATAATCTTCATAAGATATAATACTTTATAACAATCCTCTAATTAATGTAAATTTTTCTTAAATTTTCAGAACAGAAATATTATTCATAAAAGTTTAAAATTTTTCTGATAAAAATATTCTTTCAAATTATGCAATCTCTGTTTTGAACTTAACTATTAGTATATTTTATTTTAAAATTAACGCAACTATTTTCATTATACAATTAACTAATGTAAGTTCATTTATTTATTTTTATTTTAAGAAACCTGAAAGTTGAGAAGTATGATTTATTTTTTCAATTAGAATCATAACTTCATTTAAATATTCAGGTAATAATCTAATTATATTAAACTATTGTAATTTTGAAAGATATTCTTTACTTAACTATTTACTTTTTAACATTTGAATAATTATTTTCAAAATAATAGATGTAATAATTGGATTTTAAGAGTTTTTACATAGTTACATCAATTTTTAAAAGAATTCATCATCAGCAATACAAATTTAAAATTACTTAATTAAAATTTAATATATTTATAAAGAGTCAATTACATTAAAAATCTAATCTCCTTTTAAATTATGAAAAAGTCTATCTAAAAATACTTTATTTTTTATTTTCTCTTTAGGAAAATTGGGTTTTTTAATAAATTTTGAAATTATTTAAATCATACTACCTTCCAATTCATTTAAATTATCATCTACCCAAATAATTATAATTTCATTCCATATATTCAAAAGTTATTAATCTAATTCTAGTTATTGAATACTAATTAAATCATTAATAATTTAAATAGCTATTTTACAAGCTCTTGTTGATGGTTTCTTTATAAATATAAATTATTTCTTGATAAAATTAAGTGTCATATTTTTGTAACATTATGGCATCTACTTACAAAAGACTTGGAGAGCCTAAAGATAATGAATGATATCAATTAATTATTTGATTTTATCTAATTTTTATTATATATGGCATAATTTGAATATTTAGTAAGCAATAGTTTTATCTATTTAACAAAATTTACTAAAAATTATTAAAATCTGAAATTGAAAAAGATCAGTTGAATCTCTATTATAAATTTAGCATAAACTCTCAAATGATATTTATTTTATTTAAAGTTAATGCTGAATATTTGTACGAATTAACAATTACAAAAGATTATCTAAATTATTATAGTTGTTACTTATGGCATAAAATTAAAGGCAAGGTGGCATCTAAGTGTGCAAAATCTACTACAGTATCGTAATTAGAAGTGTTATTTATTGATCTTCAATATCATCTTATATTTAAATAACATCCATCAGTTAATTTTTATTAGAGATTAAGCCATAATGAATTTTTATGATATCTTCACTCATTAAATATTGAATAACTTCTTAGAATGTCAAATTGGGAGCAAAATGATGTTGAAGTAATTAATCTTGAAAAGACTAAGGAATATATAAAGGGTATAATTTATCACTTATTGATTATAACATAATTTAATATTAATTATATTTTAGCATAAGAATCATTCAAATTTATTCATATCAAATAAAATATTTATTATCGATGTTTAGATACTATCTCTAAAAAGTATATATAAAAATTGTAATTAAATTTTTAATATAAATTTAGAAGAAAAAGGTTTGTAATGAATTTTATTATTTCTATTTAAATCTTAGAGGTTTGAATAATTATTAATTAAAACAATTAGAGATTTAGTTTCTTTATAACCAAATTATACATGTTAAATATATTTTTTAGGGGTATTAATTTATTGCATACTAGTAATACTGAAAATTTATACTATTCAAATTATTTAGTGTTCATAATAAACAAGTTATAAAATAATATTTTTCGAAATCATAATGGGATGTATTTGCTCATAATAAAGAAGATAAAATTCACGAGAACAAACCTTGATATTTGAATCTTTAACTGATATTAAAGATGACGATGATATAATGATTATGTAAATAAAACTAATATAGCCAAAATTTCTCTATTATCATGTACTAACTTAAATTTATTTTTAACCAATAGTAAAACAAAGAAAAGTCAGTAAAAGCTTCAAATCGATTCCTTGACTCTAAAACTTCTGAATAAGGGATTCATTAAAATTCAAAAAGGAAACTTAAAGGTATCTTAAAACTACAAAAATTTCCTAAATAAAAGCCTTATTCTTATGATTAGGTCAAATGTGTTCGTTTTAACCTTATTCAGTAAGATTAAGAGCTTCAGGGATAAAATTTGGTAAAATTGTCAAAATTGCTTAACTAGAGAACTCTAAATAAAGAATGATATTTTAATTGTTTCAATTAATAATAAAATCAATCAAATAATATAAAATAATCATCATGGAAGTTCATTTTTTATTATATATGTTTTTAGATATATGATTCAAAGAGATTAGATAAAAAAATAAAATATTCTTGTTGGTATTATGATTAAATTTATTTATAATTCATTTTCATAATTAAAATAACATTATAAATGATGAATCGGTACTCCTTGTATTTTAAAGATATATAATTGGAAGATTCCTATCAAAAATATTGGTTAGATGTTAATCGAAATCCTTTGTTAAAAAGATTAGTGATCTCTACTACTTTAGTTCAAATCACAGATCTATTATAAATTATTGTTACAGAATAATACGAAGTATTAAATTGGAATTATATACTTGTGCATTACTTATTTCAATTGTTTTTGAATCTAATCCTTATCATAATCAAAATTTATTAACCTAAATATATCAGAAAAGGGCTTTTATTATATAATCATTTTTTTGCCTCTGCTTTTGTACTAATCGAATATCAGAAATCTATGTATTCTATAAATTATTCAAAGATAATTTAATTAGGCATAATAGGATCATAATTTATAATAATTTTGTCATCAGACTTTATTGAAGCAGCCTACTAAGCAAGTGTCTTTCCTTCTATATATATATTTATATGGTCATATGGATAGGAACAGGTTTATTATTCTGGAATAGTTGCAGTATTATTGTCTGGATTAGTTTTGCTATAAGGTTTATATGATCATTAAGTTGCTTTGAGATCATAATTTTAATTAGGATTTATTGATAATCAATGGGAGAATATATTTACATAGTTAATTAGTGAATAATATTTAATATTTTATTTTGATAATCCTAGCTTTAGTTTTTAACTATCAAATTCTAAAAATTATATTTATAAAATAGATACAACTCAATAGCTTAAAACATATTTAAGAGCAATAAAATTAAACAGAAAATAAAATTTTGAGCAATTTTGCTATGAGTAGATTAAAAATCATACAAATTTTTCTAAGGATGATCTTAAATAGAATTTATCAATATTATTTTAGGGTAAAGCTCAAATAATTTAATATTCAATTTTTTACAGTATTAGACCAATAATTCTTTTATAAATTATTTCTAAAGACAAATATATGAATGAAACAGAAATATTAATTGATAAAAAAATAAATTTAGATTAAAACTATTAATTTAAATATAAGAAATTTATTTATTTGTTATATTAACCACTTAAAAGAAAGTGTAATGATATATCCACATCATTAAATCTTTTATCAAAAATTAGAAAAATATGTTTATATGCCAATTTATAAGAATATATTACACCTCATAGTATTTTATCAGTATAAATTTTTTAATTAGAATATTTATTCTAAAAATTAATTTTTATTTATTAGGATTATGAGATATAAATTGATAATAAAATCATATTAATCACAAACAATAAAGAACTCTTATTAATGTTTTTTATTGAAATAATAGAAAAAACTATATCAAAACATTTGAAAATATAAACATTATTATTAGAAAACTCTTAAATTTGTATAAAATTTGGTTGTTATTATTCCAAAAAATCTTTAGATTAGTTGATCCATAAAATAAGCCTTTATTCAAATTTTATAAATAAGATAGATTTTGAAGAATAATGTATAAAAAAATTAAATTTTAGATATTGGACTCTATATTAATAACATTTCTTTATAATTAGGAAATAAATTTTCGATACTTCCATCAAATCAAAACTAGTTACATTAAAATATATTAAATACTGATCGTTGACTATTTCTTGCTCTGATTTAATGATTAATTAATATTCTAATTATTTCATTTATTTACATACAAAAATAAATGATTCAATTTAAATAGACTAAATAATTTGTTTTATTAAATATTGACTATTAAAAATTAAAAAAATTATCAAGATATAACTTAATATATATTTGTAAGTATTTCTTTAAATTATAATTTTTTAATTTAAGTAGAAATTGAGTAGTGTCTATTTGATTTATGATAAAAATTATATAAAATTAAAAATAATAAATATAATGAATGAAACATATTAAAATCTGGTTTAATAGTTTTTTGAAAAATTGAAAAAAGGGCTTCCACAAAAGCTAAATTATTTTAAAGAGACAATTACTAAATTCTAAGGTTAAGATAAATCCTATTTTGGAGATCATTTAATTGCATTCAAATAAGGAATGTAAATCAAATCAAGTAAAATTAAGGAATTGACTTTAACAACCTTAATTGTAAATTCTTATTACATATTAGAACTTAGTATCAAAAGGCTATATTGATGGGTGCTTATTAGACAATACAGATAACTTTTAATAATATGAAACAATGGAAATAACAGACACTGCAAGTAAAAAAAAAGAATAGCCAATAAATGTGATTGAATCACTAATACATTTAGTTTAATAATGTTTGGTGGAAAAGGATGAAATAATTTCATTAGCATTAAAATTATTGATATCACTTGTAATGAATCCTTATTGTAATATGTAATATCATGAGCTAACGAAAATCATTAAAACTATCGTTTATATTTATGCACAATCAAAGTCATAAAATATTGATAGATTATGCAAAAGCATTTTCTTATAAATTATTTTGATAACATTTCAAGGAAGTAATTGTGAGAGTATTGTCAAAATAACATTAGATAATATAATTAATAAAGTTTCAGATATAAAATAATGCTAATATTGTGGTAAATAAGGTAAGTTTGAATGTAGATAAAATAAAGTAACTGTGTGTTCTTATGGATGTAAGAAATATATTTAAGAAACATTGGAATTAAAATAAAAAAATTATGAAAATGCATAGAATATCTTTGATTTATTAATAAGACTCTTATCTCCTAAATAATAATTTCAATAATTAAGAAATTAGATTATTTTATTAGAAGGAATTTATTTTATATGTGATAATTATGATCTTTCAGTTGATACTTAAAGTATATACAATTTAAGTTAATATTTATTGAAGTTTTGTTTATAAAATGAATACTAATTATATTCTTTAAGTTTTAAAATATTTTAAAGATTAGCATTCAGCAAACATAAAGAAATGATTAACTAAATAAATATTTTTATTAATTAAATCTATATTAGTGTTCTAATTAACAAAAATACAACAGATTAACATAAATTAACAACATTAGAATCATTATGTAATATCTTTTAAAGAAAACATGCCTCACTTGAATTTTATTTGAATTATGATTGTAGTATAAAACATGAATTTTTAATGGAAAATATCATCAATACATTGCATAATATCTTTTAACAAAATGAATAATTTAGACTAGTAATTACACAAATATATCAAGCTATTATTATGGGTATAGAATAAACTTTTAATGAAAAAGCAATCAGTAATTCTTAATAAGAATAATAATAGCCTTAAGATATTGATGAAACTGTATTTATAAATTAATTAGAGATGTAAAGATAATAAAAATAAGAAATATAAAAAGGAGTAGAAATCTTCAAAAAAAATCCTGAGAAAGGAGTATCATTTTTAATTAAAGCAAATATTTTATAAGATGATCCAATTTCAATTGCTAGATTTTTAATTGAAAATAAAAGTTTACCTAAAGAGTCTGTTGGATAATATTTAGGTGGTCATCATCCAATCAATATATAGGTATTAAGTGAATATACCAATTTTTTGAAATTTCATGATTTATCAGTTGAATAAGCTTTAAGATAATATTTAGATTTATTTACTTTACCACCTGAATCTTAATAGATTGATAGAGTTGTATAAAAGTTTGCAGATAAATTCTATGAAGATAATTAAAATAATTAGAATTTTCATTTTAAATCTAGTAGCAGCATTTATACTTATACTTATCTTTTAGTTATGTTATAAACTGATTTGCATAATCCAAAAGTTGTTGAAAAAATGAAATTAACAGATTTCATTAAATTAGCTAGATAAATAAATGATGGAGAAGATTTACCATAAGAATATCTAACTATAACTTATCAATCAATTTAAAAAAATCCACTTGCAGTTAGAGAAACTAATACACCTATGAATCAATTAACACCTAATTAATATTAGAAGTAGATGGAAGAACTTTTAAAGAAGATTAGAGAATTAATAAAAAGATAATCTAATTCTAATTATATTTAAATTGATTAAGAAACAATTTTATTATCAAAGGGTCTTCTTGAATCATTTTCAAGCAAATTCTTAGATATATTATTAGTTACTTATGAAACTACTCCTAATGGTGATAATTTAATTAAAAGTATTCTCTAATTAATTAAATTGTCTTCAAAATTATCTATGAAAATTGAAAATCTTGTTTAAGATGTTTTAAAAGTAGGTTTAAATAGTTTAAAAAAAGGAAGTACTATGTTAATGATTGGTTTATTATCTATAATTCCAACAATTGGTAATTCATTACATGAATAAGGATGGAAATGTGTTTTAGAGGCTTTAAGTTAAATGGATGAATTAAGATTATTAGATTCAGATCATACAGAAAAAGTCTTTATGTGTTCAAAAGATTTAGATAATTAATCTATTGAGGAATTTATTATTTAATTATGCTAATTATCAAAATATGAAATCTTTTAAAAACATAGAATATATTCATTATAAAAACTTGTTGAAGTTAGTGATTATAATATGGATAGAGTAAAAGTAATATGGAATAGATTATGGTCTATTGTAAGTTAGCATATTTAAGAAGCTGTTTCATTTAGAGTTAAAAAAATAACTATATTTGCTGTTGATTCATTAAAATAATTAAATATCAAATTTTTATAAAAAGAAGAATTGTATAATATACAATTTTAAAGAGAGGTATTAACTCCATTTGAATTAATCTACAATAATAGTGATTTCGATGAAAAAGAGTTTGTATTATTATGTTTAAAACAAATCCTTTAACATAGTAAAACTTATATAAAAAGTGGATATAAAGTAATATTTAATTTAATTAATCTTGGATTAAAAGAAGAAAATGAAACACTTTCAAAATTAGCATTTGATCTATTAAAATTTATAGAAATATAAGAATTGATATTAATTGATTTAATATAAACATATTAGATATTAGGTAAAAAAGATAATGAAAATATGGCAATTAATTCAATTGAATTTGTAAAATAATGTTAACGTTTTATGATAACTTAAGAGTAATAAACATTATAGGTTCCTCTTTTAGGAATTCTATCAAATTTAGCAGGTGATAAAAGAATTTAAATATAAACTTAAGCAGTAGAAACATTATTTTATATTTTAGAAGAGAAAGGTAGTTTATTTAATGAAGAATATTGGATTATGATATTTTCTTCTGTTTTGAGACCCATATTTGATGAAATTTAATTTACTTTAAGTACAAATCCAGAATTAAATTAATATTGGTTTAAAGATAGTTGTCAAAAAGTATTTTAAAATATTTCAAGTTTAATAAAGAAACATTACACAAAATTAAAAGGATAATTACCAGATTTTCTGAAATTATTTTAGAATTGTATTCAAAATTAAAATGAAAAATTAGCTTAATTAAGTATATAAGCATTTAAAATGATGATAATGGAGAAAGGTTTATAATTTGAATAAAAAGATTGGGAATTAATATTATTATTTATTTAATAAATGCTAAAATATACAATACCAACTAAACTTAAAGATATTGATTAATCTATAATAAAATAAGAATAATAATTTACTCGAAAACTCTAAAGATAAAAATCATTATAAAGTGTTACCAATAATATTATTAATGAATGTTATAGTCAATGTGCTGCCTAATTATTATTAATTTAAACAAGTAAAGATATTTGTGAACTTTATCATCAAAATTGGAATCTAAATTAATTGGATAATCTAGAAAATACATTTTATGAATCTTATTAATTTGCAAAATTATTTAATTAATAAATTGAACAAAGATACAATATTTGGAAATCAGGATTTATGCAAGATATGAATGTATTACCTGGTTTACTTCGACAAGAAAGAGAAGCATTTTCTTGTATGATAATGATTATTTAATTTAAAATGGAGATTTTAAAATAAGAATAATTAAAAATATAAAAACATAATTAATTATAATCAAATGAAGAATCATTAATTAAAGAATAATAATTTAAACAATAATATGAAATAGTTTTAAATAGATATTTACAAATATTATTAGATTCAATTAAATAATTTAATTACAAACATATCTAATTTATTAATTAATAATAAGAAATTGGTGAAGATCCTCTTATTAAAATTAAATAATATGAAACAGAAAGAGATATGTAAAATCTTAGAACACTATTAGATGTTTCTATTTTACCAAAAATATTATTATTAAGTGATTAAGAGGTAATATTAATTTTATTAATTTAGATTAAACTCAAATTAAATGAATTTTATGAATAATTATTAAATGCATGTAGTTTTGTAAGTGAATACTGTGTATTATAAATGGGATGTTAGGATTGTAAAAAATGTGTTAGATGTTTAAATTAATAAAAGAATAATTTATTTTTTCAAATTAAGAAATGCTTACTAAAATTGTTTGAGTTAAAATGATTATATATTATTATAAAAATGGATTAAATATTTATTTCTGGTATTGCAGGAGGCTCAGCAGGAATCATTACAGATTTTATCTTTTTTCCTATTGAAACAATCAAGACAAGAATCTAAGCATCAAATAATAAAATTGATTATTTCAAAACAGCAGCCAAAGTAAATAAATATAGAGGAGTATAGCCATCTTATCTATTATTTGAAGCTTTTATCATAAATTACAGTCTCCTTTCCATCAGCATTCATATTTTTCTCTACTTATGATACATCTAAAAAATATGGTTGTTCACATATGCTAGCAGGAGCATTAGGTGAATTTGTAACAAATATTATAAGAAATCCTTTTGAAGTTGTTAAAAATTAAATGCAAGTAGGATTAGATGCTAATGTAAGAGATACTTTGAGATCAATTTATTATGGATAAGGATTTAGAGGTTTCTATGCAGGATTTACTACAATAATAATGAGAGAAATACCATTTAGTGCAATTCAATTTCCAATATATGAAAATATGAAAATACACTTTGGAAATGATGGATTTGTAGATCATGCTTTGAATGGTGCTGTAGCAGGAGGTACTGCTGCTTTTTTAACAACACCATGTGATGTTGTGAAATCTAAATTAATGACATAAAGGAATCAATTTTATGATTCTCTAAGAGGTTGTGTTAAGTCGATATATGAGACAGAAGGAATTCTAGGTTTCTTCAGAGCTGCACATATTCGAACAATGTAGATCTCAGTATCTGGAATTATATTTTTTAGTGCATATGAAAGATGTAAATTTTATATTTCATCATTCAATAATAGATCATGATTATAGCTTTTTATAGAAATATTCTAATAATGAATAAGAATTTAGAATATTTTCTAATCTATTTCTCATATAATTTTCTTTATGTCTTATTCTATTCAATTATAAATTTCTTTATTATTATATGAAATTTTCCATTCTATAAGATGTATAATATTCACTATTGTTGTATAGTGTATATTTCCATTAATGCTTGCCCTTAAATTCTATTTACTAATTCATTAACTGGATTATAAATATCAATAATATTAAATCTTTCTTTTTTTTTATTTATCAATTCTGATATCTTTTAAGATGGATTTCAAGCAATAGTATAGTTCATTCTATCTTACATTATTCAAGGCTAAAATTCAGAATTTTTTTAGTTATTAGGTGAAAATTTAAGAATTTTACAATTATGATTATAATAGTTTCTTTTATTTTTAAGCTATGAGTTTAATATTTTGATTAATGGATCTTTCTTAATTTTAATTCATAACAAAGAGAATATATATATTTTTACTTTTTTTTGATATAAGTATTTCTTTAACTAAATAAAACTATTTATTTAATTTAATGAGATAGTTGCAAAAACTTCCTATCATGTATAGCTTCGCTTATTAAAAATTGATATCTAACTAAAATTTAACAATCTATAAATTTTTCACATTTTAGCATTCAAAATATAACCATCTAAAAATATTTTTAGGTTTAAATGAATTTTTATTTCTTTGAAATCTAATCTAATTAACAAGTCAAGTCTTACATACAGTACATAATTAATTATAGCCTTTCTTGTAATTGACAGAAATTTTGTTTAAATATTACACATAAGAAAAAGGGGGAATATTTTATGATTATGAAATGATTAGAGTAATAAGTTCGAGACTCCTTAGATATTCCTTAAACATTTAGGAAACATCTAAATGTGTTCATAAAAATTATAAGTGTCTTTATTAAATTTTTTAATGAATCATTAAGTATTGATTAAACCTTTACAAATTTAGGGAGTATTTCAATGTAATAAATATTCATATTAATAAAAAATATATGCAATAGAATCCTTTATAACTATTATTGAGTTTATTAGCTGCCAGAGAGGAAGTTATATTTATGATCAGAGTAATTGGTCATTAGATGCATGAAGATTGTAGAAATAAACTAGGAACATTAAGAGAAATATAAGATGAAATCATCAGAGGAGAACAAAAAAGGGAAAATTTAGAACATTATTTATTTTAGAATTTGAATGAAGGATATCGCAAACTATTTCTTCCTAAAATAATTTAGAAATATACCAAAATAACTTAATATTATTTAGTCAAAACTCAGGTATTTATTTTTGAATGAAGTAATAGATATACTTTCCAAATTAAGGATAGGTAATTTGTTAGGAAGTAATAAATTAACCAAACTTAAGGAATTCCATCTCACATATTCTTTAAGAATCACTTATAACCATACTGAAATTTATTTGTAATCTCTAAAAACAAAAACTAAAGCACGAACTTGCTCAAATGTTCAATTATGAATAGTATAAACCTATTTAAAATCAAGAGAGGACCGTTGTAATAGAAATGAAAAGTTCTATTCTGAACCACTCATCCTAGGAGTAATCGGATTACGTTATTTGAATGAATTGCATAAAAAATACTGTTATTCTGTATGTAAACATAATAATCGAAATGTTTATGATGTTCTTTTTTTAGATGATAATACAAAACAATTATATCTATATGGAGGAGGTAAAAATTAAATAATATAATTAGGATTTTCTAGTCTTATTAGTAGCATAACAAAATTAAAAGATAAATCTGTTGATAACACTTAATCAGTGTATATACCAATTGAAAGCACACTTGAAATAATTACATAGAGATATGAAAAATTACTAAAAGAAATTATGGATTAAAACTATCATGTTCAAAAATCTGTAAATAAGTATTATGATTAATACAAAAAATATAAAATGAAGCCTTTGTTAATAAAGGGTTATGTTACTCCAAAAAAACAAGGATAAGATTTTAAATCTTAACGAATTTAAAAAAGATCAATTGAATCTGGTCCTATGTTGAGTGATATGGGAAGATATTCTGAACCTATTAGTAGAAATCCATTAACTTAAGATTCTTTAAATTCAGTAAGATCAAAACAAGCAAAGTGTAGAACATAAAAATAAAGCGATATTATTCTAAGTGGATTTATATCACCAAAATAATAAACTATAGTCAGAAAACATAGAAGTTTAAAAAATTATGATCCATCTTTATTGAAACCAACGATCTTATAAAATTTTTATGATTCTAATATAAGGATTAATCAAAACACTAAAAAACCAAGTTGATTTTCATAAATATATAAATACATATGTCTCATCAATTAATAAAATTTAATATTTGTTAAATCAAATATAAAACATATTTTATAATATCTATTCACTTTCTTTCTCTCATATATATAATTTAATTAATCGAAAATTCAATTCATTAATAATAATATAAAATATATAATTAGAAAGTATTTTTAGAATTAATTTTAGAAAAATTACATCATACACATTAAATACATTATATACAATTAAATAATTTAGTTTATGATACTCTTTTTATCTAATTTTTACATTTCAAAATATTGAGATATAATTTACTATTTTGAGAAAATTAAATTCATCTGTTGAATATTATTGATGCTTTCTTAAAAAGATGATTGTGTCTCATTAAAGTAATAAGAATATTATTTTAATTGTAATACAATCAATGATTGTTGAATTATAACTACTTTAAACTATTTATGTTTAATTATCATTTTTTTCATATCGCCATCAATGACAACATCATTAATGATGATCAATTATTTTTATATTAATATAGATTACCATAAAATTCTAATATGAGTATGAATAATATCATTTTTAAGATATAAAAATGATTTAATGTATTTCAAGGCAATCAGACATCATAGTAATTAATAATAAATTATTAATTGCGAAAAAAAATAAAAAATAATGAATCAAAGTCGCAAATAGTAGAGTCTCCAAAAATCAAAGACTTAAAATATTTAAATAGAAAAGAAGCAAATTCGATCTAAGCATTAAGAGAAAACATACTCAAAAGCAATTCACCCCTCGAACTTATAATCAAAACCTTTTTCTTTAAAAAATTTAGATTTAGCCTTACCTGACAAGTATTCATATAGATTAATTTACTTAGTTCCATATCTTAGACAAATAATTCATTTTAAGATGATAAGAGTTGTTGCTGTATAGATTGTGGTAAGTTAAGTAAGAAGGTCAGAAATTTACAGAAGAGATTCACAGTGTTTAGGACAGAAATGTAAGTTTTGAAAAGGTAAAGATTACTTAAGAGATTTCAAAATGCTGTTCGTTGCATTATATTTCTCAAAGAAAAATGGAAGAAAATAAGATAATAAGAAAGAGCTAAAAGGTTATTTAGGTTTAAAACAAAAATTTTTGAGAATTAGCCTTTCTTTTAATCTTAAACACCATCTAATTAAGCATAATTATTATTTCTTAATTCCTAACTTCAGAGCGAAGAAAGATAAACAATAAATTCATAATTATAATCTATTTAAGTTAAAATATTTGATTAAAAGAACAAATAAAGATAATCAGTAAAGTTATATTTATAATAAAAACTGAATATTAAAAATGAGGAATAGGGATTGCTTCCTAAATTAGATTCTAATAGATAAACTAATTCAATATCCAGTTCAATATTCAGACCTATTAGAATACTTAAAACTTTAGGGGATGAGCAAAAATCACTACAGAAAGAATAAAATTTATCAACTTAAAATCCATCAGTAGCTCAGTCTCCATATCTTAGCCATTTGAGTGTATATAAATAATAAGATTCATAATTCTAAGTAATCAAATCGCCAAGATAAGTGATTAAAAGTTTTGCTTCAGAGACATTTTATCCTTAAAATACTTAGAAACATGATTAAAGAAAAATAATGGTTCAAAAACTAAAAAGAATAGAATGATTAAATTTGATAATAATTAATATTTAATAAGTTAATACATTTCCTATTGTTATGAATTTTATCTCTTATTATCAAATCATCTTATAAATATTTATATAATATAAATTAAAATAAATATTATAGTATGATAACTACAAGGGTTAATTTAATTAATGAGTAAGTGTGTTCTTAAGATTTGAATAAGTATTGCAATTAAATTATATTATAATAGTAAAAATTGTTTAAATATTTCTAATTCAAAATGACATTAAATTTAATTAACTATTTGAAATTTAAATACATAAATTGAATTTTTGCTTAAAGTGAGATAAACATATAATAATTTACTAAAAATTAATTAACTTTGATATAAAAAGAGCTAAATTTATATTAAATTTATTACATTTGACAATATTTTAGAAAAGGTTTAAGTATCTTTATTGTTTTCAAAGAGATTTTTAGTTTTTATTGTTTTCAAAGAGATTTTTAGTTAATTCTAATTGATGATGATTTATATTTGATTATTATTGAACGATTAATTAATTTATTAAAAATGCAGAGATCATATTAAGAACAAGTGAATTAAAAGGATTATTAGCATAAATTATATTTCAAAAATGGTTATCCATAGAATTAACAGTTTAAGAGAGATCCAAATTAATTGCTTAGAGGATTAGTACAAAATTAATAAGATAATTAGGTTGTAAAAACATGTTTACTTCACTTTATTGATTGGTTGAAACAGGGATTTAATTTGTGGTTGTTTATAGTAATAATTCTATCAGCCAGTTTCAGAGCCGAATAATAATTGTTTATGTGTATAATATAATTGGCAGGAAATTTATTCATGTCATCTTACAAGTTATATCAATAGATTTGTAAGGCTTTGAGATAAGTAAATGAATATTTTAATTAAACTGTATATGTGATTGGATGGGATCCAAAATGCCATATCAGTAAATGTCCTAAAAGAAATGTGACAGTAGGTAATTTGATTTTCTTGAAGAGGCATCAACCAAGTCCTATGAGCATATTAATTTTGAATTCTTAAGAGGAGAAATTTATGGTGTAAACATCTGAAAAAGAAGGAATGACTCATATGACGTAAAAACAATCAATAAAATTAACATCTACTTCTGATTAATAAAAAAATCAAACTCTAATCTATTATAAGAGAATAATGACAGGTAAAATAGAATTTGATCAATTGGACACAAATGACAATTAATTCAGAGGTTTCATTAAGTTATAAAAAGATCCAAAGGGTGAATATTTGGATTATAGAAATATAGTAAATTAAAGTAGTATGATAATAAATACAGATTGGGTAGTAGGGATAGTTATAAGTCATGATGATGAAGATGTTATAAAAATGTGGCATAATTGTTTTAAGAAATCCACAACTCATTTTGATAGATACTTAATGAAATTTTCTCGAATTTTTAGTCTTTTATATTTTATATAATTGGCATTTTGCATAACTATAATAATTAGATTTTAAAAGATTCCATAAGATTTTACAATATATAATACATTATGTAGAATATTTTAGAGTATAACATTTGTTCATCCATGTATAATTACTGGATTATGTGAATTAACATTTTAATTTTTCAATAATATCTTTGAAAAGAATAAAAATATAATAATATCTCATTCATCAGAATTATTAACTTTGACTAAGATAGATCATTGTATTTATGATAAAACTGGCACTTTAACAAATAATAATACAGTACTTTGTGGAGTAATATGTGGTGTTTACTTTTATAATCTTATTAATGGAGAAGGCATAAGAAATTCAACAAAGAAATATAGAAAATTAATGACTACATAACATCAACATAATAACATGTAAGAAATATAAGAGGAATAAGAAGAATAAGAGGAAAATATTTTAGGTATAGCTTCTCTATAAAAGAGTGAGAGAATGATTTAAAATCCAGGTAGTCATCATTCAGTAAAAAGCAGATTATAATCATAACATGATGAGGCAATTAGTTTTAATTAAGATGATGCAGTATTTAATGAGGAAGAACCAGAATCAAGAAATATGGTTTTCAATTTCAATCCTCATTTCATTAGATAATAAGATTAAATAAGACAAGTAAAAGCTTAAAGTATAGATGAAGAAATATCATCATCAGAGAAACCAATATAAGGTAATAGAAACAATAGAAGAACATTTAATAATAATAGTAGATTGATAACAAGAACAAGAAGAGAACCTAGGATTATAGAAAGGAATTTAGAATAAACATAAGAAGCTGGAAATGGATCTTTATTATCTCCTTCTCCAGTAACATCTTAGAAGGATATTAGAAAAGAAGTAAAATTATGTGAATCTTAAATAAATGAAGATGAATAATAATAATTATCAGAAAGTGATAGTGAAGATTAAGATCAAGAAGGAAGAAAAGATTTATTAGAAATTATAAGATTGGGAGAGAAATAAGCAGATAATTTTATGAGATCTCTTATTTTATGTTAGGATGTTAAAACTAAATATTCAAAACCATAAAATAAACCTAATAGAGATAAAAATAGTTAATTAATGGGAATTTCTGGAATTATGAATGAACATCCAAGTATGAATCCTTAAAATTTTTTGAATGAAAATACAGAAGAATATTAAGAATCTGTAATTAAATTTGCAAAATAATATCAATTTGAATTCAATTGTGCAGGTTTATTAAATAAAAGAATTTGTTATGAGATTAGTGCAAAAGGTTTAAGTGAAAGATATTTAGTATATAAAAAAGTAAGTGATAGTGATACATTTGCTATTTTTATGAAACCTATTTAATAAAGATTAAGGAATTAAGGAGCTTAATATGACAGATAAGGAACAGAAAGAAGTTAAAAAGGAGCTTAATTAAAATTGTATGTTAAAAGTGAAAATCTTGGACTTTTGGATAAATGTAAATTATCATAAAAAAAAAGAGTAAATTTAGAAAAATAAATAACTCATTAAGCTTAATCTGGTTATAGATTTATTGTATATGCTGGTAAAGATGTTCCTGAAGAAGCTGTTAAGAATAAAAATAAATATTAAGAAGTAAGTTTTGATACTATGGAAATGACACATCATGATAAAGAATTAATTAGAGATTTAGATTATTATGGATTAATTTGTTTAAAAGAAGATCAAAATCCAGGAGCTTATGCTTAAGTTAAGACATTTAAAAATCTAGGTATTTCTTAATGGATTTTAAGTGGAGACAAAAAGATGTAAACACTTTCTGCTGCTAATCATGTTGGTATTGTCAATAATAATAATACTTTATTAAGAATTGATGAAGAAGATGAAGAAAAATTGAAATTATAAATTAAGTCTCAATTACTATTTATTAGAAAATAATTATTAAAAGAAGATGAAAGTCAATAAAATGAATCAACTAAATCATTTATAAGTTAAAAATCATTTTCTGAAATGAAAAGAAGTGGTATTTCTAAAAAAGCTACTTTTGATGAAAATATGATATTAAAATCAAAAAAAGGAGAAGAACCTTTATAAAAAGTATTTCTATTAGTTAATGGAAAATCTATTAAACCTATTTTTAGTGATGATTATACAAAAAGCCATTTTCTATTTATTGCTTTAATTCTTAAAACTGTAATTGCATATGATTGTTCTCCTGCTGATAAAGAATTAATTACAAAAGCAGTAGCTAAAATTATGGAACCTAGTAATACACTTTTAACTATTTCAGATTCAGTTGATGATTTTAATATGAATTCACATGCAAATGCTACTATTTAATTTTCAAGAGAAAAACGATCATTAAAAATAGCATATCAAAATATCTAAGTAAATGATTTATAGCACATTAAATAATTAGTATTATATTTTGCCAAATTACTTCCTATGCATCTTAGTTAATTAACTGTTATGTGTACAAAAATAAGTTTATATTAATTAATAATATTTACTTTATTTGTATGTGTAAGAAGAACACTTTATATAGAAGAACATGTAGTATATTTATTAGCACTTCAAATTCATATAATTATTAATGGTTTACTACCTTCATTTGAAGATAGATCAAGTCATGAATAGATAGAATTAATGTTACCTTAATATTAACCTTAAGCTTACAAATGCTTTAAATCTAATTTTAGATGGTTATAAGAATTGTTTTATGAAGTAGTTATGTCAGCAGCTATAAGTGGATTTATGAATACATATATATTTGCAGAATTTATGATGTTTTTTACATCTGATCCAAATAATCTAGCACATTTGATGTTTTTATTTCAATTATTTTGTGTATTTGCTTTTGGTACTTCTTAAATGATTCATCTTAATGTTCCATTTGGAAAAATGATTTGGAATTTCATTATAACATTAGGATTGTTAACAATTTCATTTGCTATTGTTGTAGAATCTGATTAAAGAGTTTAAATAATTAGAAACATATTTAAATGGTAATTCATCATTGGAATTCTTACAGGAGTTGTTATTATAATAACAATTGATTAAATTATAAAATAAACAAGAGATTTAATGTTTACTCCAAGAATAATATTAAATTTTGTTAAATATTTAGAGAATGCTATGAAAAATTAATCAGGTAAAATTGTATAAGAATCTGTAAAATAATTTTAAATGTTAAATCATATTAAAATAAATAGATAATTCTTTAGAAAAATAAAAAAAGTATTTGAGAATGTATCAATTGATCCTTTCATTAGATCTTTATTTGAAAGTGAGAAAACTTAATCATTTAATGGTGAATATTCTAAAATATCACTTGTATTCAAGAATCATAATTATGAAAAATAATTTAGACAATTCAAAGTTTAGTACTATTATTAATAAAGAAGAGAAGTAGTATTAGTTCTTTTTATTGTGTTAAGAGTTAGTAGTGTAATAGCATGGCATCCATTTTCTACAGTTGAAGACACAATACTTAATATACTTTGGGCAATCTTTATGGTGATTTGGATATTAATACTATTTGTTACTAAAATTGTTGAAAAGAAATAAGTAGATTTAGCATCATTTTAAATAAAATGGGGTACAATTGAAGCATATTTCTTTATTCCAGTAGTGTTGATTTTAGATCATTTTTTAAGTGTCACACTTCCTGATGATAAAAGTTAATACTATTTTAGCACTTTTGGACAGTTATTATATTAATAGTTTTTAGCCTGGGATATCTTTCCTCCACCTTTATATTATCCAATAATTTTAACATTAATATTTTTTATAAATTACACTATAAGAGTAGCAAATTTTTATGATATTTAAGTGAATTCAGATTAAGAGACACCAACATTTAGAGTAGAATTTATAACTTTATATGTTCTTTTGTTCTTTCTGAACTTGTTATCTAATTATACTCATTATAATGTAAGAAATAATATAATTTTAGTTTTAACGATTTTAAAGATTAGTATTTTTATTTGATTAAGCTTTATAAACATAATAAGAACAGACTAATTAAATTTTGAAATCTTTGTTACCTGCATTTATATATGAAAAGATTGAATAATCAGAAGAAACTGAAATAGAAGAGAATTAAGGATCAATATCGATAATATTTTTAGAAATTTGTGAATTTGATAAAATCCTTTAATCTAAACAAAGATAGGTTGTAACATTTTTGGATGACATTTTTAGAGTCTTAGATAAAATATGTTTATAATATGGTGTATAAAAGATTGAAACAGTAGGTAAGACTTATATGGCATGTTCAGGATTGAAATCTACAGAAATAGAAAATAATAAAGATGGATTGAATCAATAAAAGAAGAATGAAACTGTAATTGCATTAGAACTGTCATTAGATTTCTTAAAGGCAGTATCTGAATTTAGATATGAATATAAAGATTAAGATGTTGTTAAATTATTTAAATTAAAAATCAAAATTGGAATTCATTATGGATAAGTTATTGCAGGTGTAATTGGATATCATAAACCTTAATTTTCCTTAATTGGAGATACTGTTAATACTGCATCAAGAATGTGTTCGACAGGAGAAGTAGGTAGAATAACAATATCAAATGAAGCCTATGAAAGAGTAAAGGATACTGAGTTTCTATTTACTACAAGGTAAGTTGTAGCCAAAGGAAAAGGTATGTTGACTGTTCATTAAGTGACTCAGAGGAAACTATAAATAAAAAAGCATTATTCATAATAGAAATATTACGAAGGTTAGAAAAATGGAAGATAACTCACTTTTGGAGTTAATAGAACAAATAATTCTAGGAATACATAATTAAAGTAAACATTTAAAGACATTTCTCCTCCATCTTCAGTTCATGATCATTTAACAACTAAAGAATATGGTCGAAGATCTAAAATCATGAATCATCCTATGTAAGGCTCTTAATTATTAAAAATAAAAAATAAAAACAAAGGAGCTGAACCTACAAGAGGTATGAAAAAAGCAACAATTAAAGAAGAATACTCTTCTCTAACTGAAATTGTATGGAGAGACAGGAAGTCTAAATCTTAAGTCATTTAAAAAACTGATTATAACACAAATGATTGGGAAGAAACAAAGGAAGATGAAATATAAATGAAATAGGTAGAAAAAGACCCTGAAAATAGAATAATAGGAGTTTCTGATAATGATATTGATGGTCCTGAAACAGAAGTAAAAAGTGAAAGAGTAAAAAAAGTAATGGATTTAGAAATTCTTAAATATAAGAAATTAACACTTGAATATGAAAAATGTAATGATGCAAATATAGTAATGCAATTTGAATAATATTATTAAGAAGTAAGATCTGCTTTAAAAGATATATTTTATCCAATGACTATTGTCTATACTTTATTTAAGGCTTAAATTTAATTGATAGATTCTGGATAAGATGGACTAACTATATATATTGTTAGAATGTTCTTAAGTTTATACTTAATAATATTATATTTTATTACAAGTAGATTAAAGAAATATAATATGCATAATTTAGATTTAGCTTTGACTGGTCTTTATTATGTAAGTGCATTTTTAACAATGTTTTTTGTTACTTTTAATAATTAATAGAGATTCCTTATTTCAGATAATGCTGAAGCATATTTCTTTGCATTTTCAGCTGTAAATTAATAATCATTAAAATTCAAGTATATGTTCTTCTATATTTTATTATAATAAGCTGCATGGTTTGTTTAACTTCTATTACATTAACATAATAATTTATTAGTATTTATAGTATTATCCACAATTATCTTAGTAATAGTTTCACATAATAATTTTGAATTAACAATTAAAAATTTTAATAGTGCTGCCAATGAAAATTTAAAAAAAGAATAAAGAGATTCATTATTAACTAATTTATTACCATCACATATTTTAACTAGATTCTATTAAAATAGCAAAATTAAATTAGAACTATCTGATGTTTTAATAGATGCAACACTTTTATTTGCAGATATAAGTGGATTCACAGCATATTCAGCAAAGGTTTCAGCTGAATAGGTTGTTAAGATGTTAAGAGAACTTATGACATCATTTGATAAAGAATGTTTATAATAGAATGTTTATAAGGTATATACTATTGGAGATTGTTATGTTGTTTTGGGAATTAATGATATGGAATAAAGACATCCTGGTTAAGAAGCTAAAAATGTCTTAGAAATGGGATTAGAAATGGTAGAAATTATAAAGAGAGTAAGAAAAGAGATTAACTTTAAAGATTTGAATATGAGAATTGGAATACATACAGTAATAAATTATTATTTATTAATTTAAGGGATAATTCTATGGTGGAATTATTGGAACAGATATTGTAAGATATGATATATTTGGTATTGATGCAGTTATTGCTAATAAAATGGAATCATAAGGAGAAGCAGGTAAAGTTATGGTAAGTGAAGATACAAGAAGATTAATTAATATACATTTTCCTGGAGAATATATTTTTACTTCAAATAAAGAAGTAGACATTCCTGTTGCTAAAAAGAAAGTTTAGGCATATTTTGCAACAAAAGCAGATATTTTAAGTCGACAAGATAATTCTAGATATATTTGATTGTTTTATTTATTAACTTTAATATTTTTCTATATTTTTAAATTAAAATAATAAATTTGTTGATTATTTAAATAAATAAATAACATATCATTTTTTTGCAGTTCCATCTATTTATGATAACATCTAAGCCATCAATTTTTTAACTTCCATTGTTATTTTCATCATTAATAATGACTATTATCTTGTGTATTCCATAGATGTTTGCATTGATATTGAGATATACTCTATAAACTCAAATAATTATTGACTTTGCTTTACAGATCTATTTATAGTAAGCATCATCATTACGCATATAATTCATCTTTATTTACTTTTTGTTGTCCCTTAAAAATCTATTACATAAACTTATTAATGTCTTAATCATTCAATCTTTTGTTTAAATTAATAGGTTTGTTTTCTCCCTTACAAATTAATACCTTAGAAATTCCTCTAAATAAACAATCAATAAAAAAGAAAAATTCATCTGAAGTGATATGATTTGTCTTATCTGAACCAAAAATTACTGCAATATCTAATCATATATCAAAAAATTACTTACTATAAAAAATTTAACTAACTTCTCCAGTTGATAAAAGAAGCATAACTGAAAACAATTCTGTTGCATCAATTCTTCCTATTCCTCTTGAATCAAATTATTAAAAAACTGTAGCCAAAGCTTACTTTTTATTGGAGATAGAATCCATAGCTTAAGATGAATCAAAAAATAATGGTAATGGAGCTTAGTTCTTTTTTGTCAATTTTTATAAGATCGATTTTAATGTCTCTTAAGTCCCTAATATTATGAATAAATTTAATTACATCCTCCACAAAGTTCTTCTAAGGCAGGTAATAAACAGGATTATTCTCTTAAATTATTAAAGTATTATTATCTAAATTATGTGAAGGGAGTAATTTCGAACTTTTAATACATTATATAATAAATGAATTAAATTAATATTATAATACTATATTAAAAACAACTACAATAACTCTATTCATGAATTCAATTATTTTAATTCTTCAATATATAAATGAATGTACATTAAATTATAATTTAAAATAAAATATTTTCAAAAAGTTAGCATTTCATTTTTATAGTAAATACTAATTAATTTATCGATTTTATTTCATGATATTAATAAAACTATATTTATTTCTAAAAACAATTAATATTAATCATTAATGTGTAATTTTAGGTCCTTAATAACCATATTTAATCCATGGTGGCATCTAAGGTTTACTAAATACTTCAGAATTTATAAGAATATATCCCAAAGTAGACATTACCATTGATAATATTAAAAGCAAAAAAAGAGAAGGTAAATAATAAACATATTTTTAATCTGGGAAATAATAGTATGAATAATGATCTTCAGGCAGAAATGGCTTATTTATTAAAATTTTTTACTTTTAGTAATAACCATGAACAATAATATATATATGATCCAACTATTAAAACCAAAGCTAGCAATCCTAAAATTCTCATTATAATAATTAAATAATAATGAAGATTAATAAAATCAATCTCAAAATTGATTATAATATATTATTATTATAATAAAGAAACTCAACAAGTTTTAGTTTTTGTAATCTAAATTCATTACTTATTTCCAAAAATAATAAAAATCATTTTAATTCTTCGAATATTCGTTATAATCTTTCATGATTAATAACTATAAACTTTTGAGGTTCATTTTATTATGTTTAAATTAATGTTTTCTTGCTTGTATTATGATTAGTCTAATTTTCAATTTATGGTGTACAATTTCCATTAACCATTATTTAATCTCTTCTCTCTATTAAATAATTAAGTAAACTATTAATGTTTGTTTTCCTTAAATCTCCATTACTTTCCTACATATTTAAATAGTTTTTAATACTTATTATGCATATTTTAACATTAGTTTAATAACATCCTCTTAACCTCTTTTATATTCTGATATACAATATTAGCAACACTCTTACATAAACTCATTTAAATCTTTTCTTGTTATATCATACTATGCATTTAATTAAGGGTCCATAATTTATATGTTGTATATGTACTAATATTATTATAAACAGCAATTTTAATTTTCTTATCAAGAAAATAATAAAAAAGAAATTAAAAGGGCATAATATAAACACATAAAAAAATTATAATTGTTGCTCTTGATTATATCAAAATTAAGTTAATAGATTAATTTACTCAAAAATAATCAAAACACATCTAATAACTGATTTATTTTCATTTTAATTTATAAAGAATTTTGTATTCAATTCATTTCTAGTAATAAAAATTAAAGAAATTATTGAATCAATTTTATTAATCACTAAGACTTTAAGATTAAATAAAATTTGATTATTTTCAATACAAATTATTAATAATTGACTTAAATTATGTTAAATTTTGAATTGATCTTGTTTCTAAGTTTGTTGTTTATTAAATAGAAATCAATTATTTTAAAGTTTTTTTGATATTTCTAGTTAAGATCACAAATAGTTATTATGACAATACTTTTGGAACTAGAAGGAGATGGAATTTTGAATTAAGAAATAATCTAATTTGATTAGTTTATAGATTAGGATCAAGTGTTAATTCAAAAGAAAAACGCAGAAGAATTCAGATATTTAGTATTAAATGTCAATCTCAATTGAATTATTTATATAAAAACCTACTCAATTATCAAATGGATTCAATTGACTATACAGAAGCAAAATTCAAATTTTTAGGAATTAGAAAACACTTTTTTAAAGATGTCACATATAATATTACAGTTTTTGATGAGATTGTCATTATGGGAATAGTAGAGATTGTAAATTAAAATTAGACCGCTGATTGCTAAAATCCTAAATACAGAATAAAATTGAGTCTAGATACCAAAATAAACTGGGAGTTAAGTAAGAATAAGTAGGAGCTAGAATGCTTTGAATTTCCATATTAAAATAAGAAAAAGGTTGTTCATGCATAAGCTAAGGATTTATTAAGGTTCTTTAGTATCATTTTATATTAGATTTAAAGAACTATTAGCTGGAAAAGTGTTATTTGAAGGCATAGGAGACCTATATTAACCTCTATATTAGGTGGGTAAAGGAAGTTCAGCAAAAGTATTAATATTAATATGTTATTAAGGTGTACAGTGCAAGAAATGTTTTAGATAAAGGAGTTTATGCTGTTAAAGCAATTGAAAAATCATTTTTGAAGCTTTCAGAAAATGGAAATGGAATGGTAATTAAAAAGTATACTTTAGTAAGCATTTAAATCAGAAATACAAATCTTAAGATCTTTATCATAATATGAACATAATTTCTTAGTTTTGAGTGAAATTTATGAGGGAGACAGTATTTTTTATGTAGTCACATCATATTTGGAAGGTTTGAGTTTGAGTGGAGAATTGGAGAAAGCAAAAGTGTTAATTAATAATAATTATATATAGACTCTTCCTTAGAAAAGATTACCAATATAAAGTATATAGATTATAATGAAGAAGTTACTTATAAATTTAAAAATTCTTCATTCACATAGAGTATATATATATATAATATGTTATAATAGATAATTCATAGAGATTTAAAACCAGATAATTTGATGTTTGCAAGAAAAAACGACTATTCTTCATTAGTTTTAGTGGATTTCGGGCTTGCAACTTCAGAACTATTAGATAAGTAATCAAGAGGATCTATACAAGATATTTATTTCCAAAGTGTGGTACACCTGGTTACGTAGCTCCTGAAGTATTAGGTTCAAGAAGTGATTTAAAGTATAATTGTAAAGTTGATATATTTTCTGCTGGTTGCATATTCTATAAATTACTCACAGGACATAGTTTATTTTTGGGATAGAATTTTGATGAAGTATTAAGATCAAATAGACATTGTCATATGGATTTAGATTTACCTTCTGATGGAAATTACATTACAGATTAATCATTAGTATATTTAATTAAATCTAAATTAGGATTTATTAAAAAAGATGTTGAATAAAAATGCAAAGAATAGAATCACTGCAATTTAAGCTCTATAACATCCTTTTATTGATTCAAATAGTGAATTAAGTACTTAGGCAATATAAACTACTGGTTAATAAATGGTTAAAAATGCCATTTATCAATTAAATTTGGCTGAATTGGAATCTAAATATAATAGTTAAAATGAAATAGGGGAAGAATAAAATTTAAAAATTAATGATTTAAAGAGATATTCTATTATAACTGAAGTGTAATAATAATAGATGTCTATGTCAGCCAAAAGAAGTAGTGGTTAGTTTTCAGGAACATTCTATTAGAAGGATCCATTATCAGCTGTTCGTACATTAAAATTACATACAGAAACATCCTAACCTATTAAAAATAGTAGTCATCATTCATAAAATTCAGATTCTTAATTTTGATTCTTTAATCTTGTATTGTTAATATAAATTATTAATCATTTATTTGACAAAGATTTTTGGGATCCTATGCTCTTCTAACTTTATAATTCTTCTTAAGCAGCAGCCAATGTAGTATAATCACCTTTAGCAGCTAATATATAGGCTGAAGCAGATGCTTATTATGAAATCCTTCTGATCATTTTTTTCATATCTTCTTTTGAATTAGGTTCTTTACTATCAATTGATTTAAATGAGTTTGTTGATAAAGGTTATACGAATTTACTAATAGTGGCTTATGCTTTTTCAGTTGAACTTGTTAAGGTAGGTACAATCACTAAGAATATTAATATATATAAAATACTAGATTAACTTAATTTGTTTCCTCTTTAAAATGTTTATTATTACTATTGTTGTTTTTATAATTCAAATTGCATTTCATCATTACATATTTATATTCTATGAATTTTTTATTGAAGTGACTCTACTTAATCTTTCAATTCTTAAATTTATTAATCCTTTAGGGCTATCTCATCTTATAGTTTTTGAATTTGATCAGTATCATCATGTATTGATGAAAATAAAGCAGTACTACATGATATTTTTGAATCACATAATTTAGTTTCCCCTTCTCTAAAATCTTTAAGTGCTCCTAATAGAAGTTCTCTTCTCTTTTTTAAAATTGGTCCTCTTTTATCTATTATCTAATTTTAAGATGTTAGTTTGGAGATTAATTCCTATAAGTCATCTTAATATGTTTCTTGTATAACACCTAATTAATGGGCCATAAAGTAAATAAAATTTAATTAGAGAATAATTTATGAGTTCACAAATTTTGTTATCTTAAATTGTACTCTCAAATATTTATATATTTATAAAGAAACAAACTAATTGACAATTTAACGTTATTCATATATTATTCAAATAATAATACTCTTTATAAAGAATATTTAATCATTTTCAATTTTCTTAAACTTTTTATGATAAATATTAAATTAGCTACAATATTAATATAGAATATCAAGGTATCATATATCCAAATGATTGATAATAATTATAATAATTATGAATCATATTCATGAATTAAAAAATTAGAAAAAAATTAAATCATTTTCTCATATTCTTTTTGATATCTAATCATTCTTATATCTTATATACATATTATAGAATTGTATATATAAAGTATTATAATCAATTTTTATTTCAAAATTTTACCATTGATTATTAGATAGAATAAAATCAATTAACACAAAAATAATAAGCTTTTTTTCTATTCGAATTATTTTTGACTTTCCCTTAGACAATTAAGTATAAGATATATTTCAAAATCTGTTGGAAAAGATAATTCAAATTTAAAAGAACCAATATTAAGTATAAAAACCTCCTATAATAATTATAATTATCTCAGTAATTATTACATGCAAATGAAACTTGATTATTTATTTGAATGTTATTAGTTTATATTATTTTATTCATTTAATTCTTATTCATTATAATTACATACATTAAATCATTAAATACCTAAATAGAATATCACCAATTTTTGAATGTATCAAATTACAAAAATTTTTCAATAATTAAAATAAAATGTAAATCCTCTTATTGTTAACTATACTTTGTCTCTTAAGTACAATTAATGCATCTTGTGAACTTGTGAATGGATAATGTCCATCAGAATGTAATTAAGTAAAAGGGGAATGTGTTGCCTAAAACTGTTTTGATTTTACTGCTAAATTGGGTGACTCTTAAACGAACCCATTCAAGGGTTCAATAGCTTATATTGATGGCACTATTGATTTGAATATAACTATAACTTATACTGATCCTAAATTTTCAGATGCCACAATAAAAGGGATTACTAAAGGAGAAAATACAGAATCATGTCTAACTCTAAAACTATATAAATATTAAAATAGTGATCATTAGATAAGAGATGAATCAAGTTAAACAATCAATTACATAAATGATGGTTCAAGTACTAGAGGTTATTAATTCACTATACCAAGTAAAGACTTTGTTAAAGAACTATAATTATCAGATAATGGAACCAGTTTCATATTCCAAGGATATTATGGTTTTGATTTTAATATAGGATCAAGTTTGTAAAGAGTTCTTTATTTCGACTTCCTTGCAGGAATAGATAGAACATCAACTTCAAATTTAGATACTAGTTTTGGAAGTTTAAGTTAAAAAGTTGAGCTTAATTGTACAGGAGAATGTGTTACATCAACTACAAGTTCACTTAAATTCTGTTCTGATGAAGCATGTGCTTCACCAACTGATAAAGCTGACCTTTATTTGAATGATCAAATATGGTTAAAGCATACATTAACAAAGGATGGTACATAAGTTTATTACTTAACTAATCCTGAGATTCATTTTACTGGAGATAAGTTATTCAAAAAGGCAAATATCATATCTTCAAAGCTAAATTAGAAAGGATATGCTATGTATTTGATTAAAGTTGAGATTGCATGGAGATCTGTAACAATATCTGCAAAAGCTACCATATCTTCAACAGCAGGATCAAGAATATTGGATGAATCATCTAGATTATTATAGGAAAATTAAGGATCAACTTAAGGGCTTACTTCAGAAATAGAGTGCGTGAAAGATAAAGATTCTAATGAATGCATTGATTGTGACGAATCCTTAGATGTCAATAATATTGATGAACCTTAAGAAGATGGATGCCCAACAGGTAGTAGTGGTTTGAGTTTGTTCTTTGGAAGTTTGATTTTGGTGACTTTATTCATTTGATCCATTTATATAAATAATTATTTTTATTCTATTTGAATAATTACCTAATTTGAGAATATAAATATTATTATTAATATAATTAATTGATATTCAGATAGATTAGTTAATTATTTTTAAACATTTTAAGATGGAATGCAAAGGAGATTACTTTTGTTAATTCCATAATCCATTTTTAGTTTAATACTCAAGAGCACTCTAAGCTAATTCTATTGATTTCAAGAACAGAGCCTTGTTTATCTATGTAATGTTGGTTGCATTGCCAATAAATTCACTAACTGTTATTATGTATTGATCAGCCCATAATGCCATAATTTAATATAGATTTGCTTCATTTTAATTATTAAATTTAAGGTTTAGATATTCATTCTATGAAATTTCTAGTAATTCAATCAATGGATTCAAAAATACTCTAATTTTTTGATTGCTAACATATGATTCTAATTTAGTTTAACCTGTAATCCATGAGATAAGTAATGTAATAATCTATTATAAGTCTTTCATTCCTTATTCATAAAGATCCAAATAAAATTAATTTAATGGATTTTAACCTCTTTTTGGTCTCTCTAATTAATCTTATTATAAGAAATCTCTAATTTATTATTAATTCCACAAAAAGAAATCTCTATTTCTAGAATCCATTACAATAAATTAAGTTCCTTATATACATTTATATGCAACAAAACAAATCCAATGATTTGTTACTCCAAGCATATATGTTTAGATTAATTCTTCATTATTTTATGGTTTGAATTCTTTAAATTAATCAAATTTTCTAAATTTAAATAATATGATTACTTTTATAAGGCTACTCTTTCATTATATCCATTAATTACATTACCATATTAAAAGAATATAGTATCATTTGTAACTAAGTATTTAATATCTTATATTATTTCATTTTAAAATGTTGTTTTAAAAAGTGGTTTAGCATGTAAACAACTTTTTAAATAAGTTCTTTCAAAATCTCCTTTTTCAATATCAGAATCTCTCCATGGCCAAATAGTTGAATCTAATTAGTATTTATTTCTATATTATCTTAAGAAATCTTAGGTTCTTTTAACATATGTCCAAAATGCTGCTATATTATAAAATAAAGGTGGGATTCTAAAAAAATATATTTAAAAATTCTTACTTATATTTAATACTTTAAACACATTGAATTAAATTATAGGTTGCATGGTATCCACATAAATTAGGAACATTTTATTTATGTACTAAAATATGATGAAAATGTTATTTGATTGGAATGTATTCATTTTATAATTCAACTACTCTAATTATATTTTAGATTATTGGTATATTTGGTTCATTTTTAAAGTATTACTATATCCACAAACCTTATTTGATTTTTTAAGAATTAGAGTTCATGTAATTAATAAAGTCATGATGCTTCTGAATCTCTGAAACTATATTAAAAATGATTTCTTATGCTGGATGTAGATTTTCCATTAAATCAAATAATCATTCCAACTTAAGTATTAAATGTACTCTACATTATCAGATTTTATTAGAATATGATTAGGAATAATTATAATATTAATTTGTTTTCAACAAAGAATCATAATAATATAAGTTAAATAGTATTATAATGTAAACATATAAATGATTGCATATTTAATAACAAATATAATAAAAAATAATGATAATTTATCTTATATTGTTGCCTTATTAATTAACATAAGCAAATTGGAATATTCAAATCTAATATTCTACATTATGTACTTGTAAATAAATAAATCAACCTTATTTATGTAGTTCAAGTCAATTTTGTTAACTTGATTTGGATTTTGAATGCACAGAAGTGCTTAATTATAATTGTTCATATTTTAATGAATAGACAGTTCTTTATTTATGTTCTTAATTAGATAGATGTTTTTTAAAAGATGATAAATGTGTAGAATTGAATAATTGTACAGAATTAACAGGTTTAACAGATTAAGAATGTTATTAAAAATCTAATAGATGTGGTACATCATTAAATAATGTTTGTTAATTAACATAATGTAAAAGTTATTTGAATGAAAATGACTGCAACAAATCTTTATTTAATATACGTTTTGATAATGTTGGATATGGAAATGTTTGTTATTGGAATAATCTAATTTAATAATGTGAAAATTTATTATGTGAAAATGTATCAGTAGATTAGTGTTAATAATATACAAATTTATGTTAAATTGTAAATAATTTATGTACATGGGCAACTTGTCCAAATTCATCAATTGAGAATTGTAATTTTGTATGGGAAGGTTCATAAAGAAATGCAATATAACCATGTGTATTAATTAATGGAATATGTTAAAATGCAAATGGTCCATAAGATTTAAATGCCAAAGATTGCACTTAAAATACACTATATACTTATATTTATACATCTGAAAATAATTGTTAGTCATGCCAATATTCAAATCAACTTTATATGTAAATATTACTATTCATCATATTATTATATTATTGATTATAAATTAACATAATTTATTTCATATGCATTCAGCATCTATTAAATTAAAGTATTTCTCATTTCCTTATTTACTTTCATCTATTATATGTGCATATAAATTATCTTTAGATAAACTAAACTCTTAATCTATTTAAACATCATCTAATAATTAATTAAAATGTTTTCCAAATTAATTTCTAAAATCTACTTATCTAATTCTATTTCCACTATATTAATATTTCATCAATTCTTCTTATAAAAATATTTTGATTCGTTTATATTTTGATTTCAGATATGCAAATGCAATTTCCATAGTATCCTCTATCATTTTATAATTTCTTTTAATTCTATCACTTGTTACACTTAAAATCTAAGGATTATAATTGATTTCTAATAACCATATATCTAGATCATTATCAAGTAAAAAGTCAATAGCCAAAAACTCACAAAATCTAGAATCTTAATAAAATGCATATTATCCACTTCTAATTGTGTGAATTATTTTAACATAAATTCTTGGATAAAGATATTCTTAAAGCCAATTTTAATTTTTAGGTATTCTACCCTATTCTTTCAATAACTCTTCAATACCCTCTAAATTCCAATCAATGAACATCTCCTCATCTTCTTCTTAACTTTCTATAGAATTACTTTAATTCTTATGAGTTTTCTCTGTGATAGCAGTATTACAAATATGAGCAGGTATTGATTCTGATAAAGGATTATATTCATTAGCACATCTTTTGATCAAAGCTCTTTTATACATATACAATTATAAAGGTTTACTGCTAGCCAAATAAATGTACATTCTGAATTCAATTTTATGTCCCTTATATAAAAATGGTTTATTAATATATTTCTAAGCCACTATTTTCTCAGTTACATTACCACACAATTCTCCATTCTCATATACTGTAGTAATGTTTTCTATTTATTATTAAAACAATAATCGTATGCCTTCTCCTCTATGTTCATCAGTCTTTAACAAATAATCTGGACCATTATAAACTCTCTTATTATTTTTATATTCTTCTTATATTTTGTTCAATTATTTAAAAAATGATTAACACTCTGTTTTAACATTTAATCTTAATGTATCTGGTACATAAGATGCACTTTCTATACATTATGAACTAACATTCCGTTTTTTCATATCATAGATATATTTTGCATAATTATATATTAAACTGTTTTTGCTTGTTAAAGTATACAATCCAGGTATATGATTTAATTTTTAAAACAAACAACCTAAACCTTAACCAAGATGATAATGATCCTACAATCTCGGTTTAAAAGTATAAAAATATGATAATTAAGGAGGAATTCTATGTTAAAATTTTGTGGTTGGCTCTTAATTAAGTTTAGAAATATATTACTTTGCAATGGTTAAATATTTTGGATTGAATCAAACATTCTACTTTTGATTATTTCTCTTTATAAATTTCCTTTATCTAATTCTCTCATTATATATTTATCCTAAAGTAATATGTCAGGATGAATTAATTTCTACATTAATTGTTATTATTACTAATGTATCTGATTCTATGCAATAACTAGGTTCTTCTATCATATTAAGATATGTTTCCTTTCATATTTATATATACATAATACATTATAGGATTATTTGAATTTACTGTAATTAGTATGATCCATCATGTAGGTTTACATTAATGGTACATAGTTTGTTTTTAATTTTTTTGATATTGTCAAATGATAATCATGAATCTAAGCAACAATTGTATAGATGAAACAAAAAATAATACTAGCAAAGCCTAATTTGTAAATTATCATCAAAATAATTATTAATAAATAAATCAATTAATATTTTATATTTGTTCTTATTAAATCCCATATAAGTATGTTACTTTATTCTAATATTATTTAATATCTCATTATATTTCAATACTCTTATTATTTGATATTATATTTAATACAATTTTCTATAATTTAGAGTTATATTTATTTACTATATCTAATATATATGATATTTATTATTCATTAATCTTTTTATTATAATCTATTTATTATTTATAAGAAATAGGAGAGATATATTATTATAATGTAAAATTCTATATTCATATTTTTATTGTTTATTATTATTATAATTTATTAAAACACTATTTAATTTTACGAAAATGGGAAATAATCATGAAAAATTCTTCTCTAAAGAAAAGCGTAAACTATTAGTTTTGGGACTTAATGGAGTTGGAAAGTCAAGTAAAGATAAATTTTTCATATAGCTCTTATAAAAACACTTAATCAAGGAAATTATCAAGATAAGAAGGAAGATTTATAAATTGTTGACATTAAATTAAAAAACATTACACTATGTGTTTTTGATATGGGAGGAAGTGAAAGATAGAGAATATTTTGGAGACAAAACTTTTATGGAAGTCAAGGAGTAATTTATGTTATTGATGGCAACATTGATATCTAAAAGGCATTATTGGAATTAGAAAAAATAATAATTGACTCAGACCTTAAAGATGTAAAAACCTTATATTTCTATAATTAAGACTCCAATTGCAGTATTTGTGAACCAAAATGGAAAAGACAATCCTTTTGATAAGACAGAAGAATTTTTAAAGTATATTTATTTTATTTTCCTTTAAATAGAAATAAGACAAGAAAAGTATCTGTTTTCAAAGGTAGTACATTAGAATATAAGGACATTATGAATTGCATAGAGTGGCTTGGCAAAGAAATGAAACCTATTTGAATTATTTATATTATTAATGTTTGAAGACGAAGATAATGAAAATAATATTAATGTTGAAGAGATTAACTATAGAGATAGAGCAGAAGAGAGAAGAAAAGGGATCATAAACTAAGTTAAGAATGGAGAATATGTAGAATTAGAAGGATTTGAGAAGGATATTAAATTAAATGGTTTAGATTATACTCTGATATAATAACCTTAAACAAATACATTAAATCAAGATATAAATAAGTCTAGCATCATAGCTAAAATAAAAAAAGACTTATCATCTGCAAAAGATAAAATCCCTAAAAAAGCAACTCATCCAATGGCAATCAAAATAGAAGCTTTTTTATAAAATAGAAATTAAATTACTCATTTTAAAAACACTATGACGTTCATTTATAAATATGATATAGATCCTAATTATGGAATTTCAATGCCATAATTTTTTACAAAAAAATCTAATCAAGATGGAGAAGATCAAATTTAAGTTATATATGATGAAAAATCTGTTTAAATGATATAAGAAAGCATTCTCAATACTAATAATTTATCTATTAAGAGATATTAAGAAAGACATAAATTTGACTAAAAAATTCTAATTGAAAGTAATGTTCAAGATGATGAATCTGATGACATCTTTAATGATGCAAAACAAGTTAATAAACCTAATGTTGATGTCAATAAGATTCTAAAAGTAGAAATTGAAAATGAAAATTTCGATATCACAGAATACTTATCTAAGAATTAGTTTGATTAAAAAACATATAATTAATTAAAGTAAGTATAAGAATAAGAGGAAAAGGAAAGAGAAGGTAAATTTTATATATATATATCTATTAGAGAAACTAAAGAGACATAAAAAAATGCTGGAAGGATAAGATGATTATTATTATGAATGTTATTAACCTCTTGGGTTGAGTATAGCTGAAGAAAAAGATCATTAAGCAGAAGTTGAAGCAAAGAAATAAGTAGATCCAAATTTTAAGAATTATGACTTCATAAAATAGGACTTAAGAAAAAAGAAGAAACATAGAGAAAATTATTAAAAATAATTGGATTAAATTGAAGATGTAAATTTGATTAACTATGTAGATTATTTAAAAAAAGAATAAATGAATTATAATAATATGCTGGTAATAATAATTATATCTTATATATATATATATATATATAATAATAATTATAACTTTTTATTTTTATGATAAATTTTTGATTATAATCCTTATTACTCTTATATTTTAGATTATATCAAGTTTAATACAATTTATGACTTATATTAAATTATAATGAGTATATATATAGTAAAATTAAGTAAATTAATAGTTATTAATTGATATGTATAATGAGAAATTGGTGATAATATTAATTAATTATTAATTAAATGAGTCTTACCAAACCAATAAAAGAATATAAGTTGATTTTGCTTTAGAATAGTCTTTATAAAAAGAAATTTGAGTACAAAAATAAAGATAAATTTCTTAAAATTTTAAGAATTTCAATATCAGACGAGAATATATTGAAAATAACTAATTTTGAGATAGACAACTTAAATACATTAGAAATACCAGCTGAATGTATATAATATTGTATTATTATTAGCATCTATAACTATTCATATTACATTATAAGCATCTAAGAATTCAAATGTGTATATGAAATTTATTAGGTATGATACAGATTAAATAGAGGAAGAATTGGTTTTCAAAATAGAATTAAAATAATGATTGTTGTTGTCAACTAAATTTTAATTTATATCTAATAAAATATTATTGATAGGTATTTTTAGATGTAAAAATAATTTAACGATTTATATATAATAATTAATTAATAAATGAAATTTGAAATCAGAATAAACTATCTAAATGAAAAGGTAAGGGTTGTATATCACAATTTTTGCATTCATCACAACAATTACACTTGGATGTGCATTTGATTTTACGTTTTTGGCATTCACAATACCCTTTAGAACAACTAGGAATTAATTTAGAGGTCATACTCTTATTTTCTACAATTACATCCTATATAATCTGATCCAGATTATTTTGAGACAGCTGATTTTGGTTATTTATTTGAACAATTGTAGCATTCACATTTGAATGAGCATTCTTGATTATTAGCACTACAAACACAATAGTTTTTAATGCATTTAGATTTTCTACATTTACACACTATATTCTCATCTCTTGAGAGATTAAATAAATCATCATCACTAGGTTTCACTAATTTATTAACTATAACATTATTTTAGTTTAGTTCTATAGAATTTAATAGACCCAAAGTGTAGGATGAATTTACTAATTTAATTGTTTATTAATACTTTTATTTTCTTTAGGTGTAATACGTTTGCTTCTTCCAAGTATTCCATCTTATCTTATAACTATCTGATCATCATTAAATTCCAATTTCTTAATGATCTTAAATTTTTTCAATTCTTCCTTGAGTTTCTTAGGCGAGCTTTGTTTAATATATGTAATGGGTGATTTGAACAATTGCTATTTTTATGGAGTCTTAACTATATATTAATTTATATAGAATTACAATCTGTATCATCAAGGTTCATTATAAATTGCTAAAAATACTTATAACACAATACTTCCATTTATCCGCCAAAATCAACAATACAAATTTACAATATTATAAATAATATATATAATAAATAATTTCATGTTTATTTAATAACAACCCTCCAGATAACCCTACCTTCAACCCAAATTGCCTATCCAATAATAATTTCATTCAAATAATTATATTTAGCAAGTAAAAACAAATAGAAACCCATTAGCATTTTGCACCTTAGATCAAACAATAATTTATTGCTTAAAATTAATACAAACCTGATTTGATGTCCAGTATTCCTTTTGCTAAATCTATAAACTATGAAGTCCCTAAATAAAACAATTAAATTCACAATAATAATTAAGATCCAAAGTATATCAATTCATCATCTTATAGAAAACAATCCTCAGAAATGGTTTAGTTAATTAAAGAAAGTCAAGAATTAAAAAAGAACATAAATGATAAGGATTAGGAAATCTAAAAAAGCAAGCAAAATATAACAAGGCTTGAATAATTAATAGATTATTTGGAAAAATAATCATAAGAAATACCATAATAATGCTTAGAGGCATAATGAAGATCTTAATATGATGTATTTAAAACTGAAAATAATTTTCATTTAAATATATATTTTATTATTTAGAGAAACATCATCTCAAAAATTCAAAATATTTCTTTTGCATTTAATATTAATCAAATTAGAATGTATATATTAATCATTATAATAAATAGAAAGATTTATAATTTTTTAATTCTAAGATATATAAATGAATCATTATCATTCTATAGATCTTTAAATTTTATTATTAATAGTTAATACTCTATTTATATATTAATTAATAATATATATTAAGTTGTGGATTACAAATTACAATCATATTATGGAATCAATTATGAATATATAATCATGATTTATGTGATATAATTATCTTAACTTTTTGATTATATCTTATTACTCAAATTGATATTAATTGTAAAAAAGGGAAATGTTTGTTGAAAAGAGATTTTTATAAAAATAAAATCTATAGATGATTATTATTCAAAATAATTCATAATTTTTTTTGTTTTAAAAATTGTTAACCTTTGTAGATATCTTATTTCTTATTTTTTCTTTTTGGGTTTTCATCCTCTGATGATTCCATCACATTTTGTGTAAATGGTTCTAATATTTTATTTTTTCCATTATTATTTTCAGATGATATCTTTATGAATCCTTTTTTATTTACTTTACTTTTGTAATTTTATTATTCATCAACTTTTATAGTACATTTAGTTTTTCCAGTATAATTTGAACAAAATTCAATATTGCAACAAGATAATTATGATCCTATTAAAAAATTCAAACATTAAAATCGATACTTTTATTTTATGTTTTAATTATTAATATTTACTTGTTCTTTCAAACAAATTAAACATAGACATTTTTAGTCTTCTTCATAAAAGTATATAAATAACTCTCTTTTACATTTAGTACAAAATAATTTATCTCTTTTTTCTTAAAATACAGGTGAATTTTTTTAATCTAAAACTTATAAATTTTGATTTTCTTCAAATATAAATTATTGTAATTCTGATCTAAGATAGTTGAGTAATGTTTAATCCAAAGAGTTTTCATGGATTACTACATCAAGTATTAAATTTTTAAATGGAATTCTACTAATAAAATTTAATTAGTTAAAGATTTTCTATTAATCAATTATAGTTTTCAAAGAATTTTCATCTAAAGTTGCTTAATTCCAAGAGCAATTTATGCTTAAACCTTCACATTTTTACCAACTATAAGTTCCTGGACTAAGAACAACTAAATCTCCTTTATTTTAAACAAAATATCTAAAAGGTATATTATTTAATAAAAAATAGTCTGCATCTTTGAACCAAATCTTATCTTCAATTAAAATGTCAATATGCTCAATCTGAATTAACTTTTATCTAATTTCAGTTATATTCTCTTTATCAATTGTAATCCATAAACAGGAATCTGGGCCAAGATTTAAATTAATTTAAGTAAAACATATTTAATCTTTTGGTGAACTTTTCCAATTATTAAAATATCTAATTTCAAATTAAGGAACATTAATGCTTGGAATTTCATTTCTCATATAACTCAATACATCATTATTGCCTTAAGGTCTTATTGATTATGGTAGAAAATTCTTAATATGTTTTATTTCTTTAGCTTTTTTATGAAGATTAATAATAGTAAAATAGGATATTTTATTTGAAGATTAATCTTCTATAATCTTTTCTATTAATTGAGAGAGTTACATTTCTTAGATAGTTTTGTTATTCTCTTCGATTATACTTTCAACTTCTATTTTTGTCATGCCATGATTTTATTTAATTTATTAAAGAGTGAAATTCATTGTCAGAATTTCAGTCATTTCACATGGAACACTAATTATATAAACTTAAGAAGTGCGCCATACTAATGAATCTAAATTCCAAATATCTAAAATTTCAGTAGAAGAACAATAATGTGGTTTCTATATTAATAAAGCATTAACAATTTAGTTATATTCATATGAGATTATTTTTGTTTTGTATATATCTACCCAATTATCTTCAATTAAATATTATGGTAACTCTTTTTAACAATAAACCTTTTTATAATATTTTAAATACTTTGATAAATCCTCCATCTTATTTAACCTTTTCAAAAATTATTTAACCATTTTTGTAAAGCATCTATTTTTCAGAGAGTGTCAACTACAAATTATCTTGTACGTATTTTATCATCCAAATGAATTTTTAATGTATTTATCATTTTAAAAATATTCCAAACAAATATTATAATTCATAACTTTCCTTTTAATTTTTATCATTTATGTAAAACATAGAATTTCCAATAAAAATAAAGCATTAAATCACATTATATATAGTATAATTCTTATATTAAGTTGCTTCTATTTCAATAATCAACTTCTAAATAAGAAATGATATCATTTAATCAAATTTTAAATTGTTAAATCTCATTAGTTTTCAATATAAACTACTAAAGTAAATAATCAACATCTAAAAATATAATTATTTATAATTGCTACACCTATACATATATTTAAGTCGAAAAGGTTTGAATTACAATTAAGGATCAAGAAATTAAAATATTATTATTTTAAATGAAGTATTTCTTATAAAAAATGCTTCTTTATTATCCTAATCAATATATGTTGGGAAGTCAAAACAAAAGCATTCATGTACCTGAAGCAGGTTTAATCCATTATACTACTCCATTACCTGTTTATCAATTTTTCATGAAGGTTGGAATTCTAATGTTGGATTCTATGTTTGATGCAGTGATAATTTCACCTATTAGAATAATTTTATCTATTTTAACAAAAAATTTGTTTTCAATATAATTCAGATTGGATTTAATTTAAACTACAATGATTTGGTTGATAACTTGGCTTTTTACATTTAACTATTTTGAAGTTGGATTTTGGTATCACATAATAAGGAGTTAATCTTAAATTAAATTATATGGAATTATATAGATTTTAGATTTACTTGATAGATTGGCATGTACTTAAGGAGATTATATCATTAGATAATTATATTGGTAGAATGTGTATAAGAATTAATCTGTTTTTAATAGATATTTACTTTATTCATTTATTTATATATTTGCACATGCTTGTTTATTGGGATTACAACTAACAGTTTATAATGTAATATTTAGTTAGAAAGTATAACTTTTATATCTAGCATTATTTGTTCTAAGTTTAATTAAATTAAAGGGATCAGTTTTTAAAAAATAAGATGAAAAATCATGTATATCAACTGCAATAAATGATGGAAGAGAATACTTTCAAAAAGCACTTTATATAATATTAATATCTATGAGTGTGAAATTTACACCTGTAGATTTTTATTACAAAATTGGATTCTATTTTTTCATAGAACTTTTAGTTGATTCATTTAAATATATATCAATTTTTCATTTAAATAGTGTACCAATAAATGTTCTAAATGAATAAACCAAAAGTCTGTCTAATTTTATGTATGCAGTTTCGATATAATAAGATTAAATAAAAGAGCTATCATTAATTGATTAGAAAGATTTATGTATTGTATTATAAAATGTATTAATCTTAATTTATTTTAGGTACCACTTGCTTAAGCCAAAATTATAGGGAAATTTAACATAGTTATTTTCCCTTAAGTCATTATATCTTTGAAAATGTTAGCTTATAATTACTAAAAGCATAAATCATTATTAGATAAAGAAGATTATATTTATATTGGATTCATTATATTAATTATGTTATCCTTTACTAAAATGATCATTTTTTTATATCATAGAAAAAGTTAACTTTACTTGTATGTAAATAAATTAAAAGATTGAAAAATTAGATTTATAGATATATATTAATATGTAAATTCAATATTTTCTAGTTCTATCTTTATTTGTATTTATTTTAGGTGCAAGTAGTCCAGTCATTTATTTATTCAAATTATTATTCTTACTATAAGAAGAATTACGTTTTTTCTCTTAAGATGCCTATTAAGATAATTTAGATTAATATTATATAAGTAGAGGAGCTCTAATTGTTTAAAAATTACTTAGTTTTGTTGTTGTGGGTATTTCTACTGTTCTTTATGGTATGGCTGATCCCATGAATTTATCTTCTTTTAGAATTTCATCTTTAATCCATTCAAATTTATAATCCCATTCATAACCTTACTTTCTAAAAGCTTCCTATAAGTAATAATTATAAATAATACTTTAAATAGATTTCTAATATAATTATAATCTGGTTTGTCTTCAAATTTCAAATTTCTACAATATTATAAATATTGAGTCAATTCATTTGGAAATCCTTTACACAATTATTCAGGAGTTGTTTCTTGCTTTTTTTCCATAATTTTTTAATATTTCTCCTTTTAATTGAAGGCTTTCATATTTTACCATGGTAATTGTCCTCTTAATAAATACATTAAGACATAACCAAGTGATTCTAGATCATCTCTTCTAGATTATTCTAAACCAACATGTGTATTAATAGATGCATATCTGGCAGTTCCAGTTAAACTTTTCCCTTCTTTATAAGGAATGTGTCCTTCTTTGGTTATATACCTTTTTGCCAAACCAAAATCAACAATATAAAGTCTTGAACTCTTACTGTCAACTCCTACTAAGAAATTATCTGGTTTAATATCGCGATGTATAAATTATTTTGAATGAATGTACTCAATTCTTTAAATTAACTAATCTGCCAGCATTAGAACTGATTTTAGTGATAGTTTCCTATGATGTTTATTAAATAATTCTTCAAGGGATGGTCCTAAGAGATCCATGACGATGTAATTATAATCACCGTCCACTCCTTAATCATGAATTTTTGGAATGCCTTCCTTCGAATTATATAATAAACTTACCTTTATCATACTAATCTTATCCTTAAAGGTAATTGTATAATTTAGCTTCAAAGAATATTTAAGGGTGTTTGTTATCACTTCTTTCCAGTTTCATGGCATATTCAGATTTAGATTATGATTAGACTAAATATATTTCTCCAAATGCTCCTGATCCAATTTTCTTGATTAATTTAAATTAACGTGCAATAGTATTATTAGTAAGGTCTTTTCCTAAAATGGAATCCATATAAATTTAATAATGATCTAAAGTTTAGGGATACATACCAAATTTCATAAATAAATGGAGAAAATGAAAGGATTTCTAGTCTCTGCTCACACTATATCTCCAAGAAATGATGATGAACCTATTAGAAAAACTTAGACTCCTTTAATTGGTTAATAAGCTTAATCAATATCATTCAGTGATGATGAGATGGAAGATGAAGACTTTAAATAAATAGGAGTTAAATCTACTAATTTTGAAGATGAGTTTATACTTGGTAAGAAATTAGGAGAAGGAACAAATGGTATAGTTAGAATATGTTGGAAAAAAGACAATCCTTAATAATAATTTGCTGTGAAAATTATACAAACACCAGATGAAGAACAATTAGATATTGTAAGACAAGCATTCATCAATTCCACAATTATAAAAAGTCCATATATTGCAAAATGCTATAAATTATATATTGACATTAATGTAATTTATATGGTAATGGAGTATGTTCCATTTTCTAATTTACAATCCATATTACAATAAAGAATAAAATTAAAAGAATAAGAAGTTTAAAGAATTGCATGTTCTCTATTGAAAAGTGTTAGATGTTTACATAGTTGTGGTATTTGTCATAGAGACATAAAACCAGACAATGTACTTGTAAATCCGAAGTATAATAGTTGTTATTTATAGCGATTACACAGTCAAATTAATAGACTTTGGAGTTTCTAGAAGATTTGTTTCATTCAATAATAGTACATTTAGATATATGAGAAATCAAATGTTAACAGTTACTGGTAACCTACATTATAGAGCCCCAGAAATTATGGGTAGTCATATCTATGGTTATAATCAATAAGTTGATATATGGGCCATTGGAGTTATTATGTATCAATCTTTAACAGGAGTCTTGCCATTTACTTCAGATAATACAGCTGATATTGTTGCATTATTATCAAATAGGTATACTTTTTTTAATATACATTCTATAGTTAATCAATCAATGATGCATTCCAAAAACCTTAGTTTTTATCTTTGTCTTCTAGTTGTAGAGACTTAATCAAAAGATTAATGATGTGGAATCCTTTAAAAAGATTAACTGCCTCTGAAGCACTCAAACATATATGGATACCTAATATGCAAACTCCAAGAAAACCTCTTACAAAAAAAGTTACAAAAGATGATATGGATACAAGTAAAATTAGTTAAAATAGTGATCTTCTTAATAAATCTTTAATTAATAGTGCAACTATTTTAAATTTTGAGTTATAAAATACTCTTATCAAAAGTAAGCATATTGATTCAGTTTTGGAAAACTAAGATATTACTCGATCTTAAAAAAGTCTTGGATTCTCTATTAAAATTAAAAGAGAAAAAGAAATTCAGGATTTTAAAGCTAAATTAAAGTAATTTAAATTAGAAACATCAACTAAGATATACAAGAGAAATAATTCAAATTAGAATAATGCTATCTAATTGGTTGGTGCATTAGTTGATGATAAAATGAATAATTCAATTAAATTAGATGATGAGGATGATATTTTTGGTATCAAAGTATGTGGAAGTCATCATTCTCTAACATAAATTGATGAACCTATGTAAAATGAGCAATAAGCACAAAATAACAAATTGGATCCTAATTTATTGTAGAAGCTCTTAGAATTTAATTTGTGATTTAATATATAAATAATGAACTCTTCTAAAACTTCAAGAACTGTCAAAGCCATGCATTTATTCCATTTAGAATAAAAAAATACTAACCTTCATCATTATAACATTCCAACTTTCAGAGACCCAGCAATTCCTACTATCTTGAAACCATTTAGATTATCTCCAAATAAATAATCAATTCCAACATCTCGATAAAATTAAGAAAATGGTTATAGAAAATTGTCAATAGAAAAGAAGGTATTATAATTAAGAAAAGAAATTTTAAATGCCAAAAATGTAAAGTAGAAATAATTGTTTTAAAGCAATAAATTATAAATCAAGAACAGTTTCTCTACTGTTGAGAAATAACTTGATAAATAACCTAAACTTTTTAAATATTTTGAAAAAAAGTCCAATTCTAAAATTAAACTCTTTGAAATTCCAATCCATATTCAAGAAAGATAACTTTAATAATCAACTTTATCAACTTAAAATACTAAAATTCCAATATTAAAATTATAAGAAAAATAAACTTCAACAATAGAGGATGGTATAAATGATATTTAAATGATACCACAGTATTAATAATCTATTAAATTACCCAGTGAACCTGATTCTCCATAAATAATTAAAAAATTGCAATCTTATTAATTTACTTAAAGAAGTGTCAGTTAGGGAAATGTTGAAAAACCAAAAAAAAAAGAATGGATACCATGGCCATAAAATTTTGAAGGTTGGCATGCACCTTAAGCTGATGAAGATTTACTACTATAATATTAATAATATTTCTGATATGAATTTAATTTTGCTAATAATTAATTATGATGTAGCACTTGCTCTACTATTCAACAGAAGTTAAAGTTAATTTTGTTATTTTGATGAAGACATCATATTTTTTATTCATTATATTATGCAACATGCTTCTCTTTCCTTAGGTGGTTTAATGTCCTCTTTGTTTCTCTCACTTTTTGGTTTAATAGGTTCATCCTTAAAATCTGATTTCATTCCTATGCCCCTTGCAGTGACATATTGTAATTTAGGATTCAATTTAAATGGACACAACAATTATTCCATCTAAGCCAATCTTTGTTTAAGTTTCTCTTGAAATTTCTATAAAATCTTTTAATAATATTGTTACTTCAATTAATCCACCCTTTAATTCCTTTTGTTATTTGATAATATTGATTCTATCTTCATAAGAGAGTCTCAAATCAAATCTTAGATTTACTGTAACATTATCTATAAAAGGAGCATCCAAACTTTAATCCTAGTAATTTACAATTAAGTAGCATTGTGGTATAGTTGGAAGAGCAAAATGTCTTGGTCTAATTTATTGATAGATATCAATAATAGGTATTTTAATTTAAGCTAACTCTTTAAAATCTTCTCCTAAAGTTCTTGCATCTCCTAGATTTTTATCGAGTCTCTTTCCCATTACAACAAGTGTTATAGAATCAATAGTGTTATCTAAAGAAATACAGGTAGATCTATTTGAATTCTCTGGATACAAAGGTTGATAATTTTGATGAATAGTTCCAACTTTATACTTCAACTTATAATACTAAAATATAAATCTTGGTTGATACTTTTTACATCTCACTTATCTAATTAACTTAATCTACAAAAGAAATGACTAATGCATTTTCCTGATTATATTCAGGTTTATCTAAGTTTGATTATGTGATTTATAATACTTGCTTCAATGACCTTTGAAAACTTATCAAAATTAGTAAGTTCATCTTTGAAATAATCTATATTTTTTTGAAAATCAAGGATTTTTAGATGTATCATTTTTGCTTAATCCAATAGTTTCTACACAAAAGTTTCAATGGTTGCTTCTGATGCAAACTAATTAAATGAATAATCCTACATTCTCATCATATACTTAATCTTGTCCGATTGTATCACTAATCACTTTCCATAGAATGTGTTCTTAGTCCTAATTGATTTCTGGGAAAAACCAAAGTTAATCATCAAATGCAGAATCCGCCTTGTATCCTTTCTGCTCAAAGAACTAAAGGATTTCCTCTTTCTTTGATTAAATAATATCCTCAGACTGTTTAATGAAGGATGCATTCAATTAATCTGCCATTTTTAATAAAAATATATTATCGTTTTCATTTGATTCATAACAAGTTATAGTTATCTTATAAAATCATTTTTTTTTCTTGCACTTAATGCAGACATAAGTAGTTTACTAGATTTGCTTGATTCCCAAGCATTCATAATGATACCATTTTTAACAAATATCACATTGTATATATTATTAATCGGGATTCAATGGTAATTTACATAAACAATGTTTTCCCCATTTCTAAATAGGCGGGATTATTTGTTTATTTTTGTAGAATGACCTAAATCACTATTAGAAATGTTTACCTACAATAAAAGGTAAAATCATCCACAAAGTCCTACTTATCGAAATCTTTAAAGTCTAAGACTTCTGCTAGAGATATGATTGTATCTGGCTAAATAAAATCATATTGGTCAGATAAGAATAATTCCCTATCTCCAATGCAATCTATATATCTTCCAATTATCTCTTTTAAGTTGTTCTTACTGTAATACCATTGAACTCTGATTATGGGAGTGTATTATTGAAATCTCATTACACCAATCATTTCAATTGTTTTAGCAACACATTAGCCATCCTCCTTTGTATATATAACTATATCAGAGTTTAAGTTGATATTGAGATTGTTGATTTTGAGATTCTTGAACTCCTTATGAGCATAATCCAAATTTTTTGCATGATAAAAAAGGGTGGATAGAGATTTACAATGTCTTACTTATCCCACCAAATCATTAGTTTTTTTAATTGTTTTTAAGGCTTCTTAACTTTAATCATACTCTAATTTAATTGAATGAAAAATTTCATTAAGCTTTTTTTCTGTCTCTTCATCCATGTTTACCTCACTCATTAAACAATTAAAATCCTATTAAAATTAATATACTCACAATTACTATTTTCATATTTATTCCAATTTCATAACTACACAAGACTTATATTATTATTTTGATTATCATTTTAAGTGTTGTGTTCGATTATCATTTATATAATGTTTATTTGTATGTAATTTAATAAAATACTAAAAAATATCAATTTCATTTTTTCTAATCTCTAACAGGTAAGAAATATGGATGATCTAAGGCTTCTTTAGGAGTAATTCTTAGTGCCTATTTTTTAATATTTAATTAGATTTACATGATCATACAATAACATTTTGGATAATAAATCAATTGCCTCTTCCGAACATAAATGTTTATTCTCTTGATTGATAAACTTTGACCATTCTCTTTTTGGATAACTAAGGTTCAAATTTAAATTTTACTTTCCCAATTTATTATCAAATACTGGATCTAATTTCAATCTGTACTTCTTAACGTAAGTTAATAAATCTTCAGTCCCTAACACTTTTGCTATGACTATTAATTAGTCATAATTATCATTTCCTTAAAAGAATGGCTCCTTCTTAAAAATCTACAAATATAATCTTATATATATAATAACCATTGATGCAAGCATGGCTCCACTACTCCAAATATCCAATGAATAATCATAATAAACATTATCAACTAATAATTCAGGACCTTTAAAATATCGAGATGCTACTCTGACATTATAATCTTGTCCCATATGATAATATTCTGCTAAACCAAAATCAAGTAATTTCAATAACTTTTTTTATGGATTCACTATAATATTCTAAGGCTTAACATCTCTATGCATAATCCCTCTAGAATGACAAAAATCTAAAGCTTTCATTAATTCATATAGATAAAATCGAATCTCTAAATCAGTGAGTTTTGGAAAGATGCTTCTAAAATCAACATGATCTATATAATCAAAAACTAAACAAGGAGTTTTTGATGCTGGGTCTTTTACTATATCACTTAACTCTATAATGTTTGGGTGTCCTTTTAATGAAAGCAGAATTTTTGTCTCTCTTTTTATTTTTCTTTTTTTAACTGGTTTCAACACTTTAATTACTACTCTCTAATTTTATGGATATCTAATCCCTTCATAAACATCAGAATATTTGCCTCTTCCAATTTTTCTTGCAATTTCATATTAGTCATTATCCTAACATTAATAAAAGTCTTACACCCCATTCATTTTCAAAATTATCATAATCCCAATACTCTTTTGGTTGATTCTTATTAAAATCCGCATAAAATTTTGGTTTTGCTTACACTATTTAATTCATATATAAATATGTTATAAATAAATTTTGAGATGAATTTTGAACTTAGATAACTTTTAAAAAAGAAAATAAAAATTAATGTTAATTGTCCAGATTAAAAATTATGTTTATTAATGAAATAATACATCAAAATATTATGATCTATGATTCATAACTGTTTCTTAATTTTATTCATTAATATTAAAAAATTGAAATTAAACAAAAGCATTCAATTATCTTAATTATATATTAAAATCATATCCAGAATTTATTAAATAATATTTATCTTAATTATAATATAATGATTTTATATTTTCTTTCATTTAATAAAAATTACTCTATGAACATACAAAATCATGACAATTTTTTTCCATAAATATCATATAATATTTTGTTAAAAAATATATCAATCTATCTTTATTATTCTAAGAATTTATGGATAATTTTATTAATATAAATTAATAAAATGATCAATGAAACCTTAATAAATCAAGAACCTCAACATCTCTATGATTATTTCCCTACAAATATTTCATGTCAATAAGGAGAAATAAACTAAGATGAATCACCTATTAGATAACATTATATCAGTTCTCTATGCTTCTAACTTAGAAAGTACTAAAAATAGAATAAATAATACATAGAAAAATCAAACGATAAAAAAATCGACCAAGCTTTTTGAAAATAGAAGATAGTGGAAGAAATGTAAAATTATATTCATGCTCTCTTTATAATAATACAGAGAAACCTGAAAATGATACTTAATGAAGAAATAAAGTAAGATTTAGAATTAATAATTATATGATATATAAACTTTATATAATTAGAGTTTAAAGTTAATCTTATTGAGCATTCTTTCAAATGAAAAATTAAGTATTAGAATAGAGGAAATTAATATAATGATGACTAAGAAAATAATGGATACTCATGAAAGACACTATAACTTTAAATAGTATTCATAAAATTATTATCTATATTATTAAGCATCTAATCTAATCACCAAGTAATAGATATTTAATGTAAAATTATTTTCTCCTAATATATATATATATGGAAATAAATCTTTTTTAAACTAGTTCTCAATTAATTAATTTTACTTTAATAGAAAGAAAATAAGATCAAATAAAAAAACTAAGATTTTAGATGATTTAATGAAATTTTTAAAGATAGTTATGAAATAATAGGTATTACTGATAATAAATTAGGAAGTATTTATAAAAGTAAAATAAATATTACGATAATTTGATTTACACAATATAAATTTATTTTAAAATCAATTTATTTATTGAGACTATAATCTAACCATTAATAATATATAAAATTACTCTTTGAATGATATTATTAAGTTTCTAATTTATCTAAGTGAATAAGTAAATCTAAAAATAGTATAAAAATTGATGATTAAAATAAGATAGTTTGATTATAAATAAATGAGTTTATGAAATGTTTTCATTGATATAATAAAAAGACAATGAATTGTTTTTCATCATGAAAATATAAATTTATTATTTATCGTTTTTATTTTATAAATAATTTATGAGTTCACTTATTATGTATGAAGATGAAGTGATTGATAATTATAATGAATATTTGATGAGTAAAAGAAAAGAAGTAACAGAGATAAAGAATTATAAATTTAATGGAAAATTCAATTCAAAGCCAACTAAAGCATTCAAAATAAAAAATAAGAAAATACATTATTTAACATAATCACAGATATTAGCATTAGTAGTTTTAACATTTGCAGTTGAGTATGGTATTTATACATGTATAGTGAGGGTTTGCAATTGAAATGGTTTTCATTTCTCCTTTGTTTTTGAAATTAGACACTCCAGAACTTTTAGACTCTTCAATGTAATAAATTACAACAATATTCCAGTTGGTTATTTCCTCCTGTAATTAATTTATTACTCTATCCTTTTATTCGATACTACAGCGAAAGTAAATCACATCAATTAAAAAACGCTATGATATATTTCATAATAGTTTCTATTATGGGTATAGGATTATTAGCTGATACAAAGTAAATATTTAAATATATATAAGATCATTATATGTTGATTCAATAAATAAAAAAACATCAGTTTTGATTATTTCAATTGTCAGTTTCACAGTGATGGATGTTGGTTTAGAAATGTTAGGAGTATATACTTAACATTGATATAAATAGTTTGCTTGTTCTGCTTTGTTAGAAGAATATGTTAATCCTAAATAGTAGTAAAAGGTGTAATAATAAAAAACATTTGTTGATTCATTTGGAAAATTTACTGGATTTCTAGTTTCTAGTGTTTTAGCATTCAATTTTATTTATTTAAATTTCGATAATTTCATAGAGAATTTATCATTTGCATATTTAGTAGGGTTGATAATGATATTAATTGGTTTTGGAATGGTTTTAATATCATTTCCTAGTAAAGGATTAGATTTAGTCTAATCAAATCATAAGATGAGATTTAGTATCAATTCTTTTTTGCCTGGAATAACATTTATATTGTATTCAATTCTAAATATATGTTAGTTAATTGCCATAAAATATGAAGATATTTTTGTTATCCCATTTTTTCACTTGTGGTTCCTAATTATTTGTATCTGTCTATGCTACTCTATGGTCAGGTATTACAATGTTGGAAGAAGGACCTCAATAATATAATGAAGCAATAAGGAATATTGTATTTGATATAGGAATTAGCTGGGGTATTGTTTAAATAATATACAGAGGGGCTTTGGCACTGTGTATGAGTGCTATACTTCATCTATTAACAACTTTGTTCTTAAAATAATTGGGTAATCATTACACAAGCACAATATATATGATTGTAAATGCCTTGGCTGGGGCATCACTATTATATACTTGGTCTGTTAATGAATTTTATTCAATATTTATTACTCTTCCATTTTGGGGAGTTTAAACTGCTGTTTTAAGTGAATTACCATATAAATTAGCAAATCAGTTAGAAGATGATGTATTTAATTATTGATTATATTTATTAGTAAGTTAGAGATACAATAAAAGGGCTTTTGCCTTAAATGCTTAATTTAACAACCTTTTTTTCTTAAGCATTTATGTTTTTCATTATTCCATTAGGTTTTTTGTTGTTTTCAAGTGTTGATGACATTTCAGTTAGCATGTTTATGAGTGGAGTATTTAGTTTGATTGGATCATTTTTAGTTTGCTTTTTATGAATAATATTATAAAATTATATAAATTCAATTGAACACAATAATCATTTTAATATTTTGAATGACCAAAATATTAACTAAATAGCTCATAATATAGAAGGCCAAAACAGATGTAATGGAGAATATTAAGTCAATAAACTTATGGGGAAATGATTTAGAAGAAATATCCTTTATTACATAATTGAAAAATTTGGAGCTTGCTTAGTTGGCTTCTAATAAAATAAATACTTTAAAAGATGTAGTCAAGTGTTCACATCTCAAAGATTTAAATTTAAGAAATAATAATATATCAAATATTGAAGAGTTTTAATTATTAAAACAATTGCCAAATTTGAAAGCATTAAATCTTTTATATAATCCTGTTACTTAACATCCAAATTATAGATAGTAAGTCTTAAAATATGCATCTTAATTAGAAAAATTAGATGATATAGTTATTTCATAATAAGAAAGACGATAACTATAATAAGAAGAGGAAAAGGAGAATTAGATTAAATAAAATGTATAAATGGATTATTAGAAAATTAAGAAAATTGAGTCTAAAATTTTTAAAAAGAAATCTAAAGAAAATAAAAGTAAAAATAAAAAAAGTGAAGATTCTCAATAGGAATTAAATAAAAATTAGGAAAATAATAAATCATAAAAAGGAATTTAATAATTTTTTTATGAAGAATCACAAGAATAATAGGAAATATAAATTTATGATTAAAAAGAATTCTAATTTTAAAATGAAAATAAAAATATACCCATGTTAGTAGGAGGAAAGACACATTCATAATTTTAAATAAATGATAAAATTTAAGAAGAAGAAGAAATACCATTCTAAATACAGAAAAGTGAATAAATTACAAAAATATAGTAAACAAATTAAAATTCAAAAACGAACTTAAATTTTAATGGAAAACCAGATTCTTTTGAAACTTCATAACATATTTTGTGTGCCATATTATCATTATTAGAAGAACTAAAACAAAAAGATATAGAAATTCTTAAAAAAAAAGTTGAAAGCAAACTATAGAGAGATATGTCATGAATTATAATAAAATAAGCATTATAAATCTGAATTAATAAATAATCATTCAATATCTATTAGAGTCAACCTATTTCTAATAGTTATTCTATAAATACTTCTTTTGAAACTGAGTTAACCATAATTTAGTGAATTACTAATATTAAATCCTTATATTTTAATTGGTTATATTTAATTTTAAGAAGTATTTTTTTATAATAGAAACATGGAATAGAATAGATATTTACATAAAAATAAATAAAGGATAAAATTGCTGTTTTTATATAAAAAATTTAAACTTATTTATTAAATTATTCAAATTAAAATGATCAATATGAGAATAATTCTGTAAATGATAGAATTAAACTATATTGATGATAAGGTTTCTATTTTCTGATAAAAAGGTTCACAGAAATTATCTTTTAAATGATATCCTACATCACATTCTAAACATTCAAAGATACTCTTACATTATTTACAATTCTTATAATAATATTAAATCTTTTATTACCCCTGAACATGTTAAACAATACATAGAATTGATATCAGCAAAATCTTATTCATCACATTTAATCAAACATTTATCTTCTTTTCTAAATCCATCACATTCATTTTCACAGTAATATCCAGAAAATCCATATTAACAAGTACATTATTAATTAACACAAAAACCTCTTGAATTACATTAATTTTAACAATCATTTTAATGAGAACAGATTTATTTTGAATCTTATGGACATTTAATATGAAAATTGATTTCACTAAAAGTTATTGTTTCATTATTAGGACAATGAAGTTGGATATAGTTATTATCATTTTATTGAATAATGATATGTATTTCATTATTTTAACATTTATATCTATAACATGATTCTTCGATTAAACTTAATTTTTCAGATAATGTTTCAATTTTTTATTCTTTATAAGATATTTAAAAGCATAAACTATTCTCACTAATTGTACTTTTTGTTTTTGAGAAATGATCTATTTATTCTTATGTCTGATATTAAAATTGGTTTTTACAATCCATTCCTTTAAATATGCTTCTATAAGAGCATTAATCACTTAATTAATCTTAGCCACATTTACCAATTCCAAAATTATTAAAGGAACATGTATATTCATTTTCTTAACAAAATTCATCAACTTCTAATTCCTTACAAGATTTAAATAAAAAGTCACATCCTTTACCTTTTCCATAAGTCATAAAATCACTTTTATATTTTAATAATCGATAAAAACTATGATAAAATTAATATACTACCCAAAATCTGATAATAAAGCAAATGTAAATTATGATAATACAGATTATCCATTCATCTAAGAGCCTGTCATGAGTTCATTAAAATAATAAGTACGCTCAAAATGATGGTCTGCACTATTATCTCCACCTTAATTTTCCATTACAGCCCCTTTAACTTAATCACATTAAAAATATTCTTTGGATATATTCATTAAACGAGGTGTGGACAAAATCAAATGATTATTTTTATCTTTTTCTAATGTTAAATTATAAAATTCTAAAGTTTAAGGATCATAATAATATTGATAAAGAACTTTAATAAATCCAAGAGTATGTATAATTTCATGAATAGAAGTTTAAATATTTTATTAAATAGTAAAAGAATTAACATTTTTCTAATTTAATTTAATCATTAATTACCATCTAGATTTGTCTCAAATTCCAATTAATAACACCAAAAATAGGTCTTAAATCATATTTTGTAATTTTGCAAGGGCCTGAATATGCATAATAATTGCTTGTATTATCATTTCTAAATGAAACAAATATCACTAAATCTTAATAATATTCTTTTTATTGAAATGCTTCAGGAATATCAATTCCACCACATGTTGATTTATTACCAAAAACAAGACTTTGTTATTATTTTCTAATCATTAAATGTCTCCCAAAAAATATCTTTGAAATCTCTAGTATTTTAGTAATATAGTTTAAAATCTCTTAATTAACTTCTGAATTCTCTAAAAATTAAAAATGTATTTATATTGGTTTCCAATCAATCTCCTCTAAACTTAATGAATTTAATTAACGATGTTTACTTTTATTCAATTCATGTAGTTATAACGTTAAGTCTTAATCAATATCATTCAAATTCTATTAGCTGAATGATAGATGAGTTTAAAACAAAATTAAAATTATGAACATTATTTATTATAATATATATTATTTTTAATTTTCTATTAAAATCATTCATGAGTTATAAAGATTCATACATTATAGAAGGTGATTTAGGAAGTGGAGAATTTGGTTAAGTTAAATATGCTTAATCAAAAAAGGATAAAAATTTGAATGTTTGTGTAAAAATATTAAAGAAGACATTATCATATGGATAGAGGGAAATTACACTTAATTAAGAAAAAGAGCTTGATCTCTGCAAGTAAATGAAGAATATAAACAATCAAAATTTAGTTTAAATTTATGATGTTTATGATTCTGATGTTAATGATGAAAATAATTATATATTTATGGAAAGATGTGATCTCAATTTAGATGAATTGATGAACAACACTAAGAATGAATAAAGCAAATAAAACTAAAATTTCTCTAAAGAACAATTATTTGATATAATTACTTAAATAGCTAAAGGTTATAACTAATTAATATCTTAAAATATCATACATAGGGATCTTAAGCCATAGAATATTCTATGTAATATTAGAAATAATGAATTAATAGTCAAAGTAGTTATATTTAATATATTCTAAGATTGCCGATTTTGGTCTTAGTAAATATGCATAAACAAATAAAATTATGACAAAAAAGGTTGGAACACCATATTATTAGGCTCCAGAGGTTATTTATAGTTAATCTTATGATAACAGATGTGACATTTTTTCAGTAATAATCTTGTAATCATTTAGTTAGGAGTAATAATATTTGAATTGGCATTACTATAAAGATAATTTAAGAAAAAGGAAATAGAAAGTTTAAAATAAAAAACTTTCTCTCAATTACATTCAGATGTGTTAAAACAAAATTTAGTAGGTATAAAAACTTTATTAATCAAATTTAGATCAAGATATTATTAAATTATTAGATAAAATGATAGTATATGATTCCAATTAACGAATAACATGGGAATCATTATTAAATTATGATATAAACAGCCAAGAAATTTAACTTTATTAAAGTCCAAACCATTATATTAATTAGCCATAATTAATTCAATCATAATAATAATAAGAACTATAGAATAATCAATCATAAAAATAAGAGATATTGTAAAATAACTTTCAATAATTTTCCTAAAATTAGGCTAATAGTTCTTCTGATAAAAAATAGATTAAAAAATAAAATTCACTCCAACTAGATTTCCAGTAAATTTAATAGGGATAACAACCATTTTAAAGATTATCCACAATGGCATCTGGTCAAACCTAATAATCATAATTTACTCCATAGGCTGCTTAATAAGCTTAACAATTGAATTATTAACAACAAAGGTATGTTGAGATTATTATAATTAAGATTACAATAATAAGAACAATATGTCTTGCAAATAAAATAGGGATAAACAGGATTTCATAAATAATAACCAACTTACCCAGGAAATTAAGGATAATTAGGCTTACCAGGATAACTTACTTACTCAGGAATATCAGTATAACCAGGTTTTACAGGATAATAAGGATAGCCAAGTTTTACAGGATAATAAGGATAGCCAAGTTACCCAGGATAATAAGGATAGCCAAGTTTTACAGGATAATAAGGATAACCAGTACTTCAAATATAAACAGGTATTCTAGGATAACGAGGATTACAAGATCAACAAATAAGAAATTAATTTTAATAAAAAATCCCTAATTAAAATCAAAATTTTTAAATATAATTCTAGTCGTAAAACTAATAAAATCTATATTAAAGAGGTGATAAACAATTTTAATGTAAACCATTAAATTAAAATGTACTTTGATTATAAGATTAATCAGTTGATATTATATACATTATCAAGTAAATTTTATATAATCATATTGGATAACCTTTTTAAAATTGATCTAATCATGCAATTCATAATCCTCATCTTGAAATGTAATCTAAATATATTTAATAATTTTACCTTTTCTAATTTTAAATAATTTCTCAATTAATTTAATCTTATTGGATTTTGTAATTTTTAAAAACAATATTACTCCCAATTAGTATCATTAAAAAAAGGATGTTATCTAATTTGCTAAAAATTTATTCGTTTTTCATAATTTTTGTTTGTCAATTTATTTATTAGATTTATTGCTTCCTATTTTAAATTATCAATATACCTTGCTAAAATATTAAGGGTAGTTTATTTGACATGTCAAAATACCCAAAATAATTTAATTACTAGTATTACCCTAAAATGGATGACATCCAGATAAAAGTTCAAATGCTAATATTCCAAATTAATAATAATCAGTCCATTTTCCAATTTTCCCCTCATCCAAATATTCAGGAGTCTTATAGTAGATTGATTAAAAACCATAATTTTGAAGTCCTATTAATTTAATACTTCCCTTTGATGTCAACAATACATTATTCAAACAGAGATTATTATAAATAATATTCTAACTATGCAAATATTCTAAAGCTATTAAAATTTGACTTAGATAATATTTAGCTTAACTTATTGTAATTCTTTCTAGAGCATTTAAAATAGAGTATAAACTACCACCATTACAATGTTCAAATGCCAAATATAAATACTTAGGAGTTTGAAAAGCATACTATAATTATATTATATATGGATTATCCACTGAAGTTAATGTACGAACTTCATGTATAGCTTCTCCAAGAAGACCATTTTAAATTAATAATTATTTGTTGAGACATTTTAAAGCATATGTTGATCCATCTAATTCACAATAAGCTTTAAAAATACAGCTTATTTAATCACTCATTAAAAGAGATTTTAAAACGAAATCTTTAAATTTAGGAATCTAATGAGTTAATTTAGGCATCAAAGATGATAAATCAGAAATCTTACGTCTTATGGGTGTCTAACTATCTCTTTTTGGAGCAATACTTGAAGGAGGAGAATCTAAGTCGATTTCTTCTAATTTAATGAATATATTGTTTAGTTACAATCCAGTAGCAACATTTTTTGTATAGGTTATACCTTTTTTAATTAGAGCTGACCATCTTGATAAATGATCTATTGTTGGTAAACCTATTATTAAATCATGATGACTCTCTCCTTGCAATTATATATAAAAATATCCTTTTTTAAGTTTAAAACTTGAATAATTAGAATTGACCTATTAAATTTAAGATAATTTTATTGATTCTCTGATTTCAGTCTAACATTTATCTGTATACCTTATTAAATGATCACCTAAAGGATTTATGACTAAATATCTTTATTTTATTGTCCAAGGACTGGAACCAGGTGAAAAATAAGTTCCTTTTGCAATAAATGGATTGATTTAGGAAAATAATTAGATTTCTGTTACTAATGGCATTTTATTAACCAATCCCAATAAAAACAACTACATTTTCAAAGATGCAATATTAAACACATTTGTATTTTAACGATCTTAAATTAAAAAATCAACATCTTTTTCTTATAGCATTTAAATGATTTTGGTGTTTTCCATTCTACATGCTAAATGAAGAGCACTACTCTATTAGGTTACTAAATTTGGATTGATACTTTACTAATTTAACAAATACCTAGTTACTAAATAATTAATTGAACATTACTTTAGAGATGCTATTATCTTATAGATATCATTAATGCAGTCCATCCATCTAAAGTTTCTTAATTGATATCTAAACAAAAAGGTAAATAGACTTTCAAAATTTCTAATTTACCAAAATAACAAATCCAATGCAATAACGTCCAGCCTTCTTTATTTGTTTGATTAGCTATTTCTTTATTTAAATGCTTTTCAATATAATCCAATTTATTAGCTTTGATTCTATCTACAAATGTATCATACAAATTTATTTATTTATCATTATGAGATTCTTCAAAAAAATATGGACTAAAATCTACTTCTGAATGTTTTTTCTCTTTTATAAGAGAAAAAGATAGATGAGGATCTAGAACTTTAATAGATAAAATATCTAGAGGTTCTATATTATCAATATCCCAACCATGCACTATGCGAATCTTTAATATAAATAAAGAAAACCTGGAAGCCATATTTAAAAAGAAATAAAGTAAACTGATCAGATTTAAGTTAGATTGTTTTACTAACTGATTAGATTAAATTATCAGTAGTTGTAAGTGTAATAAATATGCTTATTTATTCAATATGCATTTATGGTGCTAAGTATTATAATCTTAATTCCACATCCATTATGTTTTTATATTAAATAATAATAATAATTATATAATTAATTATCAATTTTATGCTTTCATAAGAACTTTTATACGTATAGGTGACCTTTTTAATAATGCCAAAGTAGGATTAACAGCTTAAAAATATTCTCCATCAATCTAGAAATAAGGAGAAACATTTTTTTTAAATGAGATCAAAAAGGGTCCTTCTCCCTATGCAATCCTAACTGCATTTCCATGAATAAACCTATAATATAATAATAAATTTAAAACCTTTCATTAGCCATTCCTATCATAGAATTAAAACCCACAAACTCTATTTTTCCATCTCCAAAATCCTAATTAACAAATTTATCTTATAGTTTCTAAGTACCTTCTTTAACAGCTACCTTTCCTCTACAATTATCCCAAATTGCTCCTGCTCCACCAGAATAGGATGGGATATTTAAACATAATAATGTAACTGGATCTCCACTTAATATAAACTTAGATTCATTAAGAGGTTATTAATCTTCTCTTGTATTGACACCTTTTGTCTTAAATAATATATCAGTAGGAACAGTAGTAGTAATTTATTCAATTGTTACATTTTATTCTTTTAAAATTTGCATACCTTAAATAACTTGATTTGTAGTTGGATTCTTAAGACACATTTTTTTAAGACCCTCACAAAAGTAAACACATTTATTACAACAGGCAGATTAAGTTCTTTTTTTATCAAAACCAAATCCAATACGAGCATCTACTCCAATAGAAAAATAATTTGACATTCTTTTATCTAATTATTTCAAAACATCTTTATCTTTTTAAAGAATTTCTTTTTGAAATAGATCTCCTTATTTTTTAATTCTTTTAAAAGATCCAGTTTATGCATCAACTGTTATATTTATTTCCCATAGATCAAAATCATGTATTTTAGCATTAAGCCACTATGATATTTATTGTTTGAAGTTTCTTAGACAAGCCCCTAAGTCACCATCTGTATCTCCACCCCATCCTAAAACCCTTGAAAAATCATTTCCTGTTCCAAAAGGAATTATGCCTATAGGACAATTAGAATAGTCAACTCCATGTTTATGCATTTCATCAACTACCCACATAACAGTGCCATCACCCCCACAAACAATTACTCTAACTTACACATTTCGTTATTGGAATTCTTTAATTCTTCTTAGATTCATCTCGACTTAGTCTCTTTGATGAAGACTGGTGAAATAAACATTGATTGGTTTTTGATTAAGATTAAATTTAATTGTTTCTGCATCTAATTAAAGATACACGCCTGCCCGATTTCCACCAGAAGTGGGATTTACAAAAAGAAAAAAAGCAAATTCCATATATAAATTAATAATATGTCAATAACAAGATTAGGCGTATGTACATTAAATTAATGGGCAATGGACTTTAGTCAAAATGTTCAGAATATTATTGAAAGCATAGAAATCTGCAAAAGAAAATAATGTTTATATCGATTAGGTCCTGAATTAGAGATATGTGGGTACATGTGTGAAGATCATTTTTTAGAATCAGATACAGTTACTCATTGTTGGTATAAATTTGATTAATTATAATAGGGAAGCCATTGTAGAGATACTTCCACATACAGATAATATTGTTTGTGATATAGGAATGCCAGTAATACATAAAAGTGTATTTTATAATTGTAGAGTGATTTTGTTAAACAAAAAGATTCACTTAATAAGACCAAAAATGTATATGGCTGATGATGGAAATTATAGAGAGTCTAGATATTTCACTCCATGGAGTAAAGAAATTGAGGATCTAGATCTACCTCCTATTATTTAAATAGCCACAGGATAAAAATGTGTTCCAATAGGAGTTGCTATTTTGTAAACTCTTGATACAGAAATTGGAATAGAAATATGTGAAGAAATGTGGACACCTATTCCAACAAGTGCAAATTAAGCATTAGATGGAGCAGAAATAATTCTAAATTCAAGTGGATCTCATTATGAAGTTGGTAAAATTAAAGAGAGAACAGAATTATTCAAAGATATCACAAAAAGAAATGGTGCTTGTTATGCATTTTGTAATCTTAGAGGATGTGATGGTAATAGATTGTATTTTGATGGATGTTCATGTATTGTTTTAAATGGTAAAGTATTTGCCAAAAGTGATGCTTTCTCACTTAAAGATGTAGAAGTTACAACATGTGATATAGATTTACAAGAAGTCAGGAACATTAGAATCAATATTAAGAGTAGATCTCTTATGGCTTCTAAATAAAAACATTTCCCTAGAGTCAAACTTGACATTAATCTAACCTAGTAATAAAATTATGTTTATTATCATGATATTCCTATCTAATATGAATCAGAAATTGAGGATTCAATAGCTTGTTACTTATGGGATTATATGAGAAGATCTGGAGCTTGTGGGTTTATGTTACCATTATCAGGAGGTTTAGATAGCAGTGCTACTGCATTATCTGTATTTTTTATGGCTAATAAAATATTTAAAACTATTAATAGTGTTGATAATGATCATTAAACTCACATTAAAGTATTGCAATAATTACGTAAAACTGTAGAAGATGATACCTTCACTCCTAAATCTCCATAAGAGATTGTTAATCGATTACTCTTTACTGTTTATCTTGGGTCTGAAAATTCAACCTAGGATTCTAGAGCTAGATCAAGATTATTAGCTGAGTAAATAGGAAGTAAACATTACGAAGTGGAAATTGATTAGGTTTGTAAAGCTTGTACATCTTGCATTAAACCTATATTAAAAAAAAACCCGTAATTTATTGTAAATGGTGGATCTTTATCAGAAGATCTAGCTTTGTAGAATATTTAAGCAAGATCAAGAATGGTACTTACATATTTGATAGCTTAATTAACTCCATGGAATAATGGAAAAAAAGGATTTTTAATTGTTCTTGGATCTAGCAATTTAGATGAATCTATTAGAGGATTCTTAACTAAATATGATTGTTCTAGTGCTGATATTAATCCAATAGGCAGCTTAAGTAAAAATGATTTGAGATAACTTCTTTAATTCTGTTACAAAACTTTTAATTTTTCAGCCATTTAATAAATTTTGGAAGCTAAACCTTCACCTGAATTAAGACCATAATCAGCTGAAGGTCATGTTTCAGAAAATGACATGGAATTAACATTTAATGAATTAGAAACATTTGCAAAATTGAGAAAGGTCCAAAAATTGGGTCCAGTAAGTATGTTTAAGAAATTAAGATATCTCTGGTCCAATATTACTCCATAAGAAGTAGCTGAAAAAGTAAAGAAATTTTTCAAACACTATGCCTTAAACAGACACAAAGTAGTAACTATTACTGCTTCATTTCATGCCTAAGCATTTTCATAAGATGATAATCGTTTTGATTTTAGACAGTTTTTATATAACTGGAGATGGCCATGGTAATTTAAGAAAATTGATGAGAATTTAGAATGAGATTAATTCTTTTTTTATTTATTAAAATAAAGATTTATTATTATAATAATCAAAGTCTTATGGGAGATAAGGATTTTATAATAGTAAAAGCAGGAAATGCTCCTTTTGTAATTATTACTTTTTTTATGGGACTACTACGTGGATCAACAATTCCACTAACCATCCCTCGTTTTACAGTTCTTTATTCACTAATTCTCTTATCAGAATCAAACTGAGAGACCTTCATTTATTTTGATTCCTATATAGAATGATACAATTAAGAAAGTATCTCCTTTTGAGCTGCCAATTATAATTTAATTTCCTATATATTTTATTAGGTATCTGATTAATCATCAACAATGGTTACTTAAATATTTTCACTCATTTAATCTGGCTTTACTTGTAATTATTTATCAGAGAAATTAATCTAACCTGGTAAAGAATGTTATGAAGGACAAGCTACAAACTTTAATTAAGTCTAAGTAATCTATTTATGAGATTATTTTTTCATCAATTCTTCAATTGATTCTTCATTTTTATTTTGAACATGTTATTGAAATTGCTATTTACTTTTCTATATAGTATTTTATTATTTTTATTTTAAAATATTATTATCTTAATATTATTTTTTTAAAATAGAGTCTTCCTAATTTAGTTTCTTTGTATTATTTTATTCTTATTGAAATTAGTTAGAAATAATTGACATTTACTATGAACTTTAGGATTAATCTTATTTATTATCATCATTAAATAAATGATCTTACTTTTTAAATGAATTATTTGATTCAACTTTAATTTATTATGAAAGAATTTATGATTCTTCTTTTTCTTAAATGGTTGATGGTTATTTTTGTGGATAAAATTATTCTTATGATTAATATTAATTAAATGAGTGTTATTGATTTGAATAATTTCGTTAACTAGATTAATGTGATTATGATCTTTATTATTTAATATCTCCAGAATATCCAGATCTACCTGATTATCTAGATTATCTTGATTAAGCATCTTATAATTTATCAATTTATAAATCATCTAATTCACTATGAGAAACTGGTTATTTTTTAATTATCATTGACTCAGCTCTTGATTTTTTAGCCTCTTCTTGTTATTGGCTAGATTTTCTGTTATGAAATCTTTCATTTACATTCACATTTTCTAAACTATTAATATCATTAAAAAACATAGACTATTAATTATTTGTTATTTTTGATTATTCAAAATGTGGAGAATTATTTTAATTATCTCTTATAAATGAATCATCTTATTTTTTTTTCAATTCACTTTTTAATACATCACTTACTGATTTAATAAATTCTTATTGAAAACTTTCTGATTATTATTGAGGGTAACTTTCCTATGAATCTATAGAAACATTAGTTTTATATCCTAGTCTACTTTATGATATTTAATTATCATCTTCTAATTATTATTACTACATTTTAAGTTATTCTAGTTCTCTTTATTATTATTCTATTAATTATTACATATATAATTATTATTGTTTAATTAACTTCATTTGAGTATCATCATTAATATCTAATTTATCAAAATCAGTTTAAGATTAACTTCTTTTATGTCTATGAAATTTCATTTGACTAGATTAATTGGATTCAACTTAATTAAAAATAGCTGTATTTCTCATATCTAAAGCAAAATCTTATTAACAGAAACTTAATTTTTTATTGTGATCATTTTCTTATTATTATATAATCTACTATTATTAAGATTAATGTGATTATTATGATTATTAAATTTATTGAAATTATTATTATTATTATTCTTTTTAAATTGATGATTATTTTTAATTATTTTATTCTTATTAATCTCTATGTGATTATTATGGAGTTATTTATTGAGAAGCAACCTAATTTATTGAATTGATTGATATTCTCTAAGAAACAGGTTATGATGATTATTTAGATTTTCTTGAATCTCTTGGTTATGAAAATTCTTTAATTTATCTAGATTCCCATAATTATTATTATGAATATTAAGATGAATCTAATGGTAATTATTCTGTTTATTAATTATCAAATTTATATAATTTATTTCCTTCACTTTTTATTTTATTTTAATCTTCAAGTTAAAACTATTATTTAAACCTTTTTGAACCTTCAGATGATTTACGCCTTGATTATTAAGATGATTTTGATTGTTATAAATTTTAATGACTCTTGACTTATTTTGATTGAATAGATTATCTAGATTAATCCAATATTGATTTCTTATTTTACTCAACTGATTGTTCTTTTTGATATTATTTAGATTTATTAATAATTTAATCTATATGATCTTTTGGTGAAGAATGCTATTTTTCTTAAAATAATTCACTCCTTTAACTAGAATGTTCTTCACTATCCAATATTGGCTAATAAATTTGACTTTATTAAGACTATACACTTTTATTCTAATCAAATGGTTTTATAAATTGAGTTTGAAGTTTTTTTATTTCTTCAACATAAGCTGATTAACTTAATTTATTTGATGATTTATTATTTATTGATTCTTTCTTTATTGAACTTTAGATTAGGTATTACTATGAATTAGAATGAGACTTTCTTGTATTTTATTAAGGTTTATTAGATTTTTTATGTTAAGATTGTTCATTTTAATCTATATCTCTCAATTATCCTTTATAATAATTTATTAACTAAATGCTATTCCTTTCAGGTGATGAATGCTATTTACTTCCATGTAGAGCATCAGATATTTTCTAATAAGAAGTTGACATGGAGTTTTGAAAATATTTATAATTTGATAACTTACTCTATTTTTCAGGACTTGGAGAAACACTAGTTTATTTTTATATAGGTTCCTATCTTTAAAATTGAATTTCAAATAAGTCTTCTATCTCTTTAATATTATTAAGGGATATAGGTTGTCTAATTTAAATTGGATTTTTATGATTACTATATGGAACTACAATAATAAAATAAAATATACACATTAAATCTTTAGGAGAATTACAATTTTTAACTAATCCATTTTGAAAAATTTCAATCAATTCTCCAAATCTCCACATCCCTTTAACCCATTATAATTCATCTTCCTTAAATAAATAAATGCCTCTTCCATGATACTTACCATTTTCAAAGAAACCTTAATAAACTTCCCCAGATGCTTACTATATTCTACCTAAACCATTTAAAAAACCATCCTTAAATTATCCGCATTGAAATAATCCATTTTTCGGTACAAATATACCTAATCCATTAGGTGATACCTTATTTGCAGCATTCTTTCCTGTTATACCATAGAATGTTCCATCTAACCAATCTATTGTTTACAAAGCACTCCTATTGTAACATTAAACACTTTTTAAGTTTGGAATTTCAAATGATTAATCTCTTTTACTAAGACCTCGTGTTGGTTTCCCATCTTGGAATGCTATTGTAACTTCTCCTTATTTAAAATAGGCAGTCATGCTTCCATTAGGTAAACCGTTGAGCCATTTACCATAATACTTTGCTTGTCTTGTTTATATGAGACAATTTCCATGTAATTTTGCTGAATTAAATTATCCTTATATAGTTGTTTTTGGTGGCAAGAAAAGTATTCCATTGCCATCTATTTAATCTGATTTCCATTCACCAAAATAGGCAGATCCATTCTCCCATAAATAAACTCCAATTCCTTGTTTATATCTAGATTGTAATGTTTATCCTTGGTATATTCCATCTTTGAATTCAAGTTGAGTTATTATACTATTGCGCATTGCCGTTAATATTATAATATTAGGAGGGGAAAATAATATATAAAAATTTAAATTCTGTAATGCCTAGAGAAATCATCACACTTCAAGTTGGATAATGTGGTAATCAAAGTAAGTGTATTATGAAATACTTTTAGTTGGTATTGAGTTTTGGAAATAGTTAATCAAAGAGCATGGTATAAATAATGAGGGAATTTTGGAGGAATTTGCACTCTAAGGAGATGATAGAAAAGATGTGTTCTTCTATTAAGCTGATGATGAACATTACATACCACGAGCTTTATTGATAGACATGGAACCTAGAGTTATCAATTATATATAGACATCATAATTTTCTACTCTCTTCAATCCTGAGAATATATTTATTTCAAAAGATGGAGGTGGAGCAGGAAATAATTGGGCATGTGGTTATTCATAAGGAGAAAGATATTAAGAAGAATTAATGGAAATGATAGATAGAGAAGCTGATGGATCAGACAGTTTGGAGGGATTTCTAATGCTTCATTCAATTGCTGGTGGTACAGGTTCAGGATCAGGATCTTATATTTTGGAAAGATTGAATGATCGTTTTCCCAAAAAAATCATATAAACATACTCTGTATTCCCCAATCAAAATGAAACAAGTGATGTTGTTGTTCAACCCTATAATTCTCTACTTACTCTTCGTAGATTAGCCTAAAATGCAGATGCTGTTGTTGTATTAGACAACACTGCTTTAAATAGAATAGCTGTAGACAGACTCAAAATACCTATACCAACTGTATCTCAAACCAATTCTCTTGTGGCTATGGTTATGGCAGCTTCTACAACTACACTTAGATATCCTGGATATATGAATAATGATTTAGTTAGTATTTTGGCTGGATTAGTACCAACACCTAGATGTCACTTTTTAATGACTGGATATACTCCTTTGACTATTGATAGACATGTATATTTCATATCCAAATTTAGATTTCATCTGTAAGAAAAACAACAGTCTTAGATGTCATGAGAAGATTACTTTAGACTAAGAACATCATGGTTTCAACATCTACCAAGAATGGAAGTTATATTTCAATTTTGAATATCATTCAAGGGGATGTTGATGCTACTCAAATCCATAAAAGTTTGTAAAGAATTAGGGAGCGTAAATTGGCTAGTTTTATTGAATGGGGTCCTACTTCAATTCAAGTAGCACTTTCAAAGAAGAGTCCATATATTGAAACTTCTCATAAAGTTAGTGGACTTATGTTAGCTAATCATACCAGTATTCATTCAGTATAATATTTATGATAATTATTTAGCTTTTTGATAGAATATTGAAATAATATCATAAATTGAGAAATAGAAATGCTTTCCTTGATTAATACAAAAAAGAACCTATGTTTAAAGATTCTCTTGATGAATTTGATGAATCAAAAGAGTGTTTGGAATCTCTAATTAGTGAATATAAAGCAGCTGAATCAAAAAACTATTTAGATTGGGGTAATGATGATAATATGAGAATCGAAGAGCAACAGTGAAAATATATATATTTTTATTAATTAAAATAAATGGGTAATTGTACTAAAATGTGCTATGTTAGTGAAGGTGTACAATAACTTACAAAAAAGGAAGAATTTGCAATTGATACTGGAATAAAGAGTGATGATTTGATTATGCATTCAACTCAAGGGAAATCTAAAGAGAATAAGGATGATTAATATTCATAATGTTCGAATAAAAGTGCTCTTCCTTAAATAATTTCAATTGAAGATGAACTCTTAATTTAATCTACTTTGAATTCAAGTGTTCCTCTAAAATTGAGAAAAATATTAATGGAAGATGATGCCTACTATGAGGGAGAGTGGATGTAAGGTAAACGTTGGGGATAGGGAGAATAAAGATGGCCAGATGGGTATGACTTATCTTAATTTGAGTTTCTAGATCAATTTACATAGGGGAATGGAAGAACAATAAAGCGAATGGGTATGGTGTTTTGACTCATTCTGATGGAGATGTTTACAAAGGAGATTGGTTAAATGACTAAGCTCATGGAAAAGGAGTCTATATAAACTTTAACCAAGCTAAATATGAAGGGGAATGGGTGAAAGATAGACAAGAAGGGCATGGTATTGAGAGCTGGCCAGATGGGTCTATTTTTGAAGGTAGTTTATTAAAAAATATATTCTAAGGAAATTACAAATAAGGAAAGAAAGAAGGTTTTGGAAAGCTATCTTATCCAGATGGCTCAAAATATGAAGGCAATTTTTAAATGAATAATCTTCATGGTTAAGGAAAGTACATTTGGCCTGATGGGAGAATATATGAAGGAGATTGGATTAATAATTAAATGAATGGGAAGGGTATAATGAAGTGGGAAGATGGTATGGAATGCAGATTATCTAGGGAGATAGTATGAGGGAGAATATAAGGAAGGATAGAAACATGGTTATGGAACATTGATATGGGAGGATGGTCATAAATATGTGGGTTAATGGGTAATGGGAAAATAAGAAGGGGTAGGTGAATATTTCTTTACAAATGGTATTTCTCGTAAAGGAGTATGGAAAGAAGGCAAACGAATCTAATGGGATTGATTATTTAATAAATACTATGTAAAATCATAATCCTAATGATGAACTCAATTTAGAGAATGATAAGTTTTCTAAATAGTTGGATCAGGATGGTAATCAAGCATGATAATCTATCTAGAACGTATTTTGTTGTCATGCAACTTGTTTAAGTTTAATGATTACAAGAAGAGACAAGAACGTAGTTTGCTGGTGTCAACTAAGAATGTCATAAACCTTAAAGGCACATGTATCATCTTTATTAATGTTCCCTCATTAGCTATCAAGAGAAAGATTCCATATAATAAGATTAAGGCTATCACATTGTCCTCTATCGGTACTGAATTCGTAATCCACGTTCCAGATGAATACGATTACAGATATAGTAGTTATGACAAGTAAGTAATTACCTAGATCATTAATAGACGCAATAAAATTGTATCCAAAATCTTAGAAGGCTATTCTTTATTCACTAAAGCTAAACTAGCAATGTATTATAATCATATATATTGTATTTAGTTATTTTAAAGAGGATGTATCATTATACAATTATGCTACTACAAAAAGTGATAAGAAGAAGCATGTCTCTAAGATCCCTTCAGAATAACCTTAATATATGGATAATGAGATGTTTGCTTAAATCTTAGAAGGAGAAACAAAAGAAAAAGATGATGCAAGAAAGAAAACTTAAACTTTATGGGCTAGAGAGAAAGGCAAGGAAGTAACATTAGATGACTTCTCAATTCTGAAAGTCTTAGGCAGAGGAGCATTTGGGCAAGTGATGTTGGTTGAGAAAAAAGACACTGGAGAATGGTTTGCTATGAAGACAATAAGAAAAGAAGATATTATTGAAAAGGATTAACTTGAACACACTAAAACAGAAAAAATGATTTTGGAACATGTAAATCATCCATTTTTAGTCAATTTGGCATATGCATTCCAAACTCCATAAAAATTATTTTTTATTATGCAATTCATGAAAGGAGGTGAATTATTTTAACATTTAAGAATGGCAAGAAAATTTGATGAAAAAAGAGCTAAATTTTATGTTGCTGAATTATTGTTAGGATTAGGACATCTACATAGTAAAGATATTGTTTATCGTGATCTTAAATTGGAAAATATATTAATGGATGATGTAGGCAATGTATTCTTAACAGATTTTGGAATGGCTAAAATAGTACGTAAAAATGAATTGGCAATGACATTCTGTGGTACTCCTGAATATCTTTGTCCAGAAGTCATTTTAGGATATGGTTGTGATAAAACAGCTGATTGGTGGAGTTTAGGCATTCTTACATATGAAATGATGTATGGTTTGCCTCCATTTTACAATAAAAATTAAACTATTATGTTTAAATTGATTAAGGAGGCTGAACTAAGATTTCCTGAAAGACCAGAAGTTAGTAAGGAAGCTAAAGATTTCATTTCAAGAGTAAATCTATATATTATAAAAGTTACTTATAAGAGATCGATTTACAAGATTAGGAGCTAAGGGTGATTTCTAAGAGTTAATTGCACATCCTTGGTTTAAAGATATTAATTGGGAATAGTTGATTTAAAAAAAAGTACCCACTCCTTACAAACCAAGAGTTTAAGGAGAATAATGGTTGGATGGTTTTGATAAAGATTTCACTAGTGAAGGTAATATTTCACATAAATATAAAATAGATCCAAACAAGGTAATTGATGATGATCACTCAAAACCTTAAAAAGATTACGATTAACAATTCAAAGATTTCTGAAATATATTCACATATGGATTAAGTCATTTATTAATACCTTTATAAAATTATTTTTAATTAATGTTATTTTTACAAATTACATAATAAATATAAATAAGAAATCTAAAAATCTTAAGATAATTTACAATTTTGAAATCTCATTTAGATATTTTACTAAATTATTATAAAATGGAAATTTGAAAATTAGTGTCAATTTTTTATTTTTTATAAATATAGGCTCATCAAATATGAATATTAGAACTTGAAATATATGCTCTTATCTATATAGCATATATATTTCAAGTTCTTAAACTAAAACTAAAAGCAATTCATAATCGTATTTATTTTGGCTTAACCTAGAATTTAAAAGCCAAAGTTAAAAAATTGTGTATACCATTAATCATTCATGATAATTGATTATTTATGAGTATCTTTATGGTTATCTGGATATAATTTGTAACTCTAGACTAAAACTATTTTTACATGATTTTTCACTCAATTCTTGATAACTTTGTTATTTTTTGATTTATTAATTTGATTAATGTTCCTATTTACTTATTTAGAATGAGTGTAAAATGATTAGAATAACAAACACACATTTTAATTATATTTTTACAAAATATAAATATATAAATTTGTTATTTTCAAAAGTCTGCATCTTCACCATCATCATCTAAATTTTCAATTCCATCATCATCTTCTTCTTCCTCTTCTTCTTCGTTTTCACCACCACTTAAATCATCTATATCATCTACTTCTCCATCTTCATCCATTTATTATTTATTAAAACCACCATGCTATTATCTCATAAATTCATTATTTCTTTTCTCTTAATTGCTTGATTGTAATCTAGAATCATCTCCTAATTATTCTAACTAATCATCATTTCCATCATCATCTCTACCTCTTAAATCAATTATTTCTGCCTGCTCAATTGCACCTTTAAATCCTTATAATACTTAGTCTTTCTTTTTCTATTATATTTCTTATTATTTATTTTGAGCATCTAAAACATGTTCTAAATATACAAGATTTCTAAATTTCTCAACATAAATCTATAAAATATAAATATATAATTTACTTAATATAACTTTTCTAATTCATATTCCTATCTATCATATTCTTCTTAATAAGCAGGTTTTACACTAGTCATTCCTTTCAATCTTTTTTCAGCCTATTCTAATTCCTTTGTCTTTCTCTTTATTTTTTCTTCAATCTATTTTTGTTCTCTCTCTAAACCACTTACATATTTAGACATATCTTATATGCTTTATTCTTATTATTTTAGTATAGTTTAAATGCATATTTAAATATAAGATTATTCAGATTGAGAGTTTCCACTTCTAGATACATTCTATAAGAATTATAAGGCTTTTTCCTAACTATAAAATTTGAACTAATACTCTTGCAATTCTCACTTCATCCTCTTTTCCTAATTAATCATATAATCTTGTGGCTAAGTCAGTTATTTCTTATGCCAATACCTTATGACTCTTAATATTACTTAATTTAGAGGGAAGTGACTTGGAAAAATCAGATTAATATGTTTACGAAATCATGCACTTCATCCTCTTCTGCAGGTGAAGAGATTTATGCTTTATATAAAAAAGTTGAAATTTTCAAAATTTCTTGAACTGCATAAACATCAGCCATATATAACCTTTTTGGATTTATCTTGAGTCTAGCTTTACTAACAAAAAGAGTAGTAACCTATTTTATAAATTCAACTCGATGACGCTATATTTTAATTTACACTAATTACTTCTTCATCAATATTGTCAGATATGTCTGTATTTGGGTCATACTTTAAGGCTAACCAATATAAGATATCAGCAACTAATTCAAAATTAGGCCTCCTAAAGTTTTCCATTGAAATAATTCTATGATATCCTAAAGCCCTCATTTATTCACAGAAGTTACGAAGTTCTCTATATGACATTTATTTATATTAATATTTGAAATTATAACATTTTTAGCTTAAGAATCACTTTATATGATGAGCATGATATTTATTGTATTATTTAGATATTTATTCTCTTTCCTTTTGTTTTGCCTTAAATATATGTATTTAATTCTTAATCTACTTCTTATTCATTTTTTACATTGTTCTGAAGATCAGGAATCCCTCTATTACAATATTTAAATCTTTATAATTCTGCTTTTTAAATCTTCTCAGATACATTAAATGTAATCTTCATTTTACAAGTACCACAATAGAGTCAAAGACTTAATTATACCATTAAAATTTTAATTCTAATTTTACAAATATTCATATAAGTATTCAGATATGCTTCTTTTTATTTTAATCTCAAATATTAGTCTTACCATATATTTATTTATAAACTTTAAATTTTAAAGAATTCACTAATATGTAGTATTGATTAATATATTTTTTACAAATATTTTATTATTTTCTTTTATTTTAAACTATGTTGAAACGTACTCAATTTTTCATTTAATCAGTCAATTTAAGTCATTTTTGATATTAGAAAATTGATGAGTTTCTAATTATAATATAATTTGATATATAGTTTCCTAGCCATATATATGTTACATTTTTAATTTAATATATTACCTGAATGATCTAATTTGATTAAATTATCAACTTATTTTATAACAATTAAACAAAAAAATCTAGTTTATTTTAAATCTTTATTTCTAATAATTTAATCAATCAAAGACCTATAACCATAATAATTAGCTGGATATTATTTCTAATATTATATTCATCATTTACTTTAAATTAAATTTTAATTTTATATCTGGAATTTCAATCTGCTTCCTTCAATTACATTATATTTTGAATTAAATAAAAATCAATACTTAAGAAATGATGTTTTTAAGATAAAAACTAAATTGAATTTAGTAAATCAATATTCTTAATTTCTAAAAGTTCTCTCTTTTGTATTGATTAAAGTCATATATCAAAATGTAATTAGACAATTCATAAAAAAAAATCAACTTAATGTTATAAAATAATTCAAATTATTATTAATTATTCATTTTTGAAATTTGTTCACTAGAAAGTGGATCTATTTACTTTAACCTTATTTAAGCAAATCAATATTAAACAAGTAAAATGAATCAATATTCTTAATAAATTAATAATAAGAACAATGAATCTTTTTTTGATATCGATATTCATTTGATTATTAATATTATTAAATAAGATCATATTGAATGATTTATCAAATGAATAGTGGAAAATTTTGGAATAACTAAAATATTCCTTAATTTGATCATCATGAGACTTAGAAAGTTATAATCTCGAATTTCTATAAATTTGGTAAACGATTAGGTTAGAAGTGCTTACGTCAGTACATCTTAATTCGACAATACTTATTATATTCAGATGTTGGCAATTTTAAACATATTAAAGGAAGTGTTAAATTAGATAGTGTCTATGCATAATTTTAAATATCTAATTCAGATTGTCAAATATATCTAAAAAATAATGGATTTCAAATTGTTTTATGCACAGATGATACTAATCAATATCAATTATGGGCCAAACTTTTATCTAACTGTTGTATACTTAATACATTTAATGAGGATATGATCTTGGGAAAGTTGATTGGAAATGGAAGCTTTTCAACAGTAAATAAGTATATTAATAAGGTTTATGAGGGGAGAAATAAAGAAGGTCATCTATTTGCAATTAAAGCAATACCTAAAAAGAAATCTAAATTATAGACTATTAACAAGTAATATGAGGAGCAGTTATTAAGTGAAATTTCAAGTTTAAGAGAGTTAGAACATGAAAACATTCTAAAGCTTCATAGAGTTTATGAGACAACCGAAAAACTATATTTAGTTACTGAATTTATTCATGGTTATGAATTAATCTCAAAAGCTGCCAGCAAACTTATATTTTAAGGATCAGAGATGAAAAGCTTTATTCATCAAATGCTCTTGGCAATAAAAGATATGCATGAACATAACATTATGCATAGAGATATTAAACCATAGAATATCATGTTAAAAAATGGCCAGCTATCATAACCATGTCTTATTGACTTTGGGTTGGCTGTAAGTACTAAGAAAAAAGGATTTCCATTTCCATCCTGTGGATCTCCTGGGTATAATTAAGTTTAATTTTCTTAGTTACTCAGCCCCAGAAATAATAAGATTTGATGAAACAAAAAAAGAATATAGTGGATAGTGTGATATTTTTAGTTTTGGCATAACTTTATTGGTTATGTATTTCAATTTAATAATATTAGACTCTATGGATTTAACCCATTTAAAGCATAAGATTAAAAATAAACAATTAAGAAAAATGCTAATGCATATTTTGAATTTCCTAGTAGCATTTATCCATAGGAATGTATGAAATTTAAATTAAACTATATTTAGTAGAACATTTAATTTTATAGATGACAAAAAAATATCCAAAAGATCGAATAACTGCTGAGTAGGCTCTTAATCATCCGTTTTTTTAGATTAAACTTTCTTAAACAATTCAATTGCCCAAGGCCATCCTAACAAAATAGTAATATGAAATGAATAAAAACTACAATAATATTAATGTTCATGCTAGCTTAGAAATGGACAGAGAGTTTGGATTGAATTATGGTATACAACTAAGTAGTTGTTCTCCTTAAAATAATAAAAATAGAACTTGTACTTTATCAAGCAATCCAAATAAATTACAATAAATTGATGAATTTTAATTAGACTGTGTTGAAGAGTCAATTGATATTTCTCATTTAGAAAAGCTTAAGATGGGTCAAAGACATTTTTGCAAATAGAAGTCATAAATCAACGTTCAATTTTGATAAAACTTCATTATTTGTTAACTGCATAATACTTTAAATAACAGACATAATTAATTATATTAATAAATGAATTAACAAAGGGATCTTCTAACAATGCCACTTGTGTTTAATGTCATCAATATAAAAACAAAGGATCCAACCATCTTTTCATTAACAATTGAAGGCAAATTAACACTCTTACACAAATTGATAAGTTCTGTTGATAATGTTAAACAAGTTGTAAATTCAAAAGATTAAGAAGGTAAAACTGCTTTATTTTATGCTTGGTAATATATTAATTGATCTTTAGCTATTTTAATTTCCAAAATATTGTAATGTTTCTATTAATGAAAGGAGCTGATCCATTTATTATATCAACATCAGGTTATAATGTCTTTTATATCTGTGCTTATAGAGGACACATCGAATGTCTTTAGATTATATATTAAATGTTAAGACATAATTTGAATATGACTTCTATAGAAGAACTTAAACTTACAATGAAAAAGTATAGATTCAAAAAAACAGATTCTCATCATGGAGAATTAACATGTTCTGATAAACATTTGAAATAAGTTCAATAAAGATTTTAAGCATTTTAAACAGAGGTTCACGATCAATATTAAAAATATTTGGATTAAAATTTATTACATTTAAATAAAGCAATCGTTACAAATGATTAATACTAAAGAAATCCAATTCATTATGCAAGTTTATCAAAATACACTAAATGTATATAATGCACAAAATATTTAACTTTATATGGATTAAAAATATAAGGATGGGAATTCTTTTATGATATGTTTATGGAGGTATAACTATTAGAGTCATCTTCAGATAAAAAAATTGATCCTAGATAATATATGCATTATAATGAATTAGCATCTAATTTCATTGAAAAGTATTTTCTAGAATAATAATAATACAATTTTATGAAAAAAATAAAGGGAATATAAAAAGATTTAGCAAATCAATAAGATAGTGATGGTTATGTATAATAATTATAATTGATTTAAGACTCCTATGCATATTGCATCTTTTGCTGGTGATTTTGCTGCAATTCAATTTCTATAATCAATAGGAGGAGATCCAAAAATAAAATGCAGAAAAAAGCTATTAGATGTATTAGAATATGCTTCAAATGATTCTGTTAGAAAATATTTGATGGATCTAAAGAATGCTGCTAAAGAAGGGGATGAAAAGAGTTTCACATTATTAGTCAATTGTGGATAGAAAGTTAATGGAAAAGCAACCATCTATGGAATAGCTCCAGTTCATAATGCAATTGAACACACTCATAAAGTCTAAAATAAAGCAATGTTAGATAAAGTATTAGAAATGGAAGCAGATGTTAATGTTATAGACACAAATGGTTGGACTCCATTGCATCATGCAGCTTTTTATGGAGAATTGGATGCTATTACTACATTATTTGAAAGAGGAGCTACTTAATCCATTTTTTCTAATAAAGGATATTATCCTTTACATGCAGCAGCTATTAATAATTAAGCAAAAGCAGTTAAGTTGTTGATTGAATTGAGCAAAAAATAAAAAGATAAAAGTATAAATAAAAAAGATACAGGATAATTTGATAGAGGAGCGCATCCTGATTGTTAAGATGATTAATTATGTACTCCAATGCATTTAGCAGCAAAGAAAGGTTTTGCAGAAGTTGTAAAAGTATTATTTGAAAATGGAGGCAATATATATGCATTAGACAATAGAGATTGGACTCCACTTCATTATGCATCATTTAATATGCATAAAAATGTAGTTCATATGTTGAGTAGATATGATTCTGATGAAGATAAATATAGTACAATGCGTACTACAAAAGGGTAAACTGCTGATCAAATAATGACAAATTCAGATGTGAAGTTTGCATTTAAAAGTAAAGCATTAATCATGATAAGATAGCTTTGTGGGGAGCTGCAAGAGATGGTGATCTTGATACTGTAAGAAAACTTGTTACTTTGAAACATGATATCAATGAATAGAGTTATGTTAATTAATTTACACCACTGATTTTGGCAACAAGAGGAAATCATTTCCTTGTTGTGAAATATCTTCTATCTTAAAAGGTTGATACAACATTAAAAGATAAATGTAAATTTATGATTTATGTAGATGGTAATACTGCCTTGGATTATGCAGTGAAGCAGTAGAACTAAAAATTGAGGGAGTTATTGCAAGGTTAATGAAATATTAATAATCTAATATTAATTCAAATTACTATAATATAGAATACATATATTTATTTTTTATTAAAAATTTAAATTATAAAATACATATCAATAAGTGTTGACTATGATAATAAAGTAGATTTTAATGATATTTTAATGTTAAATGTGTTTAAATTTAATAATAATGAAGTGATGCAATAATTTTAGTACTCTGAAAAGAATGGAATAAACAAGTTAGATTTATTAAGTTTGAATTGATCCTATTAATATCTATTAATTTCTAAGTAATCTTACTACTTAAAGAAAAATAAATTGTAGGACAAAATGATAGATGCCAAAATAATTAAGAAGGTTGTTTAACATTTTATAAATATAATATAATAATATCTTATTGAGTTCAGATGAGTTTAGAATTTTTTTGGTTTCAAAGAGCAAAAGAGTTTGATTTATAAGATTAGATTTTCAGGTTTAAAGCTGCTTAGCTATTTCATTTTAGATGAAAAATTTATTTTATATATGAATATCCAAGCATTTTTGGTTCTAATAGTACTGCTAGCAGTCGGATCGAAGACTCAATCTGTTTCTACAGATGAAAAGTGCACATGTTCAACTGTTAAATCGAAATTTGACTGTGTCGCGTTAGGGTGCACTTTCACTCCATCTACAACAACAACAGCAGCAACATGTACATCAACACCAACTGCTCTTGCTGTTGTAAGTGTGTATTGTGGTTCCATCTCTACACCAGTCACGAACTGTCCTAAAACTAGAGGATGTGCTTTCTATGATGGGAAATGCCAACATTTTAGTGGATGTTAAGCTTTTCTTAAAACAACTACTTCAGATTGTTAAGCAATATCAACTTATTGTATATCTGATGGAGTTTCTTGTATTGACCCTAAACCTTGTGAAAGCTATCAAACTCAGACTATATGTAATACTAATGTTAGTGACACTTCTACTTAACTTTGTATTTGGGATGAAACTGTCACTCCAAAATGCAGGGCATAGAAGTGTAGTGAAGCACCTCAGACACTTAAAACAGATATAGAATGTGATAAATTTAAGACTGGATGTGTTACTATAGGATTAGGATGCGCAGATTAAAGGTCTTTATGTTCTGAATATAAATCGGATTGTTATAATATGATAGGATCAGATGGTGTTTGTGGTTCAGCTGCAGATGGATCATGTATTTAGAGAAGTTGTGATTCTGCTCCTTAAGAATATACAACAGATGATTAATGTAATTCATATGTATAAGGATGCATAACAAATGGATCAGGATGTTCTAATAATCCATTACCTAGTTGTTCAGAATATAAACTAGATGCATTTACATGTTTAAAGAGAATGGGAAGTGATGGAAATTGTGTTGGAACATCTTAGAATGTATGCTAAGTAAGAACTTGTGAAAATGCTCCAGCAGACTTTTTCTCAACCTTATTATGCAATTAATATTTATCAGGTTGTAAATTTAATGGTATAAATTGTGTAAGTGAATTACAAAATTGTTCTGCTTATACAGGAACAAAAGATACTTGTGCTAAATATATAGGTTTGACAGGATAATGTTGGGGAGCTGCTACAAATGATTCTACTTCTAATTGTAGAAATAAGATGTGTTCAGATGGAGAGACAAGTTATAATACAGATAAATTATGTTCAGATTTCTTAACAAATTGTTATACAAATGGTTAAGGATGTACATCAGAGAAAAAAGCATGTTCAACATTTTCAGGTACAACTACTACATGTAGTAAATGGATTGGATCAGATGGTAAATGTGAAGGAACTGATCCAACTACTGATAAACCATGTTCAGCTAGAGTATGTGTAAATGCTAAAGGTGATAATTATATGACTAATGAAAATTGTAAAGCATATTAATTTGGTTGTTTATCTAATGGTAGTGGTTGTGTTTAAAGTGATACATGTTTGGCTACTTAAAAATAATTAACATGTACTGGAACTCCTGATTGTTTATGGGGTGGTATATGTGTAGATTCTGAATGTTCTAAATACACTTCAGTAAGTATGTGTATCAACAATTTAGCAAAGGGAAGACCTTGTATTTGGAATGGTACTATATGTAGAGAAAAATTATGTAATGAAGCTGATAAAGCAACACATACATCAGATGAACAATGTGGAAAGTTTATGGCTAGATGTGTTTATTCAGGTGATGGATGTTAAGATTCTAATGTTGATTGTACATATTTTAGAGGTGATAAAACTACTTGTCCTAATTTTATAGCCAAATCATAAAAATGTTGGTCAACTAGTGAAACTAAAGCATCTTGTATAATTAGATAATGTTCACATAATACAACTGCTACTTCTGATTAAGATTGCACTACTTTTCTTGAAGGATGTGTTACTAAAGGTACAGGATGTATAAGTGTTTCTGAACCTTGTTCTTCTTACATAGGATCAATTGAATAATGTAAATTATTTAAAGGTGAAAATGGAACTAAAAAATGTTATAAAGAAGATACTAATTAATAATGTAGAAATATTAAATGTTCTGATAATTCAACTGCTACATCTGATAGTGAATGTGATTCACATTTAACTGGTTGTTTGACAAAAGGTAATGGATGTGTAACTCCTGATACTCCATGTTCATAATATCCTGGAAATTCATCAGAAATCTGTTCAAAATTCCTTGGTAATGGAATTCCATGTTGGTGGGAAAGTGGTAGTAATTGTGTAGATAAAAAATGTTCTCATAAAACAACAGCTTCTGGTATGGATGATTGTGCATCTTTTCTAAAAGGTTGTGTTTATAATGGAACTGGATGTTAAGATAAATCCTTAACATGTAGTACATATACAGGAAATGAAACAACATGTTCTCAATATCTTGGAAATGGTTTATAATGTACAAGAAAGAATTTATGTACTGAAAGTGAATGTACAGAAAAAACAGATGCTAATTCACATTAAGATTGTCTTGATTATGCTCCTAGTTGTAGATATAGTGGTGTTAATAATTCATGTATAAGTGTAGCAGATACTTGTAGTTCTTATACTACAATGACTGCAGAATTATGTAATTCAACAACTAATTCAAGTGGTGGAAAATGTTATTTTGCAAATTCTGCTTGTGCAAATAGAACATGTGATTTATTGGCTTCAGCTAATTCTCAATCAGATTGTGATTAATTTTTAACAGGATGTATTTGGACAGGTACAAAATGTACAAACAAAGTTTCTGCTTGTACAAATTATACAAATTTTACATAAGGTGCTTGTTAAGTAGCAAAAGATTTAACAAATAATTTATGTTGGAAATCTACATCAGGTACAGGATCTTGTGAAGTTAGAACATGTTCACAAGTTTCAAAGACTAATGCTACTGATTGTTAAAATCATCTATCTACATGCACTTCTAATGGAACAATTTGTGTTAATAAATAAGCTAATTGTACATCATATACAACCAATTTTACATAAGCAGCATGTAAGGAAGCAAAAACTACAGGTGGTGCTTTATGTTGGATGGAAACAGCTGGTCCAGGATCTTGTATAGCTAGATCATGTGATCAAACTGTTAGTACTCCTAGTGCAATTACATGTGCAGCTCATATTTAAAATTAATGTACATTTAATGGAACAAGTTGTATTTCAATTTAAAATTGTACAAATTACACTGGTCTTACTATTCCTTAATGTTAATAAATTGTTGGAAGCAGTGGTTTTCCATGTTAAAAAATAAGCAATATTTTAACTGATAGTTGTATAGAGAGATCTTGTTCTGATGTAACAGCACCAAAAAAACTTAGTGATTGTACAAGTTATTTATCAAAATGTACATTTGATGGTTTAATATGTAAATTACTCTAAACTACATGTGATTAATATATTGATTTCAGTTAAGCTGCTTGTTAAGCTACAGTTACAACAACAGGTGAAAAGTGTTGGAAATAATTTGATGAAATAGGAAAATGTGAAATAAGAACATGTACAAATGCTCCTATTTAAACTTCTGAAACTTCTTGTAGATCACATTTGAGTACTTGTACATTTAATGGAAGTGGATGTGTTGAAGAATAAACTACATGTTAAGGATACACAGATACAAATGCTTTGAATTGTTAAAAATTATCAGCTTTCAATGCTGGTGTTGCAACTCCATGTTGGTTGGTAACTGGTACTGGTTCATGTATCAATAAATCATGTGTACATAATACAACTGCAACAACTGATTAAGAATGTGAAGCTTTCCTTTCTGGTTGTGTTACAACTGGTAAAGGATGTACAAGTAATACAACTTTATGTTCACAATTGACTAGTACTTAAGATGGATGTTCTGCATTAATTGGAAATTTTAAAAGATGTAAAGGAGCATCTGATTAATCAGGAGAATGTAGTATTAAATTTTGTTAAGATAATACAACTGCTACTAGTGATTCTTAATGTGCATCATATATGACAGGTTGTTTAACAAGAGGAAAGGGTTGTATTGCATCAACAGAACCATGTAGTGCATACAAGGGAACTTAAGCTTAATGTAATAATTTTAAGGGAGCAGGTAGAACATGTACAAATACAAGTCAAGCAACAAGTAGTACTTCTTGTATTGAACGTAAATGTAGTGATAATACAACAGCCACATCTGATATAGAATGTTCTAATTTCCAAGTTGGATGTATAACAAATGGAAGGGGATGTACATCTTTAACATCTCAATGTACTTCATTTTTTGGAACCTAAACTACATGTTCATCCTTTATAGGAAATTCTGGAAAATAAAAATGTTATGGAACATCAAATACAACTTCTTAGTCTTGTGTTATAAGAGTTTGTACTCATAATGTAACAGCCACAACAGATAGTGAATGTGAAACATTTTTGAGTGGTTGTATTACAAATGGAAAAGGATGTGTATTACCATAAGCATGTTCTGCATTTTCAGGAACAAGAATATCTTGTTAGACATTTTCTGCAACTGATAAACCATGTAAAGGTGTAAGTTCAACAATGGTAGCTGCATGTAAAGTAGCTACTTGTTAAGATGCTCCAAATAGTTATGATACAGATGAATTATGTGGTAAATTCAAAACAGGTTGTGTTACAAATGGATATGGATGTGTTAGTTCAATAAGTTGTAAAAATTATTAATCAGAGAAATCTTGTACAGCAAATTTATCTTGTTCATTTATTAATTCATGTAGAAGTGTTGCTTTAACTTCATGTACTTCTTTTACAGATGCATCAACTTGTATATCTACTCCTGTTAAAACTTAGATTGGAAAATGTGCTTGGGATAACATAAATAATGGATGTAGAAATTGGTAATGTAGTGATGCTCCATTAAGTGTTAATACTCATGCTGGATGTACAGCTCTTAATTCTAATTGTACAACAAGAGGAAGTGGTTGTGTTAATAAAGCATAATGTAGTGAATATTTGGATTAATCTATTTGTTTATCAGCTAAATCTATTCTAGATGATACTTGTGTATGGGATTCAACAAATAATACTTGTAGAAAAAGAAATTGTTCTGATGCTCCTAAAGCATTAAAGACTGATGAAGGATGTAATACCTATTTACCTGGATGTTTAACTACTGGTTATGGATGTGTTGCACCACCTTTTGATTGCACTGCCAACATTACATAAACTAGATGTTTAGTAGATTCTGCTGGTAATCCATGTATTTGGCTAAATACTTCAAATACATGTTAAAATTATACTAGATGTACTGATATCTAAAAAACAACATTTTAAGAATGTCAAGCTTATTCTTTGTTCTGTACATCTGATGGAATTAATTGTGTGCCATTTAGTTTATGTGCTTATTACACAACTTCAAATAGTTGTTTGTAAGGAACTGATGGTTTATGTGGTTGGTAAGCAGATACTAATAAATGTGTTAAATTTAGTTCATGTGATCAATTTATATCCTAACTCACATCTTAATGTTCTACATTTAATTCCAATTGTGTAAGTGATGGTAAAGGTTGTATAACAAAACTTAAATGTACAGAATATACAGCTGAAATGGCATGTTTATCAGGAGGAACAGATGGATATTGTAAATGGGAAAATAGTAAATGCAGAATCAGACAATGTTCTGATGCAACTGAAGACACTACTGTTTTTGAATCATGTTGGAAATTTAGTGCAGAGAAAGTATGTACTACCAATGGTTCTAAATGTATTGACATCACTACTTGTAGTTCTTATGCTAAATCTTATTGTAAATTAGGAACAGATGGATATTGTACTTATGATGATACTAATTAATTATGTAGAACTATGATATGTTCAGATAACAAAGATACAACTAGTGCCTTATGTTCAAAGAGGGTTGGTCTTAAATGTGTTTCTGATGGAACTAAATGCATTGATATTGCTAAATGTTCAGCCTATTCTGACAAAGAAGCATGTAATGGAGGTGGTACTGATGGAATCTGTGCTTTCACTCCTTCCCAAAATAATCCTTTGGTAGGAGTCTGTAAATTAATGACATCTTGTTAAAGTGCTGGCCAAGATTAAATTGCTTGTTCTAAAGCACCTTGTATTTTCAATAATAATGCTTGTGGACCTTAAACTTGTGCATCATAATAGTAAGGTAATAAATGTAATTCTATTCAATCATTTGATAAAAAAACTATCACTGTTTGTGTTCCTGATGGAAATGGTGGATGTTCATAAGGAGATGCTTCATCACTTTCTTCAAGTTTATGTTTTGAATTAAGTGGTAGAACATATTCATGGAATCCATCTAAAAGTAAATGTGAAAAATGTGCTAAAGCCAATAATAATAATTCTACAGACACTCCAGATGATGGTGAAGAAGAGGAAGAAACAATTCATGCGGTCTCTTTAAAAACAGCATTCCTCCTCTTATTTGGTTTTATTTCAGTTTGAGATCTTTGCTTTTCATTGATTAAAATATAAATATTCAATATAGTTTATTTAATTTTATTAATAATTTTAATACATTATTTAAAATTAATTTAATTAATTTCTTAATTTTGAATATTTGCTGTTATTTATTATATTAATAATGTCTACATAATAGTATTATTATTAATATTTAACACTTTCTTTTTAATCACTTATTTCTAATGATTTGAAAATTTGAAATAATACTTTTAAACAACCTATGTCAAGCATAATATGAAGTAATTTAAAAATTAAATTACTTATGTATTATTAAATATAATCATAAACAAAATTTAATATTCAATTAAGATGTCATATATAAATAAATTGCTTGTTGCTAATAGAGGTGAAATTGCTTGTAGAGTAATGAGGACAGCCAAGAAAATGGGCATAAAAACTGTAGCTGTATATAGTGATATTGATAAAAATACTTTGTTTGTTGAAATGGCAGATGAAGCTTACAATATAGGTCCTCCTTAAGCTTGTAATTATGAGTTATATATTTTTTAGTGCAATCATATTTAAGAAGTGATAAAATCATTGATGTTGCATTAAGCACAAAAAGTAAAGCTATTCATCCAGGATTTGGATTTCTTTCAGAAAATGCACAATTTTCTGAAGATTGTCAAAAAAATGATATTGTAATAAATATCTTTTATCTTTCAAGATATTTGTTGGTCCTGGTGCTGATGCAATTAGAAAAATGGGATCTAAAAGTGAATCAAAGATTATAATGACAAATGCTTAAGTGCCAGTTGTGCCAGGATATCATGGTGAAAATTAAGATCCTAATTTGTAATTTTTTGAATCTTAATAAGTTAGTTTGCTTTAAGAGGCAGAGAAAATTGGGTTTCCAGTTTTAATTAAAGCTGTTATGGGTGGAGGAGGAAAAGGAATGAGGATTGTCAGATAAAAATCTGAATTTTTAGAAGCCTTAGAAGGAGCCAAAAGAGAAGCATTAAAAAGCTTCAAAGATGAAAGAGTGTTAGTTGAAAAATATATTGAAAAGCCTAGACATATTGAAGTACAAATCTTTGGTGATAAACATAATAATTATGTTCATTTATTTGAAAGGGATTGTTCAATATAAAGAAGACATTAAAAAGTTATTGAAGAAGCACCATCTGCATTAGATGAAAATATAAGATATGATATAGGAGAAGTATATTCTATTATATAAATTAGAAAGCAAAAGAAGCAGCAAGAGCAGTTAAATATTCAAATGCAGGAACTGTAGAATTTATATTTGATTTGGATTCTAGTAAATTCTATTTTATGGAAATGAATACTAGATTATAAGTTGAACATCCAATTACAGAAATGATTACAGGGGTTGATTTAGTTGAATGGTAACTTAGAGTTGCAAGTGGAGAACATTTACCATTAACACAAGAATAAATTAAAAGAAAAGGTCATTCCATAGAAGCTCGTATCTATTCAGAAAGTCCAAATAATAACTTTTTACCAGGAAGTGGCAAACTTGATCATTATTAAGAACCATAACCATCTCAATCTGTGAGAATTGAAACTGGAGTAAGAGAAGGTGATACTATTTCAATCTTCTATGATCCTATGATTGCTAAATTAGTTGTTTATGGAGAAAATAGATAATTGGCTATCTAAACTCTTTTAAATGCTTTATAAAATTATTAAGTAATAGTTAACATTATTATTTCAGATTCATGGTTTGCCTAATAACATTACATTTTTAAAAACTGTTCTTTAACATCCAGAATATGTTAATCAATAATATGATACTTCCTTCATTGCTAAAAATTAAGATAATTTATTAAAATTAAAAGACAATTATAATCCTATTGATATTGCTCTAGCTATTGTTGGTAGACATTTTCTAAATTCAGTTCAGTTACCAAAAACATTATTAAATTTTAGAAATGGAGCTTAAATTAATAATAAATTAACTTTAAATATTTAAAGTGCTTCTTATGCACATTAAAAGGAAATTAAAATTACTCATAACATAAATGGAAATAATCATGAATTAGAAATTGAAGGATCTAAGATTATAGTACAAAAAGTAACTAAAAGTAATGAACATAACAATTTATTAATTTTTGAAACTAATCAAGGAATCTTTATTCGAACTATTAGAAATGGATAAAACTTATTGATTTTTGATGCCTAAGGAGATCCTATTACAATTACTGTATCTTCAGATGAAGTAAAAAAAGCAAAATAGGATTAACATGGACATGGTAATAATAAAGAAATTGTGGCTCCTATGCCTTGTACTTTAACTAAAGTTAATGTAAAGATTGGATAAAAAGTCAAAAGAGGTATAGAATATAGTATTATTATAGGTGATATTTTAATTATCATGGAAGCTATGAAGATGGAACACACAATTAAAGCTGCTATAGATGGTGAAGTTAAAGAAATAAGATATAAAGAAGGTTAATTCATTGAACCAGGAGCAATGATTGTTAAATTAGAATGAAATAAAAATTTATAAAGTAATATTCAACATTCTATTAAAATAAACTCAAAGTTTATATCTTTTATAATTCTTTCATTCTACTTTTTTTATTCTTATCATTTATTTTACTTCATGATTAATATTTATTTTAATAATCTTTAATTAGATTATATCTATAGAATAAATACTTTAACAATACTTCGAAATTATTATTATTAATTAACCAGTTCAACTAAATAAAATTACAAATAGAGGATAAATCTATTATAAATAAATTAACTTTAGTTAAAAAATTATCTTAATTTTTGTTGAAATTAAGGCTCAAACAGTTTTTTATAGAAGATTGATAAAAAAGGAGGATAGAAATATGGGCTTAACAAAAATAGAGCAATAGAAAAAACTTATTATATAAAATATTTTACGAATGGTTGAAGTGATATTTAGGGTTAATTCAATTTCCAGATTATCAATCATAATTGCTTATACTAGAAAATGGTTATAAAAGAGTTGCTATTTTTTTTAAGCTTTAATTTAGTAATACTTCTTAGAATATGTCAATAATTCTAAACCAAAATTTTAAAGAAAATAAATTTCATCAATATATAATACAATTTCATTTTAAGTAATTAAGCTGGATTATATAAACTTTAAATTGAATTATATTAATTAAAAGTTTGATTTTTTAATCAGACTTATGCATAAATTAACCAATATTTTTTTCTTGTTTTTGTATAATTATTTAAATAAATTTCAGAATATCTAAACTTTCTAAAACTCATATCTATTATAAATTTTTTTAAATGAAAATGCCTTAAGCCTATTGTAATAATTATATATATATCAATGCCCTATTTATTAAAAATCTTTTAAAAATGAAATCTTATGTAATAGCAATATATTTTCTTAATTATGGCATGTAATATGAATTAGAATATTAATATAAAGTTAATTATTAAATGATTTAAAAATTTAAAATAAAAAGAAAAAGGTAGTGTTTGGAATTAAAAAAATATATTATTTTTATGTAAAATCATATAAAATTGTTTAGAAATCATATATTAAAAAAATAATTAGGTTTTGTATTTGAAATTCAGTTGTAGAATTAATTTTTACTAATTAATTATTTTTGATAATAGATGAAATTATTTCTCCTATTGTTAGGCTTATTTCTGTTGACTAGAGAATAAAATTGTAAAATATAAAAAAGAATTTAGGTAATTATAGCTGTTTATCTTGTGATTCCAACGACTAAACAAAATGCTAGAGTTGTGATTAAAAAACTAGAATTTTGAGAGATGGGAAATGTGAATGCAAAGATGGGTTTGTAGAAATGTAAACTATATAATCTTCTGAATGTTTATGTAAGTTATTTTAGTATTTAAAGAATGCTCCATAAATTGCATTACATGTGATATTTCTAAAAGGGATTACTGTTTGAGTTGTGGGGATATTACTAAAACATTTAGAGAATTAAAAAACAATGATTGTGTATGTATATTAGGGTATCATATGGTTCCTTATTAATATGCATGTGAATCAGATGAATGGGATCAACGATTGCATACTTTTAAATATAAAATCGATACTAATAAAAAATATTGGAAGAATATTGTAGAATATTTTGATAATACTGGAGTATAAGAATAATTAATATATATGACAAAAAAATCATATTTATAAGATACTAAAGAAAGTTCTGTTATAAAATATTACTTTGATTTAGAGGGTAATTAAAAATAATTTTTTTACAGATCAAATATACCTTATGGTCAATACTATTAGTAATTTGATTAAAATGTATTTGCAGTAGGATATTTATAACCAAAATCTCCATAAAGTATTTTATGGGGATATGGTTTAAATGATATAGGATGGGAAAGCAATGTTTATTTTTCAAGTAGAATTTTAAATGTATAATGGAATACAAGATTATTTTAATATCAAAAGAACGATTAATTGTTTATTTAAACAATTTTATCAGAAGAATTATAAATAACAAGCAGACTTTTATATGAAGATTATTCTAAATATAATATGATTTACTTTTTTTATATTGGATATAAACTGAATAGATTTATGAGCACTTATGAATTAGAAATATTAATAGATAGATTAATGAATTTAGTAAATGGATGTTAATCATATTGTTAAGATTGTTAATTTTATTAAAATTAATAATAATGTTAAATTTGTGATTTGAATAGAGAAAATAATGTAGGATATTGTAAATGCATTTTTGAAACAAATGATTAAGCAAAATGTTTTTAACCTTGTAATTTGGAGAGTTGTGCTACATGTGTAAATGGAGTATGTGTAAAATGTCCTGATGGAGAATCTCCACCATGTATATCCCCAATAATTTAATGTGATGATGGATATTATTTAGAAAATTCTTAATGTTTAAAATGTGAAAGTCCATGTATTAAATGCATTTCTAAAACATTATGTAATAAATGTTTAGACTCTTATTATTTGGATGATTCAAGTGCTTGTTAATTATGTAAGAGTCCATGCAAATTTTGTAAAAGTGAAAATGAATGTAGTACATGTGTAGAAAAACATTATCTTCTAAATCAATAATGCATATCATGTACAATGATAGATAGTTGTGAAGATTGCTAAGAAGAAAACAAATGTTTAACTTGTATCAAAGGAAAGTATAGTGATGATTAAGGATAATGTCAAAATTGTCCAAATATTTGTACTGCTTGTACTGGATTATAGAAATGTTTAGGATGTATAGATGGATATTACAATGTATTAGGATTTTGCAATCCATGTTAATCAATTTGTTCTAGATGTCTTAATAGTTCTTAATGTAATAAATGTGTATAAGGGTATTTTTTATCATAATACAAATGTTTATAATGTGGTATTGGTTGTGCATCTTGTTTTGATAATAAAGATAATTGTTTTTAATGTAATCCTGGATATTTATTAATAAATAATACTTGTGTTTAATGTTAAAGTCCATGTTAATAATGTGATACAGTTATTAATAAATGTATTTCATGTGTTGATAAATATTATCTAAATTCCAATAATGAATGTATTACTTGTAATATAGGATGTACAACTTGTTATTCAGATAATTTTTGTTTAAGTTGTTAAAATGGATATTATTTTGAGAATAACTTTTGCTTTTAATGTCTCTCTGGATGTTAATAATGTTAAAATGCTTAAACATGTGATTCTTGCAAAAATGGATATTATTATGATTCAAATACTAAATTATGCAATTCTTGTCCAACATAATGTACATTAGATTGTTCATTTAATAATGATTTAATTAAATGTAACACATGTTCTTAAGGTTATTATTAAAATCCTTTAAATCTTGAATGTGAAACATGTTAATCACCATGTTAAAATTGTAAATAAACAAATTCTTAATGTATTGATTGTAATAGTGGCTATTATTTGAATTTAAATTAATGTATTTAATGTACTATTCCAAATTGTAAAGAATGTTCAAGTTCCACTAAATGTATTATATGTAATGATGGATATTTATTAAATGAAAACAATTTATGTGATTAATAAAATTCTACTTGTGATACTCATTAAATATAGGTGTAAATAAGTGGAGTTTGTATAGATTGTAATGAATATTGTTAAGAATGTTATGGTACTTAATAAAATTAATGTAAATCATGTTATTAAGGTGATTATTTAAATTAATGGAATTAATGTAAGAATTGTAAATATCCATGTAATTAATGTACAAATGAAAATGTATGTACATCTTGTTAAAATAGTATGTATTTAGATAACAATAATTAATGTAAATTTTGTAATAGTAATAAATGTTAAAAGTGTGATCCAATATCTCTAATTTGTTAATAATGTTTTGATGGGTATTATTTAAATAATTAAATATGTGAACCTTGTAAATCTAATTGTAGAAGTTGTTTGTCAGATAATTAATGTCTCACTTGTATAGAAGGATGTTATCTTAATTAAAGTTCTTAATGTATTAAATGTATTGATGATAATTGTATTTATTGCACTAATACAGGTATATGTATTTAATGTAAATAAAATTACCTTATAGACTTAAATAATTAATGTTATTTATAAGAGAGCCCAATTAAACATTGTTCTAAAAGTTTTAATAATCTTGAATGCATTATCTGTTCTTAAGGCGCTTTTTTAAATTCATAAAAATAATGCAGTTTATGTGATGATAATTGTAGAACTTGTATAAATACTTCTACTTTTTGTTTATCTTGTAATTTAAAATTTTATTTATCACCATAAAATAAATGTGAAGTTTGTACAGCAGGTTGTTTATAATGTAAAGATAAAGCTGATTTTTGTTAATCATGTGAGTCTAATTTTTTATTTATTGAAAGTGAATAAAGATGTTAAAAATGTAGTTTAAAATGTAAAACTTGTGTTGATTAATTTGATAAATGTTCTACTTGTTACTCTGATTCTTATTATGAAAATAATGATTGTATATAATGTCCTATTGAATGTAAAACTTGTGATTCATCAACTAAATGTACAAGTTGCTAAACAAAATATTTTTAAAGTGAATATTCATGTTTATAATGTCCCTAAGAATGTTCATAATGTATATCAACTACAGTTTGTACTGGTTGTACAACAAACTTTTATTTAGATGGAAATTAGTGTAAACCATGTCCTTTTAAATGCAAAGATGCTTGTTATAAAGAGGGTTCATATATATATTGTGGATAATGTAATATTGGCTATTTTTTTAAAAATAGAGACTGTTATAAATGTAAACATCCTTGTGAAACTTGCTAATCTAAGGAAGATGAATGTACATCTTGTATAGGAGGATATTATTTAGCAATTAATAAAGAATGTCCAAAATGTAGAACTGAAAATTGTAGATCATGTTAGAGTCTTACAGGAGAATGTCTAAAATGTGATTATGGTTATATTATGACAGATATAGAAACATGTTCTATATGTACTACATGTACTTGTTAAGACGATGAATATTATGATTGGGATAATGGAGGTTGTAAAAAATGTGATACTTCTTGTAAAAAATGTTATATTGCCTCAACATAATGTACATCTTGTGAAGTCAACTAATATTTAGAGATCATAGATAATACATGTAATTCTTGTGTAGAACCATGTAAAACATGTAAAAGTGCTACTTAATGTTAATCTTGTGAGAATGGTAATTATTTATCAACTGATTTATAATGTTTAAATTGTTAACCACCTTGTATTAATTGTTTAGATATTTATAAATGTTTAAATTGTGTAAATGGATATTATTTAGATGATACAACATGTATAAAATGTAATTCTAAATGTGAATTATGTTCTTCTTAAATTTAATGTTCAAAATGTATATAAGATGGTTAAACTTATTTTGATAATGATTCAACTTGTAAGAATTGTGAATCACCTTGTTAATAATGTTATAATACAGGATGTACAAAATGTCCATCCATGTATTATATATAAGGATAATAATGTATTCATTGTTCTAATAATTGTTTATAATGTTCAAGTTCTGAATGTTTATAATGTGCTAATGGATATTATATAAATGGATAAAATTGTGAAAAATGTTCTGAAAATTGTTTATAATGTACTTATAATGAATGTACAAAATGCAGGATTCAATATTTTGCAAATGGTACTTAATGTGAAAAATGTATGGATAATTGTAACATTTGTGATTCAACTACTACATGTATCACTTGTTAAACTGGATATTATTTTGATTAATAACTTCTTATCTGTTAAAAATGTAATGATAATTGTTTATCTTGTAATGCTAATACTTGTTATAAATGTATTGAAGGATTCTATCCTCTTAATACTGATTGTGTTAAATGCTAAGATAATTGTTTATCTTGTACTTCTACTAAATGTAATTAATGTGTAGTTCCATATTAAATTAATAAACAAAATTGTATATTATGTAAATAAGGATGTAAAACATGTTCAGATTAAGAATGTTATACATGTGAAGACAAATATTATTTAGATTCAACAACAAAATAATGTACTAATTGTAATTCTAACTGTTTAATTTGTACAAGTACAGAATGTCTATCATGCAATAATTCATATTATGCAAAAGACTAAAATTGTATCCATTGTGAAACTAATTGTTTATCTTGTAATGAAGATGGATGTCTTGAATGTAATAAATCTTTTTATCTTGATTAATCAAAATGTTTTAAGTGCTAAGAAAATTGTAACTAATGTACTATTGATTCTTGTTAAGAATGTAAAATAGGATACTTTCTTAATGGAACATAATGTGAATAATGTATTGAACCATGTATAGAATGTTCAAGTTAATAAATATGTTCAAAATGTTCTAAAGGATCTTATTTAGATGAAAATAAATGTGTAAATTGTTAATCAAATTGTGAAACTTGTACAAAATAGGAATGTAAATCATGTCTTGCATCTTATAGATTAAATGAAATTGATAAATCTTGTGTTTCATGTTCTACATCAAATTGTAAAACTTGTCCACAAGATAAATGTACTATTTGTCAAACTGGATATTGTTCTACTGAATTTGAATGTTAAAAATGTCCTAGTTCATGTTAACTCTGTATTGAAAATGCTGCAATTTAATGTTCTTAATGTTAAGATCCTGTTATTACATGTGAAAAAGGTTAATATTTAGATAATATAACTAATTAATGCACAAGTATAATATTTATATATATTTAAAGATTGTTAAATTGAAAATTGTTTAGAATGTTCTTCAGAATCTAAATGTACTGAATGTCAGGTTGGATATTCATTAAGAATTGCTGAATCTTAGTGTGAATAAAAAGAAATAGAAACTGAACCATAATCAGATTCAGAATCTAAAATTGTAGCTGGAATTGTTGGAACCTTTGCAGTAGGAGCATCCTCAATTTTTGTAGTAATTATAATATCCAAATACTCTATGGTTAATATTACTCCCAAATTATTCAATAATATTCCTTTTTAATTTGAAGTTAAATTAAGTTCATCTGGAGCTGCTCCATCAAATTGGGAATAAATACCTAATTTAACTCCTGAATAATTAGACTAAGTTTTAAAAGACTAATCATTGTAAATGTTATGACATATATATATATATATAAATAAATCTTATAATTTATATTTAGTTAATTAAATCTATAATATATTTCACTCTAATTTTGCAATATCTTTTTGAGCTAATTTACTTGCCTCTATCAATATTTTCTCAATATCATATTTCTAATTCAATGTTTCTTTTGCCTATTTCCAAAGTCTACCATATTTTGGTCTTCTTGAAATGCATTATTATAAGATTTCTTTTTCTATCAAATAAAGATAAGCCCAAGCATCTCCTAATCTTGGTTCTAAAATTAAAGCTTTTTCTAACCATCTTTTAGCCTTCTCAATTTTACCTTCATTCAAAAATACCTTTGCAGTAGAAAGATATACGAAAGGATTATCAACACATAATGTAACTGCATCAGCAGATTTCTTCTTTCTTGTTGTCTTTGGTTCTAATTCAATAGCAAGAGACCATAACTCACCATCCAATTAACAACATTACAATGCCTTACTTAATAAAAATTAAGCTGCCTTATGATTCTTAGCATCAATTTCTAATCTAATTGCTTAAGCCCATAATTAAGAACTTTTTGGATTCTTTTCTCTAGCCCTATCAATTAAAGGTCTTGCTCTTGTATAAAGTTATTATTAACATTCCATTTTGATATAAGTCAACCATACATTCAATGAATTGTTTAGAGTTTTTATTGCTTCCTCAAAGATCTATCTTGCACCCTAATAATCTTTTTAATTAATTTTTGCTTATCCACATAAAATCCACAACTTATCAGATTATGGATATTATTTTAATATTTTTTCAGCCTATTCAATCTATTTATTCATCAAAAGCATCAATTTAAACATTTTTACCCAAGTTTTATCACTAGGAATTAAATTTTCTTAAATATATTAAAGATATTAATATGCTTTCTCATAATTTCCTTATTGTTTTTCAAGTTTACTTAAAGTTAATAAAATATTTTCTGATTTTGGAGATTTCTCAAAAACTTCTAAATAATTTTATTATAATTCTTATTTTCTTAAAATTAATTCAATCCAAAATTATTCAATTTAAGGTAAATTACTAACTGCCAATTCTAATGCTTAATCAAAATATTAAGTATCTTCATCTTTATGTCTTCTTTCAAATTCAATATATTCTTTCCATATTTCAAAATTACATTATCTTTCTGCTTCAACTGCAATAATTGCTCTGGCTGTATGTAATGAACCTCTTTATTCAAATTAAGTAAAATCTTATTTCCAAGAATTATCACTTTGTTTATCTTCTTCTAAAGTAATTGCTTTTATTATTGCATAACATGTATTAATATTAGAACATTTCTCTGCAATCTCAGCCTCTTAAAGCCAATCTTCTTTAACAATCTTAACTTAATTCTTCTTTAAAATCTTTATCCCTTTAGAAAGAACAATTGCTATTGTTTATTTATCCTTACCAGCACTCTCTTCTAATTTAGCTGCATTTATCCAAATAGTAGGTTCCTAAGGTAGATTTTATCTTGCTCTATTCAAAATGGCTTTTGCATTCTCATAAGTTTCTAACTTTGCTAATGCCAACCAAAGGGATAAATTTTTAGGGATACATTCAACAGCCTTATATAATAATACTAATGCTTCTTATTCACTTGATAGACTCACAAGTTCTTTCCATATGTCAACACTATTAGGTATAAATTCTAAAGCTCTCTTTAATAATTTAATTTTTGCTTAAGTCTCTTACTCTTTATTAACAGCATTCAACCAAATTTTAACACTATGTGGTAATGTTTAAATAGCTTTATTAAGTATCAATTTAGCTTTCTCTGGAGTCTCCAATCTTGATAACTCAATCCATATATCTTCTTAATCTTCTGCTTATTATAATCCCTATGCTAATATAGATCTAGCTGCTGGTAGTTTTCCATCAAGTTCTTCAATTCTAGCTGCTGCTATCCATCCAAATGAATTTTTAGGATCTGTTTAAATTACACTTTTTAATAATAATCTAGCCTTTTTAAAATCTCCTATTTCGTTTTCACTAAGATGAGGTAATGAAGCTAAACTTGTTAAATAACCTCTTTTATCTACTACACTCTATCCAGAAACATTATCACTAATTTTATCTAGTTTTAATGATAATAAAGCTCCTCTTGCTTCACCTATTTCATTTAAGTCATGTGCTTTTGTTTATAAATTCTTTTCTGATAATTAAGCTGACATTATAACAGAATCAGGAACAGGTGTAATTTTATCTTATTTCTTTTTTTTTATTGAATAATCTCCAATATCAGGTATTGATAACCATTCATCTATACCCACCTTAGCTAATTCTCTTTTTAAATCACTAAATTAATTAACAATTGATGGTTTTTCTGGCAAATTATTTGGCATTCTCTTTAACCTTCTTTCCTCCATTTTTCTATCAACACTATTATATGTAAGATCAGCTTCTCTATCTTCATCATCATAATCTCCCATATTAAATAATGGAATTGAATAACCATTCCATTCATCATATTTAGCATCATTATAATCATTTTGATCGTCATCCTACTCAATTCCTATATCAACCTTCGCAGGTCCTATGTCACTTCTTGTAATAAATCCAACTGCACCTCTACCTCTACCTGGTACATAATTTGTTGGTTAATTCCCAGAATCCTTCTACCTCTAAAACATAAAATTTATATAATATTTTAATTTATTTTTAAATATATATACCATTTCTTTTTTAAAAGGGTAATAATTACTTAATATGAAATAAAGTATATTGTTATAAATTAATACCTTTACTCTTATTTCTTCTGTTTCAATATCAATAATAATTATCAAATAATATTTACTATTTTTTATTAAGTTTTATTTATTTATTATAGTCATGTAAAAACTACTCTTTTATTAAATTACTCATCTTTTAACATCATCGAGTATTTGTAATATTTATAATTATATGATAAATAAAAGATATTTTATTAGAAATTAATCTTCCTAATTGCATTATTTAATTACCAAAAACATAATGACATTAAAATCAAAAAAAACAAATTTCCTACAATTACTTAAATAAAATTAATATGATTTTTATAAATATATTAACTATTTATATATGATGTTTTAACTATATGTTAAACCGAAAGTTAAGAGTTTAATCTAAGTTTAAAGATATACATATTTTTGCATTTAATTATTATTAAACTATACACTTGAGGACATAATAAGTATCTTTTAAAATCACTTCAGAAAAATACTTTCGATTTAAAATAACTTTTCTGAATGGATTTTAATTGATGTTTAGGAAACAAATCAATGTTATTCAGATTAAATTTATATATTAGTTTAATACTAAATATGATTAGTATTTAATAAGAAATAATTGTATTAAAATTAAATCAAATGTTATACAATAGAATTTTTGAGGATTTAAGTAATCTTCGATATGAATCTTCATATATATATTATATGAAGAATATTTATTAATAAATTTTAATCAAATTCGTTAAAAAACACTACTATCTAATCTTTTTAATTAATTTTTTTATTTGTTTAATGAGAAGTACCCACCAATTAATAACTCAATTTGAACTTAATGGTTTCACTCTACCTTAAATGGAAAAGAATATGTGTATATCCTTTCTAAAGGATCTCCTCATATAAAATCCTATTGATATGGAATTTATACTCACAAATACATCTCCATCTCCATCAGACAGGAAATTACTAACATCACAATCGAACATGCTTCATCTATTAAATGAGGATAAAGATCCATCTATAATCAAACCTATATTCGATTATAGTCAACTGGAGAATCTTATCCTAAAGAAAAATAGAAACAAAATCAATGAAATAAAAACAAAAGTTGAAACATTGCTTAATAGTAATAACATAGATCCACCCTTTACTATAAAAAAGAGGTATTTTACTAACTATTTATTATAGATGGTGGACAGAAGAAGAAGATTAATAACTTAAAGAATTAGTAACATAACATGGAGCAAAAAATTGGAAAAAAATAGCATCTTATTTTGAAGAAAGAACAGATGTGTAATGTTTACATAGATGGCAAAAAGTGCTAAATCCTGATTTAGTTAAAGGACCTTGGACATAAGAAGAAGATGAATTATTAATTAAATTAGTAACAAATTATGGTCCTAAAAATTGGAGTTAAATTGCAAAACATTTACCAGGTAGAATTGGAAAACAATGTAGAGAGAGGTATTTATTATTATTATAATTAGATTTCATAATCATTTAGATCCTAAAATTAATAAAGAAAGATGGACTGATGAAGAAGATTAAACAATTATTGAAGCTCATAAAAAATTAGGAAATAGATGGTCATTAATTGCTGGACTTTTAAAGGGTAGGACTGATAATTCTATTAAAAATCATTGGAATAGCACTTTAAAAAGGAGATTAAAAATGTAAAATAGATGGGAAGATCTTTAAGTTCATCCAAGATAAGATGAAACTTTAGTTAAAGGAATACCTAGAAGATAAGTTTAAAGAAGAATAATGTATTATAAAACACCAGAAAAATTAATAAAGAGAGATCCAGTATCAAGATAATTAAATTTCTAAACTCCATACTCTAATACAACTCCAAGTATATATTTAATTTAAATTTTAGAGTCTGAATAAACACCCAAAAATTTGAGTATTGTTTATCCAAATTTATTAGTCAAGGATGCTTAAAAGATGTAAAATACTATATAATATTAAATAGAGACTCTTGTTAAGTGTTATTCAAATAATTAAGTGAATTAACTAATTTGAATCTTGATTTCAATAAATAATATAGTTACAAATGATAAATTTATAATCACACATATTCTCTCTATTTAATTCATGAAATTGATATAAAATTTATAGAATACAAAATCAATATTACAGTTTTTTTCAGATTTTAATATAAAAAAATATCTTATACTTGTTAATGGAATCTTTTTAAAACTCTAAAAGTATATCGAAATAGCTTTAAACTTATAATTCATTTGAGTCTATAAAAAATTAATATAAATTAAGGATTTATATAAATTTGGTATGTTAATACCTTTTTTTGTATTAAAAACGAAAATTTTTATATTCTTAAAGAAATTTTATTATAAATGAAATCACAAAAGTAATTGCTTTGAAAAGATACATATCAATTGATAATGTTCAAAGAAACAATTATAAAAATCAAAAAATTATATAGATGAGTAAATAATATTAGAGCCATTTGGATTAAATGAAAATCTGATGCTTGATAACTTGTCTTTGTTTTTTGTAAAAAATACTTGATATATAAATTAATTATTTTAATTATGTATTTCAGTTTATTCGCTTTATTTTATTTCACTATTAATCTATTTCAATTATGTAAAAATAGTAATAAAATATCAATGTTTTCAAATATGCTTTCAGATTCGAATTTTTTAGATGAAGTACTTTCATATTAGAAAATATCATCTTCTCAATCATTTGAAATGGAACCATATTCAGATTTTGAATCAAATTACCACAGTACTATTTTTTTTAATTTTACTTAATAGTGTCATTGAATACAAATGAACGTTTATAATTTTAAGATACAGAAGATCAAGAAATGATTTTTAAAATAAAGGAAGATGATACATCTCTCAATTTTTTGAATCAAGAGCTAAATAAAAGAAAACAAAAAATTTGGAATGATTAAGAGGATTAAAGACTCAAACATTTATTTATGGAATTTTAAGGAAAATGGAATGAAATTGCAAAGCATATGCCTTAAAGAAATGCTTCTTAATGTTAGTAGAGATGGAGAAGAATCAATCCACCAAAAGATGTATTTTTATCAAATTATAAATTTTTTAGTCAAGACATATTTGGACACAGGAGGAGGATGATAGATTAAAATAATTAGTTTAAGACATTGGGAAATAGTGGATGAAGATCGCAAAATGTAATTTTATTAAATAATTTTAGGTTTTGGTAACATTACAGGGAAATAAGTTAGAGATAGATATATTAACAAATTAGATTAATCTATAAATAAATAACCTTGGACTTATGAAGAAGATATGCTTATTTTGTATTAATATAACATTAATGGACCTAAATGGACTAAAATTTCGAATAATCTTAATGGAAGACCTGTAAATTTATGTTTAATATTTTAATAGGAAAATCATGTTAAGAATAGATTTTATAGTTATATAAAAAGAAACTATTTAGGAGAATAGAATAGATACTAAAAAATATATACTTGAATTGTTTCTCCTTTTCTTATCTACAGAAAGATAAGAAACTCAAGTATTTATTGAGTTATATATATATACATCGCGTTATAAATTATAAATATATAAAAGAATTTTAATTTTATTTAGTTTAGTTATTATTTGAATAATTGATATTACATCAATGTTGAAATAATTTATTCAGTTTTTTCAAGAATTATAATATAAATAATGATTAATATTAACAGCTATAAATAATTTAATAATTAAAAATATTAAGAAACATTATTTATATCATAAATCATCATCATCTGGAGCTGGTTTGTTCATATTGATATCAACTTTTCCATCATCTCCCATTTTTACTTTTTTACCATTAATTGTGACATAATCATCATTTTATTTTCTCTAACCTTTTTCAATATCTTTACATGACTAATTAAAGTTATTATAAATATATTACATTTGTTAATTTATAGCAAATTTCATCTTCAATTGTATCATTTCCTTTTCTATTCATTAAGGCTTCAGTGACTTCTTCTGACCATCCAGACATAAATGCTTCACATCCTTTTTTCATATCAGGAGGAGGATATTCATAAACACTGAAATTTTTCATTTGACACATTTCAGATAGAGCATCAGTAATATCTGATTCTCTTGTTGATGTTTTAACTTTCTTTAATGTTTCTCGAACGATTGCTTAACAACTATTGCAATAAAGTAAAGCTTCAACAGTTGTTGGTCTTCTATCATCTGTCTTTTTCTTTTTTTTAGCAGCTTCTAATAGGAAAAACAAAGTCACAAAAACAAAAACAATTTTCATTTTAATTAATAATACGTGTATTTATAAATATTGTTCTTCTATTCAAAATTTTATAATCAAATGTAATATAATATTAATATATTCATAAACAGAGTTAGTATACATTAATAATATGAAGTGTAATTTGAATATTAATAATCAAATACAAATGAAATATTATTCTTTTTTTAAATAATTTAAGAGAATTCAATTGTGATCTAAAATAAATAATTAAATTATATATTGAATAAAAGATGAGTTAAAATAACTAAGTAATTTAATAAATATTCTTTATGAGTAGTATTTTTTTTAATTATATATTCTCTTTGTCTTTATTTTTAAGAATCCATAATCAAGAAAATACCTATATTTAATAAAATTTATGCTCTGATTAAATTATTTATTAATATTCTTATATAGATGTAAATATCACTCTTACTAACCAGTTCTTCTTATTTAGGATTATGATCCAGTTGTACCTGTAACAGATAAAGTATTACCTGTTCTTGAAGTAACTGTTCTTTAGGTCACTACTACTTCCTAGAATATATATATTAATAAACTTTCTTCTATCCACTTTTTCTTAAAGATTCCAATTCAGCTTAACACATCGTTAACTCTTCTTAACATTTATTATATTCATGATTAGATTTTATAAACTTTTATTTCCAAACTTCCACTTCTTATGATAAATATGTCACTTTTTCTTAAATTACAGTTGTTCCTTATGATTCTAATGATGTGTATCTATATTTCCAATCTTCAAGCTCTGAATCTTTATTTTATAATTGTAATTATAATCTACCCATTTCAACAGTAATCATGGCTAATTTATTCTAAAAATAACATATTATGTATTACTTCTAAATCTCTCAATTACATTATGAGTTCATTATTCTTACTATATGATTCCTGTTCTATTGTTGTATACTTACTCTTCCAATTCATAATATCTTGATTAGCTTATTGCAATTATCTTTCTAATCTGGAAATTTCTTCTCTGGCTTATCTCAATTAATTTTCTAAATCTCTCACTTAACTTGTATCCTGAGCACTTGTCTACAATTTAGATAATTATAATCTTAATTATTAAATTTCTGCATCTTTATTTTAATTAGATTATTTTAATCTATCATTATCACTTTAGGATTGAGCATAAAGATTTTCTAGATCAGCTAATTGTCTTCTTAGTCTTGCAATCTAGTCTTCTAATTAGGTTCTCATTGCAAAGAATTCTGCTTACATAGAATTTGCATCAGCAGCATTAGCACTATGTAAAGAAATATCACCACGTAAATTCTCTAATTAAGATTCATAATTATTTTTCATTTGAATCATTTAACTTTTAAGATATTCATTTTCCTATCTTAAAGAACGTAATTAAGATTCTAATTACTCTACTCGAGTGTTATCAGTCACTTTCTCTATTACTACCTTCTCAACTATTTTTGCTTCTTTTCTTCTTTCTAAATCAGCAATAATTGATTAAAGATATTCACATTCTAATCTCCAAGGAGTTTCTATTTCTTCTTTAGATACCACTACTATATTCATGCATAAAGGTGGTGGTTATTAACAATTTTACTGTACACTATAAGTACCTGGATATGACACTTAAGGAATTTACATATTTTATCTTAAGACATTTTGACTTTAAATTCTTTGTGGTGGCATTTATTAGGTTTGTTTCAAGTTAGCTTCATTTTAAGATTAGATTAGTGTTCTTTGTTAAGAATATTCAATCACTGGTTGCTAAGTATAAAAAAAACATTTACTTAAGTAATGATTTATTTAGTTTCTGAAGTAAATAAATTCTTTCCTGAACTGGCTCCCTATAATTATGATACTTTCTAATTATCACTTTTGAAGATTTCTTAATTCATTTGATTTTTATTCGCAGATTAATTTAACAAATTATCTAATTACCAGATTTAGAATTTCTAAATAAATAAAAATATTTTATCATCATATTTTGTTGATTCTTATATTTAAGATATTTTTTATAAATGTATTATAGATAATTTTCAATTTTCAACTCGAATGAAATTTATGGAATTAATTTATCAATAAAATTATTATTTTATTTCATAGAATTATTGTATATGAATTTACAAAATATGAGTATAAGAAAATTCTAATTCAAATTTGATTGCAAATAGATGACCTTTTTTTAAATTTTACTTTAAAATATTTAACTTGATTGATTAATAAATTGTATGAGAATAATATATAATAAGAATACATTTCACAATAAGCTGTTTATAGATAAATAAGATTGATTATTAAAGATGATTCTACCTTGAATTTAATATTAATATTAATGTTTGAGGATAGATTTTTAGAAACTATAAAACAACAACTACTTATATCTAAAGTTGTGCCAGTCACAATAAATCCAAAAAACATTTTGAAATCTCTTTTGGCTGTAGAGAACAAATTAGAAGAAGAAAATCTCTATTAATCAATTTGTAAAAAGTAGGAACTTATTATAAAAAATTTGAATGAAGAAAATGCAGATGTTATTTTAAGCATCTGCAAATTTATCAAGTTAGAAATAATCAAATAAATGGAAGGATCAAAGGAAGATATCAAATAAGGTGTTCTAAAATAAATAGAAATAGAATGCATTAATTGGCCTTAATATAAGAATCCTAGATGGCCTGAATATTTGGAGTATTTCAATAATTTAAGCATTCAATTAATAAATCACACCTATATGTTGATGGAATAGATTTTGATAGATTTAACAACAAAACCTTTTGTTTGTGAAGAATTTCATCAATATATTACAGATAAATTAGAACATTGTATGATTGTATTATCAATGGAAATGAGTGATTTTGCAAGAGTAATAAATAATGAAATATTTTATTGGGAATTGAAAAAATATTTTAATTCCATAATCTAAAATGTTCATTTATATATCAATCGAACATCTTTATTTTGTAATACTTAAATGGAATATTTGAATGAAACTCTTACAAAATATCATACTTTAGCAAATATTAGAACTTATTAGATATTATAAATAGAAACATCATAATATATAATAGATTAATGTCATGTATCCTTAAAAGAAATGTTATTTCATAGAATAGAATTTGAAATTTTTGATAAAGATTTAGTAAAATAAATAATTAGACATTTTTATGAATATAGTCCATTGAATTAAGGATTATATGAAATGTCCACATTAACAAAATCTTTTTAGGATGCAATTTAGATGTATTACATTTTAGATGATAAATATTTTGCAACAGCAGATCTTGATTCTAAATTATTTGCTTAAGATGAAGAATGTATCAAATATAAAATTTGGTTAAATGAAAAAAGAAAATAATAAAGTGCATTAGCTAATTAACCAGTTTTAAAGGGATCTGTAGGTGCAGGATTAGGTTGTTTAATTGTTGATAGTGTTGATCCTAAAATTCCATGGGATGAGAAACTTAAAAGAGCTGGTATTAGTTCAGTAGCTACAGGTTTAGTTGGAGCAGCTATGCGTATACCTGTTGTAGGAGTTATATTATCTTAAGCTTTACTTTTTTATGCAATTAGAGTATAAGCAAATAATAAAGTGGTGGATAAAAGTGAGAAGATGAAAAATATTGCACATTTAGGATTTTAAAGTTCATTTGGAATTGGTACAGCTGTAGCTGGTTAAATTTTGATACCAATTCCAGTTTTAGGGGCTCTTATTGGAGGTACTGTTGGAGGAGTATTTATGGGATTGTATACTAAATTTATTATTCCTAAAACAAAACCATCAATAAAAGTTATGATAAATGAATTAATGGGTAGATAATATGGTGATGGTTTATTTTAATATGATGATCAAGTTCTTAAAATAATGAAGATTAATTAGTAACATTATTTTGGTTTGAAACCAGAGAATTTGAGTGATTGTCAATGGCTAACTATTTTAATGGTGTATATGATAAATGAAATTCATTATTTAACAAATGTATAAGGATTAGAGAAGATCAATGAATTATAATAATAAATTGAGAAGAAACCTAAAGATGAAAATAAATTGATTAAATAGATTAAAGAAGTTGAGACTGAACTTGAATAATAGGAAATAATTAATGTTAAAATGGAAAGATCAAGATATTATATATAAGAATAGGAAATTAATACATTATAAATAGTAGATAAAGTTGGTGAATTTATTAATGGTATGATTGCCAATTTTAGATTATGATATATTTAATCAAATCAATTAACAACATGAACTTCCTCCTTCTTCTGTTCCTTTAGCTATTGATTCTATGAATGGATTCATTGATTTTGACATAAATCTTGTAACCATGAAAAATTTGCTATAAGTTTCTCTCACTTATTTCATGTTAAACATGTCTTTCAGATATGCTTTTAAAGTTGGAAATTGGCTGAAATCAAAATCTACAAAGAACAAAGTTGTAATTTCACAAATTAATCTTTTAAATATTATAAAATAAATTACGATAAATCTGCTATTGTGGGTGTTCTTGATCCCATAACATATTTGTATTTTCCTCCTGCAAAAAACACATTCACAATGAAATGTAACAATTCACTTACTTCTCTTTCTCTATCTTCCTAATTTTTTGGCATTTCCCTCTTTAAGAACTTTGGACCAAAGAAGAAATCTAATACAAATAAACTTATTTTTCTTGTTTCTGAATGATGAAAATCTAAATAGCAATCAATTTTAGCTCTTAAAGGATAGTTTGGATAAAAATCAGTTAAATTGAATTGAATACAAATGAATTTCATTATAGCATGAGTTTCAAATAAGTTGAAATTACCAAATGATAAGGCAGGAATACTTTCATTAGGATTAATATCAGTGAATGGTTTCTTTTTATTTTCACCTGCTTGAACATCAATCACTTTTTCTGTAAAAGGAATATTAGCTAACATTAATAATGATTTAGCTGCTTTAGCTGGTGGTGAAACAAAATTAAAATATAAAGTTATTCTCTCTTAGCTTCTCAAAGGCTATGTTTAACATATTGATTGGGCAAATCTTCCTATTTTTTAATTTTGTAAAAAGCCAAACATTTCACAATGAGATCTTCTCATTTCAGGTATGTCAAATAATCGTTTAACATAATTTTCTAATCCTGGAATCTTCTCAAAAGGAAAATCTGTTATGAATAATTAACCTAAGTCACATCCTACCTTGATATCTGCCAAAGTTGGTTATGGAGAATCATTAATGAATTACCATTTACCATTATTCAAAAAAACTTTAGAGAAAAACTCCAATGTTCCTATAACATTTTATAATTGTTAATCTTTGTCTGCAGGAATGGGTAATTTCATCATTTGAGGACCCATAAAACATGAAAATGTATATTTTGAAATAGAATTCATTTCAGTAAGATGAAAATCTAAATATTCATCTACTTTAGCTTTGGGTTAAAGTTAAGTTGGATACAAATTATATAAATTAAACTTCCTTGCTACATACTTCATAACAGCTCCACTTTCAAATAATTTGATATTCTCATCAACTATAGCTGGTATAGATTAATTTGGATTGATAGCAGAATACTCTGGTTATTTATGTTCTCCTTATAATAAGTTAACTGTTTTTTCATTGTAATCTAATCCACTAAATAATAAAACTGTTCTTGCTGCTCTTGAAGGAGAGGAGAATGGATGCATGTATAGAGTGATCTTCCAGGATTATGACTTGTCTACTCCATTAATAATGTATGAAACACAATCATTAGGATTAGAAGAATTGATCATTTATAAATATTCAGCATAGGCTTCTTTTATTGGTTAGATTGAAAACATTTCCTATAAATACTCTTTAATTTTTGGAAATTGATTGAAATCCAAATCAGATGCCAATAGTTAAGATAAATCAGATGTGGCTCTAATAAATATAAATGTAATATATACTTAATGTCTGCAAGTGTTATTGCTGACTAATTAAAAATGTACCTGCCAGTCAAAAAGGTTGATTCAAAGAATTTAAGTGTATCAATTACATCCTTATGTAATTCTTATTTGTTATCAGGGACTGGTTTATTCATAAATTTAGGAAATAGAAAACATTGATTAACATATTTTCCTATAGCTTCTAGACCAGTTTAACTCCAATCTAAATAGCAATCAACTTAAGCTCTGTTTCTGGAGTTCTAAATTTATAACAAATGGATACTTTGGGATAATATTGATATAGTTATTTTTTTACAGCTATGTATTTCAAGATTGCATGACTCTCAAACATTTTCAGGCCACCATCTACTAAAGCTGGTAATGATTCGTTTGGATTGATGTTAGAAAATTCAGCAGATTTATGTTCTCCTTTCAATAGGTCCACAACTTTTCCTTAAAACACTGCTTTGGATAGTAATAAAAAAGAGCGAACAGCTCTTGAAGGTGGTGATAGAGGTGAAAAGTAAAGAATTAAAGACATAATAAATATTATTTTTGGATGACTGCAAGTTATATTTGTTTTATTTTGGAATTTAGAATGTTCAAAAAGATATGATAAAATAATTGTAAATAAATATATATATATATTGATAATTATATTTTATCCATTTTTAATTCATTTAATCCATCAATAGTTATTGTGATAATATGATTTAAGAGACTATTCATTAATAATAGAGACAATTTGATTGATCTAAATTTTAGTTAAACTTTTTAAATGTATAATTTCTCTATAGAATTAAGTATAAATTTGTATTCCTTTGTATATTCCTGAATTATAATTTGTTTTTATTATGATATTTTGATATTTGATCTCTAATCTAATATTTTTATGAATAATAATTTATATATTAAAATTATATATAGACTAAATTAAATTAAACATATTCTGTTCTGATGAGTTATTAAAGAATTATACAGCAATTATTAATTTTTTTTTTTTGAATTAAATTTATTTAGTTGTTCAGAAATTAAAAAAATTGTATTCAATTTCTTTTGGTATGTTTTTAATAATTATATATAATTAAAAAATATGAATAGAAGATTATCATCAGAACAAGACAATTTAAGAACAAAAAGAGCATTAATGAGATAGTAAATAAATCAATCACATCGAGTTGATAGAGAATTTGAAATTGATGAACGATTTAATTCAGTTTCTATGTTTATAAAACATGATGAATTCGAAATTGATGAATGTGAATATTATGATCATTAGACATGGGAACGATTAGATAGATTTGATTAAGTATTGCCAAATTAAAGGAACAATTGTTCTTGGGTTATATATGAAGATTTTTTGTATATCTTTGGTGGTTTTACATTTAATGGAAGATTAGATGATGTTCATAGATATTCATTTAGTTCTAATTAATGGTAACATCTAAATACAACAGGATAGAAGCCAAGTGCTAGAGAAAATAATGGAGCAATTTAATATAAAGATCATATGTATGTATTTGGTGGTTGTGATGGATTATTATGGTTGAATGACTTTTATTCACTTAATCTTAAGACACTTTTATGGAAAAAAATTGAACCTACTGGTTAATGTCCTTCTGAAAGGTTTGGTATTGCTTGTGGTGCTTATTAAACTAAAATGCTGATTTTTGGAGGATGTGATGGTAATCATTATCTTAATGATGCATATGTTTGGGATTTTGAAGAATAAGTGTGGAATAAATTATAATTAATAGGAGATGTTCCATCTGCTCGTTCTTGTCCATCTTATAGTACATTAAATAATTATATATATATATTTGGTGGATTTGATGGGGTTAATAGATTAAATGATTTTTATAAATTAAACATTTTCTCAGGAAAAGTTAAAAGAATAAGTTAACATGGTACAATTCCATGTCCAAGATATGTAATATTTTTTAAATATTTGATAGTTTCATACATCAGAAGTTTATTAAAATAAATTATTATTATTTGGAGGATTTAATGGATAGGCAAGATTAAATGATTTATATGAATTTGAATTTGGNTGAGTTATTAAAGAATTATACAGCAATTATTAATTTTTTTTTTTTGAATTAAATTTATTTAGTTGTTCAGAAATTAAAAAAATTGTATTCAATTTCTTTTGGTATGTTTTTAATAATTATATATAATTAAAAAATATGAATAGAAGATTATCATCAGAACAAGACAATTTAAGAACAAAAAGAGCATTAATGAGATAGTAAATAAATCAATCACATCGAGTTGATAGAGAATTTGAAATTGATGAACGATTTAATTCAGTTTCTATGTTTATAAAACATGATGAATTCGAAATTGATGAATGTGAATATTATGATCATTAGACATGGGAACGATTAGATAGATTTGATTAAGTATTGCCAAATTAAAGGAACAATTGTTCTTGGGTTATATATGAAGATTTTTTGTATATCTTTGGTGGTTTTACATTTAATGGAAGATTAGATGATGTTCATAGATATTCATTTAGTTCTAATTAATGGTAACATCTAAATACAACAGGATAGAAGCCAAGTGCTAGAGAAAATAATGGAGCAATTTAATATAAAGATCATATGTATGTATTTGGTGGTTGTGATGGATTATTATGGTTGAATGACTTTTATTCACTTAATCTTAAGACACTTTTATGGAAAAAAATTGAACCTACTGGTTAATGTCCTTCTGAAAGGTTTGGTATTGCTTGTGGTGCTTATTAAACTAAAATGCTGATTTTTGGAGGATGTGATGGTAATCATTATCTTAATGATGCATATGTTTGGGATTTTGAAGAATAAGTGTGGAATAAATTATAATTAATAGGAGATGTTCCATCTGCTCGTTCTTGTCCATCTTATAGTACATTAAATAATTATATATATATATTTGGTGGATTTGATGGGGTTAATAGATTAAATGATTTTTATAAATTAAACATTTTCTCAGGAAAAGTTAAAAGAATAAGTTAACATGGTACAATTCCATGTCCAAGATATGTAATATTTTTTAAATATTTGATAGTTTCATACATCAGAAGTTTATTAAAATAAATTATTATTATTTGGAGGATTTAATGGATAGGCAAGATTAAATGATTTATATGAATTTGAATTTGGGAGTAAGACTTGGAAGAAATTAGAAATTCATGAACCTCCAAAAGGTAGATCTTCTATGGTTTTTTAATTGTATAATGATTCTCTTTATGTCTTTGGAGGATATGATGGGGATGAATTATTAAGTGATATATACAAATTAGAATTCAAGAATGCTTAAGTTCCAAGATCTAGTTTTATTCAGGACTTAAGATCCTTAATAAATAATCCTTTGATGAGTGATGTTGTATTCATTGTAGAAGATCATTAAGTTTATGCTAATAGATGTATCTTAGGAGCTAGAAGTGAACATTTTTAGACTCTATTTTTTGAAGAATTTAGAGATAAAGAATAAATCTATATAGAGATTACTGAATGTTGTCATTAGACTTTTATGGAAATGTTACAATATATATATACTGATTAATTAGACTCTAGTTTAAGTACAACCAGATTATTGAGTTTGATAGTTTTATCTGATCAATATTTAATGTAAAGATTGAAATATTTATGTGAAGAATAATTAATAAGAAAGATAAATTGCAATAATGTTATAGAGTTAATATTGTTTTCTAAAAAGTATGAAATATATAAATAAATTTTAGATATAATTGTAGATTATTAAGAATCCAAACAATGAAATAATTAGTGGATAATATTACTACAATAAAGAGAAGGAAGGATTTTATAAAATTGGCATAAGAGCCAGAAATACTATTAGAGATAATATAAAAAAAATGTTGATATATATTTTTATTTCATTCACTATTACTTTCTCCTTAAATATTCTTAATATACTTCTTCCATTCTATTTTAAGATGGGAAATATTGTTCATCTCTAGTTATAAAACCAGCCCAAATTCCAAGGGGGACTCCAATAATTCCTGATAATCTGGAAATAATTTGAAATGCTCTTGCCATATGTTTTTTTTATTTATTTATTGCGTGGTTGCACATTAATTTAAAAGTGACTCTAGAATTCTATAATTGAATGGAGAACAACTAGAATAAGAAATATTAAAGTCAGAACCTTTTTTAATAATGCTTTATGCACCATGGTGTGGTCATTGTAAGAATTTGATACCAGTGTTGGATAAATTGGCAGATTAAGTAGATTACAAATTTATTGCAATTGATTGGTATTCAAAAAGATAATCAAATTAGTGTTACAAATCCTGATACAAAGAAAAGATTTGGAGTTAAGGGATATCCTACTCTATTATACATCAAGGATAATAAGACATATAAATTTTAAGGATAAAGAACACCTGAATTAATAATAAAGTTTATTGAAGAAGATTATTTACAATCAAAGGAAATAAATGAAATTCCAAAATATGAGCCTTACAAAGAAAATTTTATTGATAAATATTTCAATAATGTTTGGATATTTGTAAAGAATAAAATTATATATTTATTAGATAGCAGTAATTGTATTAACAGGTTTAACAATCTTTGTAACAATCTTATGTATCAATGATTGCAAAGAGAATAGAAAATTGGATAAAATAGAAAAGGAACTTTAAGAGAAAAAGAAGGAAAATTGAAGACTTATATTAATGTATATTGGAATAATAATAATAATAATAAAATTATCTGCATTGATATTAAACTCATCATTTCAAAATTTTAAGCATTTCCTATTCTGTCTTTGCAATCTCTATTTTTATATTTTCAGTAAAATTCTTAAATATTTATTAAAATTTAGATATAATCTAATCTAAATGCTCTTATAAATTTTGGTGTTCTAATTTAACATTTTACTCTAAACACTCTTATTTTTTATTAGATTTTATAGGGTGTTTCAGCTTTTAACTTCTTTTAACAATTTTTTTAAGTCTTTTTGGTGAATCTTAAATTTACTATTATTTTTGAAGACTAGCATTATTTAAGGAAGCATAAGTTTCTTTGATTTAAGCCATGATTTTATCATACTCAGGTGTTATATCTAAATGATCATTTTATTTATTATTTCTAAGTGAGATTGATTGATTGATTGCAATTACATTTTATTATTATTGTTATTATTTTTTTGGTCTCCCTCTTTTATTTATTTACATGAATATTATTGTTATCCAAACTCTTCAGGTATTTCATTATAATAAAAAATCACCCAAATAATTAGTATATATTTATATGTGTGCTTATGTAATTACATTTCCTATTTGGAAAGGATAATAATGGTCAGCCTTCCGTGGTCATGTCAGATTATCTAATGAGTAAGTATTGATTGCAAGATTCAATGATACAGCCTATATAGAGCAAGAATTGAGATTTTTAGAATAGCATCAGAGAGTGAAATCTAAAATTGAAGGGAAATACATTAAACCTGTGTACAACTTACTTCCAATGATAGTTCAGATAATAAGAACACCTACATTTACAGATGTGTTATTTGATAATTGCGTAGATTGGTAATTAACAGGTGGAAACTTACAACATCTACTTAGAATATATTTTGCTTATGATATATATAAAGGGTAATCACCAAGAGATTGTACAATTGAGAATATTATGCGTAATGGTGATTCAATAGTTGTATTAGATTTTGGATTAAGAAAGAGGACTGAAAATTATTGTGCTTATTGGAATCCTATGATTCTGAAAGGCAAACAATGTTTATCATAATATTAATGGTCTTTGGGTATTATGTATTTAGTAATGACTAATGGATCATTTATAATAAATGAGATTAACAAACGCATTTAAATATGGGTCAATGGTGGAAAATTAGATCTAGTTTCATTAGTAACTACTAAAAAACAATCTATCATCTCTTTATTATAATAACTTCTAAACCCTGAAAATCCAATCCCTTGGGAATAAATACCTCATCATTCAGCTTTCAGAGATGATCCTAAATGCAAGACTATACTAAAATTGTATGAAATAAGATCAATGTCAGATCTGAAAATTAGATCTGCCTCTCGACTAAGTAGTAAATAATCAGGTAGAAAAACTCAAAGAACTTCAATAGTATTACATGAAAGTACATCAAATAGTAATCAATCTACTTCAAATTAATCTCTAATTAGTAAAATTTCATCTTTGTATAAAAATAAATTTATTGAAGAACATAAACAAAGATGTAATTCTTCGGTCAAAACAACTAAACAAATTAACAATTTCTTTTCAACTAATAAAATGAAACTTAAATTTGCTACTAAATAATCAGATCATACTGTATAATTAAGTTGTGATCTTAGAAGTCTTAGAACTGGATCTAATCTATCAAATATTGGTCTTACATAAAGAATTGATGAATCTGATGATAAAAAATTTAATAGAAGACTTTCATAATAAGAAATAGAAAATGATAAAATTAGATCAAGAGTTAGTTCTATTAGAATGGCTATCAAAGAATATAAAGCTAGAAGTTTAAGGCATCTATCATAAGATTCTAATGCAGTCATTTAAAATTCAGTTGAATTAGCTCAACCAGATAATTATATTTAATTAATTAAAAGACCTTAAGTTGAAATTGAAATTCTTACATAAAAATATTTAAGATCTTTAGAATGTATTAACATAATTGGTTAAACTGTAGCAAAAGCAATTGAATTTTTAGATGCATTATAAAACTTTTGGATTATTCCACTATTTCTAGTTTTCAAAAGAATGCTTTAATTGAGATTAGAAGTTGAAAAATTTCTTGAAGCTCAAATCAATTCATTCAATATAGATTAATGGAAAGAAGTATGTAATTCAAGAGAATATCTTTAATTCTTGAGTCGTATCAAATCTGATAATTGTTTAGTCAAAAATGAAATGATTCTTCTTATGCAAGCTTCGTAAACAAAAGCTGATCAACTTGATAAAAATAAAAGAGAAAAAGTTTTATGGTTTCTAAATGATAATTTAGATACTAACATTTAACCAATATGTTTATCTTATATGAAAGATTAATTACTTGTTGCTGTTATAGATAAAAGAGGATTACTAAGAGAACCTATTGAATGGTTAAAACTTTAGCTCTCTTTAAAAGCCTCAATCATAATAACTCAATTACCTGTATTAGTTTGTGAAAGTAACGAATTTAGTTATGAAAATTACTTAGAATGTCAAGATTCATAAAATTATACTCAAATTTTAAAATATTGTGAGGAACTATAAATCAATATTTGATTTTATTTATTTTAGATCAATTTTATTAATTTTTAATAAATATAGACTATTTAAAGAATCTAAATGAATATTTAATAAATCATGACAATTATATTTAAAATATTCTGATCTCTGATTGATTCTATTATAATTAATAAATATATATAAAATTGAGTGATTTTTTCAATATAATAACATGAATAAAATTATACACATCAAAAATATATTAGAATTAGTTGAAATTACTATTTCTGCAGAGTTTGTATCGGATGATTAGGGATTATTATTTTCTTTCAATTTTATTGTATATAAATACCATTAATATATTCTGGATTTTAAGAATCCAATTCTTTGTCCAATAAAAGATTGTCACAAAATCCTTCTCTCAAAAAATATCCAGATTTACATTTAGTGCATTAATTATAATTTGAACAACTTAAACAATTCTAAATTAGATAATAATTTTACTCCAGGACATCCTATACAATATTTAATTAAATCTAAGGGATATGTTAAATTTGGACAATTTTATAAACATGATCCTTGATATCTATAACCATCACATATTTATTGACAATCTAATCCAGAATAACCCTTAGAACAAATACACTATAATATATAATAAATAATAACCTGTTTATTGATACAAAATCCTTTCAAACCACATGAATTAGGACAATCATTTCTGAATAAACACACATTCTCTGGATTATTAGGACATTCTAAATTGCCAAAGAAATCATTTGGTATTTAAATTGGACCTGATTAAGAGCAATCAAATTCTAAATCACCAATTATTATCTTCAATTTATTATTTATATCACATTTAAATTTTTGACATGTAAATTTTTAATAGGATTCTATTGGTGAGATTGATCCATCTAAACAGATACTATCAGAACCATAATACGTAATTATTTATGAAGACTAATTTTAAACTTAATTTTAATCATTTTTACAAAATTAATCTGTATAAATCTATTAATACATGCATTGTCCACTTAAAATTTCTTACATACATATTGATTGTCCTGTTCTTTCATATGAGCAACTCTCAATATTTTTTTAATAACAAAATTCAGTAAAATTATTATTATTACAATAATTTTCAACAAATTCACATCCTTTATTTCTTCCCCATTAACTTTAATCTGGTTTATAATCTGATATACGATAAAATCTATTTATTAATTATTCTTACCCTGTGTCTTGTAATAATTAAAATGTAAAATCAGTTATTAAAAGATTTCCAGTTAATTATGATCCAGTCATAAGCTCATTATATAATAATAATCTTTCAAAATGAAAATCACTTGTTCCTGGACCTCCATTGTCTTCCATTTAAATACCTTTTAGATTTGAACAATTAAAATATATTCTAGCAAAATTAATTAATCTTGGTGTTGATAAGTATGTAATATTGTTTTATTTATAGAAATTAGGATTTTCATAATTCTTCCCTGTTACTGAATCATAATATTTTGAAAAATAGTCATAAGTTATACCTAAACCATGTATTATTTCATGGATTGCACTTTCTAAATTACTTTCATATATAATTTTATTAGTTTTATCAATTTTTGTGTAGTTAATATTCCAAGACATTAATGCTATTATTGGTCTCAAAGATAATTCATCATAAACAGTTGGACCACAATAGGCTTTATAAAATTTTGTTGAGTTTTCAATATTTACAAATATAACCTAAAATTTGAAATGATTATACTAAATCTGCATCATATTATTAATCCATTAAACTTTACATTATTTGAAAACCATAAAATTATTTTGGATAACTTTCTTTAAAAGTAATTTTTTCATTCATTCTCTTAACTAAAAGAAATCTATAAAAAAATATTGAGACCATTTCAAGTATTTCTGTTATATATGAGGTGTAATTTTCATTATAATTTGATGATAAATATTCAAAATGTATTCTTAAAGGCTCCCATTCCTTTTCACTAATATTAGGTTTAAGTTCTTCTAATTTTCTTTTTGAGCCATCAGAAAACCTATAAGTGAATTGTTATTTCTAACAATCAATACAATAGAACAGTATTGTAAAAATTAATAAGTATTTCATTAATTTATTAGTAAAATAAAAATAAATACATAAATTTTGTTGGATTTATTTTAAATTATGTTTCCAATAGGTCAGAAAATTTATCTAAAAAATATATTTCAAATAATCAAAATAAATAATTATCGATAAATAGGAATAATATAATCTTTTCATATAATATTATTTCAACTTTCAACCATAGAATCTCTGACTGGAAATCTACTTTCACAGATGCTTTCCATATCAAGTACAGGTCGTTTTTCTCTAGATTCAAGACCTCTAAAGTTCTATACAAAAAGTTAATCAAAAGTACATTTGATTTCATCATCCAAAAACTCTAATATCTATTTATCTGTTTAGGACAAGTATTATTTTAATTTTAAATTTTAATAGCTTTTAAAAGCATCATTAATTTTTGTTATTTCAGATTTTTCATCATCCAATATTAATTTGTATGATATCTTTTACTCTAAATTTTGTATATTTTCTTAAAATTCCTATTCAAAAACTCCAAAAGGAATTAATGGTTTTGGAATATAATTGAATAGATTAATTTGATCATTTGATAAAAGTAAATATTTCAATTTATCTAACTCTTGTAACTTCTAAATAATGAATGATACATCTAATTTTGACATAACTTTATCAATAGCATAGTGTATTTATTTATTTTTTTATCTATTACAACAAATTGCAAGTTGAAAGATAACTTATTTCGACATTTTTTAATGTAATTGCTAATAGTTTAAAAACTTTTAAATATCTATGCTGTTTTCAAGCCGATTTGACTAAATAATTTATTTTTGTTTTTCCTTTTACACTCTTCCTGATGTATTAGGCAACTCATCTTCAACAATTTCTTAACATTAATCCTAAGGTATGAAAAAGCTTTTTTGTTTCTAATGTTTATGATTATTCTTTTTTCCTTTACTATTTGACTCAAATCTAAAATATTCATTTGCCATTTCAATTTCAGTTAAAAATGTAGTAAAAGGATTTAAAAATATTTATGAAATTAAACTTAATACTTGAAATAATCCTCCAATATTACTAAAAGCGTTTTGTAATTTTTAGTAAGTTCTTGAGTACTAAGCCATTCTTTAGTCTATAATTATGCCATATTTAAAAATATATTAATTGTTATATACTTCTGATGCTTCCTTAACCGTCAATTATTAAAAAGAGAATTCTTTTTATATATTTGTGGTAAGTAACCCTATATCTGATAAAACTTCTATTAATTTTAGTTAAGATAACATAGTTTTCGTAATGCTGACTGAATAAAAATAATATTATGCTGAAATGATTTTTTCAAAAGAATTCTTATACTCTTACATCTTTGTAAGGCTGTCAGAGGAATGAATAGCCAAATAATTTCCTGATAATAGTGAATTTATATCTTAATCTGACGAACAATTTTGATATTCTGTATTATTTTTGCATTTTGATATAAAGATATCAATATATTAAAATACATCTGATTAAGGAGTTCCTTAGAGCTTTATTGGCCTTTCATTCCAATTGCTAATTTTTGCACAATATAAACCAGACTTATTAAAAGATTTAAAATATTTTTGTTAAAACTCGCTTGGAAAATGTTTATCTGTACATTCTTCAACTGGATAATAATAACAACTACATATATATTTTTATGTCAATACTCTAATTTAGGTATTTTTTAGCCATTTGTTTCATTTATATATCTTTATCTTTTACAGTTCATTATGGAGATATTAAAATATAAGTTTTACCCTTAAATTGTTTAAAGTTTGCCATTTGTTAAGGCTAATGCAACAGTATAATTATGTGGATATAAAATGTATTCCTTTCTAAAACATTAAATATACATCAGTATTGAATAATTAAAATTCTGAAGTGATAACATTAGGATGATTCTTATCAAAGATATCCTGAATTTAAGAAATAAGTTGAATAATGCAAACTGTAATTATACAATAAGTCATAAATGCTCCTAAAGTTGTAGAAAATTTTTTTTATTTTTATATCCTTAGCTGTGGTTATTAAGCAAAGTAATCAGACGAGCTTATTAATTTTTTGCCAAAAGAGTTTACTCTTGTAAGAAACCTTAATCTCAAAGTCTTCATTTGGTTTAATATATTTATATATCACATAATCATTAGATTTTATGTATATTGCATAATAATTCATAAATCTTTCTTAATAGTTGGTAATATATATATTTAATATTAAATAAAAATACATTGCTCAGTATTAATAACTAAAAATCAATATTAGAAAAATATAAGGAAAAAGATCTCCTTATTTAATTGATGAAAACTTGAAATCTCAAGAAGAGAACATAGATTCCTGTTATTTTTCAACAATTAGCCAGCATTTTAATAAATCAAATAAGAATTAGATACATCTATGATATTTTGTTTTGATTAGTTTAAAAATTCTCCATTAACATATTTACAAATAATTTCATTGATTTACAATATTAATTTATTGTAAATCAATAAATAATTAAAAAAGAAATTCGCTTAGTAATTTTTAAAGTTATTTTTATAGAATATTTTAGAACTTAATCAAATATAAATGATGATAAGGTAATAGATTATTGAAAATTGATTCGTTAATTTTGTAATTTAATAATATATTTATTTAATAATGATTGGAAATAAAACATCATCTAACTTAAATAGTGTTAATTTCGTTGATTTTATAAATCCAAAATTATTGCATCCTCCATCAAGAAAAATATAGCTTATACAACAAACTAAATCAATTAAGTTACTAAGGAATTATCATAAAATTTCACAGATCTTCACAGAATTTCAATCTCCAATGATAGTGAATAGACTTATAATCAAAAATGAATCTTTAAATTCAATACAAAAGTCATAATAATCTCTGGATAAGGAAAGATAGACTTCTAAAATTGAGAATGAAACCTCTAACAAACCTAGATTAAATAGTCCGTAAAACAGCTTACCACAGATATCTTTGGCAATTATGAATACTCAATTTAAAATAAATGATCTGAATAGAAATAGTAACATTATTCTATAAACACATAAAAGTGATACAAAAAGATCAATCATTCCTCAAAAATTGAAACCTAGTAGTAATATGCCAATAAAAAATTATACTTGTAACTCTAATATTACAGGAAACAGTAAAGATTCAAATTCCCATGTTGGAAATACTTAATAATGTAATACGGCTAAAAAAATAATCTATTCTTATTGTGGTAAACCTAGAAAAAGAAAGTTAAATGTAACTGCAAAAAGTTTTGTTGTTTATAATTGCATCGAACATAAAACTATTTTGAAAAGAAAAAGCAATAAGAAAGTTGAAGTTGCTAGTTTAACAAAAATCATGACTTTTTATGTAACCTTGTTAACCATTGAATTATTAAATCTTAATGTGAAATAGATAAAAGTAAAAGTGACAAAAAAAGCATCTTAGATAATTGGCACAACTGCAGAATTATAATATAATGATATATTATCTATTGAAGATCTGCTTTATGGATTAATGTTGCCTTCAGGAAATGATGCTGCAGTTCTTATTGCCTAAGCTATTGGAACTATAATGTAAAAATAATATATCTATTGACTTGATTAGATTGTTTAATTAATAAAATAAGAGTCTGGATCTTAAATTACTTGATATAGAACAATTAAGTGCAGATGGATATTATTATAATAATGAATTTAGATTCTAATATTGTCCTATTGAAATTTTCATGAAATAAATGAATTAATACTCTCTTAAAATAGGATAAAAGAACACTTAATTTGCATGTGTACATGGATTGGCAAATGAAGATAATGTAAATAAAGAATTTAAATTAGTATTCTTGTTGTAATGATATCATAACTCTATCTATTGAATGTTTAAAATACTAATTATTCAAGACAGTAATTTCATGTAAAGAATATTTAGTTAAGACACTTTATAAATAATATGAATGGAAAAACACTAATAAATTATTAGATAAAGGTTTCTTTGGTATTAAAACTGGAATTACTGATTCGGCTGGTCCTTGTTTAGCAAGTGCATATAGCTCTAATGAAATGGATTACTATATTATTATAGTGTTAAATTGTAAGAATTTAAACATGAGATTTGATGATACAATAATTTTATTATAACATGCAAAATAAAAAAATGATGACTTAAACTGAATACTGAATTAGTAATTACTTATATAGATAATTGAATTATATTTATTTAATAATAATTATCATAAGATATCAATTATTAATTATAAATCACTCAAAATCAGCTTTTTGGTACCCTTTAGTTATTTATTATACACCCACTCCTACATTAGCCATTTCCATTTGTAATTTATCTAAGCAATGGTCACTTTTCACTTCCTAAGTCAAAAATTAAATGAATAATACATACTGGATTATTTACAAAATTATCTAATCTAGCAAAATTAGTTAATTCTTCATCAACATACATCTCACTTAATACATATTTTTTTTCTTGAATTGTAAATTCTGTTTTTTTTAAAAAATTGTCTTAAATCCAAAACTTAATATAATTTTGTATTAAAATACTTGTAAACCATTCATAAACACAGGGATAATACACATCACAATAATTAATTTTAGAGTTGCCAAATCTGAAAATGGAGATAATATAAATTAAGAAATGCTTTCTAAAATGAAACCAATAACTAATTGTAATAAAAATAGGAAAAATTTAGACTAATAATAAATAAATGAATATTTACAATAGACACAACTAATATCCACAAAATTAATTGAATAAACCATGCCTTTAAATCAATTTTTATTATAGGTTTAATGAGATTAGTACCAGCTGGTACTTTATCTTTATTATTCATTTCATTTTTTTTAACTTGGTCATCTGGCATAATTATTAAAAAATAGTTTCCTGAACGATAATTCTAAATGATTGTTATCTTACTGCCATTTAAAAATGCTCTAATGCAAGTTCAACTAATTTTAGGATTACATAACTAAATAATACTCCTATTGTTGTATCCAATAATAATGTGGCCAAATACCTTTTAATTATAAAATCTTATATACCAAACACATTCATCAGAATCACCTGACAAATGTATAGCCAATGCAACATTTAAAAAATGAGCAAAGACTTACGAACATCCTTATTTTGATGTATCTAATCCCCACACTTTCCATTACCTCTTAGGTTTTTCTACAATTCTTTTATCTAACCTTTAAGATTTTAATTACAAATCAAAATAAAGAATGAAAACACACCTAGTAGAATTTATATAGAAAATCCAAGTGGTCCCAAAATGTCACAATCATCAGACATTTTTTATAATTTATATAATTAAATAAAGTTGTTAAAAATAATATGAATCAAATTAAATGTGAAAAATGTTAAATTGTTCCTGAGAAATTTGTATACTTAGATTGTGAACATTCATTTTGCCTTTCATGTTTAGCTAAATTATTTAAATAAGTATAAAAGTATTATAATTAATCGATAGCATGAAAATTAAATTCAATGCATAACATGTTTTGACATAACCATATTAGATGATGAAACTATAAATGCATTAATGGAAATGAAATTATAACAATTATAGCCTCCAGTCATAATCCCTTATACTACATCTAAAAAATAAAATAATCAAAAAGACTTAATTTAAATTAAAGGTCATCCATTTATTGAAAAACTTAATGTCTCTATTGAAAAATGTTTAGATAATATTCGAATAATTTAGTTTGATAAATAAAAAATAAGAGAAATATCAAACAAAATTAAATCAGATCTTGAATCAGAATTTAAATCTTTGCATATATATCTGGATGATAAACTTGAAGCATTTATGAATGAAATTTCAAAATTTGAAACTTTGAATTCAACAAATTTATAAAAATAAGAAGATGGATTCTAAATTGATATTAAAGAAATGTAAATAATGAAAGATGAGATTAAAAGCATATTATAATAATAAACTGGAATTTAAAATGATATTGAATAATTTAAAATTATTCTAAATCAGATTGATGAAATTACAATCAAAACAAATTAATAATATTAGAGTCATATCAAACAATTTTAAGATGAAATATATAAAATACCTCTTAAATGGACTGATTTTTCAAGTTCTTATAAAACATTTTTCAATAACTTTGATTCAACAAAACCCTTATAAGTTTCATAATAATAATAATCATAGTTTATAACTGCAAATCGATTGGAAAAAATTCAATAATCATTGGTTAAGTAAATTTAATATTAAATTTTAGTTAAATCTCTCATACAAATGTCAAACCTATTAAAACATCTCATTAGTCTCATTTATCTTTATGTTCTCCTCCAAGAAATAGTTTTCTTTAAGATGAACATTAAATACCAAGAAAATCAAGTCGAATTGAATTAATAAGTAAATTATAAAGTCCAGGTGAAATCAGAGTTAATTCAATGAATAGAAGAAACACAAGAACTATGGTTCCAAATCTTAATTTGGCAGGAATTTCGTTTATTAAATGACATTTAAATATATATTTAGTATTTTTAAAGGTTAATTGTTAATCATATATAATAAAACAACTAAATAAAAAAATAAAAAAATAAATAATTGGTAATGTTGGTTAATACTCTTAGAAGTTAAAGATTTAAAAGATGAAAAAGTTAATCTGACTTCAAATTCAGTTAAATTTTGAATCAATTTCAGATAGAATAACTTATATAAAGATTAAATATCATATTTATTCTTCTCAGAAAGTTATATCAACTTGAAATTGTAAAATTTTAANCCTTATACTACATCTAAAAAATAAAATAATCAAAAAGACTTAATTTAAATTAAAGGTCATCCATTTATTGAAAAACTTAATGTCTCTATTGAAAAATGTTTAGATAATATTCGAATAATTTAGTTTGATAAATAAAAAATAAGAGAAATATCAAACAAAATTAAATCAGATCTTGAATCAGAATTTAAATCTTTGCATATATATCTGGATGATAAACTTGAAGCATTTATGAATGAAATTTCAAAATTTGAAACTTTGAATTCAACAAATTTATAAAAATAAGAAGATGGATTCTAAATTGATATTAAAGAAATGTAAATAATGAAAGATGAGATTAAAAGCATATTATAATAATAAACTGGAATTTAAAATGATATTGAATAATTTAAAATTATTCTAAATCAGATTGATGAAATTACAATCAAAACAAATTAATAATATTAGAGTCATATCAAACAATTTTAAGATGAAATATATAAAATACCTCTTAAATGGACTGATTTTTCAAGTTCTTATAAAACATTTTTCAATAACTTTGATTCAACAAAACCCTTATAAGTTTCATAATAATAATAATCATAGTTTATAACTGCAAATCGATTGGAAAAAATTCAATAATCATTGGTTAAGTAAATTTAATATTAAATTTTAGTTAAATCTCTCATACAAATGTCAAACCTATTAAAACATCTCATTAGTCTCATTTATCTTTATGTTCTCCTCCAAGAAATAGTTTTCTTTAAGATGAACATTAAATACCAAGAAAATCAAGTCGAATTGAATTAATAAGTAAATTATAAAGTCCAGGTGAAATCAGAGTTAATTCAATGAATAGAAGAAACACAAGAACTATGGTTCCAAATCTTAATTTGGCAGGAATTTCGTTTATTAAATGACATTTAAATATATATTTAGTATTTTTAAAGGTTAATTGTTAATCATATATAATAAAACAACTAAATAAAAAAATAAAAAAATAAATAATTGGTAATGTTGGTTAATACTCTTAGAAGTTAAAGATTTAAAAGATGAAAAAGTTAATCTGACTTCAAATTCAGTTAAATTTTGAATCAATTTCAGATAGAATAACTTATATAAAGATTAAATATCATATTTATTCTTCTCAGAAAGTTATATCAACTTGAAATTGTAAAATTTTAATTAAGTAAAATCATAAATTATAATATTTAAATAAATAGAATAAAACAATTGATATAATGATTGGACTAAATATATTGATGAAAACGAATTTATATTAAATTTAAGAACTCTTGATAATTAAAATTAAAATTACTTTATTTAATACAAAATTATATTTTTAATGAACTATAAATCATATTGATTTATTGGAACTATCATCAATTTATTATTAAAATTGTTCATTTTGATTTTTTGTTTTATTAATTTCTTTATCTTATTAATTTTAACAATCTGTTTGAAGATTGTTTTCATAACTTTAATTTTATTAATGTTGAAAAACTTATACGTTTTTTTCTTCAACCTCTTCTTAGATAATGAAGTTTCCATCCTTGAAATTTCCATCTTAAATTTTACCATCTATAAATTATAGGTAACCCTTTCCATGAGGTTAATAATTTTTAATCTATCCTATTTAATAAATCACTTATTTTACCTTTATAAATGCTATCATCTGGAAATTTTATGATAATATCTTGATTTAAAACAAACTCATCTTTCGAAAATTATCCTTAATATTTACAATTGTTATCTTGTAATGTAATCACTCCAAAACCATCCTTTTAATCATCCACCCATTCACCTTCATATGTATATTATTTGGCTAAAAGAATTAAATTAAAGATATGCTTACTTTAATAGATACCCATACCATGTCTCTTTCCTGCCTTATATATCCCTTTATAGATATCACCATTAGCCCATACATATTGACCTTCTCCTTAAAATAAACCTTCAGAAAATTAGCCAACATAGACATCTTTATTAGGCAATATCAATTTTCCAGTTCCACTATAACATCCATTTTTAAACCAACCTTCATAAATTAAATTCTCCTTTTATAAATTACCATATCCATTAAATTAATTATTTCTAAAATCAATAAATATATTTACTCAAAATGTCCATTATATTAAAATTCATTAACAACAATTAGTATACCATCTCCATGAAATTTATTATGTTTGAATTGACCCTTATATTAAAATTTCTTATCCATTAACTTTTCATATCTTCCTTAACCATGTCGAAGGAAGTTTTGAATTTATCCTAAATATACTCTTTTTTAAAACAGTTCAATCATTCCACCATATTACATATTTCCAATATAAATATCTGCATTTTCAAATACTTTATAAAATGGAAATGTTGAATTTTTATCAAAACATTCAGAATTAGTGATAATAGAATAATCAAATGATTTTAACCATTTAAGTCCATTCTCTGTTTTTGTAATCCAATGTATGATACCTTTTCTGTTATGTTTTCTTATCACTCTCATCAAATCATATAGTAAATTACGATATTCCTTAATTTTTAATTCATTAACTAAATCTTCTTTATGCTTCTTTATTTCTAATTTTTACGGGTCTTAAGATACATCATCCTCATCATCAGAGCTCTTTTTATTATAGATTCTAATATTACATCTTATGGACTTATTTCTTATTTAATTATCATACTCTTTCTGGTTCTTATTGCAGTCAATTTATTAATTCTTTCATCAAATGTTTATAAATTGATAAAAAAATAGCTAATTTCTGATAACAATTTTATGTAATGATCATGAATTATTTTTCTAATCCAATCTTCACTTCCTTGAAATGTTATCTTTTGATTTTGAATCGGAATTAATCTCTTTAATTAATCTTATTAATTTAAATCCAATGATTTTAAACAATCTGTATTTATTGCACTATACAGTTATTTTTCAATTAATTTAAGACTTAATTAAATAAATACAATTACTTTAATAATTTCTTATGTTATTCTTTTAATATATTCAATTCTCCAATATCAACATCTATGATAATATCTGGATTTAATTGATTAAGACCCTTTATAAATTTGTTAGTAGTTCCAATCAAATAACCTTTAAGATTTTTACTTTATAGCATATTGATGTCTGTCACACTAAAATGCATAAATAATCTATAGGTCTCAGTAAATATTTTAAAGGGTAAACCAAAATTACTCAAGTAGCTTGCCTTTAAATTAATAAATATTATGATTACCTATATTAATGATTTCTTAGATTACAAATTAAAATTCAATAAACCTGGAATCAGAGATAATAAACTTATTATAAATCTTGAACAAACACTAGAAGACTAAGAGTATATAATTATTTTCATCTAATATTAAACTGCCTTAAGAATTTTAAGAATTTTATCTTTGAAAATCCAAAATAATCCAATCAAATTAGTATCAGTATATAAAGCTGAGATTTCAACATTCTTTAAATCAAAGGTTTATTAAATGCTGTCAAATGCATAATTTAAGATTGACATATCTTTAAAATCTTATAATTGAAAATATGCTTATATAGTAGGCTCCAACCTGCTCTTGATATATCCAAAGAGTGGTACGAAGGATAATAAACAAATAGCCTTTTAGATATGTCCTCTAGTTAATTCTGGGTTTTATTTTTTTAACTCTTCTGTCACTTTAATCTATTTAAAGCATGTTACACCAAACAATTATTTCATCTTACCATTTATTTATGCGTCAAAATTAAAATATAAATAGTCTTCATTAGCATTATGAACCGCATCTGGCAATGCACATGTCGTCACTGTATTGATAATATTTTCTAAATCATTTGTCAATTATGATAATTCTGGATAACAGTATTCTATTTCTGACCCTCTTTTATGATGAAATCCAACTGCAAATATTGCTAATACTGGAGTTTATTCCTCTTAGAGAGCATATAATTCCATTAATTTCTATTGCAATTCAACATCAAAGATTTATTCAGGACTTTTAAAGATTTCTGAAATTTATTTACTAAATCCTTATGAATCTCTATTTAGATTTACTTAAATTAAATTATTGGATGTCATAATCTCCCAATAATTATAACATTTTTCTGAATTCAAATATTTTCTCATATACCTTTCTTTTCTAGTTAGTCTATGTTTATTTTAATCATCTGAAAGGTTTTAATTCAATTTTTTCTACAGCCACTTTTTCATTAAATTAATTAAGAAATATTAATAGTATATTAATTTTATGAAAATTAACAAAAGACTAAAAAGAATTATTGATTCATTGGATACTATATCATTTCTTCACTTTTATGTTCAATTTGATAGAAATAAAACAATAAAAATAATATGATTTAGAATATTATGAAAATTATAGCATTGATTAATTTTTCAAATAAAATGGTATCTAATTAATTTGAAAAATCAACTAATAATAGTTTGTTAGAATTATTAAATTATTTAAACATTAAGATTTTAATAATAATAATTAAACATCAAATTGATATCAATAAATAAAAAGATCAATATGAGTATATATAAAATATCTATTAAATTTTACAAGTTGTCCTTTAGACAGTGATATTATCTGTGTTAACATATATTAATGATCTTCTTATTCATTTGAGTAAGATATTCGCTAGCTTAAAAATACCCTAACCAATGTTTTATAAATTTCATCAATTTATTTACATTTATGACAAGCAAATATTTTTTATGGAAATTGGTTTAATAAGAAAAAAATTTTTGATAATATTTTATTATATCATTAATTTAGTTACTAAATTTAATATAAACTTAAGGCTTGAAAAATATCTTTTGTGAAAGAGATAAATCATTAATAGTTTTAAATAAATGATTCATCATAAATCTTTAAAATAAGTATTTTTAATTTTTGTTATTTCTAAGAAGAGAAATATTTTTTTGTATCTGAATAAATTATTTATATAAGCATAGATTAAAATTAATGTCTTTTTATAATATATATTTTTTTATATAATTATTAATATTCAATAGGAAAATATTTATATTTCATAATTCGCATGTAAACTTTTAGACTTTATTAATAAATTTATTTGTTGACTCTTTTCGTGCTTTTTAACTCAAAATTTCATTTTTATCAGTTACTTAATTCAATAGAAAACCAATAAGTTTTCTTTTGAATTAAGTTTCACTTTAAAATTTTTTAAATTCTTCATGTTAAATTGTTTGTTATTCTTAATTTTAAAATTATTCTGATACAGTTCTCACTGATCTTTGTATTTCTTAATTCATTCTTCTTATTTTTCTTTTAAATTATTTTTTTTCTTTCTTTTATTTATCTTCCAATTCAACACAAGATCCAATAATATTTTGCATTTGTTGTTAAGTATCTGGATCTACTCCTCTTCCATCCCATTTTTATTTTGTTGTCAAGAATGTCTAAGATTGTGTATATGAACCTAAGGCAGTTTAGGGTCTGGATTCAAATTAGCTAATTCCAGGAGATTATCTATGAGACAAAGGTTTAGAATTAATTCCATATTTAAATCTTCTTTTAATTTTATTTTATATTTATTAAGTTGGTGGAGTTCTGAAAAATTTAGATATATCTCCTTTTTATATTTTATTTTAAACTTCATCCTCAAAGATTTAAGCAAATAGTTTATCTTAGATATCTTTTTATTTTTTAAATGTAATCATTTTTAATTTATTCTTTTTACTATATTCTGGTTCAAATTGATCATATCTAGATTCCTTATAAATTTTGACCAAATTATTTGTTTCATCCTTACTTATTATTTAATCTAATTCTTCTTAATTTATTCTCTTTTCTATTAATTCATTTAGTTTGTCTTAATGTTGAGTCAATGTAACTTTTTCAACATCCACATTTAATAGTTTACCAATATCTACTTCAGGATGTTATTTACATAGTTCTGTTAAATAATAATTAATTTATTCATCATCATTTAATTCAATATGATTAAGTTCTACAAGATTACATTTTTTTTAAGCTTGCAATTTTTATAGGTTAGCTTTAAGATTAGCCATTTTGTATTCCTAATATAAAGAACTAGTTGAATTTTATTTCATCAATTCATCATTAATGAGAGATGCAACCTTTTATTCTGGTTTTGGTTAAACTTTATGTTATTTTTTATTATTAGAAAGTTTTGGTTTTGATTAACAATCTTATAATGAAATTTCTCTCTTTTTAATTTTAATCACTTTATTTGGTATATCAATATTTGTTTAAATGTTTAAATTAACTAAACTTTAAGCATTGACAGAATTTGTGCCATTTGACACTAATTTATAATTGTTATACATCTCATATCAGCAAGCTTTTTATTTATATAAAGAGTCAAGTTCTATCTCTAAAAATCTTAGTAATAACCCAATTATTGTCTAATTGGATGATCTTGTATAGTTTTCTTTACAAGAAATCCTGTAAAAGAAGACATTAAATTTAATTATAACGAGTTATGTAAAAAATATAATTATTCACTCTTCTTTATTTAATTTATCATATATTCTTTTATTTTTCCATTTAGAAATCAGATCATAATTATTTAAGAACTAGAATTGGTTATCCTTATAATCTAAAAATTAATTACCTAATTATCTTATTCCAAAATATGTTCTTATTAATGCATCCATAATGAAGGAGATTGCAATGGACTCAAAAGAGGAGATTTTGCTATAAATTAAGGGTTATAAAAATATAAAGGAGTATGTATAATAGATGCTGATTGATTTTATTCAAATAGATTTGGAAATTGATCTATATAAAATTCTTGTACATTAATGTCCTTAATATTTGATTAAGAAATATTATTTGATTCTAATTCATTATTTTATTATTTTATCTTGTTGTTAAATTAGTTTAGTTATTATTATTCTAAGATTTTTAATGAATCAGGAAATATTTTAGTAGATATTTTATTTTATTCATAACAATTATTATCAATTTCTGGGAACTTAAAACTTCCAAGATAATTCAAATCTGATAAACTGCTTCTATTTCCTAGACTTTGTGTATCACAATTTCCTTAAGTTGAATAGCAAAATTAATTATTAACTTATTAAAGTAAATAGATATATTGATTTTCTTAATTTAATGCATTCTTTTATTCATGCTTTTCAATATCAATTTTAGTTTTTTTTAATTAATTAGGAATATCATCATCTTTTTCTAATTTCTTTTATTTTTGTGTTACTATTTTTTGATTTTTATCTGTAGTAGTTTCTATTATATTAGTATGTTATTGGATTTTCTGATCCGGACTCTTTATGAGTCTTTTTGAGATATATTATTTAAGTGCTATTAATTCTTCTATATCATCATCATCTTATTCTTAATATATTTTATGAAGTAAACTTTTAAATCTATAATTTAAGTATACAAACATACCTATTTTTCACTTAATTTTCAGTTCTACCATCTAAATATTTTGAAATCATTGACCACTTTTTACCATTCTCAATTACTAAAGATAATAGTTAATTATCTTCTCTATCTGTCCAGCTTGATCTAATATAAATATAATATTTATTAAACTTTTTCAAAATAGGATTCAAATAATTCATCCATCTTTCTCTAACTTATTTTGGAGTTCTAACATATATCCCATTATTGTGATTATACAATTCTAATGCTATTTCAGTCCAAATATGTTTTCCTTACTTAACACTAGTTAATTAATAATTAATAATTCATACTTCATCTATGACTTTATGATATCGTCTTCTTCTTTTTCCCAAATTAGACTTTTGGCCATTGGGTTTATTAAAGTTATCCATCTTTATTTTAAAGTTTATTCTTCAAATCCAAAAATACATGTTAATTCTTTCCATTCTTCAGATGTGGGATTAATAGTTTTTTTATTTTTCATCTGAAAATACTTGATTATAATCAAAATGAATAATTATTTACACTATTAGTCCCATTTTTTATTTATTTTGTGGTAATCTTGGGTTAAAAGCCTTATATAAATTTATAATTTACTTTTCTGAAATTTCATAAAAATTACTATTGATTATTAGGCTTTCTTTGCTTTTAAATTGATTTCTATAATAACAAGGAATGTCTATTTCTTAGTAATTTCTCAATTTATTCAAGAAGTCATGGAAATTTTGCATTATAATTTATGTGACTAAATCTTAATAATAAATATTTAATTAGTTATTACACCAGTTAGTTGTAATTTAATTTCAATTAAAATTTCTACACAATATTAATCACCAAGAAATATTCTCTGATTTTACAAATAGAAAATTCACTTTTTAATTAAAATGATATAATAATTATTATTAAATCAAATGATGAATAAATTTATATAATAATAAATTGATAAACATAATTTTATAAACATAATTATATAGAAATTTATGGCCAAATTCAAAAAAGTTTAGATTTGAATAGAATAAATGATAAGAGTGAAATTAAAAATATATTATTTAAAATATCTAAGAATTTAAATAACAAAATTAAATAATAATATTAAAAAATAGAAATTAGATTGATTAGATAGTGGATATAAATCAAGAATTACTAATTTCAAAGGTTTCACGACTTTCATCATCTGTTTAATCATCCAATTTCATTTCTATATTAGGTGAATTAAGATTTGCCTCAACTCTTAATTCAATTTCCTCTACATCACAATGATTAACAGTTTGAGTTCTTTATATTTGATTATCACACTTTTTTTTATTGCTCTGATTATTTAAAATCATAGATTTAGAAAGTATCTGTCTTTTTGAATGTTTCCTTTATGTCAATTCATTCATAACATATTATTTATATAATTAAGAGACGGGACGAACATCATTTTACTTAATATTTCATAATATTAAATACCTAACTTAACCAAATAAGAAATGGTAATAGAGAATCAAGTTCTATATCATTTTTATCTGTAATGAAATCTTTTATCAAAAATCCATTCTCTGGTTAAAATATAAATGACATCTAAGAATTCTAAAAGAGTTAAAAAAGATCTTACATCAATAATTAAAACATCTTTTAAACTTCTACCCAATTTATTTAAATTTTTTGTTAATCCTCCTTAAATTGGAGTACAACTATCTCTATATAACCTTATTAATGCTCTTCTTGATGGATCTATAATGTCCATAACTGGATCTGCATATTCTTTTAAACTTGCAGTCCACATTATAATTTCAAAGTATTCACTTAAAGTATCAATAAAGTTTTCTACACCAGGTCTAACTGTTACATAAACTTTAAATAATTAACCTTACACTTTGATCTAATATATTATGGATTATTACATCTAATGAAAAATCATAACCATTATCAGGTTTAAATTAACTATGGACTAATGTTTCATCTAGATCTAGAACACAAACTTTTCTACTCTCATAATTATATTTTTCAATTATACATGTGATTTTGGAGTATCTATTCCAAGTTGATACTTTTCATTAGTTTTATGGGTTTTTTTACGAAAAAAATATATGCATGAACATAACTTTTCTAAAAAATTTGGTTATCTTTCTAATTATTCTTGTTATTGCTAATATATAATGTCATTGGTATTCATTCTTTATTATTTAAATTATAAATTAAATTAACAAAATACTTTATATTTGTAATGAATTTCATTGCAATCATAAAATTTTTATGATATTTTTATGAATATAAATTAGTATAAATTATCAATAAGTAAGAATATTATATAGATTTTATTAGATACTCTATAATTTTAGAATTTATCTATAAATTGTTAATTTTATATTTAGTATATTTTGTGGTTTATGTGTTTTTTGATTTCATATTAAATCTTAATTATTGAGAATAAAAAAATGGAAAGTGAAATAATAAGGAGGATATGTTGATGAAAATTACAATTAAGTATAAAAAATGATAATTATATATAACTGAAAATCATGATTTATCTAGAAGATCTGCAACTGTGTACATTCTTCTAAATGTTTTTTAATTAGATTTCGGTTTTTCCTCGTTAGGATCAATTACTTTAATTTAAATTTATTTATTAAAAGAAACTATTTTCTTTCCCGGATTTATTTAAGGAGAATAGTCATCTTTTTCAATTGGTTAAAGTGAAACCTATTTACTATGTTTAAGTCTATTGAAATTAGGTTTTTATTATTATTATTTTAAATCCGAATTATCTAACTCAAAGAAATCAAAAATATCAGCATGTTCTCTACTGTTTGAGCTTTTTCTTTTTAGAATACTTTTTAATTAGGTTTACTAATCTTCGATTTAATCATCTTTTCTTAATCTACTTCGATGTGTAGATTCTTATTATTTAATTAATGGTTTGAGCACGGTAGGCTTCTTTTCTTATCTAAATATTTCTCTAATGAGTTCTTTACGCTAAATTTCCATACGTGATGTAATCTGATCTACGTTAGATTCAACTTATGAGATTTTGAATAAGTTAAGCTAATCCATTCCTTTTGAAGAGTTGAAGATTGAGCTCATTTACTGTTTTTGAAATTAATTTTAAGATGGAGTCTAAACTATTTCAGGCAGAAAACTATTATTTCTAGAGGAAGGTCGAGAAAACTGAATCGATTTTTTATTGTCCTATCTAAGTTATGCATGAGAATTCATTAAATAAATTATAAAACTCACTCTTCATTTCAATTAAACAACATTATGAAATATTTAAATACATATATTTAATAACATAACAAACTTTGAAAAATCAAGATCCTTATAGTAATAAATCTAAAAATGAAAAAACATTCATTTTTCTGTAAGCTCTCTATATCCTTTCCAATCATGTGGAGCCTTTCCACCATTAGAATGTATCACATCTAAAAGAGTATTTGATGGACCGTCTTTATGTTCAGGAATCATGCTCTTTAAAGTTTATTATAATCAAAATACCAAAGTTTTTTAGAATATTAATTAAGCCTTATCCCATGTTCCTTTAATATAATGTTAAAACCCTTCTTTCCAAGTTTAATAGAATTCCTAAAGATATATAAATAAATTACTTTTGTAAAAGGTTCTCTTGAATAAACTAGTTCTTCATCAGTAAGAAATTAACTTACAACATTAACTTTGTCTTTTAAAACATCCTTTTGTAATTATTCTCTTTTGAATCGACTAAGAACTCGAAATTGTTTTTATTCTTTCTGATTCATCTTACTTGTGTCAAATTTATCTTTTAGATCTTTTGTCTTTTGTATCAAATTCTTTATTGACATATCAATAGTATGAATTTCAACTGGTTCTACACTACCTTTCACTGTCACAATGTCTATTTATCTTAATTATTTTTGGCATTCTTCAGTCAAATATTATTTTAAAATCCCACTAATTAATATAATCGAACCAAATTATTTAGTTGCAGCTTCTAATCTAGATGCCATATTAACATTTGGACTCAAGTATGAAGCATCTATTTTAAAAGACGAACCAATTGCTCCTTCAATACCCCATCCCATATGTAATCCAAATCCCATTTTAACAGAATAATCTTTCATTCTTGCATTCAAACCAGTATGCTTCTTGTATTTCTCTAATTTCTTTGAAATTGATATTGAAGTAATTATTTTTAAAAAAGCCAACACTGCCATATCTCCTTTTTATTTTATATGATGATCTGTTTTCACAATCAACTTCTAAGGATTTTGTGGATTTGGATGATATTCCATAGGTAAATATTTCCAAACTAATAGGAAAGCATCTCCAATATTTTTATTTGCTGATCCTCCATATTAATTAACTGTTGAATGTACAATCTCAGCAATTTCATTAACAAATACCATTACTTCTTCTTATAAAACTTCTGTTGCATCAGTAAAATTTCTAATATCACAAAAACCAAATATAGCCATTATTTTCTTACCTGGAAGCATTGGATCTACACTCCCTCCTTTCTTAATGTTTTCTGCTATGATTTCTGATCCTGCTTCTCCAAATCCAACAGCTAATAAAGCTCCAACTTTCATGATCAATCTTTAAAGAATATATGTTTCCATTTATTTCTCAATATACTTTTCCTTTATCTTTTCATGATCTTCATCCTATTCTAATCTCTCCATTATCAAATCCTCTTACTCCTCTATGTTTACTGCTTCCAAAGGATTCTAAGCAATTAATTCTATCTTTTCCATCATTTTTTCTATAGGTTCAATAACCAATTCATTCACATTTTTATTAAACAAAATGGCACTCGAAGCCAATACTATACATACAAATAATGTCTAAAATATTGAGAGAATAGCATTTGTTTAATTGTAATCAACTAAATCACCAACTGAACATGTTATTAATTTATTATCTGTATCTATTGCAGCATAATATTGTTTATCAGAGAATCTATATTAATCAATATTTTGGTTTGTAGATTAAAACCAATCAGAATTTTGAGAATAATTGAATACTTAAAAATTTGTTTCATTTAATTTTGGAAATTTGTCTGTTACATCGTTTCTTATAACAAAAACAGCTAAAATTGGAAAAAGCTCATCCTAATGAAATTGAACATATTGCATTGTTAAGATTTCTACAAGTTTTTGATCATTTCTAAATTAACCAATTCTAAAAATACCAGAATCATAAGAATTTATTGTTTCTTAATAAGTATCTAAAGTTAATACTGGTATACTAATTAATATTGCTAAAATTATCGTAATGACTCTTCTCATTACTAAATCAGACAATCGAGAACCCACATTACTTTCTTGAACATTTTGAGATTGCTATAGAGATTATTGACTTTATCTTAACTAATCACTACTACTATTATTTCCTTATGCATTTTAATCAGATTATTATCCTTATTAGATTGATATAGCAGATAATTAAGAACTATTTACTTAATTATTTTATTAAGAATTCTATTATTATTAAATTTAACCTAAAAATGGTTTACAAGTATCCTTAATTTACTATTATAATTCACTCTACTCTTATTTATCATCATTATTTTTATATTAATGACTACGAGATGCAGGAGGAGATGGAAAAGATTGATTTCTTTGAACATAAATTTATTTTTGAGATTATGAATTAATTTTTTATTATTATTATTATTATTATTATTATTATTATTATTATTATTATTATTATTGTCTTTAGTTCTCATCACTTAATAATCTATTTTATTTTAATATTTCTTAAAGAATTTTTCTTTATTAATCCTTTTCATACTATTGTCTAGCATGTTTGTATAATTTTACTAGCCTTACTAGACGAATAATTCTAATGACTCTTGCAGCTTTTCTTGCAACCCTGGATGCTCTACCCAAAGCCTTGATTGTAGCAGCATTACCTATATCTCCTTCATCTCCATACCATAAATCTGTTATCCATCCAATATCTAAAATCATTGTAGCAGTCGATATTACATCAAGAAAAAAATAAAACTAATCTTAGCTCTTAATTAATTACATTTAGAATATAATTTGGATTTGCTATTGATGTTAGAATTATTTCTATTGTAAAAAAAGACATGCTTATTATTGTAAGAATAAAGAAGATATCATCTTGATCTTTATTAACTGTTAAAATTCTTATATCATCTCCAAAAAGTGCATAAAGTGTAACTATAGCCATTAAAATTGAGAATGCCCATCCTTCAATAAATTAAGAAACGAATTTCTAAATTGCAGATGTTTATTTGATATTTTATTTTTTTTAAAACCTTTATTTAATTTTGCTATTCATTCTTCTTATTTATTTCTTCTTAGGCTCTTCATTGATTATTTGAATACTCATTGGCTTTGCACTCTTACCACTCCTTGCACTTGATTAACTTCTATTTGATTTTTAATCATTAATTTCTGCTACGCTTGAAGGACTTCTTAATTTTCGAACTTTTCCTTCTTGTTCATCAATTTCCTCTCTACTCATTTCTTTTTTTACTAATGGTAAACATTTTTATTTATCAGTTAACTTTTTATAATTTTTTACTTTTATACCAAAGGACCATGTTTTTATTCAATATCATTTGATTTTTGTTGGCTAACTCCATTGAAATCTATGTTTTTAGCATAAAAAATAGCATTGTAATACATACTGGATGTGGTTAATTTATAACAATGCTCATCATTGCAAAACTAGGCTTTCTTTATTCATCATTTTCTGATTCTCTTGAGTGATAATATTTCATAGATTCCTCTCTATCTGTCATATGATTAAATTAATTATATTATATCAATAAAATATAAATAAACTTGAAATTTTCACATTATAATTCAAGTTTTAATATATATCATTATATAATAATAACAATATCTATACTAAGTAATTAAATTCATTAATTTAAAAGGTCATGTGAAAATTCAAAAAAGTAAATTATTAAAATTAAATTGAATTTTAGCAAAGATTGTTGAATTAACTTAAAATCATTGATAAATCTTTAATCAACTGAAGTTTATTATTTAAAAATTGAATTTCAATTCTTAAAATACTAATTTTATTTATTTTTTATGATAAGATAAACAAATAAAAACTAAAATCATAAATCAAAGACTGAGCTGATTTTTCTTTGAAAATAGTCAAATTTTTTTATTATATTTATAAATGTCTCATAAAATATTAGATTTGCTTTAAAATAATTTTTTTATGGTTTAAATTTTATAAAATACTTTACTTAATTTAAATTAGCGTAATATCACCGATTAATAAATTTATATATTTTATGGATCATATATGATGTGAATTTAAAGACTTTGAATTATCCTTAGATTAGTATTCAAAATTATTTATAAGTTAAATTTAAAAAATGATAGTTTGAAAGTATTTTATGATAAAAAGTTCATTAGTTATTGTTTTCCATAGTTTAGTAAATTTAAATAATTTAATTATTCTTGAATTAATTTATACATCTACTTTTAAGTTTATTTAATCTATTTGTAATACTTTATTATTTTATAATATCATAGATAGTAGTTAAAGTATTTTAATATATATACAGAGTATTATTAATATTAAAATTCTGATAAAAACTCTAATTTAAATTTAAACAAGATTATAATATGAATTTCAAATTTTATAAATAAAATATAAGTAATATAATATTTTCATTCGGTAAACAATTACTCGGCTTTATTATTTTTGAGTGCTGATATTATTCTAAAGGAATTTTCAGCGTACTATGATTAAATAATTTCATCACAATATTAATATTCTTTAAGAGAAAATCTTACAATTCGAGCGACCATTATTGTTTTTCGTATTAATCTAAGTAAAATAAGCAGTTCTATTGTTATGAGAATGGATAAAAAGAGATAGAAGGGAAGATGGAGATTCATTGCTATCATTATGGTCACCTCAACGATTATTAATAATAGCAAAATTAAGAAAGCAGAGGCATATACTAGTAGTTACTTCTTTGTTAGGTTTTGATATGATAAGCTAATTTAAATTAATAACTACTTAGTTTGTAAAACAGTGGGGTAATACAAATTGCAATAAGGGCACTACATAATTCCATTACCTTATTTATATTCTAATTTTATGTGAGTTATTAGACATAATAAATGATATTATCTATCCTAACAAGCACAATATTTAGTTGTAGATGCTGAAGTATGTTTATTGCAGATATGACAGAGTTGGTTAACACTGTTAACTGATGAATTTAAAGTTTTGCTCAAATGAAACTAGTTAGCAGTAGTTTATGGATGCAATGTTTTTCGTATACGGTAAACATGTTCATTAGGAAGAGAAGAAGTTCCTTGTATGGTAATCAATTTAGATTCAAATGTTTCAATTTAAGGTTAGTTATGTGCTGTAGTTGTATCCATATATAAATAAATAAATTAATTCGGTCATTTTCTGGCTCCAATGTTGTTATTCCTCATCAGAAAGAGTAACTCCTCCTTTTCTTATTTTAATCTTGCATTCTCCTTCTGCATTATTATGATTTTTTCTTCATTCTCATTTAACACCTCTAATTTTTGAGCATAAGACTTCAATTTCTCTACTAGATTTTCTTTAAATAAATCAGTTTATTTTTAAAATTTTATGAAATTTTTTTCACTAATCTCTAACTATCTTATTAATGTTTAGTTTTTTTCTTTTAATATCTAAATCTCTTGATTTTAAATGAGAGACTTTTCTTATTGTTCTGCAACTATGGATTGGAGTTGTTTAATAGTTTAATCTTGATCTTGTATTCGACTTGTATTGTTATCAATTTTAAATTTAGATAATCTTTAAGGAGATTATGTATTAAAATATGATAAATTAGTTGATGCTGATCTATTAGTTTTAGTTGATTTGTGAAATACAGCTGATTACTCTTGAAATGATATAGCTGATTATTCTAAGGTAGGCATTCTTCTAGAAGAATATCTTCTTGAATTCTAAGTTATTAATTCTTAATCAAAAATGTCAATTAATTCAGTTTTTTCATTTTCTAAAAGTGTTTCAACTGTCTGTTAATTTTGATTTTGCAATTTTGATAATGATTTCTTATGAGCAAATAATAAGTCCTTTTATTTCAATTGACTCTCCTATTCTTTAAGATTTTAACGTTATTCTAATAATAAACTCAACTTCTATTGCATAGTATGTGGTAATTCAGAATCCCAAGTTTACATTTTATAAATAAAATAATGAATTTACAACCTGTAAGTTCTGGTTCAATCAACATGTCAGGAGATAGTAATCAGAACGGTCTCGATCACTATCTTAATGAACTCAATAATTAGAATTTGATGTAAGTTAGGAGACCAAATGAAGAGTAGATATTAGCTTTTATTGATTTTGAAGGAATTAAACCAGATCAAGCGATCCAACACAAGACTTTTCCTGATAGTCATAAAGAAAACAAGAGTAAAGGAAGTAAGTCTTCTTAATAGATTCGACGGAATAGTTTAGATTTATCTGAAGTATCACCTTTGAAACAATCTCTTAGGGATGATTTAATACCTTGTGATAGTCCAAATATAGAATTAAAGAAATTAGGGGATCCAGATGATCATAGAAAAAGTAAAACTGTGATTAGTCCAGCGATTTAATCATCCAAATCTCCAAAAAGAAAAAGTAAACATTTCTCAAAAATATTTTCGAAAATAACTAATAGAATGCATTTGGCTAAAAAATTCATACAAAAAATAAAGTTATTATCACCATTTGCAAAGAAAATTTAGAAATAACAATTGTAATTAATTTAGGATTTGAGTTCAGATATCAACAATTGCAATGAGAAATATAACAATAATAGTTTTATTAGGATTCATGATAAATCTAAATAAAAAAAAGTATTGAAGAGAATTGAGAGTATGAAAGCATTTATTGCACTTAAGACATATTTTAGTGTTTGTAAAATTTAAGTGATTTTTGATAAGTTAAAAAATGAAACAATAGATCCTCAAGGAAATTTTTTATTTATTTGGGAGTTATTAAAGTTTTTTATGACTTTAGCATCTTTATTTCAATTATCAATTCAAATATGTTTCAATTTAGATGTTTTGAATTGGTTTTTCATTTCTGAAAAAGAAAATTCCTAAATTATTCTAATTATGATGTTTATATATTATTCATTTGATATAGTTTTAGGATTTAGAACAGGATACTATGAAAATGGAGAAGTAGTTACAAAATAATAAAGAGTTGCTAGAAGATATTTAAGGAAATACTTTTTTGTTGATTTAATATCAATAATACCAATATTCGTCAATATAATTTTAATATAATCATTTGAAACTGATAATACAATAATAAAAATAGTGAATTGTTTATCATTTCTAAGATCTAATGCATTAAATAGAGTATATCATTCGTTAGAAGGAAGATTATTAAGTAATCCAAGGTTCGTTATTGGATATCGTTTTTTGAGTGTGATAGGAACAGTATTTTTATATGCCCATGTATTTGGATGTCTATGGTATGTAGTAGCATAAAACAATTAAAATAATTGGATTAATAAAGCAGGAATAGTTGAAGATTCTTGGTTCGCTCTTTATAGTTATTCAATCTATTGGTCCGTTATGACTATGACTACAGTAGGATATGGAGATTTGACACCAGCTAATCATGAAGAAGCTTTATTTTGTGTTTGTACTATGTTTATTGCAAGTGTTGTCTTTGCATATTCAATCAATACAATAGGTATGATCATTACTGAAATGAATAAGTTTGATGAGAAAATCAATGAAAATATGGCTATCATAAATAGATATATGTAAAGAAAGAATTTCGAATAATCATTGCAATTTAGAGTGAGATAATACTTATAGAATTTGTGGACATAAGAAGAAAAGTTTCGAATTGTTGATGAAAATAAAATTATTAATTGTTTAAGTCCAAATTTAAAAGAAGAAATATAAATTTGTTTATATGGTTAATTCATTACTAGCATTCATATATTCTATAGATATTTTAGTTAAGAATGTTTACTAGATTTGACTAAAAGTGTTCAAGAATACAGAGTGGCTCCAAATTCTTATGTCATTGAAAATGGAACTCATGATGGGATTGCATTATATTAATTAGTTAGTGGAGAAGCTGAGATGTTTGTAGATCTCTAAGACAGAAAATATTATATAGGAAAAATGAAATAAGGAGACATATTTGGACATGGTCCATTCTTTATGAACAATGTGCATCCATACAGTATTAAAACTGATACAGCATGTTCTTTTTCTTACTTATCTAAGTAAATGTTTTTAGACATACTTCAATCTCACCCTGGTGATTATGTAATATATTATGTAAAATAGTAAACTTATAGAATGATCATCGATTAATGGACATTCCAAAATTAGAAATTAGATTTGGGGGTTAAATGTTTGGGATGTGGAGAAACTGATCATGACATAGATTAATGTCATAGATTACATTTAATCATCAACAAATAGATTTTATTAACAAAACATTTGTTTTCAGTTCCAAACAAAAGAATTTTATTTCATCGTAATAGTAGAAGAACTACTAATGCTAAATTTGGATAAAGATTATTTGAAGATGCTGTTTCTTTATTTTAAGAAAATAATTACTCTTTTTCCTCTGAAGAAGAGGAACCTAATCCTAGTCAAATTGAAAGAACTCACTAAACCAAACAAACTCAAGATATTAGATATTAAGAACCTACTCATAATACTCATAGATCATAACAATAACAATAATAATAATAATAATAACATTAATAATCAAAAAATGTCAGATTTAGGAAAAGATCAAGATCTTTAAATTCTATTAGTGTTCATTCAGATGAGGAATCTAAATTTCAGAAATCCATATCTGGATATAAATCTAATGACTCTTAAATTGATAAAATTAGTGGTATTCCAGTTAAGGTATAATAATTACCCAGTTCTTAATTATCATAGAGTTCTTTTAATGTATTTTTGAAAGAGTATCCAAAAAGAAAAATATCAAAATAATAAGATTCTGATAAATATTCTAATCATTCTATTGGATAAAGATAATAGCAATAATAATAGTAGTAGTAATAATAGCATTATTAATAATAATAATATTAACATAAATCAAGTAGTCAATCAAGTAGTGGGAATATCCCTTAGAGTAGTATTGGAATTTCTCCTATACCAACTGGGTCTCCACCTTTACTTTATTAAGAAGACAAATAAACATTTTAAAAAGGAGTTGTAGAGGATAGTTTATTTGTTGCGTAAGAAAGAAAAAAGAAATCTTTGATTGGTACTAGTTATACAAATACAAAATCTATAAAAAATCCACTTTAAGCTATACCATCTGTTAGTGAAATGAATGAGACTGAGAAAAATAATAATAATTTAAAGGAAGGTTCATATACTTCTAAATAATTATCTATGTAAAGTAGATCAAGAAGTTAGAGATACACAATTTCAATCAGAACAGAGAGTTAAAAAATTAGAGAAGACACTAAACATGATACAACTCAAAAACATGATTTCAAGATAAAAACTGATACTTATAAATAATATCATGAGAATAGTCCATTAAATGAGGAATAATTTCATAATACATTTGAATAAGCATGTAATTTAAATTCCTACTATCCTTAATATAATAAGGATAGAATAATAGAAAAATATAAAAGATAATAATATAGAAAAAATAACTACTGATATTAATTCAAGTCTTGAAAAACTATAATTTATATATTTATTTAATTAATTCAATAATTTTATGAAAGAATTTATATTCCTATATATATATTGAATAATAATTGATTATTTGATAATTTAAATATAAGTTACATGAACAAAATTTCTGGAGCTTCAACTTATAAAAATAACTAAGGATAAAAATCATAAAAATCTCTATAATCAAAGCTTCCTGAAAAGGTCAGATTAGAAAATCATGGTTTAGTCATTGCTAATTAAAAAGAGAAAAGAGTTAAGAAAGAGGAAATTAGAAAATATTTAAAGAGCAAGAATAATAAATACATTTAAGATGTATATTGATAAAATATATTTAATATTGATAAACATATATATATATATATGAGATAGTTTTAATAATTTAGATATTAAAATAATGAATAGATAATAATAAGAAGCTGCAAATATCTGTAAATAATTCAATAATTTAGACAGTGTTGAAGAGAGTTAGAGATGCTTTGAATGCAAGAGGGACAAAGACAATTAGAAGTTTGGGAATATGTTTTAGGTGTTTGGACTCATATGATGGAAATAGAAAATTAGATAAGAATGAATTAAAGGTTGGATTAGCTGAGAATGGTGTTCAACTATCATGGAATGAAATTGATGTAGATAAATAAATAATGTAAGATTTTATTCGCCGCCATGGATAGAGATAGAAGTGGAACAATTGATTTTGATGAATTCTTAGTTGCCATAAGAGTAAGAAAGATAACCATTAAATTAGGGATAACTTAACCCAACCAGAAAGGCAATAGTAGATTAAGCATTCAAAAGGTTTGATAAAACAGGAGATGGAAAGATAACTGTTGATGATATAAAGTATTGAATTTAATAATTATACAAAGAGGAGTATACAATACTAAGTTACATCCAAAAGTTAAGAATGGATAAATGTCTGAAAATCAAGTTTTGGATGAATTTTTAGTGAATTTTGGAGATGTAGACAGAAATGGATAATTAAGTTATTAAGAATGGCTTGATTATTATGCTGCAGTATCAGCCTCTGTTGACAACGACGAGCACTTTGTATTGTTGATGAAAATGGCATGGAAGTTATGAATGAAATAATAAAATATCATAATAATCGATATTTTTGAAAAAAATGTTATTAGCCTTCTATATAATATAAATTCTTAAATTATGGGATTGAATGACATCATTCCTTTCTTATATTAAACTTGTGATACAAATAAATACTAAAGATTTTCTTAGTCTCTTATTAATTCTATTTTACTTTCTTCTTACCTTATCTTTATATAGACTGGACTAGAAATAAATAAATAGCAATTTTACAATTAATAACTCTAATATGACGAAAAATAATAACTAAAACAAATATCTATACTTTATAATATTTAAATATTATAGTTCAGATAATAAATAGTTTTTAAGTCTTCAAAGTTCTATATATTTTTTATTGTATTTTGATAAAAGACATATTTAATTCATATATTCTTTAAATATGTATATGTATTGATTATATTTTATTTAATAATTTATAAATTAATAACTATGATAATAATATTATCAAATTAATTTATCTAAACTTTCTTAAATACTTTCTAATTGTTCAAATAATTCTTGAACCTAAGCCTTCTAAAACTTTATACTAAATTTATCGACTTTATTAGTTTCTCCAGAAGGTTTGGTTTCAAATACAAAGGTTGTAGCTGGATTTCTTGCATCAAATGAATATAGATCATTAGCATCTTCAATTTTTCCATCAACATTCATAAAATTTGCTACATCTGTAATTCATATTTTAATATATATACTTTTTTATGGTAATCTTGATTCATCAACTTATAAACTGATTTTCCAATTAAAAGAATGTAATACATCTTGAACAGCTATTGGCTTTTCTCTTATTCTAATTGAATACTCATTACCATATTGTATCCATTATTGTCTAAAAACTTCAATATGATCTTAAGACTATTAACATATAGAATAATATAATACCATTCCATTTTATCCAAGTACTTCTTCAACTTAACTTAAATTTCTTTCTGCAACAACATGCATTAAAACAAAATTGAATGCATTAACGATATTTGCTAATTGTTATTCATTAATATTCAGATTATTCTAAAATTTCTTAATCTCATCCTCAGTAAATAAATCTTTATATAATTATCCTGGTTTGCTGAAGATTCTTCCAATAACTATCTCAGTCCTTGGAATACTTAAAGAATTCAGATTAAGAATAGCATCTTATAAATTTTTATTAACTTTCATTTGATAAATTATATTTATTTATTTATAATTTGATTAGTATTATTTTATATCTCAACAAATGAAATAAAAAAATATTTTGATGATAATTAACTTAAAAATTATAATAAATTTATTTCTTAAACTTTGAAAGAAATATTAGATATCATATGGCTTTCAATATTATTATAATTAATTAATATCAATATTATTTTTTGAGCATTTTTAATTTTGTCTGTAGTCTCCATTAATAAAACACATTAAATTCTAATTACAACAATCTATAATAATAATAAAATAAATATTATACTTTTTCTTTCCTTTTCTCTAACTTATAAGATATGCCCTCATTTTTTTGAATGATATTTTTAATAATTTAAATTACTTAGATCCTAAATACTTCTCTAACTTTTTCTTATTAATTTTTCTTCTCTTTTAAGTTTACCAATGTGATTTGATGGCAGCAAATGTATAAATAATTCTTCTTTAGATGTAAAATTATGAACTTAATTTCAATTATCTTTAGTATTATTTAATTACTCCTTAAATAAACAACTGAAAGTAATCTCTTTATAATCTTTCTAAATATTATTTTATATATACTATTATAATAAGTTTTAGCTTTATCATCTTTTTCCTTTATTAAATTATAATCATATTTTAATGAATTAAATATTTTGTTTAATTTATGTAATTTTTTCTTATTTTAATAATTAATTAATTAATCCATTTTCATTTTTGATAGATCTGTAAAATATTTAATAGAATAAAAGATCATTTAAATGAACTTAATTCTTTTATACTAAAAATATTTATTCAATTTCCAGTTATTTTTAAATGATCTAAATCCTTAAATTAAAAATTCTAATTTTCTTTATTTTAATTTTGCTTGTAACATTACTTTATTTAAACCTTGTTTCTCTAATTTGTTTTCATAAGCACGTTTCCAAAATAATAAATATCTTATTTTTCTTTTTTTTTCAATTTAAACAGTTAGTATTAATTCTTTATCTTATAACTTCAATTATATTTATTTTATTTCTTCTATATATTATTTCCAACTCTAAAAAATCTTATACATATAAAATCCTTTTGCTAATTTATCTTTTTAAGAATCCAATGTTACATCCTTCCAATATTTAAAAAATGTTTGCTTTCTCCATTTATTATGTATTGGTTAATATTTAGAGTTTCTTTTATTATTTGCTTCTTTTGTGAACTTTCTCCAACTCATAAATATTTTACAAGCTTATTCCAATTATGTTTGATATATCTTTGAATCTAACATATGTCTTTTCCAACCTTTAAATACTTTTTTTATTAAAACTTCATTATAATAAACAGTAGAATCTTAAAGAAGTTATTGATGTAATCTGTAATTTTACAATTCAATAACCCATTTATCAAAATATAATTACTTTTTCTTTTTTATGATTGTTTTCTCATTATTTTTTCTTTTTTTCAAAATTTTTGTTGCTTTTCTTAATTTTAGAAACCATTTCATTAACAATTTATCATTGTAACATTCAATAATAGCATTATTAACTTCTCTTTCCTTTTATTAACCTTATGCTACACTTTTCATTTTTTCAAAATATCTCCTCAATTTGAGAATTTTGATTTAGTTAAGAATATTTTATTACTAATGTAAAGTATAATTGATTAACATACATTTTATATTATGGTTTTGAAAGCTTTAAGAACTTTTCGTTTCAATAAGGTTTAATAATCTGTATGTCTCTATTATTTAATTGCTTTTATTGTCTAGCAAATATTTTAGTTTTTTTACTTTCCGAAATAGTTATTTGTATCTAAATATGGTGGCATTAATCAAGAATTGTCTCTGGTTAATTTTTTATATGTGATATTCTACCCATTTATAAAAGTATTTTCTTAACATTAAATTTTTATTATTATTAAATTAGATAATTCAATAGAACCATGTATTAAGCACTTTTTCAAAATATTGCAGCATACAATATCAAAATTTATCAAGAAATTCACCTAATATGTTAAATCATTAATTTTCCAAAATTTTGGTTAGGAAGTAGATATGAATCTTTAATATTCATTTTCAAGATAACCTGTAAAAATATATGTAAGACATTAATATATTTAGTGCTTATATGTATTAGAATAATGACTTGAATTCTTTGTTAGCAAGTTATAATAAATGTTAATAATATTTGCTTATTAGTGATTAGAATAAATTTAATTGTTGAAAATACATGTTTATTTCTCTGATTTTGATAAAATTTGCAGAAAATTAAAAATTAGAATAAGGAACCGAAAGTTATTAGAAAATAAAATAATCTAATAGAAAAAAGTAAAAAATAAGAATTCTTGGAACATTTATAACCAAATGTAAATAAGATTAATAAATTTTAAATAATCAAAAATTGTAATAATATCCATCTTTTCAGTCTAACCTTAAATGCAAATGAGGTTCTGATATTCCAGCCTCTATATTTCTTTGCATTTGATCCCTGAATTTCCTTAAAGCCTCTCTTACATCTGGAATTTTCTTCTGAACAATTTGAATTAATAATGGTGATAATAATAATAGAGCTTGATCATCTGAATCCCCGTACCAACTTTATATTTGTATTCCATTGTCAGGTTAAAATTAAAAATTTTCAGCCAAATTATCTATAATAATTGTTTTTTTTATATCTCTTCCAATCTTCTAAATATCTTTTACATATGTATTTTTGACAAGAGTGGTATGTTATCTGTATAATCTATGGGAGATCACTTTATCTTCATCAATCAGATCTAAAATGAAATCTGCATAATCTTATTATGCTGCAGTAAATATAACAATCTCATAAAATTTAGACATATCTTTAAGAAATTGCTATGCAAAAGGTCTAACTAAGAATTGGCCCTCATCTACTAACTATATAAAAATTGAATATTTACTTCTTAGTAATGAACTAATGTTTCATCTAAATCTATGATTAAAGTGTATTTATTTGTTTTAGATAAATAAGGTATCTAATAACAATCTATCACTTCTTCATAGTCAAATTAGAAATCTTATGAATCCATTGTCAATCTTAACTATTAAATATGAGCCAACTATATAATTATGAATAATAATACAATTTTTTGATATTCCTATTTAATAAATTCAGTTCCTTATTGTAAAGTGATTCTGTCTATATTTGCTAAGTTTTTTTCTAAAGTACTAAGTTTATCATCTGTTGAATTCTCAATACTATAAAAATATTATTAAATTATATACAATAATACTAAGAGTGAATAAACGACATTACAATTTTTACGTATTAAATTAATATCTAAAAATTAATAGTTTTTTTATGGTCTAACTTTATTTAATCTAGCTTATATTAATGCTCTTTGAGATTATGAGAGAATATTAGATTAGTTAATTAATTGAAGATTTAAAATCATACTATTATGTATATAGAATAAAAGATTTTTTAAATTCTATTAATCTTCTTCAAATGTATCAGATAAAGCTTTATATAGAATAACTAATATGCCTATTCTCTCTAAATGTATTTATTTAGATAGTATTTATTAAGTATTTTTATCTTTTTCTTCAAATATGAAATGAGATATACGATTTAGATAATTTTGACATTAATTTATGACTTTTTTTTTTCGGCTAATAACAGCCATAATTGTAAACACAATTTCCTCTTAGTTTATTAAATTTTAAATTTATTCATCAGAATCATTTATAGTAGAACTTGTTGATTCATTTTTATGAGATTTTGATTCTTCTGTCTTATATTTTTAAGTATTTTTATTTTTGTTATTTTGTTATTATTTTTATTAATCTAGTCTGTGATTAATTTATTAGTAGATTTTTTTAATCTCAAAAGGCATTTAGTATAGTAATTGAGGAGAAATAGATCTTTATGATTTATTAATAGATGTATTATCATATTATGATTTTGGACTGGATGTTCTATGAAATAATTATTCTTGAGAATTTTATCTTTTTTAAAACAATTCTTGTAATATAGCATTTGCTTTTGGAATAGATTATTTTTTATCATTAAATGATTTATTTATTTAGGATTTATCTGTTGATAATTCATAAATATTTCTTGATGATCTATTATCAATTGGAGGCTTATTAATTTTAACTGAATTGGTATTTTTCAGTTGTTATTGATTGTTTTGCATTAAAATTATTTTATTAAATATAGAAATTTTTAATTAAAATATTAAAACATCATCAATCATCTTTTAATTTGTCACTTTAAGACCCTTCAATTTCGATGTTTTTCATCATTTATTCTAATAAGTATTCTTGTCTTTTCAAAACTTTTGTCACCCATCCTGGTTCATCAGGAATTACTGTTTCTATTATAAATTTAATCCCAATCACAATATGTTCTGCAGCTATAAGAAGTAAAAAATTTCGAAGAGCTTGCTATTAAATTAATATTATTATTATTACTGATGATTCATCTGTTTCATTTACTTTACCAATTAAATTATTTAATTGATCTTAATTTGCATAATAAATTGTTAAACAATTAATTATTGTACCTATGTATCCTACAATTAGTAATACACTATTCCATAACCCTATTGATTTCTTAGCTTCTGCTCTGGGCCTCTTTACAAAAGTAATAAAACCATAAATAAGACCATCCAAATTAATATTATTAAATAACAAAATAGCAATTGGTATTAATTATGAACTGGCACTAAACATAGTAACCATGCAAAATTAAAGAATCTAAAATATTGAATAATAACTTACAAAATAAGTAAATTAATCAACATGATTAGGAGTTGGTATCATAATCTTATTCTATTCAACTGATCTAAGAAACTTCTTATAGCCCATGCTTTTTCTATCAAAACTTTTATTGGTCTGATTTTAAGTTTCATTATCTAAAATACTGGCCATCTAAGAAGTATACATTTTTCTCCATTTTCCTTCCAAAAACAATTCAAATTCTTTATTTAAGAAGTATTTTTTAATTGAATATTGAATTAAAGGTATAATAGTAAATCTAAGATAATGCATAATAGCCCAAACAATTGTAAATGTAATAGACATTATATTTAATTCATCTGCATCTGGATCAATGACAGATTTATAAAATAAACGACCAAATGAATTTAAAAAAGCAAAAGAAAATACTTTAATTATATAGACATCTTCCAATTCATTTTAATATTAATGATTTTCATATTCAAGTGATAATCTTGCAAAATAATTAAATATTTCATTAGTTATTTTTATTGATATACCCAAACCAATAGAACACAATATAGTAAATTCAGTTGTGCGTTCTCTTAATTGAATAATATAATAATAACCAATCTATTCTCCTGCTATTAATATTATAGCTAAAAGCACTAAAGGTGTAACTGATTTATAATATTTCCATCTATCTCTAGTAGAATATTTAATTTCAATTTTGTGAGTAACATCTTCAATCCAAAATTATCCTTTAAATGATGGAATTGTTTATTTTTCTTCAGTTTCAACATGCATATCAAATTAAAACATCATTTCACTTTATTTTCTCTTCCAAAATTCAAAGAATATAGTTGCCCATACAGCTAAAGCAATAGTATAAATTGGAACAAATAAAGAATTAATTTCATTTGTTGCATAAACATAAACACCAAGCATTATACCTGGTACAGCTGGAATAAATAACCAAGTAGTAAAGAAACTTAAAAATACAAAAAAGAAACCAACTTCTGCTCCAAAATATGCTTTAATTGCACTTGGTGTTCTACATTTATTTTATTTTAATGATAATGGTTCTTTTAATAGTTCCCATTTTTCTCTTTTCCATTAATTATAGATTAATACTTTCTCTTCATCATCATGTAAAGGAAAATGATCTAATAATAATTTATCATGAAGGAATTAATCTAAATCAAATTCGTCATATAATAATGACAAAATAATTTATTGATCATGATAATGGTGAAAATTCTCATATGTTTCTGCTTTATTTCTATCAAATTGACAAATTATCCCTTCTTTAAAATTATAAATCATCATTTTTTCATAATCAGCAACTAAATTTTTTAATTCACTTGAAACCTTAACAATATAATAAAAACAAGATTCATCATAAGATCTTATAGGTACTGCTTTAAATTTACCTACCTTAACCTTTGCTTTAATATTATCTAATTGCTATTTGACTAAATTTTCACTTGCATTAGTTCCGACCAGTACATATTTATATCCACTTTTAATTAAATTCTTTTCTGTTTTTAATAAATTTTATCTTAATTCTTTGATGGCTTTAGATCTTGAAGATGCAAAGGCTGTTTAATTTCTAAAATTATATAAGTGATGATCTGCACCTATTTTAATTAAATACCTCACAACCTTTTCATGTCCCTAAAATCAAATCAATATTATGTTTAATACTTATTCAACTGCGATATGTAGGGCTGATTATGGCTTTTCAATTGTCATAATGTTTACAAATTTCTTAACATTAAATTTTTTATTCTAATTCTCTGATTCAAAAAAAAGTTCTATTAATTTATCATGACCATGATAAGCAGCTGCATGAACTGCATTTCTTCCTTTATAAGAAGGTGCAAATGGAGAAAATTATTATTTTAATAAAGGTTTTACCAATTCTAAATCACCTAAAACACTTGCCCAAAATAAATAGTTCAAACCTACTGTTTCATATTTACGTCTGTCTACTGCATTCTAATGTATTTCTTCTTAATTAAGATCAAATTCACTTTCTTCCATATTTTCATCTAAACTTTTTAGCTACTGAATATGTTATTCACTCTTTAGAAAATGAGCCAAGAATTTAACTATTAAGTATTTAACTACCTTTTTCTAAGTTTCTTGATCTTTCCCTTTCATTAATGCTATGTCTATTGGAAATTATTTTCTATCATTCTTCTTCAGCACTATTTTAGAATTATTCTTACTTAGATTAGGATTTTTCAATAATAACAACTAAGTTAATTTGAAATCACCATAAAAGCAAGCCCAATGCAAAGGATTATTTATGTAATCTTTTAAATATTCACCAAGAGTTGCTCCCCTTTATAAAAGTAATTTAGCTATTTTGTATTTCGTTTCTGCTATCAATTATTTATCTCTTGATTTAATAATAGATTCATCAATGTCCTAATTGTATCCTCTTACACAAACTAACATAAGAGCTGAATTCCCTATTCAAGAGTTTAGAAAATATAATTATACCTTAGTTATCCTTTGAATTTAAATCGAGGCAATGTAGATCAAGAAAATACTCTACAACATCATAATGTCCTCTATAAGCAGCCTTTATAAAGTATTTATTTACATAATGTAAAGCATTTCTTCCATAATAATCAGATTTCTAACATGCATCTTATAGATGTTTAGAAGTTAATGGATCCAGCTATTTTGAAGTTAAAGAGAGCAATTGTTTTTTAATAAAATCCAATTTTCCATCTTATGCTGCCTTTTATATTATTAATCATAGTTAAATACCTCAAGAAGGTTAATTTCTTCATGAACAAAAAAATGCATTTAATTTAATAATATAATCAATAACTTATCTTCTCTTATCTCTGGAACCTCATAACTTAAATTTACTTGTCCCTTTTCCTCATGTTCAAATAACTATTCATAAATTCTAAAATATAAAACGAACTGTTCAATATTCTAAATTTCTTACTTAAATCCTAATATTTAGAATATTTCCAATCTGAAAACATGAAATCATTTAAATACTTTACCATAAATAATGAATTAAATCTACAATTAAGTAATGAAATTTTCAGAAATTATCAACTTAAATCAAATAAAAAATATAAACTCATAACAATTTAGTTATTTGAATTTGTTCATTTTCCAAAATAATGTTTATATAAATATACAACTACATAAATATATAACATAATGTTTTTTTATAAATTCTTAATAGAATCTAGAAACTCACTTATCGTTTTTATAATTAATATATTTTGTCTCAAATTTTTAATTTTAACAATAACCAGATCAAAATATGACTTTATATCTTATTACAAAAATATTGATTATCTAAATTATCATAATATTTTATCCTTAAAACTACTATTTTAAATAAGATATTATTATAATATATTATTTATTTATTAAAAGTTTAATCAATTATTTTTAATTTAGATTGTCGCATAAAATTTATTCATCTGAGCAAATTAAATTGCTTCATTTCTCTTTATATCTCCTAATATTCTAATAAAATTTATTATTTTTTTTTTATTTATTCAAAGAAAGATCTATACTTTTAATTAATTACTAATGATATTTATATACTTCTTTTTATCTTGTTTTTTAGGCTTACATTTATTTAAATAATTGTAAAAATTTATAAGTTTATTTTTATAAACATTTAATTATAATTCAACATTGATTGACTTTATCAATAAAGATAAGTCTCTGAATCCTATTGAAATATGATTTAATTTAAATGGATTCTTAAAATTAGGATAATTTACTTAATAATTCATTAATACCTCTTGTGATTAAAGCATATTTAATATTATATATTAAAAGTTCCGTTAATGGAATAAAATATTTCAATCAAATGTCCAATTCATAGAAGAGAATTAATAGTAACAGGATGTATTAATCCAAGTTGCAATCGATCACCTTTGATTTGTCAAATGTGTCCAGATGCACACTCTGAGCATTATTCAAATATAGTTCAAATATCTGAATGGCTTTAGAAAGTGTCAAAGACCATTTAGGAAGGTTCAAAAACCTTAAAATAGATAAGAGATATCAATTAAATTGATTCTGTTTTAAAATGGTGTGAAGATAATGAAATGCATCTCAAAAAGGTTGATGAACATTGTAAAGCTTAAAAGGCTTTAATTAATGAAGATTTTAATTATCTGAAAGATCTTTTAGTAGAAAAATGCAATTAAGCATAAGCATAATTGGAATAAGATATAGAAGACTTTTATACAAAATACAAAGAGTAATTTAAAATATGTAAACTGATAATGGATGACTCATATATTTTATAGAAGTAATGTAATCCTTACAGTAATGTGCATAACTTAATTTTTAAATTATAGCAATCAAATTCAAAAGAAGCTTAAGAATTAATTAATTAAATTAGAAAATTAATTAATAAACCATATGATCCAATAGAAAATATCAAGTAATGTGCAGAATCTATAACTGAAATGACTTATAACCTTCCTGTTTTTGCATTTTAAGATGGTATAGATAGTTTTGTAAATTAATTGGCTGATTAGATACATAACCATTTTAAAACTAAACTAAATATTACATTACCTAGAAAGATTGTTTCCCCCATTAAATATTAACCAAAAAATCTCCATAAATAATATTCCTTGCCTACTGAAAATATGGCAAATAATTACAACAGCAATTAAAATATATCTAAATCCCCCCGTTTAAATTAAAAACTCACATTTTCTCCTTAAAATAGCATAGCTTTACATTCTAAAACTATAGTAGGGCAATGTAGTGATTTTACATTAAAACCTTTAAAAAAATATTAATTAGATTTTTGTGTTTCAGCAATAGAAGTTGTAACTCCATAGATATTTGCTATGACTTGTAGTAATGATCCTCATTTGAGAGTATTTGATACAATTTAAAAGCGTATTCATACATTGTCTACTCATACAACTCCTATTATACAAATACATAAATCAATTGATTAAATTGTTCCGTTACAGTAAAATAATAACTCAAAACCATAAACTTATTTATTTACATTATCAAATGAATAATTAGTTGTCTGGGCTTTTGATTTTACTAATTCCTAAATGATTGTCCCACACATCTATCATAAATACCTATTCAACAACCAAATTACATAAAGTTGCTATTTATAAGATAATTCTTGTCTTGTACTTGGAGATTAAGTAGGAACTGTGGAAGTGTATAACTTTTAGTAATCTAAATTATAATAGAATGGCATAAAGGGAAAACATTAGAAATAAATATCTTCTATTCTTTTATTGAAAAAACATGATAAGTTTATTTGTAGTTCTTATGATTAAACATTATCAATTTGGAAAATGTTATACAATCAATAGTCATTTGAAAATACTTACTGTGAATCAATTATTTAATGTGGCAACATGCTTGGATAAATTTAAATAATTAATTAATTTTAATCAAATCCAAATCTACTATTGGTTGGAAATCTAGAAGGTATAATTATTTAATAATTAAAGGATCATTAAAGATTGTCAATCTAATGAATTAATGTGTTATTTTAGAATCAGATATTCAAAAAAATTCTAATTCGATTTGTGATTTTATTATAGCAGAAGATGCCAATAAAGGTATATTAAAAATTATATCAAATAGAAACAATATCTGTGATAACTTATTTATAATCTAGCAAATCCTTAAGATTTTGGAGATTGTAAAATAATGATATGGGATGGGCTTAAAATGAATAAAAAATTGAAGTTGCTTTATCATTATCTGAAAATATGATCAGATCAAAACTTTAATTAGTTTAAATGCCTTCTAGCACATAAAATACTGTAGTTTTGATAGCTAATGAAATAAACAAAGAATTGTTAGTTTATGAAATTATTAATAAATAGTGATTAACTCAATATTAATTATATAATTCAATATTTTTAAACAAGATAAGTAATAAATTCTTCGAATTAGATTTCGCCGTCTCCATTTCCATCACATGTCTATAAGATTTCTTACCATAATTAATCATCTATTCCTCCCATTATTTCTTATAATTCATCCTTACTGATTTATCCATCTCCATTCTATCAATTTAAATTATTCAATTTTTACAATATCAAAAATTTTGAAAGTTTGTTCTAATTTTATTTTATTTAGAATTTTTTCTTATTGACATGCTGCAGATACAAAAGCAGTAAAATCCACTGCCCCTGTTTTGTTGATATCAACTTTCTCAAATACTTCTTCAACCATTTATTAGGCTTTCAAAGGATCATATTGTTAACTGTATACTAAATTATTTAAATTAATTTACCAGCCAATAATTCTTCTTTACTTAATAATCCATCTCCATTTTTATCAATAGATTTAAATAGAGTTATCAATTCTTCTTTTTCTTAGTTTGTCATTACTTATGTTGTTATAAACTGCATCAAAGCTGTTCTAACTTTATTTTTACTCTTAATATATTTTGTTATAATACATAGAAAGATTATAAATTTTTAAGTTATCTAGTATCAATTTTGGCAACATGAACATTATTTTAAATCCATGGATCTTCATATGCTTACTTTGCTGTAATCCTTTTCTTAGGTTCTCTTTCCATCATTTTTTTAATTAAACTAATTGCCTAATCAGAAATTCCACTCCAATTTTCAGCTATAACGTATTAATTTTATTAAAATTACTTGGAAAATCATAATTCCCAATATCAATTTTTTATAAAATTTCATCAGATTATCCATCAAATGGTAATTTGCCACTCAACATCTAATATAATATAACTCCACAAGACCAAACATCGCATTTTTCATTATATTTCTTTTTTAAAACTTCTGGAGCTATATAATAAGGCTAAATGATTAAATATAAAATTTACAGTTCCTAATTTCTTTGTCAAAAATTAGTTCTCTTATATTCGTCTAGATGTTCCAAAATCTATAATTTTTAAATTTGCTCCTTATTTCATAGATTCTAATAAAATATTTTCAGGTTTTAGATCTCGATGAACTATCTTCCTTTCATGACAATACATCACTGCAGATAATATCTATTTTAAAAATTCGGCAGCAATTTTTTCAGTAAATGTTTTATACTCTGAAATTCTTTACAATAATTCACCTCCTTCTAAGTATCTAAATAAATATATATATGCATTTTTATACTCAGTAATTAAATAGTAGCTATTTTTATCTTGGAACAATTCATACAATTTTACAATATTTGGATGATCTAATTATTTTAGTATTGTGACTTCATTTAATAAGGTTTCTTCGTCCTCTTTTACAATTTTATCTTTCTTTATTTGTTTCATTGCTCTTCTTTATCCTGTTTGCTTATGAATAACTAATCGAACTTCTCCATAAGCACCTATATATTGTACTTCAAACATTTACCTTTTCCAAGAGATTTTTCAACCCGATAATAACTTGTAACTTAGCCTTATTTTTATGTTACAAAATTGTCTGGACCAACTTCAAAGGTTTCTTGCTTTTTTGTGGAAGATTGTTTTGTAGTTTCTTATTTTTCTCGTCTTGCCTTGGATCGGCAAAGGCCCATTAAATATAATTAATTATTTTAATTAATCAAAGAATCAAGATTATTCACAACTATGATGATTTATGAAAATATATCATAATTTTTATTTTTTATTTTATAAAAATACATTAATAGTTAAGTAAAATTAATTATTATTATATAATGTTTTAAGGCAAATTACATATTGAAAATATTCAATAATTTTGATGCTTCATAAGAAATCCTATGTTTTTTAAATAATAATTTAATTATTAAAGAATTTAAGCATTTTTCATTTTGATTATTTTTTGAAATAAGTAATAAAAAAGTAATTATTTTTTATAAAAATTTTATATATTTAATATCTCAAAACAATTATTTGATTGATCTCATATTTTAAAGAAATATTTATTTAGGTTATTTATTTAATTAATAATTTTCACTTTAAATAATATTCTTATAAAGAATATTCATGTATACACAAATAGTCTTTATAATATTCTTATTTTTTGTCTATTAATTATAGATATAAGTGATTTTAGAAACGAATCAAGTGATTCATTAATTAATAAAAATATTATTTATTTTGGAATGTGGTATAAAAACTTTTCAAAACAAAGTTGGAATCTTCGTGTTTGGAGGTACATTAAGTTCATATAATAATTAGAAAGGCTAATATATTGTTCAATTAGGATGATATTGGTATGTTCAAAACAAAAGGTGTTTTGAGATGGAAGGATACTGTATTTAGAATGGCAAGAAGTGAAGCTTGTGTATTTAAACTTATATTATATAAAATTTAGTTAAGAGGATTCAACTTTTTTTTCTTTGCTGGTATGATTGGATCATTCATTTGGGTTAAATCAAACTATTATGATCCAAAATATGTTGCACCAAAAAAAGTAGAAAGCGAAAAGGAATTAGAAAGATTGGATGCTGAAGCTGATAAAATATTGTTCAAAAATAGATTAGAAGCTTATTCAAGACCACATAGAAGTTTAGAAGATTTGATTGCATTTTTATCTGGGTATGAAGGATGAATAAAACTAATAGTTCAAAGACATTTGATTAATTTGCTGATTTCATCAGTTATGAAGAAGCAATGAATAATAGTATGGATTAATAAAATGGTTTGGATTCATGGATGGATGATTAAGATTAAAGAATGCTTAAATATTACCAAAGAAGTATTGGACGTACACCAAAATTTGATTGATTTTGCAAACAATCACATAAGCATATATAAAATATATATAGATTGTTAATTATTAAATATAATTAATTTTCTTATGTGTTAATAATATAGAAACCGATTTATAAATATTGAAAATCTGGATAATTTTTAACATTTTTATAATTTAAAATTCAAATAAGATGGACATTTTTGATTAGTTTTAGAAATTCAAGACTACTTTGAAGACTCAAATTGAACATCGTCCTCATTCTTAACAAAGAAACACTGTACTAAAAACTAAATTTAATTAATCAACACTTTAGACATAATAATAATAATAAGTGTAAAATGTATAAAGGAAAAAAACATTGTAACATCATAGAAGTTCAACTTTATTTAGTGCTGCAAAAGAGAATTAAGATAAAATGCAAAAGCAACAGTAACAATAATAAAGGTTTAGTATGGTGCATAAATAATTGCCAGAAGTATTACCTATGTAATAGATTTAACAGATGTCAGATATTTTAATTGATTGTAGTGAAGGATAAATAAATTAGTTATCAACCTAATATGTGGAAGAGTTAGTTAAATTATCAAGCATTATTATGTATAAAGTGAAAAATTCAAAATTCTACTCATGATAATTACACTCTCTTTTATTATTATATTTAAAATTCACTTAATCTTTAAGCTTCATGTAGATTTATTTCATAATTCATACAACCTTCACATTTGCAATCTACACCACATTTTTTACCTGCATTATAACATTCACAATATTTTTTTAAACATTTACTTTTTTTACAAAAACATTTAATTTCATCATTTAGATTTCTATTTATTTGACTTCTTGTTTATTCAATTAATTCTTTATTTTATTCATTATTACAGCATTCCAAACATTCACATGTTTCTCCACAAAACTTTCCTTATTAAAAACATTAACAATAAAATTTAAGACATTATGTCTTTTTACATATACATCCTTATTTAGATAATGGTATTAAAGATAATCTATCAGGAATGATTTCACATTATTTTTCTAAAGTTAGTTTATTAATTAAATCTTCTATTGCATTTTGATTATTAGATTCATCTTACCATTCAAATACAATTTCTAATTCATTTTCTTTTGATTTTCTATTTGATATATTAGATGGTCTAAATGAAGAATTTCTTTGTTCAAGACTTTGCTTTTCACTCTTTTCACTCTTTTCGCTTTTCTCACTTTTTTCCAAACTGAACTTTTATTATTATTCAAATGTTTAACTAAATGTTAGACTATTTTTAGGTTATTAATCATTGATATTATAACCAGAAAATCGATTAAATAAATTAAAATTAGATCCTCTTGATTAAAATGATTATATGGATTACTTTTATAACATTTGATCTTCCATACTCATCATTGATCTGTAAATAATTAACAATTTAATAAATACTTTTTTTCAACAAACTCTTCATCCTATTGTTTTTATTAACTTTCTCTATCCATTAAGTATTACATCCTAGGGGCTTATGAATTCCTTTAAAATGATTATCTCCCAAAACCACTTTCAGCTAAATTCCATTCATTTAAATTATCATCTATCTCATTACCTCCTCTAATGAAGCAAATATTATTTTATTTCTTATCACTTCCTCTTTCTTAAGTCATTATAATATATTATAATGAATATTAAAAATATTATACAAAATATAGAATCAAATTATAACAACTCTAATCTCATCTAAATCAACACTCCTTCTAAATAAGAAAATTATTAAAATGAATGCCATAGATTATATTAATAATTCACATAATGAATATTAGAGCTTCAAAAATATAGAGTTTACTTTTACAAATGCCTACATGTATGAATTATAAGATAGTTTAATGGTAATAATAAGCTACTTTATCTATAATTTAAATTATTTATTTATTTAGAAGCAAAATTAATTAAGAAGAGCTAATTGATGAACCAATCATTACAAAAGTAAATATTGTAATGAGGAATCTAATAACAAGATAACAAGTCTGAATTTTCATCTAAACCAAGGTGTTAAAAAACTATAAATAAATAAATAAAACTTCTCATAATGAAAAAAGTGGTAATTCGATTAATAAAATCTCAGGTTTTAAGGCTCAAAAAACTAGGAATAAACCAATTTTTTTGAATTTATTAATTAGTATTTAATAAGGTGTTAATGGTAAAGTCTATGATATTATGGATGCCAATACTTATATTTAATTGGTGAGTGACTAATAATAATCATAAAACATTCCTAAAAATCATTAAAGTTTAAATGTAATAAATCAATGTGTTTAAAATAATATTGTGAACTACTTAAATTCAATGGCAGGGATATCATAATACTGAAGAGTATTTAGAAGAGAGAGACGAAGCCATTAATAAATTGAAAATGTAAAATTTATCAATTGAAGTATTTTAACTTATAATATTTATTAGTCTATTAGAATTAGTTGCGAATGTAAAAAATCATAATTTTAAAAACTTTATTGTGATTGTTTTCAGAATAATTAGAAATGCAAGGAAAATTTTAATGTCTTAATTGTTCAAATTAATTGGAAAAAGTATAGTAGGGAGATTAAAGAGTAATGATGAATTCTATCTCATAATTTGATGAAATTAGTAGATTGCAAAAATCACCTATAGTTTAAAATAAATAAAGACTTTTTAGAAGAAATGATAGTATCAATTATTCAAGTTCTTTTGTTTATTTCTAGAAGTATTTAGAATAATAATCATTATATAAATAGGATTGCTTGTAAAAAATGAAGGACCATATTTTTTAAAGTAAGACTCATTAGAATTTAATTGTATAACATAATAACTGTAATTATAAATCAATTTTGTGAATTGTATCATGGAAGACTCTTTCTAATGTTCTCTAGAGTTTATGTAATATTATTGACAGAAGTAGTTAGCTATAGGTTTATTAAGGTATTAATACTTGTTCAGCAGTACTCTTGATGCTATTTATTTAAGCCTCCAATTAATTGAGTTTTTCTGGTACAGCTTTTAGAGTGACAGCATTTCTTTAAATAGCAGCAAAATCATCTTCAATTTATTGCATTTGAGGTACTTAACATTAACCCATTATATAAAAATAAAATTTAATTATTAATAAATAAATTAATTAATTTAAGGATGTCAATGAGTGATCAGAGTAAGACAGAAAATCGGATATTTGTTACAGGATATTCAACAAAGGATAAAAATGAGGATGATATCAAGGGTCTTTTTTCCAAATACGGAGAAATTAGTGAATTTTCTTGGAAGGGTCGTTTTTGTTTCATTGTATTTTAGCATTTATTATTTTAGGCTTATTCAAAAGCAGAAGAAGCTACAGAAGCAGTGAATGAAATGAATTAAAAAGACTTAGATGGAAACACTTTTGTTGTTGAGATAGCTAGGGCCAAAAAAAAAGATGGTGAATGTTATTAATGTGGGAGAATAGGACATTTGTAAATAATATAATTATTTAAATTAGTGCTCGTAATTGTAGATAAAAAAGAAGATCTTCAAGTTCAAGTTCAAGGTAATAGTATAATCTTATTTAGACGCCATAAAAGAAAGAGTAAGAAATATAAAAAGAGAAGTCCCTCCAGCTCTTCAAGTTCATCATCTTCTTCATCATCAAGAGACAAGAAGAAGAAATAAAAAACTAAAAAAAGAAAATAATCCTCATCTTCAAGTGATTGATTTTAAAAGAATTTGGATATATATCAATGATTCAAAATTATCGTGTTTTTTTGTTGTGAATAAATCTAATCATTTTTTCAATGCTTATTCGTTGTCTCTCAAAATTTAAAAGGCAGTCTTTAACGAATTCAATTATCCTTCTCTCTTACTAGCATTGGATCTAAAATTTGAATCATATAAATCTTTTTGAACTCTTGTGGTTTCTATTAATTATTAAGTATTCTCTTAATTCAAAGACAACTATTTATTTCTTCTCTATGCAATTTTCTATATGTCAATATGTCATTTATGCATACCAAATCGTTTTATTTATTCTTTAAAGTACTACTTGTCTTCTGATTATCTTATCCTAATTTTTCTCTTAAAATTGAAACTTCATTAATTAAAGAATTAAAATTTTGTTCTGCTGCTGTTTAATTTTGTTCTCTAAATTGCTAACCCTCTTTAATAGATGCAATTATTTATTCAATTAATTCAATTGCTTTTTTAGCTGTTAATTCATCAAATCTTAATTATCCAAATAAATTTACTTTGCAGATAAATCTAATAATAAAGCAAGAGGATGTGTTAATCCTAATTCTTATTTCACTTATTTTATTATTTCTTATTTTTCTGTTTCTTCAAGGAATGAACCTTAATTTGAAAGAACAGCTTTTACTAATCTATCATGAATTTCTTCTAAGGTTTCCAAAGTCTTTTAACCAGCAGTCTATTTAGTTTCTACAGATTAAATTTCCTTAGCTCTATTATTTCGAATTTATTCTTCCTTTTAATTTATAGTTTCTAATTGTTTTTTAATGGAAACACTAGTAGATGTAAGTGTTGAAATTGATTATGTAATTTCTCCTATTTTTCTATTGGTTGTTTAAACTTCATTTTATAATTATGCTAAATTTGCTTCTAATTATTCTATGCTTAATTAAAATGCAGCCATCCTTGAAGCATGTTCTAAATTTGCAGAATTAATTTATCCAGTTAAATCATCAATCATTTTTTATAACAACTCAAATACACGATCTATTTATCCACCTGCAACACTTAATTCTAACATATCCACTAATTGTGAATTATATTCATTTGATTCTAATTTATGTCTTAATTACTAAAGAGCGGGACTCTCTGTAGCAATTGCTATTGTTATTAATAACAACACTAATAGAGATTTGTGTGACATTTAATCCGTTTTTATATTTATTATTAATAATCATTATTGTGGTTTTCTTTAGGGAATCTATGCAGGGGATTATTTTATATGTTATTAAGGTGAAGCATACTATTTATTTAATTAAATTTCTTACTGATTCCTTTCTAATACATGGTGTTGGATGAATGGCTTCCAAAGTTAATTCACCATTTTGTCTTAATAACAATGCTCTATCTTATTCACTTAATTTTTAAAGTTTTGGATTAGCTTTCAAGGTTCCTTAAATTTATTTAAATATCTCAATTAAATTATCTTTTTTATATTGAATCGAAGCTTTTCTTATTGGTGATCCTTAAATATCTTTACTTCCTCTATCCAATATTTTTTTATATTTACTTATGTTTAGCAGGTTAAATTTATTCTGAAGTTTTTCTAGAAGTTGATTTTTTTTCAACATACTAATAATAAAATTAAATTAAAATACTGGACTCTATTAAACCTTAGGAGGTTTCTCAATATTTTTAACATTTTATTCTTACTTTTCTAATGATTATTTTTCAACATAAATTTCTTTAGGTCCTGTTGTTGGAGTCTTTGTTTTTTTATCTTAATGTTCGACTTATTCGCTTCCCTTGCGTTCTTATCCTGATTATTTTCTAGGATTTGATTGTTGCTATTATACTGGAGGATAATATGGTTTATTAATCTTTTCAGATTAATTCTATCCTGCAACATCATCTGAAGCCTTTCTTATATATAAATTTTAGAACATTTAATTATCTACATTACTAACACACTTTTACTGTATTGATATAAGTATTGTGCTTAATTGTTGAATCCCAGAGTCTTTGTAAGTGATTAATATACATTTTCTGGTTCGACATATGCCTTTAATGGATCTTTTGGATCATTCACTGCTTAATCTAAAAACTTCAAACCAACTTCATCATCCTTAAATGTCACTCTACAACATCCGCCTTCAAATGCTATTTCACACTCAATATTCTTCAAGTATTTTTCTATAAGGTATGCTTTGAAATCTGCATTTGTTTAACTGATTTCATTTATTATAATATTCTTTGTATGTGGAGGTATCAAGAGAGTCACATATCCTTCATGCAATTTGCAATTTTTGCATTGCTTCAGAGCCTATCATTTATATATATATATATATAATCTTACACCCAAAATTTCTTCAATAGAATGCTTTGCTAGTGAGTATTCTTTTTGAAGTGCCACTATTGGTAGATTCAAATTAGGGTCCAAGTTTTTTAGAAGGTACTTATTTTTCTCTAGGTGTTCTCTTGTGAACATGCCATCTAATTGTTTTATTAAATCAGTCATTAAAAATTTAATGAATAAATAAAATATAAAAAATACTACGCAATGTCCTTCTTAAACTTAAACTTTAAGATTAGAATATAAATACACCCTTTAATCGTTTCTAAAACTAATAAAAAACTAAATTTTTATTAATGACTAATTAATTATAGAAGTAATATATTGTTAATAATTTATTATTATTAAATTAATATATTTATAATAATAACAAATGGTATATTTTATTAATCACAATATATTTATTAATATTTTACCCTATCAATATCGTTAGATATGTATTAATTTTCATAAAACTTAATAAATAGTTGATAAGTTTCATTTTTCAATAAAATTATTGTAGAAAATTAATAATTTGTTTAATAATTGTATTATCATCCAATAAGTACTAAAGATAACTAAGAATAATTATTAAAAAATAGAATTTGAAAGAATAAAACTTTGTAAAATCTTTAATCTTTTTATAATTAATATGTGGGATTCTTTAATATAACAAATTCAAACACTTTTAATATATTATCAATGTATATTTTGATCATCTATTTAAGATCTAAATTTATAAAACATTAAATTATTTATAAATAATATATAAGTTGAGGGTTCAAATCTTGAGGCTTTATCTGTAATTCTTAAATTGTCTTTCATAAATTTTAATATTTTAAAGGCATTTCCTATAAATTTTAGTCATTCAATACAGAATATATAAGATAATTACAAAGTTGATCTTTACATGAGCTTTAATGAATATATTAAATCACCTAAAAATAGAAAAAATTGAGACTTCATTATTAATTTGTATTTATAATGATTATTAATAAAATGTATAACAATAATGAATTAGAAAAATTGGTTATTAAGGGAAGTACAAGATTTCAGGAAGTAAATTTTAATTAGCCAAGACTCTTTTAACCAAAGTTGAATATTATCAAATTAAAAGGATTTCAATAAATAGTAGATTTAATAAAGCAATAAGAATCTTTTTCGAAACATAATTAGATTCCTTAAAATAATACTTAGAAAAATCTGCCTTCTATTTTGGTTTACCCTCCTAAAGCTGAATTAATTACAACTTCAAAGAAAGAAATATCTATTAGAAAATATAGTGAAACAAGGGTTTATGGCAGAAAAAGCTTTACTGAAACTGCTGAGCCTCATTCCCTTGAACGAAGAAGAATAGATACAAAACGAAATAAATTCGCAATCAAAAAGGCTCTTCCAAATAAATAAGAAGAATAAAATATGTTTGAAAATCCTAATGATTTTGCTACAATCGTAAGTTACTCAAATTTATTAATGATAATTCCTTAAGAGAAAATAGTATATAAAGCATTCATAACAAAAGGAAATAATGGTTAACTTGTTAGACAATTAATAAAGTCTAGATCTTGGTGGATATTAATTGATAGTCCTTAAAATGATATGAATCTTTATTGGACATAACTTAGAAAACAAGGATTTTATAAGGATCTAATAACTATTACTGGGAATTAATCTACATTTACTAAAGCATAAAAAAAATAAGTTTATGATAAATTTAAGCTAAAATTAGAAGAAGAAAAGTATAGTAATTTCGTTTCGAGTAATATCTTAAGAGTACATAATCATTTAGAAGGCAATTTCTAAATCTCAAATAAGAAAGCATTGTATTATAATATGAAATCATATTATGAGTCAATAGGATAAGATCCATTTAAATTTATACCATTAACATTTCATATTTAAGATGGTATAAAGGATCCTGTCTATTAGTAATTTGAAGAATATGCAAGAAGGAATAATATAAATGTGTGGATAATAAAACCAGGAGAATAATCTAATAGAGGAAATGGAATAGAAGTAGCCAATTCTATTTCATAAGTCAAAAGGTTAGTTTCTTATAGGGAAATACATTCAAATGGTGTAAAGAAGACTTTTATTGTTCAATAATATATAAATAAACCATTATTATACAACAAAAGGAAATTCGATATAAGATGTTTTATGTTAATAACATGTATAAATCACCAATTCAAAGCTTATTGGTATTAGGAAGGATATATAAGAACTAGTTGTAAAGAGTTCAATTTAGATGATACAGATTGTAAATATACCCATTTGACTAATGATGCTGTTCAAAAATACAGTAAAAATTATGGGAAATATGAAACAGGAAATAAAGTAATCATTAATTATTAAAAATAAGGTTTCTTTTAATGATTTTACTAAGTATGTATAGGAAATCTATAATTTAAATTTTAATAATACGATAGAACAATTAAAGAGTTTATGTACTGATATTGTCAAAGCATCTTATTAACATTTAGATCCAAATCGCCATTTCTATACTTTTGAGTTATTTGGATTAGATTTTATGATTGATAGTGATTTTAAACCATGGCTTATAGAAGTGAATACAAATCCATGTCTTGAAACATGTTGTCCTCTACTTACTAGATTAATAAATCATTTAGTTGAAAATACTATTAGAATTGCTATCGATCCTATGTATCCTCCTCCAAGCAAGAAAAAACCATTACCTGAATTCAAAAACAATTTTGAACTTATTTTTAGTACTCCTTTAAAAGAATAATGTGGAAAATTACCAGAAATTTAATAAGATGATGACGATCTTGATGTAGATGATGATAATTGAATTAATATATATTTATTTTTCATTCTTATTCCATACTCATTTTACTAAATTAAGAGTGTAATAATAGATCTTAATTAATTATATCACTGTCTGTTCTCAGATATTAAGTACCTGATTATTTCTTCTGTATTGTTTATTATTCTCCTTGTTCTTCTAATAAATCTTAAAGTGGTAGTTAAACTTCTTGGAATATATTGGATCCTGAGTGAACATTCTCGATTCCATAAAGTTATTTCTATTCTAGACTCATCTAATGTGAAAATTACAAAAAGTCTCCATTAGAATTTAGAGAATCTATGTAATTTATCATATTTTCATATACCTCCTTTACCAAGTCCATTATATGAAGTTTACATGTAATGGTTAAGTTATTATAAATTGTTTATTGAGTTTTCTTACTCAAACTAACTCTGTATAGTATCTAATTTTCTATCTTCATTTTATATTTATTCTCTTAAATAATCTTTTCCTGTGAAATCAGACTTAGTATATTACTATTAAGGAGTAATCTCCTTACCATCTGAATCGGATTCCTTTGTTTAAATATTATAGAGTTTCTTTATATGAGAGTAAAACCGATTCTTAACTGAGTTTTCCTTTATTATTTGATTAAAAGATTACAGGTCTTCCTTTTAAGTTCTTTGATATTTCACTCCATCTAGGACCCAAACTTATATATAATTTATAGATTTCTTCATCTTCCTTCTCATCAAATGGATCATGATTGATTGTTTTATCTAATTTATTTATAAATCTTTCTCTTATCTATTTCCCACTTCTACCAGTCATTTCATTTTCAATTCTTTTCCAATTTTTTCCAAACTTTTATATCAAACGTAACACCTATCTATCTTCTTCTTCTGTCCATTGCTTTCTCATTTTTATCTTATTATAATTCCTAATATACTTACTCTATTTGGATTTATTCTTTTCCATCTTTATGAACATTATGATTAATTTCTTCCAGGTATTGCTTAGGCTACTAGTGTCCAATTTCCATTAAATTTTTCATAAAAGTCTTACAGCATCTCATCTTCCTCAGGTGTCCATATTTTTACAACTCTCTTCTTAATCATAGGTTCTGAGTCTGATGCATCTGACTCATAGTAATCAGAACTATATTTTCGAATGCTTTTTTTAGATATCTAACTCTATTAGCTATTGGCTCTATATTTACATTAAATATATATATATACCTAGTTCTTGTGTTTTAACTCATTTAAAATATAATAATAGTAAAAAATTAAAAAAATGTCATTTATCAAAAAAGTGCGCTACTCTATAGATGTTAAGAAATTATTTATTATTTATATGACTTTTTTTTAATTGTCATCATCAAATATTATATATTAATTCTTTATAAATTACAACTTATTCAGATTAAATTGTCAATTGAATTTATTTTGAAAAAGATGTTTCCTGCTTTAAGTAAAGGATTAAAGGGATGGAAGAGTTTTTTAAATAGGAGTATTATTTATTTTAACTCTCGTTGTTATATGATATTGATTTACAAAATAATTTTTCTGTGTAGGAAGATATTACTTTAATACAACTGGTTTAGGAGTCATTCTCTTTTTGAAATCTATCTTTAATTCAACTAAAGGCGGTTCTACTAATACAGGTGTTTAATTATATTGAATCTGATTCTCCATCTAAGTTGACAAACTTGAAATATGAAATTTTTTGGTTTATAATTATTGTATTTTATGCATTCTAATTAAAGATTGCTACCTGATTTAATTTCTTGTATTGTATTTCATTATTCTCAATTCTGAATTAATTTGATGCTAGGGTCTTATCTAAAATGTATTTGACCGTTTCTCAAACTCACTTTATTGGCCACAATTAGAACAAAGACAACTTTTTCTTCTGACTGTATTTATTACTCTTTGTACTCTTGCTTCAATTTATTAGTCTTCACCATATATTTATCTATTATATGATATTATTTTTTTATTTTTCTCTTATTTTAAGATATCTATTTTACTTAAAAGACTGATTGATCTCTAATCTCTTAAATAAATTGGTTGGTTTACCTTTAATCATTGAAATGTGAATTTCTTTTGTGTGATGAGTATTTTGGATATAAATTTGTTTCGGTTTCTTGTACATACCTAAACTCATGATTGAATTAGAGAAATCAATCGATAATTTTTCATTTTCATAACATTCAGGTTTTTTTTGTTTTAAAATCAAATCAAGCAGTGAATCCTTAATTCACAATTTTATTGTACTTTTTAATATGAATCATCCTGAGAATTACTTGAATCCATTAATTAATATAATTTTCAATTTTGTTATTTACATTTATATGAGTGATATATTAATTTTCTTACTGAGTCAGTTTTAAAATATAGATTTTAGATTTATTTATTGTTGTTAGCACTTATAAAAGTTTTTAAAGTTGAAATTAATAAATTGATATAAGAATTATTAATTAATGCTATAATTTATTTAGATTCTATTTAATATTGTATGGTATTATATCATTTATTTTGAATATCTTAATTTTTGTAGACATTGTTGAATCTCCAATTATGATAATAATGAGCAGGAGAATAGTCTGAATATACATGATTGGGATCCTTCTTAGAATAAATGATAGAAGGAACAAATTCCTTTCCAACTTCAGTTCTGTCTTTAAGTAAAAGATGAACACCATCATACATAGATAAGAATCTCAAATTAATATTTATATTTACTTAGTGAATCGACTTGCAAAAACAAATGATTAATCCTTAAATTCATAAATCCAATGATCTTAATAAAATTATTAATAAAATACTTAAAGTGTTATTATCTCCTTAAACAGAATGAACATCATGTCCAAAACCTCTCACTTATGGGCATACCTTCAACATTGGTAAAGTATTGGTTCCTAAATGAACCCATCTTGAAAATTCAGGGAATGCAAAATGAGCTCTGCCTGTAAAAAGTCCTGCTTTGACCGGCCAGAAAGCAAGAGAATCAGCTTTATTAAATGAAATATTGTCATTTAAGAATTTAAGAGCAAACTTCCAATCCCATTATCCTGATGGTAATTTAATTAGATTATCACTAAAAATAGATCTCCATTTAACACACTATAAAGGAATATTTAAATAATTTAACCTCTATATTTTCTTTGAGAAATGCCTCAATTTATGATTTGGTCATTTCTTTAGTATTAATTTATGATAATTTCTTAATAAAGCCTCTAAATTCTGTAAATGCCTCATGAAATCTTTAATCCATAGGTGTATAATCAATGCAAAACACACCTGTTGTTCTTTCAGGATGATAACATCCAGCAGCTAAAGCAACCTTTGCTCCAAATCCATGTCCAGCCAAAGTTGCCATAGTAATTTTGTTATAATACATGTATCTAACAACATCATTGGCTAGATCTTCAACATCAAAAGAGTAATGTTTATCTGATGTACCAAAATTTCTTGGACTCAAAATATGCACATTTCTATAATCAAGAATCTATCAAATTCACAACTTTTCTACCTTATTGGCTGGGTCACTGAAGAAAGGGATCCAATTTTCAACAGGATCACATGCTTCAGGAAAGAAGATCAAATTTGGTAAATCATTATATCTGCCTTTGAGAGTGACACCTCTTAGAGCTACATTCTAGGAAACATTCTAATACTCACTAACTCCTTTGTGGAATTAGAGTGTACTGAATTTCCAAAGTTATCGAAATCTGTACATAGATATTTTAATTAATTAATTTATTCATATACTATCATAGCCACCATGTCTAAATCTCTAGACCTGAGTTTACAACCTATCTACACCAAAATGAAAAAGTGCTCTAACTTTAGGAATAAAAGTTTTGATTTTATGAATATGAGGGATAGCTTCTTCTCCCTCTATTTACAATTTCTTACGATTATATAGGAATCTGCCCCCAAAATATAAAAAAATAATGAAAATGAATTTAAGAAACCAATGTGAACCTAATTATTGATAAAGAATAGATACTTGCATTTCTACAGGCAACATGATGTCTAATTTTGAATTGATCTATGCATTCATTATCTGGTAATACTGTGAATGTAGTATCATCATCTCCACATTCAATAAAAAAATGAGCTTATCTTGGTTACATAACTCCAGTAGGTTATTTTGGATCCATACATAAGTCTCCTTAAGTATACTTTACAACTAATCCTTTATTTAAATCTCTTTAATCCAAATGTTCGAATGTTTAAGTTTCTACTAATCCAGCAACATCACAATTCTCTGTTATTTATCCCATCACTGCCAATGCTTCAATAGCTCCCACCTATCTATCATGACATCTTATTGATTTAAAATCACAAAAATTGAATATGTACACCATACTAAACATTCCCATCCCACTTGTTTCATCTTTCAATTGCCATCCACCATCTTTATCTAAAGACTTTAAATTATATGTGTATCCTGAATCATCTGTCCAAGTACATTATTGAGAATAAGCAATTCCTATCAAAAGTAACAGCATAATTATTGTCAAATTAGGACACATATGTTAATTTATTTTATTATATATTATATTTATGAATGTATCAATAAGCTCTTATTGATTGCTATTGCATTTTAGCCTTTAAATCTTAATTTTCACCTTCTAATTCTTAAATATGTTTGTCAAAATTATCTAAATCATCATTCAATTATCCAATTATATCTTCTTGTTCTTTTAATTTACCTTCAGCTACTTAATATTTGTATTTTAAGGCTTCAATTTAAGTGGCTAACATAGCTATCTTACCTTCATTATCATACTAAATTTATTAATTAATTTATTACCTTAATCTATTCCAATTATTCAATTTATTATTATAATTGTCCAATCTTTTCTTTCAATTATTAATTCTCATGATCTCTCTATTATAATTCATTCTCTAATTATTATTAATTAATTAATTGTTCATTTAATAAATTCAATTAGTTTTAAAGATCATTTACACTATATTGATAATCAAAATTTACCTAGCTTTAGCTTAATTCAATTCATCTGACTTTGCTGTTAATGTTTAATGAAGAGTTGAGTTTTCTTTCTCTAAATTTTACACCTTTTCTTCAGCTTAATTTAAGGCATTATCTAAATTTTATAATTCCTATTATAAATGTTCATAATCTTATAATTTTTCTTCTAAATCCTTTATTGTATTTTAAGCTCCATTATATTTTAGTTTAGCTCTCTCTATTTCTGGTCCAAGCAAAGCTACTTTATTTTACAATCCATAAACTTCATTATTCAATTTATTTATTTCATCATCTTTCTTCATTAAATCCAATTAATCTTGATCTGCTTTTTTCTTCATTTCTTAAATTTATTCTGATAATCTTGTATTTTCTGGATCTAATGGTTCAAGTTATGCAACAACATTTGATAACTATTTAAATTATTGTTTAATAATACATCTGTGTTTTAATTTGTTAATTCATCTATTTTTTCTTATTTATTTTTATTTAAATGTTTTTATCTCTCAATTTCTGCTGCCAACATAGCTATTCTCATATCTAAATTCTCTTTTTCTTTTGTCACTTTATCCAATTATAAAGTTGTCTTATCTAAATCTTCCTTTGTCATCCTCAAATCTTAAGCTCTAAAATATAATTTTTAATAATAATACTTTTCAGCATAATTTGTCTATAATTTTTAATAATCCTTTTCCATTACTTCATATGCTTCTATTTTACTTTCTAACTCTTTAACTTTAGTTTAAGTTTCTCCTAATTTTTTGGATAATTATTTGTTTTCACTTTATAATCTATTGACCAATTATTATAAATCATTAACTTAAGTTTGTAATGGTTCAATTTATGCTACTAATTATTCTAATTCTGCAATTTTCTATTTCAAATCTGCAATTTAATGTTGTAAATCTTCTTCCATTATTTATTTCTCTAAAGTAATTGCTTTCAATTATTTTGTTAATTTATTGAAATTATCTGTTAATTCATCATTTATTAATCTCATTTATATAGCTTCTGCTTTATAAACTTATAATGTTTTAACCTCATTATCTTTTTATAAATATTTAGCCTTCCATTACTCTAATTCTTCTTTTAATTAAACAATCTCATTTTTCAAAGACTCATTTTCTTATCTTACTTATGTAAGTTTTGTATCCAAAGTAAGGTTGAAACCGATTGCTTCTTTTAATTCTTATTCTAATATTCTATCTTTTATTATTTTTCCTTCCAATTCCTTTATTAATTTCTCTAATTATTCAATTTTATTTCTTAATTGATCTAATTCTTTAACAGATTTCTTTAATTCATCAGCAGTCTTTTAATGTTATGATTATTCATTTAAAAATGCTTATTCCAATTTTGTAGATTAGAGTCTTTAATCATTTAATTATTAGACTACTAAAGAATAATTAGATTCCAATTATTATAAATTTGATTTTACTTAGAATAAGGTTCTAATTTATAATTCTTATTAGCTTAATTACTCATTTTAAAGATTAATTTAATCATTATAATCTAAATTTTATTTTGACAATTTATCTACTTGATTTTATAATCTATTAGCTTTTTATTCTAATTGAGGAATTAATTCTTATAAATGATTAAGTTCATTAATCTTTTATTCTAAAGTCTTATTTTTTCTTTTAAGTTCTTCAATTTCTTTTAATAAATTTTATTTTTCTAATCTCAATCTTTCTACTTCATTCTTATAGATTTAGAATTATTGATCTGTTCTTAATAATTTCTTCTCTAAATCAGAAACTTATTACATATATGTAGGTAATTATATATTAAGTTCTGTAATTTCTTTGCTCTTTAATGAATTCTCTGCTTTTAATTTTTCAATTATTATTTCATATTATTTATTTTAATCTTCAAATAAATTTGTTTCTTGAATCTTAATTTATAATGATCTAATTTCACTTTGTAATTTGCTTATTTAATCTTAATAATTTGTGTTTAAATCAGCCAATTAATTCTTTTGGATTGTTATATCATTTAATTTTCTTTCAAGACCTTTCAAATCAGCTAATTAACGATCATTTTCTAAATATTTTTCTTTATATTAATCAGCTAATTTTTAAATAGCTTTGATTTCTTCTTATTTACGTAGAATTTCTTCTCTCAATTCTTAAAGTTACATATGATGATCATTTTTTATAGAATTATTTTAATCTTATAAACTTTGTACAGTTTTCTTAAGATTGAGTAATTCAGATTCCAATTCTTTGATTCTATCTTATAATTTTGCATTTAATACTATCTAATTATCTAATTCTTATTATTTATTTTATAATTAATTATTAAGTGAATCAATTTATTATTCAGCTTTTGCTAATTTCAATTTCAAATCTTCTATTTACTATGATTTTTAATTTAAAAGAGTATTATTTCTTTATAATTCAATATTAATTTAATTATCTCTTAAATTATTAACATTCTTTTATTATTAAATATTTTAGAATTATTATTATAATTATTAATTTCTTGAACTTAAATCTGAATTAATTTTAAGTGTTTATTCATATTTTTATTATAAAACTTTCAATTAACTTTATAATTCTCCTAATCCATCAACTTATGATTATAATTGTTAATTTTCTGCTTCTAATTAAGCTAATTATAAATTAAGTTGATCATTTAATGATTTATAAGTTTCGCATTATTAGAAAATCTTCAAATATTCTGTTTCTTTAGATATCAATTCTTTTAATCTTTATTCCAATTCAAAGTTTTTAACAGTCAAATCTTTAATTTACTTTCTTAATTCTGCAATGTCTCTGTCTTTCATATCCAATTAAGACTTAGCTCTATTTAAATCCAATTCAAGTATTCTTAATTATTGTAATTTCTCTTATAAATTTTATAATTCTTTTTCAACATTAGTTAATTATTCACTCTTTAATTTAAGTTCTTTATCTAATGATGACAATTCTGATAATAAACTTTATTTTTCAATTTATAATTCATTGATTTCCAAAACCTATTATCTCAAAGTATTATTATCATTTTCAACAAATTTTAATTTATTATTAAGTTTATCATATGCTTACTACTTATTTTCAAGTGTTCTATTTAATTAATCAATTTAATAATTCAATACACCATTCTACTTTTACAAATCCTAATTTTAACCTCTAATCTAATCTAATTACTTTTTCAACTTCTCACCCTCAAGAATCTATTTTCCTTATTCATCATTTTTTCTTTTTAATTCATCAATTACTCTTTGTTTCTCTTATATTTATTGTTTCAACCCTTATAATTCTTTGATATGATCTTCAGCTTATTAAAGACTAATTATATATTATTTATTACTTTGTCTTTAATCTTTCTATTTCTTATTATTTTGATGCTAATTATTGATTTAATCTTTCAATCTCTCTAACTAATAATTTATTATTATTATCTTAATCAGTTACTTGAACCTAAAGATCAAATACTTATAATTCTAATGCTAATGCCTTTTTTCTCCATTAATCTAAATCATTTAATATTTAATTAATTTAATCTCTTAATTTCTTATTCTCATCCTCTAACAAATCCATAGTTGATAATTGACCTCTCTTAACTGTATCCAAATTTAATTGATTCATTCTTTCCAATAATTCTCTTAATTCTTATAATAATCTGTTTCTATCTTCTTCAGACAACTTGAATTTATCTTTCCACATAGCCAATTCATTTTCTAAATTCTTAATCTTACTTTATAATTCAAAGTTTTCAATTTCTTATTTTCTTGCATCAATCAATAATTCCTCCAATCCTTATAGTTTTCCTCTTAACTGAAAATTCAAATAAATATTACCTCTAAATTTTCATCTTGTTTTTTCTTAAGTAACTCTTAAAGAGCATTATGTTCATGTTGATTTAATTCAAGTTAATAAATTTTATTATCTCTTTACGCAATTGCTAAGTCTTTTTATTCGTTTTCATTAATAAGTTGTTTAATTAATGCTAACAACTTCCCATTTTCATCTGACAGTATCTTTAGTCTCATCTCATACATTCCAGTCTAAAATGTTTATTTTCATTAAATACTAGCTCTTCCAATCCTGTGCCGCCGCTTGTAATTTGAAGAGCAAAGAATCTTGCTTTCCATTACTCTACTTCTATTTACAGTTAATTAACCTTATCCAAGTCAGACCCATCTCCATCTTACTTAATGATAATGGCTAACAATTATCTTAATAATCATTACTTTATTATGGTCTAACAAGTGTAGGTACTACCCTTGATGTTATCATAGGCTATATGGCTCCATTAGGCATTTAAAAGTACTCTAACTGATTTACTACAGCTGATTATGTCATAGCAACAGGAGGCTAATGGATTAAGAACATTGTTTACTGAATTAATTACTCTTACGCTTGACCCTCCTGCATTAGATCTCTTCATCTTGTCATTAGGAATGATAATGTGACTTTCAGAATTGACTCTTGATTGTTAATTTCCTGGTTAAGGTGATAAAAATCTCCCTCGATTAGGTGTTTATTATTCACTCATTTAGATTAAATTAATATCTTTGCAATAATTTTTATATCAATATATATATATATACATATAAAAATAATTAATTGTACTTCAAGACTCTTAAGGATTGATTACTCTATCAAATTCATTTATTTAATACATTGTAAATTTCTAATTAAATCTTAATCATTAATTATAAGGATTTAATTTATATTCCATTATTTAAAGTCATTGAGACTTGTTAAATTTTATTTAGTAAATAAAAATTATGTCTTAAGAAAATATTAGTTAAAAAAATCAATTTGAGCTTGCCAAGCATGCTAATGCTGTTAAAAGATTTGAGAATCTTGAGAAGCTTAAGTTAATTGATCGTTTAGAAACCATATAGAAAATAAAAAAATCTAATGATAGATTAGAAATGAAGAAATTTATGTTTCAATTACAACAAAGAATGTTTGATACACCTGATTAGTTTTCAATTATTAAATTTTCAATAGGTCTAAAGCCAATTTTAGGGAGTATGCCTAAAGAAGTGTAGAAAAATTGAAGCGTGATTCAAAACTTTCTCGTTCTCCAGATTCACGCCAGACAACAGCAGCTGAGAAATAAATAGAAATAAAAGAGATTGAAGTTAAACCATTTAAAGTATGATAGTTTAAATTAGTTACATATGATTATAATTATCAATATAAATATTCTTTTAATTTAATAAAATAATAATGTGATGAATTCTTATTATTAAATATTAATAAACAAAAATAATATTTTAAACACTATTTATTTTATTATCAATTTTAGTATTTAGATCTTAAAAGTAATATATAGTTATCTTGCCAATAAAATACAGATAATAATCATTTCAATTAAAATGAATTTTAATTATTTTGTAGATATTTTTGAATATTTTCTATGATTGATCATGTAAAATAATACAAAGATTATATGCAATAATTATTCAGCTTTAAGTCTTCATAAATATGATCTTAAGAAAATCTTTTTTTTCAAAACATCTGCTTTTCTATTAATACTATTTTTAGGACTCAAAGCTACATCAAAATGAACACTTTTTATTGATTTTTAAACATCCGATACTTATTAAAAATATGATGATTTATTATTTATAAGTTCTTTTTTTTTCAAAATACTTTTAATTCCAATGCTTTAAAACGAAGTAGATAACTTTGTAGTTAAAGATCTTGTTTTTTTAGAAGGTTTTTATTGGTTTTTACTCTTCAAGTAATAGGAAGTTAAATTTTCTTTTGAAATAATCTAAATATCAACACTAGGTGAATAGGATTTAGACTTTCGTTAACTTTTTGTGATTAAGCGGTCATATTGTTCCATGACTAAAAATAATGCAAAGTCATCTTCTTCTTAAAGAGGCAGAATTTATTCTAAAGGAATTGGTTTTTTGAGATCTGCCACTAAAATTTGATGATTGATGCTTCTATGTTCCATTTTTAGCTTCATTTCTTAAATAGGGTCTTAAGGATTTTTGCAACAGCAAGGTTATGAACCCATACCTTTCACTAAATTCTCTTTTATTTTTAATTAGGTTCTTAAAAACTTCTGATTAACAATAAAGTTTGTCAAGAATCTTTCAGAATTTCTTTATTTTCTTAAATTGTAAAAAGAAGCATAATATGATTGATTATATGAAGCATTATTTTCAATATTACAAATAAACTTGTCATTTTACTGCTTCAAATATTGTTATTACTAATCTACAAGATCATTTCTGGAAAGAATAAATATCTCAAATAACAATAAAATTATTTGTGGTTTAAGTTGATGATCCTCTTTATTTTATGGTTAAATAGAATTCTATAAAATGAAATTTAACCAATATTATTAATTGATGACAATTTTATTATTCCAAATCTATATTCTATTAGAAATCAACAAGAGTAAATCTGAAATAGCTCTTTAAATATTGCACTTAAGTTTCTTAGAAAATTAAATAAATATTTTTGTTTAAAAATTAATACTTGTTTGTAATAATTAATATTACAAATACAATTAATTTAGAATAGTTAAAATATTAATGAATTGTTAATAGAATTGTTGAAACATTTGTAGTCATATTTCGTATTATTGTGTCTAAAATTTTACATTTTATTTAATTAATTTGCATTTTAAAATAATGCATATCATTAAAAATAAACTAAATGAATATTTGAGGTTATGATCAAATAATAATACATATTTATGATTAGAATGAAAATAAATTTATATACAAAAAACACAAGTAGTAAAATAACGAATCAAATATATGAAATTTTCTTATATCCATTATACTTTGACAATAGCTTATTCTTCTATAACTCTTTTATTGAAAACCTAACTCTTTTTTGTTATGTAAAATTTCTTTTTTCTTGATCCTAAAGTATTTCTCTATTTTTCAGAATACTCTTAGGTGGTATTTCTGGGAGAATATTGCGAATAAATACACTTTTTGATCTACTTTTAATTGCATCTGATTTATTAATGACATTTAAGTCAGTTATTTCATCTAGCTCTCTTTGAGATAGATTTTTTGTTTCTAACTTCTAGAATGACTCGACTATACTGATATTTGTTTCTACATCTTAATTCTATTTATCTTCATCTTAAGAGAGTTTTAATTTAAGCTCATCTAAAGTTTCCGTTATCACTGTACTCTAATCAAAAGTCATCTTAGAACTTTAATCCCTAAAGTATTCTCTTTTCAGTTTATGTAGTCGTACATCTGAAATTGATGAATCTTAATTTGATAAATTTTTTGCACATATCTATTATATTTGCCCCATTTATGTAATAATATATAAATATAAAGAAATTTATAAAAAGTAAAGAATATTTTATATGGTTTTCTCTTTCATAATTAATAAAAACTAGATATTAAATAAATTCTTATTCAAATATTATCATTCAGATTTTTAGAATTACATTATAAAATAAAAGGTAGAAAGGAAACTTTATTTTTTTAAAACCTTTTCTAGAACTGAGATTATTGAGTATTTGATCTATTTTTCAATATACTGCTAGGCTTATATGTTGAGTTTTATTATTTTAATCCATTATTAATAAGTTAAGTAGCACTTAAAGACCTATAATATTGTTATTTTTTCCTTCTCAAATGTTTTATATTCTTAAGAGATTCTTTATTAATTGAAAATTTATTATCTGCAGAGATTGAGCGACTTCTTTTATTGGATGAACAATAATAACCTGTACTTATGGACTTTCTATTAATTAACTCTTCATATGTTGCCATAATTTATAGTAAAGAAGTATCATCATCAGGATTGATTTGTACAACTTAATTAAAAAGTGGTTATTTAATATAAGTCATATGCATTTCATTATCATTTATCTTATTTTATTACACGTTTGATTAAGATTAAGGACAGCAAAAACAACTAGGATAGGATCCCATTTTTATAAAAGTTAATTATTTTAAAGAATATTCATTTTGGTCACTTGAATATAAGAGCAAAATATGAAAGAAATTCTTTAATATTTAGTATCATTATTAGATTCAAGAATACTTTTCTTTTTAAATTATCTCATTCTTTTCATTTGATGAAATACAACTCTTAAGATATAGAATAGTATATATTTGATCAAATTTCGTTACATAAAAGTCCATTTGCTTTTAAAAATATAATTTTAATAAATTTTATGCTTTCATCCTTTAATAATGATTAAAATACCAATATGATAATTAATTTAAGTGCAATTAATAAACAAAGAAAAAGTTAAAGTCTATTAATTTAAGTATTATTATAAATCTATTAAGTTTAATAATTTTGTATTTGTCTATCCAGTATGGATTTATATAAATATGTAAAGGATGAAGAGAATATATTTTTAATTCTTATCTTTATTATTATTTAAGTCAAATATATTATTTTTACTTCAATTACTTTAAGTTGCTGATCAATATATTAATTGTATCATTTCGTTATTATATATAATCCATAAATGTATTCAAATGGTTTTTATGGCAATATAAAATCTTTAGATATGAATATTTTTTTATCTAGATTCAAATGCTTTTGAGAAATTTATGTTATATGAAATACTAAAGTCATAATCAGCCTCCTTATTGAATTTTAATATTTGCGAATAATAAAAAAGAGAGTTATTTTTATTGAAAGCATCATATGTAATAAGTATTTCATTAATATAAGAATAATAATAATAATTTAATATGTAGGGATTAAACAATTAAAACTACAACCCAGGAGGCAGACCAAAAACCTTAATTTGTTATATTTGCGGAAGAGAGTATTAAAAATTATTAAAATAGATATGGGACAAAAAGTTTAGAGATTCATCTTAAGACTTGCCAGGAGAAGTTTCTTATGGAGGAAGCGAAAGTATTGTTTTCAATATTTCTTCAATAGAAACCAAAAAATTAAAGGAGACCTTTACCATAACCTCCAAAAGCTATAGGTGGAAGTGGAAATTATGATACGGAATCGTATAATGAGCAAGCATTTAGTGCATATAAAGAATAGAGTCTTGAGAAATGCGCATATTGTGGAAGAACGTAAAAAAATATGAGTTATCACTAGTTTCAATAGAGAAAGTTATCCTATCCATTTAAAAATTTGTAAACCAGATAAACCATTTAAGCCTCTTCCTGGATTTGTTTAGAATCCAAAAGAAGTCCAGTAATAAATGAATAGGGATAATGGAGGAGCTTAATAAGGAAAATCAAATTCTAATGGCTATTCAGGAGAATATAAGGCTCCTGTTAGACCAAAGACTTTGGTATGCTACATATGTGGGAGAGAATATGGTACTAAATCTTTGGGAATTCATATACCTTAATGCAAAGAAATGTTTATTGTGTAGGAAATGAAGAAACCAAAGGCAGAGAGAAGAAACCCTCCAACCACTCCAAGAGGCCTGTGGGATTTATTAAATAAAGAAGACATTACTATGGAAGACATTATTGCATATAATAATGGAGTAATTGATGTATATTAATAATTTACAGGCATTTAATAAATACAATAAAGAAGCCTTAGTTGCTTGTAAGAATTGTGGTAGAACATTCAAACCAGAAGCTCTGGAGCATCATGTAAAGGCTTGTACTGCTGATAACCCTTTCAAAGCTCTAGATGCTGTTGAAGAGGGAGGTACAGTTGAATTAGTCCCTTGTAAGAAATGTGGAAGGAAATTCTTACCATCAAGGGTTGAAAAACACGAAAGCAATTGTAAAGATATAAAGGGAGCATCATAAACATAAGCAAATGGATTTTAGAAATAATAATAATAATAATAATAATAATAATAATATTAACAAGAATAAAATTAAATCTTTGAAACTCCATAATAAAATCAAAAATAATAATCTAAGTAAGTTTAAAAATAATAAAGTTTTTCAAAAACTTCTGTTAATTTTAATGATAAAAGTTTGAAATGTAAATCTTTTTAAACCATTTTTAGGCTATAAATGTTTTTAAGATTGTAATAATGTATAAGATTTGAAACAACATGTGTAGAATTGTAAAAATTAAGGTATGAAACCTTAAATTTATGATGATTTAATATAAATACCAAATCCATCTTAAGCCTTATAAACTATTTATATGAGCTCAGTGTTTGAGAATTTTAAAAAAGATGACCATAAAAATTAAAACCTTAATGAATAACCAAAATAAATGCCCAAATAATAACCTTAACAGTAATAAAAATAATCAATATAAAATTAAAATAATTATTCTGATGAAGATCAATAAAATTAAGAAGATGAACTAGATTTAATTACATGTGAAAAATGTGAGAGAAGATTTGCATAAGACAGAATAAAAAAACATATGAAAGTTTGCAAAGGCAAATAATATTTTGAAAAAAAAGAACATATTGTTGAAGTTTAAAAGGCTCCTAAAACTGGATGGAGGAAATATCATGAAGAATTTATTAATACTGTAAAATATAACAGACAACTTAAAAAAATATAAGAGGAAGGAGGTGATATTAAATAATTGGGACCTCCTCCTGTATCTTCAAATAGCAATTATATTTAATGTCCTTACTGTAAAAGAAAATTTGATCCAAGTAAGGCTGATAAACATATTTCTATATGTTAAAATGTAGTAAATAAACCAAAAACTATCCAAGAAAAGAAATAAAATTAACAATTACCCGTATCTTAATAATAATAATAGTAATAAACTCAATAAAACTATTTGCAATAATAAAAAATTCAACATTCAAATTAATAACAACAAAATACATCTAATCCAACATATGGAAGGGTATTTTAATTGAATGATGAAAATCCATTATAATAATAATAATAATTGAAATCTTCTTAGACAAGATAATCAATTACTTCATAAAAAACTCCATAACCTCCTTCAAAAGCAACAAATCAATAATAGCAATTATTATCTCCACCCTAACCTAGTAATCAATTTAGAATAAGATCACCATAATCGACATAAAAAACATAATAAGTGAAATAATCATCAAATCCTACAAAAATTGAAAACAATATATTCCGACCTCCAACTTTTGGAAGAACCTAAGAATTAACTAAACCTAATTCTTAATTGTAATTAAAACCTTTAAGTTAAAATTAGAATATGTTTAAAAAATTTTGAATTCAAAGTCATTTTAATAATATATTTTTTTTATTTAAGAATTAAACTATTTTAATTTCTATACATGAGTATCAAATTAAAGATTCAATTTCAATTTAGAAATGATTTGAGATTTGATATCTTAAAGTATTGAAGATAGAGAGATATTATATATATTAATTAATGAGAATAAATAAAAATGAAATAGATAGTATTTCAAATAATAAAAATAAGCTTAATTAATAGTTCATTATTTTGTATTGTATGAACCACAATGGCTACATTTTAAATAGTAATTAGAAGAAATATCCCTTGAAATTTATCTACAATCCAAACATTTGATTGAAACTTTCTAATTTTAGATTTGAGCAGGTAATAATTATTTTACATCCTCGGCTAATTTATCATATTATTCAATTTCATTTATAGTCATTTTCTTTTAATATATGAAATAATTACAGCAATAGGAATACTACAAAGTGGACAATTTCTTTAATTGGATTAAATTAATTGGTTGAAGCATTTTGAATGAATAAAGTGTGCACAATTAGGTAATTACATTATATAATTTGTAGAAACCTTTAGATTTTGTAAACAAATAGGACAATCGTTATCGACTACTTGATTTAAACATTTATGTGAATTTTATATTGATTTGGATAAGCAGATACCACATACATTACAATGAAAATTTTGTTCTTTAACTCCCTAGAATAATAATAATAATTACTCTTCTGCACATCTTACATTAATCACAATGATACACATCTTTATTAGGATCATCATCATATAATTTACAAATAGAACAAAAATATTTAGCAAATTGTATTCCACATTATATACACTTATTAGTTGGTGGTTGTTCACATAAACATTTTCGACATCTGATTGTTGTAACATTATATCGATCCATGATTTCTGTTTTGCATCCATTAGAATTTGGCCCTTAATAATTAGCATCATGACAAAGCCTACAAGGGTAAAACTTACCACAACAAGGAGCTTTCTTATCGCAATTTCTTTAATAGTGTGGACAATTCGGTATAGGAGTTATAATCTTTTTTAAACAATTTAGTAAAAACATAATTTTTGGAATGACACATCATTATCTAATTATTTCTTATATTCATTTATACTGAGGTTTATATAATTAACAAATATATGTAATAGCAGAATCGATTGAAGAGAGCATTTTTACATCCTGATATATTTAGATAAACAACATAAAGATTTGGGGATTGGAGGAGCAGAATAATTAGTTGTAAATCTTGTATTAGCATTGCAGAAAAACCATTATGTTAAAATCTATACTCCACATCATGATCTTCATCATTCATTTACAGAAACAAATGGATAAAAATGAAAAAGTAGGATGTTATATTATACCAGCTAATTTTTTTGGTAATGATTTAAGTTATGAAAAGGAAATTTTACAGCAATATGTGCCTATTAAGAATGATATTAGCAACTTTGTGTAAATATTTTTTAGTCGTTCTTGGGATGCTATCATTATTGATTAAGTATCTATCTTTCTTCCTTTGTTTTGGTTATTAAGAAAAAGATCTATATTTTATTGTCATTTTCCTATAAATTATTATTTTTAGAGAGAAAATCATTTATTAAAAAAATTTATAGATTTTTCTAGGATTCATTGAATAAATTAGCATGCTATTTGCTAATTTAGTATTAGTAAAAAGTAAACTTACATGAGAAATAGTTATATAAGCATTCCCTTTTAATAATAAATATGGAAAATAACCATAAGTATTGTATTCAGCAATATCATTCTCTAAATTTGAATCATCTCCTTATTTAAATAGACATGATAGTACATTAATTAGAAATAGCTATTTCATATCTTTAAATAGATATGAAAGAAAGAAGAATATTGCTTTAGCTATTCATGTTTTTGCTTTTTTTTTTAGATAATCATTGAATTAGGATGAAAATATTCAAAATATAAGATTAGTAGTAGCACGAGGATATGAATAGAGGGTTGAAGAAAATGCGTAACCTTTGATAAATTAAATTAGAATTCTTAAAGATAAAATATTACTGAATATTTTACTTTTAAAAAAAACATTTCAAATTCTGAAAGAACATGGTTTATGTCAAATGCATTAGCCGTAATATATACCAGAAAGAGAACATTTTGGCATAGTTTCATTAGAAGCTATGTATAATGAAATTCCTGTGATTGCATGTAATTCTGGAGGTCCAAAAGTATTTATTTGATTAGAAATTAATAGGAATTAATTTAGAATGGAGTAACTGGATATTTGTGTGATTCTAAAATAAATGAATGGTGTCAGAAAATGATTGAGATCCCTTAAAATAAGAAAATGAATAAAAAATGGGAGAACGAGAAAGGGAAAGAGTAATTTAATTTTTTGGATTTGTATAATTTTAAATGACAATTGATATTTATGTAAAGATGGACTAAAAATAAAAATAAATATAAATATAATAATAAATATTAAAGGTTATTTTGGAATCATTTTATTATTATATTACATAAATATTTTGTAATACTTTAGAATTAAATCCAACTTATCATAAAATGCCATCATTTTTTTAAATAAAACATCTTTTGTTCTCCACACGCTAAACAACTACCATAGATTATCAGGTCATTTAATTAAACTAGCAAATATGCTTTTTGATAATACTTCTTAAGAGGTAAGCTTATCAAATTTAACTTATCTTAGGTTGTGATAATAGATAGCTCACCATATTATAATAGAAAGAATTACTCAATTATACTAGAATTGATCCATATGGTAATTCCTTTTTGATTTACAATACGAATGAACTTAAAAATAAGATAAATTAATGGAAATTACCTCTTCCTTGGATCACACCTTATTAAGCAATTAAGAGCAATCCTATTGAACCTTTATTATAAGATATCATAAATGGACTATATGGAACTTTTGATTGTGCATCAAAAGGAGTAACGTATAGATATTATCTTTTCAGGAAATCTAAATGGTAATTAAATATGGAGTTCCTGATTCGAAGCTTGTTTATAGTAATCCAGTTAAAGAGGAAAAAGACATATACTTTGCAAAAAATAAAGGAGTTTTAATAATAAGTGCTGATAGTATTGAGGAACTAATCAAGATCCAAAAGATAGCACCATAGATAAAGATATTATGGAGAATATCTATTGTTGAAGAGAACCCAGAATAAAAAGCTACTCTTTTTTCTGGTAAATTTGGAGATGACATGCTATATATAGATCCTGCTCATAAAAGATTTAAGTAAATTCAAAAAAATGAAAATTTAATTACATGGTATTCATTTTCATTGTGGTTGTGCTGTATAAGGATCATCCTCTTTTGGAAAAGTATTTTATTTTAATATATTTAGGGTATTGATTTGGCTTAATATTTTATGAGAATTGGAAGATTGTATGGACATAAGATGGAATTATTAGATTTAGGAGGTGGATTTCCTACTGGAAGTATTCATGGATATGCAATTAAGGCATTAAAAAAACACAAAATTATCCTTTAGGATATGAAGTAATTGCTGAAACAGGAAGATATTTTCGTGCTAATTCATGTTCACTTTTGTGTTTAGAATTTTGACTAAAAGAATTAAGCATGGTAGATTATGTTATCATGTTAATGAATCTTTGTATCATTTTTTAATTGTTTACTTATGGATGGAATATCATTTGAAAATTCAAAAGATCAATTTTATAGTGTTCTTAATTCTAATGAATCTTAAAATTCTTAAATTTCAAACTAATCTAATGTCTCAGTCTTTGGTATGAGATGTGATGGAGCTGATGTTATTGCTAAGAATATTACAGTTCCTACTGATATGTATGTAGGAGATTGGTTACGCATGTAAGGTATGAGAAGCTACACAGTTGGGCCTAAATCAGCATTCAATGGAATGAAATCAACTACTAGAGTATATTAACGGAGTGGCTTACTAGAATAGTAAAATTAATCATCACCTTCAATATCTATTAAATAACTTATCTATTATATTTATAAACAAGATGTATCTATTTAATTTAAAATGAATTTGATATGATTATCTTGTAAATCTTATTGGATTCTGAAATCTTTATCAAATTATTTATATGATTATGATATTAAATTCAATTAATTTGATAGACTTAAACTTAATTTTACTGGAAAGGAAACTTAAAAATCGGATTAATAATACAGAACTAAATTTATATACTATTCAAAAAAGGTTATATTTGAGATTATAATATGGTAATTTCAAGTAAATTATATTCATTTCTTCATTAAAATTTACATAGCCTTTTGAATCTCCATAATAGCATCCAATTATGGAGCAACATATTTCTATTTATAATTTTCACCGGGTTTTCTTTCAAATTTAGTTTCATTGAATTTAGGCCTCAGTTAATCTTCATTTGAAACTAAAATTATTTAAATAGTAAACTTTAATTTGTTCTCTTATATAATTCTTTTATTTATTTTTGCTGATTTATTTATCCAACATTATTTGTTTGTTATTATAATTTTGATTTTTTAAATTCTATGAAATCTTAATATTCATTTTCATCAATTATTTTTTGTTATTTTTTTGCTGCCTCTTTAAAATGAATAAATTCTAAGTATTCTTAATCAATTTATTAATCATCATTTTTAAATAAAATTAGTTTATTTTCTTCCTTCTGACCATTCTATTTAGGTATTGGAGGTCTAGAAGGTCTTTACTAATGTTAATAATTATTATTAACATTATCTTCGTATTATTTTGGGTAATTCTATGATTAATAATAATCATATTCATCTTAAATTGGTTATTAATAATGATATTGATTTGGCTATTAAAATACTTATTACTGTTAAGGTACATATAGATTTGGAGATGGACTATATTATTATTATTAATATTTAATTGGATATTAAGGCATATGTGAATTTGGAATGACATTTTATTCCTTAAATGAATTTCTTCTTCTCTAATCGTTTTATTATTATTGATATGGATTTGGAATATTTTCATCATATGATCTTTTCCTTTAATATTATGGTGGAGGAGGAGGAGGCATTTAATAATTATTTTGTTAATGATGAAAATTTTCTTATTGATAAAAATGAGTATTATATTATTGTTATGACGGAGGATAATTGTCATAAAAACTTTACATAGGTATTTTTGGATTTTATAACATTTTAAGTGCAAAGTTAGCATTATCTATTTAATTTTGATGCCTCTATAGTCTATCATAATCGTTAACTTATGGTTAGTAAGGGATTGGAATATTATTTTAATAATAATATTCTAAAGGATTATGATTATTATATTATTATTATTAACCTCTTTCTAATTATGCATATGTTGAAAAAGCATTATACTTTCTAAATTCATTAAATTCATCCTTAGGTGGTTGTTATTCTTATTCTTCTACTTCTTCTTGTTCTTCTTCTTCTTCCTCTTATTCACTCTCCAATTCTTAACTGTCTTCTTCACTCATTTATAATTCAAAATATAAAAAATTGATTAAATTAATAAATAAATGGAAACTCATGACAATTATAGAAGTTACCACAATAATAATTCAAGTTTCTTTGAACCTAAATATTTCTTAATGTCTATGATATTGTTGTTTGTCCTTTATTTTATTGTAAAAAATAGCAATAATAAGAGAGAGCCAATCAAAGTAATAATCTGATGTATTAATATAGGATAGAGTTTGGAGAAAGTTTGCATTTTCATATTAGGAAATGATGAATACATTTGATAGTACAGATAAGGAACTTCTAAAAAATACTTTTCATAATACAATCTTTAATACTAAGCCATCTCTTGTTATGAATGATGTTAGAAAACTCAATAAAAAAAATCTTAGCGTGTAATTTGATTTAAATAAAAATGTAACACATTTATTTCAATATAATGGATATTGAGAATAACTTAACTTATTGAGAATTTTATTAATTAAACACACACTTAATTTATACAATAAGTTTTTCATTAAAAGAATTTTTCTATATAATTAAAATTTAATCTCAGCCCTAATTGGTATTACGTATTTATTGGAATTCAAATAATTCTATACAATATTTTTATAGGTTTACTTCCAATAATATAAAAAGAAATATGTTTTTGATGACAATGAATTGGATTTAAAATGTTTAATAAATTTAATTAAAATAGATTATTATCAAATATCATATAAATTAAATTCAAACTAATATACTAGCATATTAAAATTTATCAATCAACTAATATAAAACTTAAGTGTAAATAAATATTTTAATTAGATTATTATTTATAATGTTATCTTAAAATTTTAATTATAAAATAATATTTAACTTAATTTACAATTCTAAAATATATTTTGTTATTCAATTTCATTAAGCGTATTAATTTGAATAGGATAAAAATGCCCAAAGGAGTTGTAATCGTTGAATTTTATGCAAATTAGATTAAGTCCTCCTTTTAAAAATGGTTGGTCTTATTCTCATATTCAATAATTGCGTATTACAATTTAAAATAGTTTAAGAATGGCTAATGTAATGTAATTGGTAAGTTACAGTCCAATTTGGGAATCAGCAGCAATATATTATGGAATACCACCATAAGATTTATAATGGATAGGAAATATGAATTATATCACCTTTTTTGTTTTGGCTCCTTTTTGTATAAAGCCATTATTAGTAAGATTGGATATTAGTATGCATTTGATAGGAGTCATAAGTGCCCTAGGGTATGATGGTTTTAAAATATAATTTGAAGGGCATGGATAATATGGATTGGAGGATAATCATATTTAATGACTATGATAGGTTTATTTATAATTGGAATTAGTGATGCTATGATATTAATAGTTCCAGTTTGTAATTAAATTGTAAATAATTAAGTTCTCTCTGAATAATGGTTTTCTATATATATTAGAGATTGTTGGCTACTAGTCTAGGTAGTTTTTTTTAATATATTGGAATGGCATTTGCTTATGGATTTTCTTCATTTTATTTTGATATAACAGATGAACAGAGTATTGTAAATACAAAAATAAATGAAATGAATTTGATGATTGCCATCTTTAATACAGTTGGAGCAGTTCTCTTTTTTATGTTTTTCAGAAATAGACCTCCTCATCCAGCTTCAAATTCAGATGTATCATATCTATAAATATATATATAAAGAATATAGTAAAAGATACAATTTGGAAATCTACTGTGAAAATGTTAACAAAAGAAGAATCAGTAATTGATTTATTATCTTTAGGAATTTGTAAATTTATTAAATTATTAAAAGTTATTGAATTAGGTTGGGTGTAAACAACTATTATATCTTTTGAATTGTATCCTTTTGGTTATACACAAGTATTTGATTAAGTTATAAATTTTAGGCTGAAGTTGCAATCAATGGAACTGTTTATTAGATTTCTGGAGTGGCAGTTGGTTTATGGGCTTCGATCAAATTAGATTCATAAGCTAAATAGGGAATATAACCTGATTATGACAGATATATTAAGATATTTACAAGCATAGGAATGATCACATTGATTTTAGAAGCATTTATCATCGAATATTTAGAATTCTGGATGTTGCTTTTTGTTAATTTTGCCATGGGGATGTGGGTCTCAATTCTTTTTATCCTATAGCAATATAAGCTTATATTGAGAAACTATACCCTGCTTCTGAATTAGTATTGGTTACTGGATTATTGTGTTTAGTAAATGTATTTATTAAAATAATATTGAAAGATGGTTGGATTTGAATTGAATTACTTAATTGTTTTACCAGAATTTGAATAATTTGGATTATGGATAGGATGTTTGACAATTACTCCAGGATATTTATATATCTTGTTAAATTATAAGACAAAATATTGAAGATTTGAATAAGAAATTTGATAATATTAATTATTTATATATATACATTAATTGGTGTTCTTATGGAAAATAAAGCCATGCAATATTTGGGAATGGGCTTAAATGTTTTAATCTCTGTTTTTCTTGCTCTTACAGAATGTTTCATCTATGAACTCTCTGATTCGATTATAATGGATATTGTTTTAATTTTATGTGGCACTTTTTTCTCTTGGATTTTTATTACTCAACAATTAGGATGGAAAAAAGGTAAACTTTTCAATATTACCTTTAGGAGATATATCACCTTTTTTTTATTGGGCTTTGGCAATTAAAAGAATAACTCTGGTTGGAACATATAGAAGTGAATTCATATATTTCTTGTTTGGCTTTTTAAATGGAATCTATTCAAGTAAATTAGTTGTGAAAGATTAAAAGAGGTATTTTTAGAAGGCTAGAACTTCTTTTTAAGTTATATTGATATTAGTTTTAATATTATTCAATTTCTTAACAAATACCTTTCAGTATCAAATAATCTTAATAATATTTAATATAATTTTATTAGTTCTATTAGGAATATATGATAATATTGAAATTTAACCTATTAATTCAAAATAATAAGATTTTAATACTGATTAAAGGAACACATAAGCAGAATTGAAAAAGTGTTAAACAATTATTTAATAATATTAATCAAGCAAATCAATATGGGAATAATTTAATTATCTAACAGATGATTGGATTTGTAAAATTGATATAAACAAAAATAAATTTAATCGAAGTTGGGAAAGTAAAGAATAAAGTTTTGTTTTAAAGAATTTTTTATAAGAAAATAAAACTAATTTAAATTAATTTTTGAAAAGTTTAATAATTGTTGGATAATCCTCGAATGCATCCGTTTAATTATAATATGAATTATAAGAAAATAATACATTTTTTTAATGGTTAGAGAAGAATTATTTGTAAGAAAATCGGCAAAATTAATAAAATTTTGAAAAATAGAAATAATTTAAAGATAAATAAACTAATAAATAATAAGTTTAAGATGATTAATAATCAATTCTATCACCTTAGAATGATGGGAAATACATAATTTAAAAAGATCAATCTCAAGATTTTTCTGGATTATAAGCTACTCCTCTAAATATGGATTAATAAGTGTTTGCTAATAAATAATTCTTGCAATGTTAATTATGTCTTAATTAAATTATCTATAATTTAAATTTATCCATATTTTTAATTGATGATGATAAATCTAATGAATTGAAATAATAGTCAATTATTATTTAAATGAAAAATATTGATATGCTAATTAAAAGTGAAATTATAGATTAATAAAGAACTTTATTTTATAGATTTATTAGTCGATTGGCATTTCATTCAAGTTAAATGTTAAAATCAGTTTGTCTTATAAAAAAATCTATTTAATTATAATTAAAGTATATATCATAATTTATTTAAAGAGAATTTGATAGTATCAAGTCAAGTAATTTTAATTCTTTATCATTTAATGATATTGTATTAAGAAAATCAGAAAGACATATCGGAGGCCTTTTTAATGCCTAATAGACTTTTGCAAATCAAACTTCTGAATAGAATACAAATTAAAAAATCACTTCAACCCATAGTAATCCTCATGAAAGTTAGATTTTGAACATGTAACAATTATAAATTGCATATTTCTAACAATCTTAGGAAATATTTAAATAAATCGAAAAATTAAATTTCGATTTAATAATTATGAAATAAAACAATTTTAATTTCTTTGAATTATTTAGTCATACTAAATTAGATATTGAATAATTTAATATATTAAGTAGTTTTAATATTGTCAAAGATATTTTTTAATAAAATCCTCTCTTAAATCAACACAACATCATAATTACTTAGGAGATAAATCATGAAACTTAAGTAATAATTTAATCTGATAGATAAAAATTTAAATAAATTTTAATTAATATAATTAACAATTCAATAGAAAACTTTGAACATAATTTAAATATTAAACAATACTAAAATTATGAAAATTCATAAACTCAATAAAGATATTTAAATTCAAAATAGGATCTAAAACAATAAAATATGATAGTCATTAAAGCATAAAGTGATTAAGATAAGATTATAATAGAAATATAAGATAATGGTGGAGGTATAGATGAAGAATTGCTTAAAAATAGATTGAATGAATGTAAATTTGGTTTAGCAGCAAGTTAAAAGTTATTAAGATATTTGGCATATGATACTCGAAAACCCTTAGAAATTATTAATTATTAAAAAAGCACAACTGGAGTAAAAGGCACTATTATTAAATTTGCTCTACCAATAACATGTGATAATTTTTAATAAGTTGAAGATAGCAAACAATCAGAATCCCTAATAATTAGCAAAATAATAGATAAAGTTTGATCATAAATAATTGTATTATTCTTTTTTATTTTGATAATTCCACTAATATTTCAAAATTCAAAATACTTATTTTTTTTATAATTAAATTTACCAATCCCTTTTAGTTGCATTGTCTTATGAATTACTAATTAAACCTTGCAATTTAAATATTCATAGTATTAATTAATATAATGAATTATAATAGTTCTAAATATATTATTAAAAATAATATTCATTCATTTATTAATCCAAATCTATTGAATCCTTTATAATAATAATAATAATAATAATAATAATAATAATAATAATAATAATAATAATAATAATAAAAAAAAAAAATAATAATAATAATAAATATTAACAGATCAAAATCAATATATAATTTATAATCTTAATTAATTAATTCAAAAGCTAAATATCACAAATAGTTTCAATATTGGAGTGTTTAAAAGTTTTAAGAGGGTCTTTTTTCAATTCTAATTTTTGAAACCTCTAAATATTTAGGTAAAGAGAACTTTTTTCTTAATGAATTAAATTGTTTCTTATCCTGCCCTTATAAAAGATTACACATTTCTTTTGCGCATGTTCTGATATCTATTTCATTTAAGCCAGTTATTGAAACCATCTAGTCTAAACTCCAAGAAGGATGAATTCTTCTGATTTTATGAACTAAATAAATAGCTGCACTTGCTAATACATTATTTGAATATTGAATCATAGGATATTCTAATAATGAAAGTTCTATTAAGTATCTAAAAGTATTATTGAAATATACCTACAAAGCATAAAGTTTTTTTATTCTAGTTTTGCTGTTTCTTAATATATGTTTAACATTCTGTAGGTACTTGTAGATAAAAAATCAAAGGAAAGAAGAGAAATAATTTTACCCTCTGCTTATAGTATTTCTTCTTTAGGATATGCATTATCACATACATAAACTAAATCTCTTACATGAGGAACAGAGTATACTTCTTCGTATTTGGATGCTATAAATAATGCTGCCACTCCATAAAGTTAAAATTTAGATTTTGGTATCTGATGTAATTCAAGTACTCTCAAATTTAGGTAATAAATACCTATCAATTATTGATATTGTTAAAAATAATGTTTCTGGTTCTAATTTGAATTTATGATGTACATCTATTAACCAATCTAATAGAATACTGCGCATTTTTTCTGTAATTTCTGTTTAAAATTTGAAAGCGGTCATTTTAAAATTAGATTTACACTATAATTTAAAATATTAATTACGCTTCTTTCTCTCATAAATGTAACAATTTCATTTTTATATGTATTTACCATTTAAGGATTTTCTATTTTTTAGGGTAATTAAAATGTCTTATAAGTTAAAATTGTAGTGATTCCACTTGTAATACTCAAATTTCTTCCATTTTTTAAAGGCATAGGCATATTTGAATCTGTTTTTACTCTTTAAAATCCTTCTCTAATTCTATTGCTCTATTCTTCATTTAATTTCAATTGAGGTTATTGAGGAGGCATTATAGAATGAAATGAATTTGATGATTTTTCTCTTATGGCTAGAGATGATTATACTCTTTAATGTTTTGGCGCACAATAAAAATTTTCTTTTTAGTAGTCTGCAACACAAAAAAGTCTTGGAATTTAATGTGCTTTCATTTTGAATATAAATTATTTAACTGAAAAATTACTATTTATTTTAAAGAATAATATTCATTTGATTTTTTTTAAGTGAATTTATTTTTCTGAGGGTGAATCTTTTTAAAATAGAATAATTTTCTATGTTTTAAATATTTATAATTTGATAATTGAGCCATTCAAAATATATATTGCTTCTTTAATAAAATACATTTTTATTGATTTATTTCAATTTATGAATCTTCAGTATAGTTTCATAATCTGTTCAAAAACGACCCATAAATATAGAATATTTTATATTAAATAATAATAATCAATTATAATGATAGAATAAGTTAATATTATATAAATAAATAGACATTAAGATTTTCATACTTTTTGCTAATTTATTTTTATCATATTTATAATTTGTTTTATAAATAGATCATAATTTTTCGAATACATAATTGCTATTTACAATTGAATTTTAGATAATTTTAATATATTTAAGTGTATAACCTCTAAATTTTTTTGAGATAGTCTTAATCTCTAAAAGAATACAAACATCTTATTTAAATAGAATTTTTAAGTGTCATTTTGATTTAATTTATAATATGTATAATATAATTCTGATTTTCTGTATCTGAATCCAAAATGATGTTTAATTTTAGTTACGCAGATTTGATAATAGCCAAGCCAATAAATACAGTAAAAGAATGTTATATTTTATAGAGTTTCATGTATATATATTAATTAACAATATGCTACAAAAAATGAATAAAATTAATAAATTTTTGTTTATACATTAGTTTTTAATAGTTAATTAAAGATTTTTGTTTTAAAACGATTGTGATTAGATTTTGTTCTACAAATTAAGAATTCCCTCAAATTTAGATATTAATTTTATTTAATAAAGGAACAATAAAAGGATCTATATCATTATCTTAGTCGTGGCATTTTCTTTTCACATCGAGACTTAAACAAAATTTGAAATGCTTATGAAGCTGGCAAAAGATTCTATTTGTAAACAGGTAGAGGACCATCTGGAGAATCAAAGCATGTGGGTCATTTGATGCCATTCATATTTACTAAATATTTATTGGATGATTTTGATGTGCCTGTTGTTATTGAATTTTCAGATGATGAGAAGTTTTTCCATAAGAGTAAAACAACATTGGAAGAATAAAAAACGATATGGATATTAAATGCTAAAGACTTTATAGCATGTGGATTCGATATGAAAAAAACATTCACTTTCCTAAGTTCATAATATGTAGGATACATTTATCATAACATTTGTAAATTCCAACATGCCATAACTTATTAATAATTGAGAGGAATATTCGGTTTAAATGAATCTGATAATTGTTGCAAAGTATCTTATCCAAGCGTTTAAGCTGCTCCATCCTTGTCTTCATCATTTAAACATATCTAAGACAAGGATGAAGTTATGTTTTTAGTCACACAAGGTATAGATTACTTCAAGAATGACTATAGATTTATGTTATAAACTTAAGGTTCGTAAACCTGGTTGCATTCATTCCTAATTTCTACCATGACTTTAGGGGATGATTTGAATGTATTATTAAACAATACAAAAGCACTACAGATCCAACTTAAACTATATTTTTAAGATTTATTCCAAAAGAGATTGAAAAAAGTTAATAAATCATTAATTATTTTAGATAAAAAACATGTTTTGTCTGGGGATTGTAAGACTATAAAGGAACTTAAAGAAAAAGGTTCTGATCTTTCAATAGATGTCCCATATTATTATTCGAGATTCTTTCTCGAAGATGATATTCGTCTATAAGAAATCAGAGATCAATATGGAAAGAGTGTCATGATGACTTAAGATAGTAAAAGTTCACTAATGGAGCTCTTGTGAAAGATGATATCTTATAAAAATTCAGGGAATTTAGACCTTTAAACAATTATCCACCTAAAAAGAATAATTGAAATATAATAAAATAAAAAAAAATAATTATTAAAATGCTCACTGGTAAAGAAGAATTAGATAAAATCAATCCTAAAGTATCATAGTTATTTATTATATCTAAGAGTGCTAAAGGGAATGCTGAAAGTGAAGAATTGCCTTAATATCTAAGATCTTCATATTCCCAAACATATTAAATATTGGAACCAACTAAAATTCTAAAGGGAAAAAAAGTAAACATCATTCTTATCAATAATTAGGTTTTTCCTTAATTTGCTTATGGGAATTCTCATGAAGCTCCTACTTATTTTAAATTATCCAACTCTTTAGTTTGTAAAGAAAGTTACGATAATCCATATATAAAGAATAAAGTACCTCCATTAAGCAAGTTAGACTCTCTTAAGGGAAGCACTCTCAATAATTATGAATTTTATAATATCTCTGATTAGAGATTCACTAATCGAAAACCTACAGGTTACATAACTAATAAAATAACAGAGTATAAAATTAATCTCAAAATTAAGTACTATCACAAATTAAGTTAAATTTGTATAAAAACCATTAAATGATGACAAAGACTAAATGTTTACTTTTGAAAGTGCTTACAAATCCATTTAAGATAAATTATTTAATAAAAAACGAGGTATTATTTAATCTTTAAAATAAGAGCTTTTCACAGATTTTGTTGAGAAAAATGATTTACTCAATGTTTATGGGCCATTAAATATGAGAACAAGACCAAAAGAATTTAGAGAAGTCAAAAATTATGCATTAGATTCTGATTAACTCAAATTATTAAAAGAATAAAGATCAAGATAGCAAATCACTCCTACTAATAGAAGTGGATTTACTGATCTTATTAAAACTGTTCGATTACCAACAATTTCTAAAAATTAAGGATTAGATACAGATAAATATTATAACAAAGATTAACATTATCTCAATTAATTATCTAATTCAATTATAGTTGAAAAAATAGATGAGAATATCAAACATAAAAATAAAACTCTCTAAAGTTTCAATAAAAATAAACGTTCTATCAAACACAATACAGAAGACACTGAAAATATGTAAGGAATTATTGACATATTTGAAAAGCATTTAGAATTTGAAAAATAATATAATTGTTGAAATATAATTAAAATTATATATTTAATTCAAAATTGATCTGTGTAATAACTTAATTGTTCCTTTAATTTCTATATTTTAAAGTCCTTTTTATCTAATGCTTCCTATACTATAGATTCAAATTTTGTAATATCAGCATAATGCTACTATTTTTAATTCTATAGCTTCTCTTCATAATGTTGTTTTAATTATAGATTTTACAATCTTAATTATTCAATCTTTTCATAAGCTATTTTCTTTTCTTCTTCTAAATTTATTAACAGAGTTTCAATTTATATTAATTTATTGCTAAATTCCTCTGATTATTAGAGTGATTTAAAATTTTCTTCTTGCAAGAAGTGAAGTTATTCAATCAATTCATTTTTGTTTTCTTAAAGATCTTATCTTTAATATTATGCTAATTATAACTATAGATCCTTTTTATCTTATAAAATCTTATCTATGAAAACTACATACTCTTATAAAATTGTTTAGAATTCATTTTTCTATTTTAATAGATCAGCCTCTAACTTAGACTTCCTAATTAAATATATAATAAATACATTTCTAATTTCATTTAAATTATTGTTTCTTTAAGTTTACGATTTTCTAAAGCCAAGTTATTTTCTTCGGTTAAATATGGTTATGCTCTTTTTGTTTACATCTAAGGTACATCTACAGATATTTCTATATTCTCATCTGTGGGATGTGATTCCCATAATTTTTGGGTTAACTCTTAGTAAAATTTTTAATCATTTGAAAATTAACCTTTGGGAATTAAAGGGTGAACATCTGGAGACTTTTTTTTTTTTAATTAGGAATACATTTATTTATTTCAGTTAAAAAAAATTATGTATATTAACATCATTTTCTTCTCTACACATTTTTCAGGATTATAAAGATCCTCTATTTTTTCTAATCTAGCTCTGCGTTACGAATTTTATAATACTTTTCTGTAATCCACATTGTTATCTTTTAAATATTTACAAAATGAATAGGTTTCAAGTCCATCATTTTATTATTTTATAATACTCATTATTGCTGCTAAATATTCAGGATTCTTTTTTCCAATCAAAATAACAAGATTTGAATTCAATATTAGATTCAAAACACCATGTCTATGATATCTTTCAATTTATTATAATAGTCGTCCACCAAAGATTTAGACTTATAAATCTGTTAAATTGTGTTGTCTAATGGCTAATCTATAGATATCTGATCTTTTGTAAGAAAGACAATCTTTTAAAAGATTTAGTGATTTAACATCATTCAACAATTTAAATAAAGATGGCAATTACTTTTCTTAATAATGAGTTTTTTTCATAAACTCTGTTATAATAGTAGGAAGTAAATCTTTGAAGATTTATGAATCTTAATATTAGAAACTTAAAATTTCATTTATAATTTTTAGAGGATTATCTTTGATTTTTTTATATAAGTAACTATTTAATTTAATTTTAAGTTTTTCATTCTTAATTACTGCATATGAATGAAGGGGGCGTGAGAATGCATTCTCTTCATTTAAGAAGGAATCAACATCTTATCCACATATAAATTTTAAGTATAAAAGACCATTTTCTAGGAAGGAAAATTTACAAACTTAACTTACATAATCAGAAAAAATATTTAATTTAAATCTAGAATTAATGGTTAATTTCAATTTCCATAAACTTAAAATAATCTGGGATATCTTATTGGCTTATTGGACTGAATGTTGATGAGTTTCTAATAATAACCTTTAAATAATTTCATCAATTAATTTTTCAACTTCTTATGTTGTACAGATTGGTTCAAGATTAATTAAAAATTATTAAATAAAATTAAGTGATATTTTTTAAGGTCTCAAACTTAATTATTTAAATAAAAACTCTTTAATTTTGATTTCTAAAACAGGATTAACTTCTTGAGGCAACAATGAAAAATTACTTATGAGCGAAAAGATTGTATGTTCATCCATGACATTAAGATTATCAATTAAGAATTATCTCATTTTAATTAGAATAGGATGTGATTCCAAATATGGGTTTAAATATTAATATTTCATTTTAAGTAACATAATGTAAAATTGTGTAACTTGTTAGAAATCATAAAAGAGTGAATTAGCATCATAATGAGAAATACAGAATTCAATGAAGGTAGAATTTACAAATTTCTTTTTATAAGATTTCATCATTTCACATCTAACTAAAAGAATCACTTCCATTGATGAAAGTGGTTCAGTGTATAATCGATCTTCAACTAATTAATGAATTTATGGTATAACCATATTTAAGACTTAGGAATCATACCAAATATTAATGTAATGTCTAATACTAAAATCAGAGCAATTTTATAATGTCTGATTTAAATTATTTGCTAACATTTTATCATTAATATTTTCAAGTAATGATTATTGACCTTTCACTTAATATTTAGATTTGAAACAAAGTAATTCAAGTAAATCTATAGGAGTTAATTATTCAAGTTGACTATTTAATAATTTTGATATTTCCCCCATTCCTTATCGAAATATAGGTTCACTTTAATAATTTTTTACAGAATTCAAGAAATGAGCAATGATACGAATTGTAAGTAATGAATGTTATAAGCTAAATATATATTTATTCTTGTTAAATATATCTATCAAGATTTTAGGATCTACATGTTAACTAATGAGTGCCATCAATTCTTATTCATTTTATACAACTTTTACATCCTCTTTTGAAGAATCAATAATATCAATGTCATCATCTGATTCATGTTGAAAATTATCTCTAAATGAGAAATTTAACAAATTAGTTTGAGTAGAAAATCTCTATTTCAATAATGTTCTAAAAATTATCATAAATATTTTTAATATTTATATTTCATTTGGCGACAATTGCATTATTTCTAACAAACTCTAAAACTGATTCTACAGTTCTATTTTCACCTTTCCAAGGAATGGCCTTTCTCTATTTGTCAGCAACTCTAAATAACACAACATCAGGATATGAATGAGGTTAATAAACATCAGAAATTTCATTGTCAGGAGCATTTATTTAAGCTACTACAATATTTGGATTGTCTCTCAATTCATAAGCAATTTAATCATAAAGTGGTTTAAATTATTTGCAAGCTCCGCACCATGAAGCATAGAATTCTAATAAAACATCTTTCTTATTTTTGATAACTTCTTCTTCATAATTCAATGCCACAACTTTCTAAATGAATAATATAATATATTATTACCCTAACATAAGTATTCTCTTAAGTATAATCTGGTAATGGTTCAGATTTAATGAATTTTTCAACTTTACCTTATCTGAAATCGAAAATGAAGTTCTTAATTCCTTTTACTGTAAAATCTGGTCCATTGTATTTATATTTTAATCCTTAATTCCAAGCAATAATCTTTGGGAACACATTGTCATCTGCTCCTAATTAATTTAATTAATCAAAAAATTTTTCATCAGTAATTTTTGCATATGAAAATTGATATGTTTTTTTAAACAATTAAGCTGTTTCAAGGAATGCTTTTTCAGCTTTAATGGATTACTCATCTAAACTACTAAATAAAATAAAAGCAGGAGTAGCTCCAGAATATACTAATTTTTCTGATTATTCATTTAATTATGGTACATCAGGCAATTAATTTTGTAATAAAAATCTTTCAATATTTTGTTTTGTAAATGCTTGATTGAATTATTTCTTCTCTGAGATTTCTTTAGAATAATAATATAATCTTCCTGGTTTACCTATGGGGAAAAGATATGAGAAAGCAAATGCAGCATTTGAATTTGTTTTACTCATTTCGAAATAGGTCCAATAATTAGGATCATTGATATTGTTTTCTGATCCTTAATAGAAGAGTACAACATCATTGTCATTCAAAAATTGATTAAATTGATCTTATGTTAATATTTCTGTAGGATTTGGTCCATTGACTAACTAAAATATTATAGATGATATTTATATACTTATAACATCCATTAAAGTATAGAATCAGCACTTCTTTACCCAGTAAATTGAAAAGGTTTGCCATCCATGAAAAAAATGAAAGTAGGGAAAGATGATATTTTGAATTTTTCAAGAGCATATCTATCAGGATCTCTTTGTGAATCATAAGCAGCACAAGCAATGGAATGTTTGGATGCCTTTTCGGTAAGTTATTGATATTCAGGAGCAAATTATTTACAGGGAGCACACCAAGATGCATAAAATTCAATTAAAATTAAAGGATGGCCTGAAATCAAAGTATCAATATTGGTGGGCAAAGCAACAATAGGATGTACTACAGGTTAGGGTGTCTCAACAGGATTTGAATTTTCATCTTATACTGGTGTTTATGTAGGGTCTTATGCTAATAATAAAGCAATGAAACAGAATATTAGGTTAAATTTCATAATTAATTAATTCATGAACAAAGTTGAAGATTCTACAACAAAATTATTACAAACAGAATTTTTATAAATAGAGTAAGGGAAGGAAAGTATTTAAATAGTAAAAGATAATGAAAACAATTCATGGAAAAAGAAATTAAAAAATGTTTTTGTTGTACCAATATAGAAATGTAGTCGTATAATATATTTAAATGGAGAATGTACACCTATAAATTAATAAAGTAATGTAATTAAGAATTCTAAATATAATGTTATAACATTTCTACCAAAGGTGTTATATGAGTAATTTCATCAATTTATTAACATATTTTATTTGGGATTGACAATCTCTTAATTTATCTAACCATTTAAGGTAGGATTTCTCATAGGATATTTGGGGCCTCTAGCTTTAGTAGTGACTCTTAGTATCCTAAAAGAATTATATGATGATATAAAAAGACATAAGAGAGATAGATAAATTAATAGCACAATATATAAACGTTATTTAAATGGTTAATGGGAAGATATAACAAGTGGTTAGTTATAAATAGGAATGATCATAAAAGTCAATAGTAATTAACGTATACCAGCAGACATTTTGGTATTACAAGCAAGTGATGAACAGGTATTTATTCGTACTGATTAATTGGATGGAGAAACAGATTGGAAATTAAGGAAACCAGTTTAATATATTTAAAAGAAAGGATTACAAAATTTAGATTTAGCAAAATGTTAATTAAATTGTGATTGTCCTTAAGAAAATATATATGATTTTCATGCAGTATTTTAATGTGAATAATAAAAAGAACTATTATCATTAGAAAATGTTATGTGGGCTAGTACAGTTCTTGCAAATGGTAATGTGGATGGAATAGTTATTTATAATGGATTTGAAACAAGAATGGCTATGAATAGTAGATAACCTCAAACAAAGTTTGGCAAAATTGACAGTATTCTATATTTCATAATTACTTAGCTGAAATCAATTATATGTCTATTATGCTTTTTATAGCAATGGGACTACTATCAATAATCATTACGATCCTTTCTTAACCTCCATTAAATGCTTTGGCTATATCTGTTTCATTTGTTCGATATCTAATTTTACTATCAAATATTATTCCAATCTCTATGAGAGTCAATGTGGAATTTGCAAAACTAATTTATTGTTATAAAATATCAATAGATTAAAGTATAAAAGGTACAATCCCTAGAAATTCTAATATTCCAGAGTCTTTAGGGAGAATAGAATATTTGCTTACTGATAAAACAGGAACCTTAACATAAAATGATATGATTTTCAAGAAATTATCATTAAAATAATAAGTATATACTTATGAAAACTATGATGAAATGAAGAAGAGTTTATAGACAAAATAGGCTATAGGAAATGTAGAAGATGATGCTATCTTAAGAGATTTATTATTAGCGATTGCATTATGTCATAATGTTACTCCAATAGAAGAGAATGGAGAAAGATAATATTAAGCCTCATCTCCAGATGAAGTAGCTTTAGTTAAGATAGCAGAATCCCTTGGAATAACTTTAAAGAATAGAGATTAAAATTCAATGATCATAGAATTAAATGGTTAAACAAAGAAATATGAAATTTTGTATAACTTTCCTTTTTCTAGTGAGAGTAAAAGAATGGGAATCTTATTAAAATTAGAAAACCTCTATATTTTTTATTTGAAAGGAGCTGATGCAATTATGAAATAGTTTCTTCCAGAAACATAACGTGGATTTGTAGATGAAGAATGTGAAAATTTGGCTAGAGAGGGATTAAGAACATTAGTATTAACTTAAAAAATAATTACAAGAGAATATTTTGAAGGATGGAAAAAAAAATATGAATAAGCTTAATATATTGAAAATGTAAGTTAGAGATTAAACAAATTGGATATAATTAGAAAAGAATTAGAAATTAATATGTAATTTTTAGGAATAACAGGAGTTGAAGATAAATTATAGGAAGATGTTTGTGCAACTTTAGAAAACATCAGAAATGCTGGAATCAATGTATGGATGTTGACTGGAGATAAAATTGAAACTGCCATTTGTATAGCTATCTCAAGTGGAATTAAGTCTGCTACATAAGAGATATGTCTATTAAAGGAAATTATTGATGAAGAAACACTATAAAAAAAACTAAAATAATTTGAGACAAAAACCAATCAATTATTAGTTATTGATGGTACAAGTCTCTAAACAGCTTTTAAAAAAGAAGAGTTCTTTTTTAGAATTGCAACTTAAGCTTAATCAGTTGTATGTTGTAGATGTTCACCTACCCAAAAAGCTTTAGTAACTGAATGTATCAAAAAATACACTCATAAAATCATTGCCTGTATTGGAGATGGAGGTAATGACGTAGGTATGATATAATCAGCTGATGTGGGAATAGGAATAGAGGGAAAAGAAGGTAAATAAGCAGCCTTAGCTAGTGATTTCTCCATTCTTAAATTTAAATATCTAAATTCCTTATTACTTTGGCATGGTAGATTATCATATAAAAGATCTGCATTATTATCATAATTTGTAACTCATAGAGGATTAATTATTTCAATGATCTAAACAGTTTTTATGTGTACATACTTTTATCTAAGTTTAAGTATATTCAGCAGTACTCTAATATTAGGATATGCAACTATCTATACGTAATGATTAAATAATAATGAAATTTAGAATGTTTCCTGTTTTTAGCATAATATTTGATGAAGATGTTGTAAAAAAAGTAGCATTAGAGTTTCCACCACTTTACAAATCATTACAAAAAAGTAGAGATTTAAATTAAAAGACATTTTTGATTTGGTGTTGGAAAGCTACTTATTAAGGAACAATTATTATGATTTTGGCTTAACTTTTATATCAGAATGTATTTTTGTATATAGAAACAGCTGCTTTCACCTCTTTAATTATAACTGAATATTGTATGATTTTTAGTGAAGTATTTATATTCCCTCATATTAGCTTAATTCTTTACATATTGTAATGTTCATTTCAACAATTGGTTCCACTATATTTTATGTGTTAACCATGGTTCTGATTCCAGAAACTCTAGTAGTTGGAGAAGTACTAAATGGAACTTTTTGGATTAATACTTTAATCATTGTATTATTTAGTTGGTGTCCCATATTCCTAGTTTAATGGTTTGTAAGAATTAAGTAACCAAATGATTATGAGAAAATCATGAAATAAGTGAAGGATAAGTAAAAAATAAAAACAAATATATTCACTTGATTTCGATTTATATATTTATTATATTATATAAACTATTTTTGAAAAATAATGGTATATCATTGATATTATTTATTCTTAGAATAGTAAACTAAGTGGGAAGATTAAAAAGGCTCCAGTTGTTGAGGAAATATAAAGTAAGATTATCAATTTGAATATAGGCAAGCCCAGAACCGAAGAATAGATATAATCTGTTGTAAAAAATGTTAGGAATGGAGATGTGTCTAATCCAGAAGTTGTCCTTATTGGGGAAGCTGAATTATAAAGAATGAAGGTATTACTTATATTTTCTATATTTCCAGAATAATGCTATCATAACGACCAAAGAAGAATAATTATACTAGAAAAAATTGCTAGAGGAATAAAAAGAGAAGTAGATGGCTGCAGCAAAAGCTAAAAAGCAAAAGATGTTACAAATGGAGGAAGAAAAGAAAAAATAAGTGCCTCTTTCAACTTAGTAAGAAGAAGATAAAGTGGTCAAAGATTCACTTATTGCAAGGGTAAATTATTGTTTTTATTCTTTGTTAGGCAGCAGAGATTATGAATGAATAGATGGATGATGTAAAGGAAATGAACAAAATGGTTATGTATGCAAAATGTGTAACTGTTCGAGATAAGCAATTATAAGAAAAGAAAGAACTTCATGAATAATATAAAGTATAAGAGAAACGTAAAGATTTAATGATGGAAATTGAAAGACTTAAATCTATTAAATATCATGAAGAAAAAGATAAACATAGAAAAGTTGAATAAAAACATGGTCATGATATTATTATTGAATAAATAAAGGAAAGAGAACTTATTCGTTTAAAAGATAAAGAAGAATAAGAAAGAGAAGGATAAATAATGCTTAAATAAATTAAATAGCTTTAATAAGAAGAATAATAGAAGGCTATGCAGAAGAAGATTACTTAATAAAAGGTTTAAGAAGAAATCTTAGAAGCAAATGATAGAGCTATTTTAGTGAAAGAGAAAAGAAAATTGGAAGAAAGAGAGGAAGAAGAAATGATTGTCAAATACAATTTATAAAAAGCATAGAAGGAAGCAGAATTATTAGAAGAGCAAAGAAGAATAAAGGAAGAAAAAGAGAGAGAAGTTTAAAGATTAAGAGAAATGCAAGAAAAAGCTTAAGATAGATAAGCAGAATTAGATGCATTAAGAGCCAAAAGAGCTATGGAATAAAATGAAAGATAAGCAAGAGAAAAAGAAAGAAAAGAAGCAGAATGGAAAATGAAATTAAATCATGAAGTTTAAGAAGCTAGAAAATTACAATAATTTGAAAAACAAGAGAGATTAGAAGAATAAGTATATTAAAATATTTATATATTATATAGGCTAGATTAGAAAGAGATGAATTTTAAAGAGTAATATAGAAATAAAAATAAGAGAGAGAAAATGAATTGAAATTACATCATGAAAAAGAAGCATTAGTAAAAAAGCATGCTGATGAATTAAGAAAATAAATATCTCTTAATGAGGAAAAAAGAAAACAAGAAGAAAGAGATAAGTATATTCATTAATCTTAATATTTTAAGATTAGAGGAAGGTAAAAAAATAAGAGATAAAATGTTAAATGAGAAGAAATTATTAGAGAATATCAAAGAAACTAAATTAAAGACATTAAATGACAATGCAATTCCAGATAAATATAAAGCAGAATTATCAAGGAAAAAAATTAATATATTAATTTGAACAAATTCATTATTCATCAATTTAATTGGGTTCTTAAATGTAGGTTTCCTTTAATGCATCTACAACTCTTTCAATTAATTCTTTCCAAGTTTATGGTTTGTATGTTTATAAATGGTTTGCTAATAGATTTATTCTCTCTTCTAAATTTTCGATTCTTTAATCTATATAACATTTTTTAGGATCAGCAATTGCTCTAAATTAATGTTTTTCTTCAATTATCTTAGGATAATTCCATAATTCTGGAGGTCTTCTCATTAAAACATATTAATTATCATAATCTTTCTTACGTAATTCATTAAATAATAAGCTAGGATCATTTTATTAAATTTATCTGTTACGAATCCTATAAAGGATTGAAATAATTGAATTACTTTGGTATCATACCTTCTTTTATTATTTCATCTTCAATATCTTATTAAACTGCTACATTAATATGTCTAACTCTTTCCACACAATCTTCAAATATATCTCTATTTTCTTATGTACAATAAAAATCCCATAACCAATATCTTCCATACTTTTCCATTAAAGATTATTACTCTTTCTCTCTTGCTGTTTCTTCAGCCAATCTTAATTCTTCTTCTTTTTTTTTTTATTCTTCTTCTAATTATCTTTTCTTTTCTGGAGACATATAAACACTAGTTTAAGTATTAGCCAGATTTTCATCTTATATATTTTATAATTATGAATGTTAAAGTTAGGTTTACTTTAATAAGTCTTATTATTCTAATTTCTATTATTTTAATTCATCTTCCTTTTTTCTATCCTTCCAAATTCTCATATGTAATATTGTATGATATACAATTAATTTTGGAATACTTCCTTTCATACAATTTTCATCTTTCCTAAGTAGAAATTCTCTTGCTTATGGATTGGCATGATAAATAATGTTTAACACTTTAAATACAAAATTTATTTAGTCTCTTTTGAGAGGTGATCCAAGTAAATGTTCACTTATTAATTCTGCCTTTATGACTTCATTAATATCAATTACAAATTACTATTAAATATTAATATAATTTACTTAATTTTCCATTAAGGGTGCTTTATAAAAATTTATTCCTTTGAGCATTAAGCAGAATAAATTTCTTCTCATCTTTTCAAATGCATCAAGTAATGGTTTAAGATAAAAAAACTCAATTTTATTATTTTGCCTAATATATATATATCTAATAGATAACTTACCAATTTTCATAAGCTAATTTATTAAAAATAAGTTTAACATTAGGATTTGCTTTAATAGCTTAAGATTCTAATAAAATCCTTTAACATTCTTGTAAGCAAATACAATATTATTCAATATCTGCTTTCAATATAAAATCTCTTATCATTCTTTCTCTATGTGCAATATTTCTCAAATCAAAGAATATTAATTTCTTATTAATTTCTAAGAGTGCTCTTAAAGGAGCTGTAACTTGCATTAAACGTTCTTCTATAAGTTTATGACTAATTTTAATTAGAATAGGTAATTTCTTAACAAATTCATTCAATAAAGTTTATAGGTTTTTTCTTTCAGCCTGATAATTTTCTGCACTCATTTCTAAAAACTTATGATCTTCCAAAGCTAAAATTGTTATTATATAATTTACTTCTATATATTTTTGCAAATGCCTATTTAACATGATTTCCACGATCTTTATCTAACTTCTCTACAGCACAATATATTCCATCAATATATTGTTTTATGATTTGTTTATTTATTTCAATATCTTCTTGAGCAAAGAAAGCACTTCGAATATGAACATGATCTATATATTTAAATTTAGGTTTGCACTTAAAGACTTAGCACAATTCAAACAATTTGTTATGATATATCTACATTAACATAAGATTTACTTGCCAATTTCCTGTTAAATCTTTAGTTGTTTCAGAAATATTTGTATCTAAGGATTTCGAGATCATTTTAAGTTCATTCCAAACTCTAAATTCATCACTTTCTTTCCATTTTTCAAATTGTTCCTATGATTTATTTTAATAAAAAACCTATTATAATTAAGGATCAATTTATTTGGGTTTTTTAGGAGGCATTATAAAACTTAAAATAATTTAAATATAATTATAAGTTTCCTCGTCATAATTTTTAATTTGGAATTTTAATCAAATAAATACAATTGAATAGAATAGAATAAATTTTTTTAATAGCAATTTAATCTTTATGAATGAATAACTTACAAAAACAAATACCAAGAAGAAAATTCAAAATATAGCTTCTGCAATATATAGTAACGAAGTTTTTGTCTTATTTATTATTTCTAATTCTTTTGTGAAAATTTAATCAATAAATGGAGAAGGTAGGTTATTTTGTATTTACAAAATGTTAATAGAATTTGAAAAACTAGATGATTTTACCACCTATTTTGTAAATTTTATTTCAAACGTTGAGGAATTATTTTGTTTCTTTACACTTAAAGAATAACCGGAATTTCCACTTTTTAACTAAATTTTGAGAAATTAGCAAGGATATTTTGAAAATTTATCTAATTTAATGGAAATGAGGAAAGTGAATAAATTATGGTTATGTTATTAATGGATAGGTTTCTCTTAAGTAGATTTAATATAGATAATATAAAAATTAGATTAAGTGCATATAATTATAAAGGAAAATTGGATAAGATTAGAAAAGATTAATCAATTCGAAAATCCTGAATTATTAGCATAAGAAATCTCAATTATTATCTCTTAAATCTAATTAGTACTTAAATGAAATTTTTAATATTTATATTATTTTCATTTCAACTGCTTTAACTTTTCTTCAATCATTGATTATATTGATAAAGCTTAAAACTGTAAATTCGATTCTAAAATTTGTATCATCTCTTTGTTATTTAGAGATTTACTAAAATTCATCATATAATCAATACTTTAATTGTTATTTAATCTATTGTGGAAATTCATTTTTAATAAACATCAATAATTTTGTACTTAATTGAACCAATTCTTCTTTAAAAGTATTTAAAGTCTAAACTATTTATTTATGGGCTTTATCCAAAATATTCTTGGCATCACCTTAAGCTTTTTTTTATAATGAAAATAATTTTTATTTTATTTCAGCTTAATGCTTTATAAGGAGTATAAAAATTGGAAAGATGTTCTTGTATAAACGATTCAGTATTCTTATTGAATTTGTTGGCATTTCTTAACAATTTAATACTTTTTGAATGATATTTTATAGATCCTATAGTTTTGATAGATCAACTAAATAATCATTTGTTGGAATATCATTTTGAGGTTGATATATAGATATATAAAATCTAGCAATTGACAATCTAAGTTCTCTCTCTTGAATAATAAACCTAGTTATATTAATTTTTCAAAACTTACTCATTGTAATCAAATAGATAATTTATTTACATAGGTTAATTTTCTAATTGGTTTCTATAATTTAGGTTAATCTCTTAATAATTTTATTGGACATTCACAATTTCTTTATATGCATTCAAAACTTTTTAAACATTTTAGATATCATTTTTTAATTCCAATAATTCATTATTAAACTAAATAGAATAAAAAATTATATATTTACAGATAAAAATAAAGTTTCTAAAAGTAATTATTTTTGACTTTGATATATTCCAATATAATTATCATATTTTAAATTATTATTATTAAATTCTCTAATAAAATAGCTTTGGAAATGAGTTTCTTAAATTGAGAAAGTTGAAGGTGATTTTAATTTATTTTAAATTTACTCACAAAAATATTCTACATTACTCTATTATTTCTGTTTCTCATTAAATAAAGTGCATTATACAAAATAATAAATTAATTTAATATAAGAATTTGAAATCCAGTCTTCAAATTAATGAAATGATTCAAATGGTACATAATTCTTCATTTTAAATGATGTCAATAAATTTTTCTTAGATTCTCTTACATTTTCTAAATAAAATATTAAAGCTTATTAATTTTTTCTTTCAACTTAATCTAAATTACCTCCAAATTCAAGAAAGGATTTTGCAAAAGACATACCTAATGTTTCAAATTAAACTCCTTTTATATCTAATCTTGTTAGAGATTCAATAGCCTATTCTACTAATCCTAATTCAGATAATAAAATAATTTATCTAAATAAGAAATCAAAATTATATGGTGAATTTTTTAATCCTAAATCTATTAATTCTAAACTTTTTATTATCTTTTCAAAATCATTTACATCATACAGAATATCAATAGCAATCATTAAATATTCATCTTATAATAATCTATCTCCTTTTTCAACCTTTTCTGGAACAGGATAAGATTGATATAATGTTATTAATTCATCTAAATATTTTGTAGGTTCTTCTGAAATATAAATTTCTAATTTTTTCAAATTAATATGTGCTATAGTTTCTGCCTCTTTAGACTTAGATTATGTTTTTACTTTTTGAATAGTATTGTATATTTCTTTATGTAATTTTATTTTTGGAATTGCTTTAAATAATTCAGTACAAAATGTATATTTATCTCCTTATTATTAAAATAGCAACTCAACCAATCTTAAAATCTCTTCAATATTAGGATTTTATGATAAGTTTAATATTTTTAATGAAATGAGTATAAGTTGTTTTAAAGCTAAACTATTTGTTATTGTTTTTAATAATAATTAACAACTATTATAAATGTGACTCAATAATTTATCTTTAGGAACTATTTAAAAGGGTTTTTCTATTTATTCAATTTCTAATTAAAATACTTCAGTATAAAATGCTAATACTAATTATTCTTAACATTCAAAATTAATAAGTATTTAATCTGTAGCTAATGAATTATACACTTAATAATGATATTTAAGAGTTTATTCATAAGTAAATTCTAAAAATTATTTTATTAATTATATACCTGAAGGATTATTTTGATAAATCCACAAAGAAATTGCTGCATTTTATTAATATTCTACAAATAAAACACTATGATTATCTAAAATTTATTAAACTTTATCCACATTTTTGTTTTTGTTATTCTAATAAAATTTCAACTAAAATTTAATTAATTAAGCTCCTAATTCTTCATTTGTACAAAGCTTCAAATTGCTATATCATTTAAAATTTTTACTTCTCTAATTTGATATTTTTTGCCACCTTATCAATAAACATTTCTGTAATTTTGCCTCCCATATCTTCCTTTTAACTCAATAATACAATATATTCCATCATAAATTCTTAATTTTTTTCTCCTTCTGCCTTAAAAATTTTAATAGCATATGATGATGCCTCTTAAAATCTATGACCTTATATCAATTATGAATAAAATTCTTTTATTTATTCCAAATTTTATGGTTTGAATTTTTCAAAATAATTATTCATCATATTTAGATCTTTACATAAATTAGAATACAATTAAATGACTTCTAATTCAGCTTCATTTAAATTTTCATTCAATATTTTTTTAGCATCACCTAATGCTCCAATCTATACTAATATTGATCCTTTCAATAATTGTAATTATTTTTTTTCAGTCTGATTAAATTTTGGCCTTTTTAATTATCTATCTATTTCAATCAAAGCACTCTAACTTTCTCCTCTTTTCATTTATCCAATGATATTTTCAAAAAGTGACTAAAAAGGTGATTGGGTTATCATTAATAAAAAATTAATTTTTTATTTAAATTTCTTGAATTTATTTTATTTTTAGAAAAAGAATATGTCATATATTATAATATAACAAAAAGAACATAATGAATACTAATTTCAATATAAATTCTAATTTAATATTTCTAATTAAGTAAAACCTTAAGGTATGATTAATCAAATATGTATTTTTAAGAAATGTATTTATATTATTTAGTTTAATTATTTTCATAAATTTATGGATTAACAATAATAAGATTAAGTTTAATATACAACTTTTGAAAATTTGTAAGATTAAGAGATTTAGAAAAATGATCTAAGTGATTGGAAATAACAATTTTAATTTATAGACAGTTTAAGAGCATAAAATAAATTTCATAATGATTAATTTAAAATTTAGGAATGGTGGGATTAACTTTAACCATTAACTGATAGTATAAGAAGTAATGTATCAAAAAATGCATTGATGTTAATTAAAGAAACAAGTATTAATAATTAAAATATTAAGTCTAACACAATAATGTTTATGATGAAAAAATTCTGCATAAATTATTTGAAAAATGTGAAAGTGATTTTAAGTTTTTAAAAAATGAAGCATTACAAACACTTGAAATTTTATCACATAAACCATACTCTGATGATCTTATTTAGATTTTGTGTAATATCACATTGTAATCAAACTATGTAAAAAAGAAGATTTACAATAGAAATTACAAACCCATTCTTATCCTACCTTAGTGAAAATAGTATTAGCCTCTGATTTTAATTGTGATTGGGATAATATAATCAAAGTTACTTTATAAGTTTATAATGGCAAAAGTGTTGAGTGTAAAAAAGCTAGTGATTAATTATACTTGGCACTTTAAAAATAGAGACCAGAAGTATTGGAAAAAGAAGAATAATTAAAATTGATAGGAGAGAGAACCAAATAAAAAGGACCTTAATAAGGATTTAAAGATTTCTTATAAAAATAAAAGAAATGATTCTGAATATATATATATATATATTTAAAAAAAGAAAAAACTTATCTATTACATTTATAGAATTATAAATAAATTGATATCTAAGAAAATAGGACTTTTATAAATTGTAATTATATTTAATGTTATAAATATAATTACATTGAATTCATAGGATTAAATATCTTAAGAAATATATATATATATAGTTACAAAAATATTAACAAAAATTACTGAATAAATGACAATCATTATAATTTTGATTATTATAATAATTTATATTAAAATTTATAAATTTTACATAATTTCATAGTTTAGATTATTGAAAATAACAAATTTAATTCAATTATGTTTAGTTAATTTTATTGATTTATAATTCTTATCAATCTAGCACTGAACAAAGTAGAATAATAATTGATTGAGTGAAGATAATTTTATAATGAAAAATTATTAATTCTGTTGGATTTCATTTTTATTAATGAAAAAAATAACCATCTTTTTTTAATATGAGAATTATTATAATAATTTGACTCATGTGTTGATGAAAATTAATATATTAGAAATAATTAAAGTAATTCTGTAAAACATCATTTACTATGAACTCAACTATTTATTAGTTTAAAAAATATTCTGCTAAATTTCTGATTATTATTTGAATCATGTTTTAGCTAAAAAGTTAGATGAAGTGTTTCTGAATCTCATTATGAAAGTATAATCCATCATTAATAATAAAAATACTAATTAAAGCTAGTTTAAAATTTACATAATGGATTAGAAGAATATTATCTCAGTGGAAGAGTCATCAGAGAATGATTGTATAGTGATTCGTTTTATGGTGAATAACAAAGAGGTTTTGCCAAAAATAGTGTTCAAATTGACTGAAAATTATTCAGAGCAATTTTCATCAACCCTATATGAACATCTATCTCATTACATTCCGAAAGAGTGTCACTATCTATATTTTGTAAATTATTGATAAACTATTAAATTTCATTAGAACGAACCTTTGAAATGCATGGAAAAATAGAGATTCAATTTGATCACTTAAGTATGCGTAGATGTTATACTAAAATTATTAAACATAAAATATATACCGATAATAAGAACAAATTATTCTCTGTATAAACTTGAAGAGGTATTTTGTACAAATATTCAACCTAGGCTATTCAAGAGGGAAGCAAATCTGTAATTGAGAAACTGAATTAGAGTTGGTAAACATAATGTAAACTCAAATCTAAGATCACAAAAGAGTTCCTATCAACCTTAAATTAATTCAAATATTACTATCGTATAGAGATACTAATAACATCAACATTACAATAAATAAAATAAGAAAAATATTCGGAGTATGATATACTATATGTACCAACAGATGAGTTAATATTCTTAAAAACAAACATTAAATAATAATTATCACTATCATTTCATGATTTAGAGCAAATAAATAAATGTAATTAGTTAATATGAGTTTATATATTATATTAAAGACAACACATCAAAAATATCTATACTCAATATTTTCGATATAAATTTAATAATTAAATCAAAACTTATTTGCAAATGGCTTAGTAAAATACAAAACATAATAATTCTAACAAGATTAATTCCAATTTACAATTCTCTTCTAATTAAAAACAAATTGTCAATACATCATAAACTATCGATAATGATGTAATATCCAGTAAAAAGAAGGTAAAATAATACACTGAATTTTAGGAAGTTTATGACAGATTGATGAGTTCTTAAACAAATAGAGACAATTAAACTGAAGTATCCTTATACTTTGATCATTTAGGAGGTATATTTCATTAAATATAAATCAAAAAGGTAAATGTCTATGTGCATTATGTAACTGTGGTAAACACAAATGTAATGGTAAAAATTGCATACACAAACCCTAATTACATGGAAATTATACTATTTATTAAAAGGAATACTAGAAGAAGACACCAGAAACAGGGTCTCGTTATAATTAAAATATATTCACCTAACCTAAGGCAGAAGGAGATTTAGGAAATGTGACAACATATAAAGTATTTATTAACATATTAATACTTTAGCATGATTTTCCAGGCTATAATAACAAAGCAGAATTACACAAGAATTCATAGAAACCTACAGTAAGTGGAGTCCCTTTCTCTGGATTGTCAACTTATAACAATATGTACCTAAATTGGGGAATGGGTGATACACCTTAATTACTACCTTAGAATAATCCTACTGTTATAAAAGAAATGCCTTTTATGGGAAGGAGCATATATAAAGATAGTTATTAAGGAGTACAAGTCCCACCAGTATAGAGTTGTAAAAACATGAATAAAGCTTTGAAGTATATTAATATTACTTATGTAGATCTCCATTATCTCCACCAGATTTGTAATTCTCTGCTGAATCAATAGCTAAATCTTCTTATAAACCATTTAGAACAGATAGAGTACCTACAGCTAAAAGCTAACAAAATGTATATATCTATTTTTTATAATAAAATAGGCAAACTTAAATCCTTCATATAATGGTTAATATAATAGTGAATATCGTAAGGAATTCGACCCAAAAAGTTTGAATTAATGTCCAGCAAAGGATGTTTTGGAGGAAGTTGCTCGTAATACATAATTTTGAAGTTTAAAATGATTATGATTAAAGATAATAAATAAAATTAAAATTTTGACATATTATTATTATTATTATCAAAGTAAATAACAACTTTAAATGAGTGGAAGAGATTTTCATTTTTATAGAAGAAGAGACAAATATCCTAAATAAGACTCTTTTATTGAGCAATAATCAACTCCTAATTTTATTGAAGATGGTTCTTTTGTAGGATCATTAGAAAGAAAAATTCAACATTAAAATTAAACCATTAATAATCTAATTAAAGCATTTGAAGATTCAAGATTGGAATAATAAAGATAGATCTAATATTTAGAAAGATTAAAGAAAGCAGAAGAACAAAAATATAGTATCTAAATATTAGAAGAACTTAAAACCTTAAAATAAAAGATCAAAAAGATTGAACAAAGTCCACCTATTTTATAATCTACACCTTAAATATATCAATAACCTTTATTCCCTCCTTTACCTGCTTAATTTTAATAGCCTTATCTATCTTAATAATATAATTATTCTTAAGTTCCATATTTATAGAATCAATTTCATTAACAAAGCTAACCTATTCAACCTTAATAATTTTTAAATAATTAATAATAACTTAGACCCAAAAGACCAAAAGAAATGGATACATTACATAAATTTTTGTTGAAAATGTTACATGAGAAAGAATAACAAAAATATAAGTAAAAGAAACCAAAAGATAATTCAGATATTAGATATGTGACTGATATTGAATCATCTTAAAATTACTCCTCCAATAGATAGACACAATAAACACCTTTAATAAAATCTAGATCATAGAGAAGATCTTAAAAGCAAAAATAAGAAAATATTCGATAAGGTCTTTCAGAAAATTCTTAATATATAATTCGAAAACAATCTTAATTATCATAATAATAATCATTAGGAGCAGGTTCATAAAAACCATCATCAAAAAAATTAGTATTAACTTAATTAAGATTAAAATAACTGATGAGAAAATTCAAGGGAGCAGTTAGATATTTTGGGTTAGCATTGACTTATTTAAAATTTTGTAAAAAGATTTGGAATAACAAGTTAACATCATTTAAGGAATATTCTTAGGAGTAGATAGGATCTTATGATACTTAGTTTGTAAAAATAATGATATATCCATTTATAGAATTATCTGTCAATCATATCATAATTTTATAGAGAATGCACACTTAAGAAATAAATGGATAAATCATGGATCTTTACTTAAACAATAGATATTCAAGCTAGATGTCAAACTATGCTTAGTGTATTAGAGATATTCTTTAGATATTTAATAGTTTAACCTTTAGATTTTACTAAAGAACATATAGAATTTATGAGAAAATTTTCACTTCCTAAAGGATATTTATTAATTGGACATAGCAAATATGTTACTAGCAGAATAAATTTAAGACCAAATAATACAATAAAGTAAATTTTAAATTAAAATTTAAGTATTGAAACACCTGAGTAATCTTAAATGTTACTTATGGAATATTCTTTTATTTAAATATTATTACCATAGATTGTTGAAGCTGATTTTTGGAAAAAGTTAGTAAATTATAAAGAAGCCTTAAAAGTTTTTGTCTCAGTTCTTCATTATTTATTTATAGATAAATTTTACAACATACCTCTTAATAAATAATAATTACCTTTTAATGTACATTTATAAAATACTATTTAAGAAAGATTATGTTCCTTTTTTTGATTTTACAAGAAATCCAGTTGAAGGATTTTACTAATTAATTGATTCAAATCATCCTTCATATGTTGAATCTAAAGAAGAAGTGATTTTAGGATTGTATACTAAGGCTCAATTGCATCCTCTAATATTACATGTTGGATTTAAGAAGGTCTAAGAAAATTTTAAGTAATATTGTGATTTAATTTATTCTTTAATAAAATGAATACTTAAGAAAATTATTTCAAATATTGATTTTATTATGATGCGTTTTTTTTGGTAATTATTAGTTTTATATTTCTATAATCAAATTGATTAGGTCTAAGAATTGGAAAACTTCTTCTAAGAAGATAAGGGTTTTACTTTATAATGAAACACTTATATAATAATGCTAATTATCAAGATAATTTTAATGGAAAATAAATACATTGTTTTTAAACAAATATAAGTTGTGATTAACAAAAATCATAATTCAATGTTTCTTCTTAATTCACTATAGAATATATTAGTGCCTGTATGAGATTCTGATATTTATTGGATATTTTTTTTTTCTTATAAGTTTAAGACACATGCATAATTGAGTTATGTTTCGATTATGTCTATTAATAACTGTAGATATTCAATGAATGGTGCTTCAATGCTTGGTTTCTAAGGTTTCACATCCATTTTAAATTCCTATATCAGAACTCGTTTTCTTATTTAAAAATAGTTAGAATTCCACCAAATTTCTTGCTTTGAATTTAAGGTTTTCATGGCTAAGTATGATTCAATCAAGATCTAATTCAATATCAATCTTACTTTAACTACACAAAGTTCGAGCATAGGATAGGCGACATTCATAAAATTTTGTTGAAATGGAATATAATAAGAATTGATCAAAATCCTTAAGTATTTATGGATAGTATTATGAGCAATAATTCTATCACTTTCAAATAGTAATTTTTATTTGTTCTAAGTCATCTAGGAATCTATTAATAGAAAAAGATTGAAGACTGAGTTCTTTAATTGAATAGAAATAGATTCTAGATTTCTTCTAGTATGTTCCTAATCAAGTATTTTCATAATTTCTTATGTATTGTAAATTTTGATTTTAATTTTCGTACCAGTAGAGCACAATTCTCCCATTTAATTAAATAATATAATAAAATTATCAAAAATTAATCTGCTTCTAAAATAGGAAACGTAAGAGACGAAATTCAATATCATTAATAGAAAACATGATAACCATATATTTAAAAAATATTCAAAAATTTAATTTTTAATTGATATTAATTGAGATTTTAGTATTAGTATTTTTTAAGTAATGAAGATATATATAATAAAAAATCTTATTTTACATTTAAACTCAATCAATCAATCAATACAAATTTAATTTTGTAACAATAACAACTTTACAAGTTTAATCCAATCCACACAAACAAGCCAATCCTAAAAAACATTTATAATTTAATATACCCAATTTATCAGCATTCCAATCCAAAGATGAAATTGGCTATTAACATACATCTTATTTATTGAGTAATTCTAATTTTCCAATTACTCCTTTAGGTTTTCCTTCTGAATCTTAGATCTATCTTTAAGATGGATATGAATATTTATAAATATTCAATGCTCCATCTCCTCCTTATGTTGCAAATAAATCTCTATTCTAAGGTAAATGTTTGACTCCCCAAATAGTTGATTTTTATCCTTCATGTGTTAATGATGCAAATCCATTATTGAAAGTTCTTAAATCAAAAACATTAATTTTGCCTAAATTTAATTTAAAAATACTTTCTAGAGTAGTGGCTACTAATTTATTCATTTAAATATCCTTTCTATCAAATTCAATACCACAGATTCCATTTTTTACATTAGTATCCCATATCAATTAGTTTTATTTTAAATCAAATAGTTTAATATCTCCATTATCATATCCACAAGCAATAACACGTTCATCATTATATGAATTACCAAATACTACACTCCAAGCATCTGGTATAATATCCTTTTCAATAGGTTCTAATGAAACAACAGGTGCTGCTTATCTGGGATCCCATACTCTTACACATCCATCTCTTGATCCAGTTACAATTTCAGGAGCTCCAATATTAAAACAAGTATCAATAGAATTAATTATTTGATCATGTGCTTTAACTTCAAATGTTGTCTAATATTTAAATATTTAAATTATACTTTTTTAGTTTCTAGATCTAAAACTTTTAATTTTCCATCAAAATCCCCAAATGCAAATAAATTATCCAAAAATTATCCACATTTTATACCTTTAGGTTATTCTATCTAATTATATATTTATTTATAACTGATGATATGGTTTTCAGTTCTGTTTTATTTAATTGTAATATTTCAATAATTCCATTTGCTTTAGGTGGTTAACCACATAATACAAATTTTGCAGTTCCTGGAATCCATTTTGTAACAAAAGGAGTGAAATTTAATGATTTATTGAGATGTTCAATAATCTAAGGAGCATTTGTTGTGTCCATTATTTATTTATTAATAATTTAATTATCTATTTAATATATGCAAAATTAATTATAAAATTTTGTTTTTTCATTGTAATTCCCTTAATCTCTTAATCATTGTTGAATGCAATGAACTATCAAGGTACTTGTTTATATGATTTAATAATCTTATTTTTTTAACATAACCACAACTCTCTGATGACTCCATTGAAACTGATGTTGATACTTCTGTGGGTTCCCAAACTTATTTTACATATTCTAATCTATTTTTATCACCTTCTCTTAATAATTCTTAAAATATTTATTCATCAAAATGTTTAGATGCAAGTTTCAAGCATACAGCTTCAGAATTCATTAATTATTTATGAATTAATATAAATTTTTATTTACATTTAGTTCTAAATATATGTAATCAATAATTCTACTCTCATTAAATTTGATTCTATAAATCAATATTAATTCTAAGATTTTCTATTACTTGTAATAATATTTTATTAAACAATACTTAAATTTATTTGAACTTTTAATTATAATTCCTAATCACATCAATTTTTTTGATAATTAAATAGTTATGGTAGAATAATTATAAATGATTTTACATTCTATAAAAAAGTAATGAAATTCAATAAAGGAATATATTAAAATAAAAATTATATCAATTCCACTTAATTCATTTATTCTATTTTTTTAAATATTTAATGAATTATCTATTATTTTTTGTTGGTTTTTAAAAACTAAAGAAGCTTTTTGATTTTCTTTCTCTAACAGTCTAATCTGTTATTATTTCATTCATCTCAGTACTAATCTAAGTACATAGTCTATTTGATAAATTTAATAAAATTCCTTATGTGTCAACTAATTTACTCTCTAATTCACTTAGTTTATTTTTTAAAAAGAGAATTTATTCAGATTTATTGATTAATTCCTAGTCTTAATTCTAAATAGTTTGAACTTACTCTTCATATAGTGCTTTATAGGTTAAATTTGATTTGTTCATAAAATGAGAATGAATCATTAATTAAGAAATGAAATAACTTATATTAATTTTGAATATAAATTGTATATAATTTCCTTTTTCATTCAAATTTCCAAACTAAATTATTCTTAATAAACCTTAAAGTATAAATGAATAATTTAAGAGTGAATATATTCAAAATACAATATTAGTAATTTTTTATTTATACGAAATAAATTATAAAATAATTTATAGTAAAATGTGTGACACAAAATGTGAATGTATACCTTTGTAATTAATAAAATCTCTTTAAAAGAAACAAAAGATTTCTGAAATTGATTTACAAGGCTGTAATGTAGAACATTTAATATAATTGAATTAAATAAAACAAGATGTAGATAAATTATATTTAGCATCAAATCGAATTTAAAATTTAGATTATTTACCATTGAATATACTCTATTTGGATATTTCCAATAATAGTATTGCTAATGTAGACTCTCTATAGCAATTATAAAAATTAAGAGTATTAAGGTGTGGAAATAATTTAATTGAGCAATTTGAAATTCAATCAGCATAACTTGAGATTTTAGATATATCAAATAATTATTTAGATAAATTACCAAATAAAATACAAAATTTAGTTTCTTTGAGTATATATGCTAATTCATTTAAGAATTATGAAAATGATGCAAAAATGAAATACAAAAAATTATAAATACTAGATGGTTGTATTATATAACAATCATAAGAAACAGAATATATAATAAAATTGTAGGAACAATAATTAGCATAGAAATTTTAAATGAATATAGATTATTTGAATAAGTGGAGATAAGAAGTTTTCAAATAATTAGTTTAAAATAAATAATATAAATTACTTACTTTTGATCATTTAAAAAATATAAAGTAATTAATTTAAAAAAACTTTGGACAAATGAAATATCTATAGATGATTGAAAAGAGAACTAAATAATTATAATAATTATAAAAAAAATTGTTTAAATGTTCAAGTAAATTAAAAAGAGAATAACAATAAAAGTAACATGAATAATAATTTTTAATTTATTCTCTTAAGCATCTATTAGAAGAAGATATTTAAGAAGAGAAACTAGATATATTAATAAAAAAATGTTCAGAGTATATAACTAAAATGAAATAACAAAATCTAACAATCTAAATTTAAATGTAAGGAATATAATAAGAGAATGAACATTTGAGAGCATAAGTAGATCATTTTAAATAAATGTATAATTAAATAAGTAATTATATTGATTTAGTATCTTATAGAATAGATAAATCTCAAAAATGAGGATTCAACTAATTAAGATAAGAATAAAGGTTTTGTGAATTTGTATGCTTAGATTAAGAATTTAGAAGAAGAAAAATTAAAATTATAATTTGAATTAAATAGTTGTTAAGAAAGATAGAATGTTGAAATACTTCATATTAAAGCCTAATTAGAATAGTAAATAGCTTTATTAAGTTAAGAGAATTAGTTTTTTAAATAAAAATTTAATCTATAATAAGAAGAAATAAAAATAAAAATGGATTAAATTTAATAACAATATGAAAAATAATTATAATTATAAAATAAAGAACATTAAACATAATGTGATAAAATACGTAATGATTATTAATAAATAATTGATAATTATGTACTTAAGGATTAATAAAAAAATTCAGATTTATTGAAGTTAAGAGATTTGTAAAATGATTTAGAATTGTAAATTAGATAAAATAGATAAGAAAGTGATTTTAGTTAAAGAGAATATTCAAATTAAATAAAAGAATTATAATTATAAATTAAATAATAGAAAGAAAAAATTATAGATTAAGAAAATTTAATATTACAATTAAAATAAGATTTGTAAAAGTAATAAGAAGATGTCATTAAATAAATAGAATAAGCTAATCTTGAATAATAAGAAATCTAAAATTAATTATAAAAAACAATATTTGATCAAAGCAATGAAATCTAAGAATAAAAAGCATCTAAAAATAAACTTTCAAAATAAAATATGGATTTATTAAAAATGATTGAAATGAAAGATGGAGTAATTCGATCACTAACACTTGAATAAACAAAAAAAATAGAAACTAAATAATTTTAAACTACTTTAGAGTAGAAATATCAAACAATTCCTGATTAAAAATTCACCACATTATTTAATTAAAGTGAATAAAAAGTATCAACATTATCTGCTTAAAATGAATTAGAAAGAAAAGCATTATAAATATTATAAGATGATGATTATTGAATTATCGTTAATTTTATAAATATCAATTTTTATCACAACTCTGGATAGTAGAATACAGAACCACATGAAACTAATGGTTAAGCTTAAAATTATGAATCATTCTATTGTTCATCTATATCATTCTCTTCATCATTCAATTTACAATTACAAGTTCTAATTTATAATTACTCATCAAAACAAATTTTTAATTATCCTAATAAAAATTTCCCAGTCACTTCTATGAACAATTAAATTAATAAATACAATCTTTAAAACAAGAAAAGGTAATTTTAACATTTGTACCTAAAACTGCTGCAAAGGCATTTCTTATATCTGATTCAAATAATTATCTACTATTGTCAGGATAAATTCCAGCTTTAGCCAAAATTGAATAATAGTTGTATTTTTATGCTAATCCTGCTGCTGTCTAAAAGAAATAATTCTATGAAACTTCTCCAGGATAGCATGTACCATGTTTTTCCCATTCATATCTTCATATAATATATATTTATATATATACCCTCTAAAAGTTTCAGTGTCTGAATATAAGCCATTCCAAACAACATCTAATAAATCCTTAGTATTTTTATATATTTTAGAAGAATCATATGGATCTGTTCTGCAATATTGGATTGATCCACAAGATGAGGTTAGTTAAGTATTAGGCCATAAACCATGCATATTCCAACGTTGTCCATCATATTTTCCCATATATGGACAACTTGGTTCAACCTTGCAAACAGATCCAACCCATTCTTAAGCAAGGATATACATATAGGTTGTAGCTTCTAATGAGTTTGAAGCATAAATCAAAATAGAGAAAACTACAAAAACTTGTATATTTCTTCCTTTCATTACGTATTTGATGAAAATATTGTTTAAATATTTATAATTTATTATTGTAGAATAATTGTTGTTATTTTCATATATTATAAAAGATATATAGTATCTGAAAATAGAAACCAATTTTATTTAATGTATATATATATATATAATTGATAACACATATAATTGGGTAAACTATTATTAAAATTACAATTGTTTTCCAAAATATTAATTTTATGGAAATCAATAATCATAATTATTACTTTAAAATTAATATAACAAGTCCTTTAGACTTATTGTCTTAATTTTTTGTTAAAACTTGTTTTCAATTAATAAAGTGTCTTATATTTTTAATTATCTTTTTCTTTCTTTATTTTCTTACTTCCCCTTTAGAATATGATCATATACATATATGGATTTTATTTATTATCTAAAATGAATTGAGTTAAAAAATTTGTCTTGATGATTATAGAAAGATGTGTGAATTGTAAAAATGTGATTAATTTTATATAAATATGATGACGGTATCGTAAATTTTATTTGAGTTTATAATAATTTAATTTTGATTAAATTTAAATCAATATAGAATTAATTATATTATTAAATTGATAACAATGACGTAAAAGTTTATATTTTAATGACTTCAAATCTAGTAATTTAAAGGCTATAATCAAATTGTTTGACATTAATAATAAATCATGTCCAAAACAATATTAGCATTGGGAACTATAGCTTTAATTGGAGCCCTTTTAATGGCCAATTAACCTTAATCAGTTGATTATGTTTCTAAGTTTGAAACATTTAAATAGAAATTTGGAAAGAGATATGGAGCAACAGAATAAGCATACAGATTGGCTGTGTACACCTAAAACTTATTATATGCTGAAGCTTATAATTTATAAAAGGGAAAGAGAGTATTTGGAGAAACTATCTTTTTCGATTTAACATAAGAAGAATTTGCATAAATATATCTAACAGCAAAAGTAACTGAGGAAGACTTGAATGTGGAAAGAGTATCTGCTAGATCAAACAATCTTAAAGCATCAATTGATTGGAGTACTTAAGGTGCTGTTACTCCAGTTAAAGATTAAGGATAATGTGGTTCTTGCTGGACTTTCAGTACTACAGGTGTCTTAGAAAGTTTCTTTTATCTTACAACAGGAGAATTACCAGTGTTATCAGAATAATAATTATTAGATTGTTCAACAATTGTCGATTTTAACTTAGGTTGCGATGGTGGTTTACCTGCTAGAGCATTGAACTATGTTAAAAGAAATGGTATTACTACTGGTGCAGCTTATCCATATGTAATTAATATTTATAATTTAGACTGCTGTTTAAGGATCATGCAGAATCAAGGGAGGTGCATATCACATTAAAGGATCTTAAACTTTAGCAAAAGATGAATAAACATTAGTGACTTATTTAAATAAAGGACCAGTTTCAGTAGGAGTAGATGCCACTAATTGGTAATATTATGATCCAAAGGTTGAAAGAGTATTCAGTGATTGTGATACAAAAATGAATCATGTAGTATTAGCAGTTGGATATGATGAATAAGCATTCAAGATTAAGAATTCTTGGTCAACTGATTGGGGAGTTAAGGGTTATATCTTTTTGGCCAGAGGATAAAATACTTGTGGTATCTATGATACAAATGTTGTTCCAATTTGATTAATCAGATTATATTTTATATGGTCATCAAAATATAAATTAACATTTAATAACTAAATTAAATATAATAAATATTAATTATATTCTTGATTTTATAAAGTAAAGTTTATTAAACATAGTTCTTATGAGCTATATTAATTACATAAAAATAGAATGAGAATATAGTTATTTTAATTATTGAGATGAAAATTAAGTTTTTGAAGAATTCAATTAATTTATAATATTAATTTATAATAAAATTTGATGAGTGGATCCCCTTAACTTAGGAAACTAAACTTTGGTCCTTTAGTAAAGATAAAGAAATAAATAAACTTACCTAAAATAAGAAAATAAGAAGAATCATTTTAGGCTATTTTAAATGTTTCTGATTATGATCCATAATCTGATAGAGATAGATCATTTAATAATAGATCATTTAGAAAATTAATTCATACAACCAATATAAATTTTTCAACTGATAAAAAAATATCAGAAGAATATGCAGTATATGGATTATCAAAATTAAAAATTGAAAGAAAAGAGCAACCTTTTTAAAGTGAAAGAACAATAAAACATTTATATTATATGTAATAGGATGAAAATACTAATAAAGATTGGTTTTAAATTTGTTTAAAATAACCACCACCTCATGCTTAAGCATAATTTTATAAATAATCTGAAAAGTATATTTTAAATTTCCCTTTAGATAATATGAATGGTGTGATGTTTAAATTTTAGATTTTAATGAAGAAACAGAGAAATTCTTAATTCAATAATATCCAAAAGGTCCTAAGAAGCAAGTAGATCGATTGCAAATTAAATTCAATAATTAAAATCAATAGTTTTTTGAAAGCATGATATAATAAGAGTATCAAATTCTATAGTATATAGATAATTATAGCTTCATGAGAAATAATCTGAATTAGCTTATGTTAATAAAATTATGGCTGTGGATACTAAATTAATTAATTCAATTTCTGATAAATTAAAATAGAAACTTTTGATAAGATTTTCAAAGTATAAGAACTAAAATTTAATTATAAATTTAATTAGTTAAGTAGAAGAAATGTATTAATAAAATATGAAAAAATGTGTATATTTGAAGGATTTAAGTAAATATAAATAAAAATTTGTACCAATTCCTAGAATGAAGATATTTTATACATCATAATAATAATTAAAGAAGAGTCTCATGTTTGTGAATAAGGCTGTTATAGATTGTTGGTTATAAATGATTAGATTTATGAATAATTTTTAAGTGAATTTATTTGAATTTGATAAAGTACATTTGCCTGTATCTTGGGAAAAATTTGAATAACTTATTGATGCAAATATGAATAAAATTGAATAGCAATTAAAAAAATAAAGATTCTTTATTTATGCTTAAATTCAAGAGAATTTATAAACTACTTTTAATTTTTTTAATATAACTATGCCTGAATATATAGCAAGTGATTTAAAAAGCGTAGTTTAAAGATTTGATTTACATTATACTGAATATCTATATAAATTATTAAGAGATGAACAATAAAAAATAATAAGATTTTATTAAAGATTTTAATTGGTTTAATAGAATATCAAATTGGTTGCAACATCTTTATTTTAATTAAGAATAGTAGGAATGAATAAATCTAAATTAGAAAAGTATGAATAAACTAGAAATTCTATTAATGATGATTTAGAATTGATAACTTTAGATACTTCATTAAATTAAGTGATTAATATAGCAACATATCCAAATAGATGTTTATTTAATATAATTTCTTAATTATATAAAATAGAAAGTGAAATAGTACCATTATTGAAGATTCCCTAACAATTTTCAATAGAAAGAGATAACTTGGCTTTTTTTGAAGTTTTAAAATAAGAAACTGCAGATCTTATTGAGAAAGAATATTCTAAATGTTAATAATCTTGCAAGAAATTTCTACCTTATTAATATTTATTAATTCCAATGAAAACTAAGGCTATAAATAAAATCTTTGGTATTGAAGGGAAAGAGAAACCATCTTTACATTAGATTAGACTCTCTGTTATTCGTGAAGCTTTAGATAATTTAAGTAAAGCATAAAGAGAAATAAATTATAATTTTATTGATAATTAAGTAATTGGACTCTTTACTTTAAATTCAAAAGAAATAAAATAAATTTTAATATAAAGAGCATAAGAAAATTATTAGTTGATTGTGTAAAAATTAATAGAAATAATTAAGCATAATGTAACCAATATAAAAACACATTATTAAGAAATGTATGCTAAAACTTCAACAGTTCCTTAAACAGAAGAAGATTTAATTGAATTAAAGTTATTTCTTGATGAAATAAAGATATAATTCTCAAAATAATATTTAGAAATTACATAAATGTAAATATGATCTTAATTAGTTATTAGTAAAAAATTTATAAATTATTTGGATGAAATATTTTAAGAATATGATTTGATGTTAATGAAAGAATATTATTATCTATTGTAATGGCCAAAAGAAATTAAAAGAAGCATTAAAACTAATAGTAGATAGATAGAATCTATTGAGAGACAATTCTTTTAAAAATTAGAACATGATAAAGTTGAATTTACAGAAAAGTTATTTTAAATGAAAGAATAATTTACAAAAATAAAAGGATTTAATTAATTTGGAATTGTTAAATAATAAGCAAATGAAATGAAAATATTAGCTGATTGGATATTTTAAGGATAAGAATAAATAAATTCATTTAATTAAAGAGAAACTATGTTTTAAATACCTTTATCATAATATAGAGAATTTCATTAATTAGTAACAGAATTCAAACCATTTTAATATTTATGGGAATTAGCAAATGAATATGAATTTTAAAAAGAATCATGGCTTTATGGTTCATTTAAAAATTTGAATCATTAATAAATATTATAAAAATTGACATATTATGTAAATGAAACTATGATTTTATCTAATACATTTAAAGAAATAAGTGATGAAAATGGATAATCAGTTACAAGAGGTTTTAGAAGAGCTTTAGATGCATTTAAAGATAATTTATGGGTTGTAGAAACTCTAGCAATTGAAGCATTTACTAAAAAACCAGTATTATGGAGAGAATTATTTAAAGAGTGTAGAATATAGAATTTTGACCCAAAGGAAGATTTTTCTTTGTAATCATTAATTTAAAGAGGAATCCTTAATGTTAAGGAATAAGTTGTACAATTATCTTAAAAAGTGGAGAAGGGTTGGAATATAGAAAAAAGATTAAATGAAATGTATGATAAATTAGTAATCATTGAAATAGAATTATAAGAATTCAGAGAAACATTCATTTAGAAAAATTATGAAGAAGTTCAAACATTATTAGATGAATAATTGAATGTATTATCAATGTTAAAGAGTTAATAACATATAAAAA